TGTAGAAACCGAGATGTTTTCCCTCAGACAGATCGATTTGAGTGTTGGCACGCTGTTGAATTTTTTGTGATACGAGTTGAACAAATGCCGGCCAGAGAAAACAGAGTCTTTTGGTCTGAAATTTTTGATCGGACCACAATGACAATTGAGATTTATTCCCGAGGTGTCATAAAAAACAACAGAGAACTCTCGCTTCCGCGATGAGTTTCCTCAAGAAAATTCACATTGAACTTTCTTTACAGCCGTGGGGTGATGCTCAGAAATTTTTCCTCATTAGGGAGGAGGCGGGGCTCATCCCCTTCTCGCACTTCTTCCGGATTTCTATATTCGAAGAAACCGTCTGACAAGGTTTGCGGGTTTCGCATACGATCCCGCTGGAGCGTAGTCTTCTTGAAGCACCAAGTCTTGAGGTAGAAATCGGAATTCGTGGCGAGGCGTTTTGTCCAATCGTATTCTTGCGTTGGTCCAAAATGCAGTTGTCGTAGTCGCGGCCAGAAGATAGTCGTGCTGTCGGGGTAGTTGCGACTGAGCCCGACATATCCCTCGGTAGTGGTAGCTGCATCATGTCGCGACATTCTGCGGAGGTCCATCAATTTCATACCTCCCTCGGCGGCCGATTGTATGCCCCCTATCCGGAGACTATGACCACCGAAATTATCGGAGGAAAGACCGCCCACTTCGGAGATGAAGTCACTGTTTTCGAGCATGTTCCAACTGTCCGTAAGAACAAGCACTTCCTTCAAAGCAGCCTTCAGCCGGGGCACGGGCCATCTACGAAAGTAGAGCCATTCCGCTGCGGAAATTCCGCACGTAGGACAAATTCTGCATTCCAAGTGGTTCTTCGGGTCGTTTTCCGCGGGCTCCACTAAGGGAGCATAGGGGCAGCTGCACCCTAGCATAAAACCCTCGCGGCGGTGTCCCGTGCCGTTTGTTTTCGACGAAAAAATGCAATATTCCACACTGTTGCCGTTCGAAAGTCGACGTGTACTTGGAATATCGTCGATGCGCAGAAATGCGAACCAGACCACGACCATCAAGCGACAGAACCGTATCGGATGGACGCCGGAAGAAGAAGTTGTAGCCCCGACCTGTTGGATCTTGAACTGCTGGCAGGCTTGGATTATCAAGATCAGGTGCGACAGCCTGATGCCGGTTTTCTGCTGTGGTGGCGAGCGGGCTTTCGTCAACGCTTTGAAATGCGTATGGTACTCGGACCGCATCTCGAACGTAAACGTTTTATGATTACAAAGCAGGTTCTTAATGTACGAGAAGTTGGTGCACCGGGACTGCTTTGCCGACTTCAGCTTCAAGAAATACGCACAGCAAATCCGCATGGAATAGCTGGATACGCTGTCTGGCAGTGGGCACAGGTCGCAATATTTCAGCAGACGGATGTACCTCACCTGCAGTTGTTTGCGGTACAGCCCCTGGGACTTGTTGTTCCGAAGGAAGGTCTCGTTGTAGATTTTTAAGGTGTCGGAAATTTGTTCCTCGGAGAGCTGGGCGACTGCATCAGAAAGGGGAGGGTGGAGAGGTGGGTCCTGACCTGCAGGATCCTCTTTCAAAACTAATATCCTCATGAACTCCAGGGCTTCCGCCTCCGGTAGTTCTTCCTCCTCCACTACGACGCGGCTCGCTAAATCCTTCTGCTCTTCGATTTCCGACATGAGCTGCAGCTTCCGCTTGAAACTATTGTCGTTCTTGAGTTGTTGGAAAGAAACCAAGGCGCCACTACTGTTGTCCGAGACCACGCGTGCTTCACGTGGTGCCTCCTTGTAGGGGACAAAGGTAGAGAAAGACGTCGGCTCCTTGTTGATTTTTTCTTGCGGAAAGTAAAAAGCAACATCTGCTGGATCTATGATGCCGTCGTCCGCCGGGGCCGCTAAATCTTCTGATTGGAACAACCCCAAGTCCCGCTGCGGTTGTGGTTGGGGCTGCCTAAATGCGCTGGAAGAAGAAGATGATGCGGAGGACGAGGAAGTGAAGTTGATCTGCGAGCGGTCCGCTAATTTACTCGAAATAGACATCAACAGGGAAGTGTCCTTCTCCTGAAAAGCCTGAGCCTCATCTTCAAACAAAATGGTGGGCACCGGTTTGCTAAGCTTTTGCTTTTTTCGAGGAAGAAGAAATTGCTCTTTCCCCGCGGTCATGGCTCGCGCTTCGTCCCAAATCGCATCTTTCTCGTTCTGTCGAAGTAGATCAGTAAGTCGCAACCACTTACGGGCAACCGCAAGTTTAATTTTTGGTGAAGGCGGGCAAAGGAGATCCTCGTCTTCATAATCTACCTCGGTGTCCGCAGAGTCGAAAGATGGGCGACGGGGGCGCTTGACGCGCGTGGCATCGAAAAGCGCAGGCCGAATGAAAGGTCGCCTCTTAAACTGCTCCTCCAGCAAGAGAAACTCGATGTCGTTGTCTTTTTTCTGTTTCGCAAGGTCTTCTTTTAATTGCTTGTCCCGGAGGTAGTTCGCAGCTGCTTCTGACTGCAACACAGGAGGGGCTGCGCTCTCCATAGCTGAGAGATACGAAAGCCACGACATCTTGGATTTAGACCGGTGCCTGCTGGAGGGGGAACGGCGCTCCTAGGTGGGCGATTACTACTCGGATCACACAGTCGTGAATGCTATCCTGCTCGTCAATGGGTTGGAAGTCTGGGTGGGCCTCGAACTCCGTTCTCGTACCACAGTTAACCAACCAAAGCGAGCCGTCGTTGCGGCGATCAAATCCCGCCCCAAAGGAAGCCTCCTCGCTGACCGTGTACTGCGTGTCCACGTCCGCGCAGCACGAGAAAAGCTCCCGGCTCGCTACCGGGTCGTGCCAGTCGAAACCCGCGCTACGCACCAATTGTCTCTGGAACTTCAAGTTGTGTGCCAATCTTGGCTCCAGCAGGTGGCTAGGCAGGTTGCACGGGCTGGTGAACAAGTCTGGATCGAAAAACTCCGTAAGCTGCTCCACCACTTGCGAGTAGCGGTAGTACGGCTGCTGGGAAAAGCGGAAAAAATCCGCGTCCGGAAAATCCAAACAGCAATCGAACGGGCGCAAGGTGGTGTCGCCCGTTTTTGCGTACAGCTTTCCCAACACGTAATCGTACGCCAGCTGCGCCAGAACTGATCCGACACAGGTGCTGCACTGCAAAAAACGCTTGATTTGCGTTTGCGTGAAATCTCTGATACAAAAAGTAACGTAACCCGCCAGGATGTACGGGTTTGTCGGGTGGAAAGCTGTAGCAGCTGCTGTGGCGGTATTCGCCTTGTTCTGCGGGCGCGGGACTTGGAACACTACTAAGCACCTCACAAAGCAGGTGCTGATTGTTCGGATGAAGAAGATTCCGTCGGTAGTCTGGTGTTCCCGCGGCGAATGCACCTTTTCCAACGCGAGTTTGACTCTGCGAAGGCAGCGGTGCTGGTGCAAAAATTCTGTACCGTTGTTGTACGGCGCCGTATTCAACTCGCACTGGAAAGGGACGTCCGCAATGGTGTTGCAGGAACAGAAGATGGAGTCCGGGCGGGGTGGTGGGTTATCTTGGGAATACACGTGGTTAGTTTCGCCTCTAGGAAAAATGTGTTCGTTTTCCGTAAATTCAACTGATACTACTTTAAAATATAACGGGCAAGTAAGAAAACCCTGCGAATCGTGAGTACTATCCGAGCGAGTCGAGTCTCTAGCTTCGTGACGTCTGGGTATAGGGTTTTCTTTAGCGTTATCCGCGTGGAAGTTCACAGAACTAATGTCCGAGAGCGACATCTTTTTGCACCAAAAAACTCATCTAAATTGAGACTGTCAATTTTTTGAATGGGTGGGAATTCGTCAAAAGGACGCATTCAAGAAGGGTGGGCTGAAAAAATAGAGCTTCAGCAAGGCCCCCCATTGAAGAGGGGGTAGGGCAGAAGCGGTAGATGTTCCTTACCCTTAGGTCGTGAATGCTAGAATTTAAAGATCACCTATAAATAATTATAACATTCTTCAAACACTACGCATTGCACGACGCGAACACCTCCCTTCGAGAACCTTCAACTTCTCTCAGACGCTGCATTGATCTTTCGGTGTTCGTAATGTTTTGACGTGGTAAACCGTATTTACCTGGGACAAAATTATTGTTGTGCAAGCAAAGCGCTGCGCATCATTGTTCCATGCGAAAACTGGATCACGTAGGCGCGTTTCCGCTACCAGATCGGATTTCGCAAGAGCTCAAAGAGCCTGTTCACCTGGTACAAAAGGGGGACAGCAAGAAAGCAAACATAGTGCATCTAGGGGTGCTAGTTGTACTTGAAAAGGCGTGGCGAGCCTGCTAGGCGCGGGCTTCGCTCTTTTAAAGTGCGACAAAGATTCTCGTTGCTCACACAACAAAGAGACTCATAGTAAGAGCGCTTAGTACCATAGTAAGGAGCAGCGCAGACTGCTACCGTTACATGTTGCCATTGTAACGAATAGCGAAGACTATGAGGGGAGACCGAAAACGCGGAATTTCAAAATTTTAATTTTAATCCCAATTGACTGGTGATTAAATTAAAATGCCAGTAGGCTAGCCAAAGCTATTTGAAATTGCGCGGCGGACGACCAAAAAGAAAAGGGTCGGAGAAAGGGGAGGTGGTGGGAATTCCAGACGGCATGGGCCCCGGACAGGGGGTTAAGGCCAAGAGGGAATTTATTAAAAAGATAAAAATAAAATTCCACGGAAACCGCGAAATTTTAAAAATTTATTTTTATAAGATCGTGGAGTTCTGGGGAGGGTGGGGACGAACAGTCCGCGCTCACATCGTGGCCAAGGCCAAAATTTTAACAGATGAGGCAAAGGCCAAGATTCTGAAAAAATAGAGCTTCAGCAAGGCCCCCCATTGAAGAGGGGGTAGGGCAGAAGCGGTAGATGTTCCTTACCCTTAGGTCGTGAATGCTAGCATTTAAAGATCACCTATAACCGAGTGAAGTTCGTTGTACTTAGTTGGTACTTTGCTTGTTCACCTGAAGAAAAGTTGTAGTGTCCACAACTGGGATATTCTACCCGGCAGAGGGACACGAAAAAAAGGTTGGGAACTGTTGTTGCCTGTTGGGATTTGACCACGAGACGAGATGATGTAGCTCTTCTTCGACAAATCACATAATTAAAGGAAATCGATGTTACTGTGTCTGTTTCAGATACTCCTACCATGTAACGACAACGAGTACGAGGAGGAGGCGGATTATAACAGGCGTGGAAAATGAAAGTCAAATCTTGAAATCCGTCCAAGATGGATTACACAGACTAAAATACTGGGGTGATCGTGATCACGAGCGAGCAGTAGAAATACAGACGATCCCGATGGGGACGACGAGTTGAGAGCTGTCTTTGCTTGGAACGAGAACGAAACCCACATGCACGAGGATAGTACTTTGCTTTTTTCTCAACGGTACGGCAACGCCGGGACATTCCACGATCATACATGCAACAAGTCCACGGCCCAAACGTGAACTTCTTAAGTTGTAAACAAAACATACGAATTCGAATTCTGGTGTCGCGCATTACTCAAGTACACGAAGGGCTGCCATCACTTCAGGTGAGGAGCAGTTATCGGTATCCTGTGCAAAAGTATCGCACTCGTAGTAATCGCAAACATGCATTACAAATCTTGCTCTTAAGGCAAAACTGCATTACAAATTTTATTTCTCATGCTGAGGAAATTTGTTATGCATTTATACGACTACGATACTTTTGCAGTTCATAATCGGACCATACGAAGAATTGTTCTGGACGTCGACGAGCTGTTCCAGACTATTGGCAGAGATGACACAACGTAGACGAGAACAAGAGAGAGCATGAGTAACGGGAACGGTGGATCAACATTACAAGCTGTGTATTAAGAATCACGTTCTTGAGGTCCTCGGGGTGGATCCTGCTCTTGCTCTTCTAGATAGTTGCTCTGATTTCAATAAAAGTGTTAATGCGACCGCACCGCAGTAGACTAAAGTCGAATACAGTTATTTCAAATGTTTTATCATGCACGATGACCATCTGGTGCTTCTGGTTCGGGTTCTTTTCTATTTCATTCGTACTGCGAGATTGAGGGTTTTCTATCTTCGTCATGATCTTCATGTTCATTATGCGGACAGATAATACACAACATATCGTCACTGTGAAAAATCCACGGCAAGGGCAACAACAAGGCAATGATAAATCTATTCTTCCGCCAGTCCCACCTCGGGCTCCGGGTGATCCGGCAGCTCCCTGCGCATCAGCTCATTAGTATCCACTGCAAACATGATCTTCATGCCTGGGTCTGCAATAATTCTACTACGAAGTGGAGCCTGTATTGCTTGCCTTGCACTCTCCCTGTGGGACATGATGAGTATTTCGCATGACCGGCAAAAGCGCAGCCCCCGTTCTTGAGGTCCTGTTGCTGTCCGCTACGCATGAGAAAATGTTCTCTCCGCTATTGATGCGATGCCTAGATGCACACGCTCTTCGAAGTGGTTTTCTTTTTTCCGTCATTCACAAAAATTAAATCTCGGTACACATTTTCCGCATGACAAAGAACACAAAAGAATTTATTCCAGACCCAGAGATGAAGGCACGGTCACTTGCAGTTCAGTACTCAGCCGGCTTTTTCGATTTGTAGGCCTGGTAAAGCGTCCGCGCCGCTTCCACTGCTGCACGCTGTACAATTGTTTTCGTGCAAAAATGGGTCAGCATCTGACCTACACCGCGAGGCAGAAAAAGGTCTTTGGCTGTGACGGAGATGTGGTGGAAGTTGTGTTCTTTCTCCCCCTCGTCATCTGCAACACCAGAAAACGTTCCTTCTTCCACCCTTCTAGTTCCGCCGGACATTTTGACCTTCGCTCTCCCGCGAACATTCGAGTTCGAGTTGTACCGCTTTTCATACAGCAGTAGCAATTCCCACACTTTGCGCATTTCCTTCTGCTGCAATAAGGCCCGGCTTTTCATTTTCCTCACCTATGAGAGTGCACTAGTCCTTCCCCTCGTTCTCATTTCTCATGCTAAATCGCAATTCCAGTTCCATGTTCCCTGGTCCTGGTGTCACTATTATGCATTAGCCCTACAAATTCTGCAAGCCAAAACAGTACCAGTTGTACTACACTCAGCGCAGGAACTTGTCATGCAATGGCGCCACGTGTGCCGGTGTTTGTATTGCTGCTCATGCAAGACAAATGAGGGGGAGGGGGAGTTGTGTACACTCATATCACCTTCCGCTCAAACAGCAGCGGCCGGAGCAGCTGCCAAATGTAGTGCCGCGCCTCCTCCCGCTTTCGGAAGGCGGAAAAGTCAAAGGTGGCTGCCCCACGACCTCCGTCGTGATCTTTGACCCCTTTTGAAGACGAAGATGACGGACCGTCTTGCTGTAGTTCTGAGGCAAACATTTCTCGCACTTCTTGGAACAGCGGCAGAGGACCCCGTAAATTCTCCCGGGAGATTGCGATCGTGTACGGGTATTCGGCGGTCGGGGCCGGGGGGACTTCAAAGATCGCCGCGAGGTCCGTGGTTGTACTAGTACCCGCTTGCCTTTTTTCATCTGCCTGTTCGTTTTCGACGTGTTCGTCGTCGTCGGCCATGTTGATATCAGCAGTTCTATCGTCGTGTTGTTCATCACCTTCGCTGCCAACGCGGCTTTCAGCAGTACAACTTCCACGACGCTCTGGAGGGGAAGACAAAATAGGCGACTTGAAGGGATTCAAGTGTAGGTTCGCGAAGTCGGTAACCAAGGACGCGACGCTGGTACTGGCCATAGAAAGCGGCGGTCCGCCGCCGTCCATTTGCGAACCCGGTTTGCTCTCATGCTCTGTGCCGTCCGGCACAGCTGCGGCGGGTTTATGCGAAGATTTTTCCCCGCCTTTCTTCGTCCTTGATGTCGTCCCCCCAACGCCAACCATCCACCTCGCAGGGGAACGATAAACTCTCCGAATCTGCACTGCAGTACCGGCTGGGGCGCAGTAGGTACCGAGCAAACGTCGCTGAGTCGGAGTTGTAGTTCCAGCATTACCTAGTCCTTGTTGTCCTTCTTTGAAGCACTTCTTTTTCTTCAAAATCACCCAGTCGCCCTCCCTCGGGTTGCGCATCAACCGCATCAAGTGATGCTGCAAGTGCACTTCGAAAAACCGCCAGACTGCGTCTTTCCGAAACGAATCGTGAAAAAAATCCACTTCGGCTTTTTGTCTTTCTCGATCGGCTTTTTTACTATTGCCATTGCCCCCTCCAGGTGGTGGCGGTGGTGCTCCTGGTCCAGGTCCTGGTCTTGCTTGTCCTGTTCCCTTTCCACTTTTCCCTTTCTCGCCAGCAATGGAATTTCCATAAACCTTCTGAAAGTCCTGATCTCCAAACGCTTTGAATTCCGGCCGCCGCTCGATCTTCACCGTGCCCCAACGGATCACCTTTTGCTGGTGGTTGTTCGGGTCGTATTCTAGCTTGGACAGTATGGAGCTCTCAAGCGACGTTAGCTGCTTCTCAACTGGTTTTACGTGAATTTCTAATGCAAAAATAGCAAAATTGGTCACGGGTATTTTCATTTTTTTCTTTTTGCGCCTTATCTTGCATTTGCAACAAGGTCAGGGCACGGGGGCGGGGGCCCCCGTGCAGCGACCTTCCCACCCTTTGCAGGACGTGGCGCACGTAGATACGTGGACAGCACGCCAGAAATTTCGAAGCTTTGCGCTATACTGAAAGCAAGAGGCCGGTCGCAGAGTCCCCGCGCCGACCTAGGGCGTTTGCGCCTGGGCCGTACGGCTCCCGGGAATCGCTTCCATCCAGCTGGCCCCTAGGTCATGACGCGGGGACAGAGTCCCCGCGCTGACTTAGGGCTTTTGCCCCGGGGCCGTGTTCGGGAAGGGGAAGCGCTTGCAGCTGGCCCCTAGGTCATGGCGCGGGGACAGAGTCCCCGCGCTGACCTAGGGCTTTTGCCCCTGGGCCGCACGCTCGCAATCCGGGAAGCGCTGAAAGCTAGCCCCTAGGTCATGGCGCGGGGACAGAGTCCCCGCGCTGACCTGGGGCTTTTACCCCTGGGCCATGCGGTGTCCGGGCCGGGCCCGCGACTAGGTAGCCTCTCCGTCATGTGATGACGCTCGTTGGGACAGGGTCTCCCCGTTTGCCTAGGGGTTTTGCGCCCGGGCCATGGGGTGTTCCATCCGGGATGCAGGCGCCCAAAGCTCGCCCCCCGGTCATGGCGCGGGCGCAGAGTCCTCGCGTTGGCCTTGGGCACTTGCCCGGCCGGCCGTGGGCCGTGCCAGCCTGCGGTGCCCGGGAGGCGCTCTCAAATGTTTGGAGGTGGCGCCACCGCGGGGGCCCATGCCCACACGGGGGCGGGGCCGCCTATGGGGGTTCGGGAGGTCCGCCTCCTGGAATGTTTGCGCGCCCATCGCTCTCTGTGCCTGCGCGTTATCGCCAAGCGGGCCCACTGTTGTGCTTGGTCTGGAATAAAAGCCGAGGCGCCCGGCGTTCTTGGTCTGGGTGGTGGCAAGTATGCAGAGAATAAAAGGAGCCCCCTGTGGCCCTTCGCCTCCGTGTTATTTATGTGCTATCTCTGCAGAAAAGCGCAGGGCCCATAGATACACGCCCATCTTTCTCAGTCGGGCGCGCGCTTGTTTTGTCGGCGCAGAAAAGGCACCCGCGTGGGGCTTGGTAGATCGGCGCGCCCGGAATGTCTACGCACGCGAAAACCAACAGCAAACTAACACATCCCAAGGCGCGGCGAGTGGGTTCGCGGGGTCCACCCCCCCGAGTGGGCCTGCTTACCTGTGTTGACACTCGCTGGCCATGCCATTCGGAGTCGCGCCCGAACGCGCCCAGGATCTGTTCGGGGACGATGTGCCCGGCTTTTATTTTCCCGAGGTGTGTTCGGGAGTGTGCCCCGGGGTTTGCCTGGGGTGTGTCGGGTGTTTGTGTGTGTGTGTGTGTGTCGGGGGTGTGGGCCGGGGGTGTGTCTGGGGTATGTCGGGGGTGTTTCTGGGGTGTGTCTGGGGTGCGTCTGGGGTGTGTGTGGGGTGTGTTCGGGGTGTGGGCTGCAAATTGCAAATCACGATGCTACGCAGTCACTTTGCATACCTCAGAACACACCCCAAAGCTTCAGCAGTTCTTGTCGGGGGGTGTGTGTCTGGGGTGTGTCGGGGGTGTGTCTGGGGTATGTTTTGGGGTGTGGCCTGCAAATTACGAATCCCGATGCTATGCAGCCACTTTGCATACCCCAGAACATACCCCAAAGCTTCAAAAGTTCTGGCTTGCTGCAGTCTAAATAGTAATTACAAAAGTTTACAAAAGTGCAAACGGATTTCCATGCTATTCACCCCTTGGAGAATTTGTTATGCGAGCCAACTGCGTTGTATGGACGCTGATCCTGGTAATTTTGCATGGCAGATCATGCAACACAACTTCTGAGAATGTAACGTCTGAGAGTCCCATAGAAAGAACCTTCTCCCTGTAAACTTCGACCACAAGGTTCACGTACCGGATATGCATTGCAAAAGTATCGCTTCGCACACGCACACTGACTTCTCGGTAGTATAATTTGCGTGACAAGGTCGACAAAATATGAATGTGAAATTTCAATTTGTCATGCGGACTGAGGGAGAAAACTATATCTGTCATGCATACTTGCATTCAGTGCAGTCTTGCTTTTAACAATACTTTTCCACATGATACCGGACCAGTTCCAGCATATCCAAGCCCTGGCTCGGCAGCCGGCACTGCGCGACCACGCCCGTGGTTGCGGCTTCGAATAGGGGCTGTAAGTCTTTCAATTCTTTCAAATCATCCGCCATGGTGCGGAAGGAAGGCGACCCAGCAGCCGGTGGTGCTGGTGCTCCTGCAGTTGTTTCGGACGTGTTATGCATTGCAAAAGTATTGTACTCGTATAAATGCATTAAAAATTTCCTCACCATGAGGAATAAAATTTGTAATGCGTATTCTACTTAACAAAAAGATTTGTAATGCATGACTGCAATACGAATACGATACTTTTGCACAGGATACGTGTCGTGTGGCGCCAAATTTTCCGCCTTCCGCTCGGGGCGGGTGGAGGTGGTAAAAAGGGGAAACGCGAGAATTTCCTATACATGGCAAATATGTCTGGGCGGTCTAGAAGGTTGCAACTTGTCATGCTAAGTCTGGATTGTGAAAAAATCTGTGTTGCATGGCTACCAAAATCTGTCTACTTTTGACCAATTCGCGAGGAAGTTTCTCATGCGGGCTAGGCATGAGAAAGATCTCGCAGGATCTGTCATGTTATGTCCTGCACGCCAGACCTCATGGGTCATGGGAAACCTGCATGACAAGTCTCCCAATCTTCCAGACCCAGACATAGTTGCATTCCATATTTCCGAAATCTTTACTATGTCCCGTCCAAGTGCCTGCAGAGGCGAGCGGGATGAAGAAGATGATGTCGTCCCCTGCTGATGATCCGCATCCGCTTGTTGATGTACTACTGCTCCCGAAGGAGCAGGAGGTGCAGGTTCCGTGAGCACTTCGAAGTTGTATCCCACATGCCCCTGCAGGACAAAGGCCCAGATCTGCAGCTTACTCGTGGATTGCAGCAGCTTCAGCAGTTTGGTTGCGTCTTCCGGCGCGGAGAGAGTAAGCTCCTTCGCGCCGGGGGGGCGCGGCTCTCGTCCGGGTCGTGGTTCTAGAATGGATGATGCTTCTGGTCTATGAAATGCAAAAATGTCTGGGTCTTGATGCTAAAATGCGCATGATGAAAACACTTCCGAATGCAGTCCGGCATGACAACTTCCCAAAACGCTTTCTCATAGGCAATCCGCATGAGAAACTCCGTTTTTGCATGACAAAAGAGGCTGCGACTTTTGTTCGTTACGCAATACAGATTTTCTAGGTATGGAGAGCTAGCATTACAAGTCCCAACCTTCCAGACCCAGACATTTTTACAATCCATATGGTCTGTCCCTTCGAATTTCGTTTTCCCGCCAGGTTTCCAGCACGTCCGGGAGCAGAAGTTGGATGAAAAAAAGAAGAAATGTGGAAATGAGAAATCCCCCCTTCCGCAAATTCGAGACACGAGATACAGTGTACACAAATCAGCTCTGTACCGCAGGAAGAGCTCGTAGGCACCATCCTGTCGGCTTCTACTACAACCTGATAGATTGGGTACAACAGTGCAAGAACCGGCTATAATTATACCAATGGAGCATCACAAACATTTTCGACATCATGGGCGCAGACAAAACACACGACAGATTGGTTCTACAATGCGCCAAAACATGGCTCCCCTGAATATTTTTTCCCCGGTCCTCTGCAACACCGAGCCGACAGTTGTGGCCACAAGTCAACAGAATCACACGTTTTTTCCCTTTTGAGAATGGCAATGGGGAGAAGGGATCATTTTTCCGCACAATAAAAGTTTTCCCGTCCTCGTACTTGCCCGTCGTGCCTGTGGCGTGCTGTCTTTGCTCAGAAAGAACCTGGTTGATGTTCTTGTTTGTTCTCCCGTATCAAATGTAAAAATGTCTGGGTCTGGAAAAATGCATGTTTGTCATGCTTGTCTGGCATGACTCTTAAATCTGTCACGCACGTTACCCAAGAGCTCCATTTTTCTGTGATGCAGGAACGCAGTTTGTCATGCATAATAGGCAACAGCTAGAAGCTCAGAAACTTGTCATGCTGAGCCAGCATTTGTGGCCTCATCATGAGACGCCACCCAGCATCACAAGTTTCCAGACCCAGACACTTTTGCATTTGATATCCCGTCAGTCACAACCAAATGCCGCGGGACGAGCGCTATGTCGGACGGCCAATTTTCCATTTTCGGGAGCGCGGTCAAAACGGCGAGGTTGTTTTGCTGCGTTCGAATCTTCGTCGACCGCCACTTACTCACGATCTGCTCCAAATAACCAAGTTGTGTTCTTCTACTTGCACGTGCTGGTTCTCCTTGGAACGATCCTGAATCATCGACCGACATCGAGGGGACATCGACAAACCGCAGTTTCAAAAATTCCGCACACTTTTCGGTCAAAACTCTATGCAGCCAAGCAGTATCCGCTTTCACGTACAGTCTCTTCTGGGCCTCCAAGAAAGAACCCAGGACGTAAAGCTCCGGGTTCTGGTCGTGGATTTCTCGTGCGAGACTTCTGATCTGCTCGCCCACCCCCGGCGTGACAAACCTTGTCATCACGGCCCGCGTCAGACTGTCGACCACGTCGCTCGGACCACCGTAGGGGTGCGGGTAATCCTCGGCTTTGACAATGATCTTCGGAAGTTCAAGTTCATCTGGAAGGTCGAGGTTTGTCTCCTTACTGGGAAAAGAGGACGACGAAACGGGTTCAGATGTTGCACTTGCAGAACTTCCCTCCGCTGATTTTTCTTGTGAAGGCCGTGATGCCCTCGCTTCAACAGGCATGCGCGGGGGAGGTTCGGGGTCGAAGCTACGTTGCTCTCCCGTGTGCGTGTCGTTTCTTCTTTCGTTTTGTTCTGTGGGAGAGTGAGCAACGGTGTCCTCAGTCCTTTCTGCGGAATCACGAACGTCAACATGACCATCGTCTGACGCGCTCGTGCCAGTAGCCCCCGAGGCAGAATCATAAAACCAGCTTCCGAAAAAAGACCCGAAAGAACCCGATCGTGTATTTTTGTTCCCGATTTCGTGGGTCCTTTGTTCCAGCCCAGGATCTGCTTCCTTACTTTTTCCAAGCCCCGGCGTTGCACCGCGACGGCCCGTTTCATGTTTTTCCTCTTCCTTCAAAAGATTCAACTGTTCATGCGCGAGTAGGATTGGGTGGCACCCATTCCTAACTGTTTGCTCTTCCTGCCCGTCGGCCGCCCTTGCTCCTTCGCAAGTTTCGCGCAGCCACGATTTTTCTCCCAACCCCCGTTTAGTAGAACCTTTAGGACTTCTATCCCCGTTGTCCAGAACAACATTCTGCTCGCCGGTGTTTTGATGTTCCGCTTCCAAAATCGGCGCACCACGACGAGTATGGATTGCAAAAATGTCTGGGTCTGGAAAGAATGGAATTTGTGATGCTAACTCTCGATGATGCAAAAACCTGTATTGCATGAGCAGCAAACGGAACTCAGTTTTTTGCTATTCTGAGAAGGTATTTCTCATGCAGTATAGGAATGAGAAAGCCTTCACAAAACCTGTAATGCGAAAGCATGCATCACCGACATCCCAGGTCGTGTAGAATTTGCATGACAAACTCCCCCAATCTTCCAGACCCAGACATTTTTACAGTTGATAACGAGCTTCTTCTTCTTCTTCTTTTCTCTTCGCGACATCCAAATGATACCCTCGGCAAAGTTTCTCTTCGCTCAGTTTCGCGTACAGCAGCCAGAGACTCGCCACGTCTTCCGCGATGGCAAATTGGTCCAGGTTTTTCCCGTTCTCTGCCGGCACGTAGTCTTTCAGTTGCAACTGCTTCTCGGGAGAGGGGAAAATCTCATCTACGACAGAGTCTTGTTGCCCGGATTTCTTCAGATCGTCTTCGTTTGGTGCTGCTGTGGCTACAGTATCCGACATATCAAATGTAAAAGTGTCTGGGACTGGAAGAATGCAAGTTTGTCGCGCTTGTCTGGCATGACTCTTAAATCTGTCATGCACATTACCAAAGAGCCTCGCTTTTCTGTCATGCAGAAACGTAGTTTGTCATGCAGAATAGGCAACACCTAGAAGCTCAGAAACTTGTCATGCTGAGCCAGCAATTGTGGCCTCCTCATGATATGCCACACAGCATCACAAGTTTCCAGACCCAGACACTTTTACATTTGATACGACACGGCTTTATGCAGCTCCGCGGCCTTTTGTAGAACGTACCGCCACTTGCGCAGGAAGTCGTCCTCGCCCGGTATCCAGAGGGAAAGTTGCCCCTCCCCATATCAAAAAGGCATGCTTCCGCAAATTTGTCTTGCTGATTTGAGACCACAAATCGCGTCTGTCTTGCAAGAAGACAAACGCAGAGGCTTCCGCGCCATTATGGAAGCGATTTGGCATGCTATTGGGCCTAGGGGAGAGCCGTTTGTAATGCTAAGCACCTAGACCCAAATGTCCCTCCGTAGGCTGCGGATCAGGCTGCGACGCCGTCTTGCAAGACAGCGCGCATTTGTGTACACAAATCCTGCATCACAGATTTCCCATTTGATATGGGGTGGGGGCTTTTTTCATTTTGATGCCCGGTTTTCTTCCGCCACTGGATATCGTTCCGGTTGTGCTGCTACTAGGCTGGTCGTGTGCTCCTCCGTGGTGGTCGTGGTGGGTCGTCCCTCTCTGTCCCTCATCCTTTGCAAGTGGTTCCTCGTGTTTGTCACGACCCGCGACCGGAGTTTTGCGCCACGGAAAGGAAAACGCGAGCGGAGAAGCAGAACTTCTACTTTTTGATGGAACTTTATCAAGATTGGGATTTTTCACTTTTTTCGTGCTGCTCCTCGGAGAACCACGACCCGCATCTTCGGCAACGCCTCCGGTTGCATCAAAGTCAAGAACTTCTATCGGCACCAGGATTTGCTTCCACTCAGAACCCATGCGAGGACTAGTACCTATGTTGGCGGGGTGGTAGTCGAACACGGGTGCGTAATACTCCGGGAAGAAAAGCTCGAAAGTTGATGTTGATGTAGCTGGCTCACCACTAGAAGAAGTACCCACGTCGCTTTTGGTAGTCTCCTTGAACATGTTGATATGATCTCTATGCTGGTTTCCATTCTCCTGTTTTGATGTTCTCCCGCGGATCTCCGAACTTGATAATCTGCCCACTCTGGACCGCAGAAACTCTTCGGTCACGCGCTCGTGGTAGGATTTTTTACCTCTGGCGAAGAAGTAGACCGTTTCAGGTTGGTTCGCTGTCTCGCTACCGAGGACACCGGCTTCAGTTTTGGCGCGAGTGACATGTTGATCTGTGTCGTTTGCCAAAGTTGATGATGATGGTCGTGGTTCACTTGTTCCAGCACTAGAACTATGCTGTGGCTGCACAGCTGTAGGGTTCTTTTCTGTTCTCTCGTCTCTACCGTCTTCTGATATTCGATCCAATGTAATACTTCGGTCTGGCTCTATTTTTACTTCGTCTTCGCCCACCACCACGCTCTCCGCGACTACTTCCTCACCGAGCAACTCGCCGATGGTGACAAAGGGAATCCCGGGCTCTTGACGTTCCTCCGTCAGCGTCATCGTGGAGAAGAACGCGTAAAAGTACGTCCCAAGGGGTTCAAACGGCACGCACTTCACATTTTGGATGTTTGCTGCGCTGGTTTGCCCGTAGTGGTTGTGTAGGTTGTCGGGGAGGTATGCATCGCAAACATGTATCCATGGGTCTGGAAGATTGCAAAGGCTGTCATACGGTTTTTGTGTGACCCGGGAACAAGTCTGGTATCAATGCAAGTCGTGGCGTCATCACGGATCTTGAGCAGGATTCATTGTCACTGCCTGATCCGCATGACAATGACATCGGTCCGCATGACAAATTTCCTGTTCTTTCGGTGACAAGAAGTAGGCAACTTTTGACCCTAGTGCCGTCCAGCACGGAAAACAACACGTAGTTCTGGTGTGGTTTGCATCCCTCCACACCCAGACCATGTATCTGCAATGCATAGGAGGCCGATACTCACGATGTACTGGATGAAATTCACAAGAGGCTCGAAATCCGCGGCCTGCAACAAGTCGGACAGGTACTCGACCGAAAGGAGATATTCGGTGAAGATAACGAACTCCTCAAGCGCAGAAAATTTGATATCATATAACCTGTGCGGCGGATAATCATTATGTGGAAATAATTCCTGCAGCACGTTGGCTTGGAACTGCCTGTACAGTTCGTGCACGAGATAGGAAAGCATCTGCTGCTCCATTTTTTTGCGATTTTCTTTTTCCGCACCGCCGGTGTGTTGATGGTGCACTCCTGCTTGTTGTCCTCCTTTGATGTTCCACTTTTCGAATTGGGCAGTTATTTCACCACCGGTAGTTTTCTGCCAATTTTCGTTCAAAACGAGTTCAAGCAACGATAAACTGCTCTTGTCGTCTTTCATCATGTAGTGTCGTGCTTCATTTGCTGCGTCGTCCTGTTGTGTAATTCTTCTTTCATTTTGTCTTCTACTTCTACCTGAAGATGTGTCTCGATTTCTACCACCATTTTCCTCTAGCTGGTCACTTGCGTCTTCTTTGTCGAGGACTTTCATCCGGTCGTTATTTCTTTTCTCCGAGTTCTTGTGCAGAACTTTCACTGCCTTCAGGGACAACTGGCGTAGCGCGGCTTCCCGTCGGGCCCGTGTACTTCTACTGTGCTCGGGGATTTTTGCTTTTCCCGTCGGTGGTGGTGCTGGCCCAGCACGCGCATCCATTGTCACCTCGTGGTGAAAGATTTCTGCTAGATCGGATAAAAGCTCCTTTAAGTGGATCTTCGTGTAGTTGCTGTTGCCCAGGGAGGTGGCTCTTCGTTCATCATCATATTTGATTCTAAACTCTTCATCTTCAAGAGAATTATGAGAAGCGTTGTCAACATCATCATCTCCGGAGTGAGGCTCCTCTGGACGGCCCCGGTGCTGTCCCGCAGGTGGTGCCCGTGGTTGCGTGCCGCTCGTACTTACGTGGTCCCCGCTCAACGTCGTATCAGCCGGTAGTACTTCTACTGGCGATGAACTAACTAGTCTCCGGGAGGAAAACGAGATCAAGTTTCGCGCCAGCCTCCTGGACAATTTCTCCAGCACCTCGTGATGCTCCAGCGCCCAATCTTGGATCATTCCGTACCTTTCCTCAGCGGTGACGGTCGGGTCTTGCTTCCAGGGATACGACGCCCACACGTGGTCGTACTGCAGAAACGCCCGCGCCGACCCGAACCCGCGGGGACACGTCGAGGAAGGACTACTTTTGCCCGCGTCCTTGTTACTCCCCGCTGCCTGCTGCTGTTCCTGTGCAGACCGGGGATGTTGCTCGTCCTCCTGGCTATAGTTCGTTCCTATTCCTGTAGAAGCTGTTTTATTTTTCTCAGCTTCTTGTTTCATCTGGATCTGTTCTTCTTCGGTAAGAGTTGCGGTCCAATCGGTATGGTCTATCGGATTGAAACGCGCCCCCACGACTCCGGATCATAAGTAACTGCCGCCTGGTATATGCATCAGCATGGTAGATTTTCGAGCCAGAGCAGCTAAATCCTGTGTCGCACAGCGCCCCAGAATAAGCGATAGATCACCAGATTCAGATCTGTCATGTTGAAAGCTTGCACAACTGGCTTGGATTCTGACACAAAATGGCTCGCGTCAATATTCCTTCATGCAACACGAAAGGAAAAGAGTTGCTCACGTGGAAAGATTATGCAATACGAATACAAACAGTTCAGTCATCTGGTGGTGGGGCACTTTTCATTTGGATATGGTCGCGCAAGTCTTCCCAGAGAAAAACATTCTCCACCCCGTAACTACCGTGTTGAAAGCTTCCTCCGTATCCCGAGTGAAAACGCCCCGAGCCCAGACTTTTGCCATGCATATTTGCAGTCTTTACAGAAACATTTGAATTTGAAAAAAAATTAACCGCATTACCGTGTGAGTCAGCTGTTCTTGCTAACCTTCACTACACTCCTGGTAGAGGTAGACCACGCTTGTCATGCGTGAAGAATGATTTTGGGAAGATGGAAACGTTTTTACACGACCGGATACTCCAGGGTGCTTCATCACGCTACTTTCCAGCTTCGCGCCGACGCTGGGCTTGGAGTGCTTGAAAAACATGAGCTCTTGCATATGACCTGCTCAAACGTTACAATCTCAAACGTTACAATAGAGTCTGAAATTTGTCTTGCATGATGAACATGACAGACTCGCACAGCATTCCACTTTCTGCAATACAAATTTCGCCAGATTGTAGTGCCGCGGATTGGGACTCCAGAACTTGTCACGCGCATTCCCATGAGAGTTGGCTAGATCATGCACTCTGGCATCACAGATTTCCATATTCTATTGCAACGCTTGAGATTGTAACAGCTGAGCGGGTTATATTGCACCCGCTGGTTGACCAGCTCGTCGGCCCAAGCGAGTGCCTGCGGCTTGGATATCAAATGCAAAAATATCTGGGTCTGGAAGGATGCGAACTTGTGATGCATACTGGGATCACGCAAAAATCTGTCATGCTTTGACAGCAGAGGGAGCTCCTTTTCCATCCTGTCGCCGAAAGAAGGTGTTCTTTGTCATGCGGATTAAGCATGGGGCAACCGTTTCAAAACCTGCGATGCTAGGCCTTGCATGGCACACCTTCCGTGTCAAGCAGACACAGCATCACAAACCTCAGCAATCTTCCGGATCCAGACATTGACACCATTTTTGCGATGCATATTGGACCGCCAACTACGAAGGGCGAAGGAGTGTGTCTCTGACGCATACTGAGGTTGATCCCAGGTCGGGAAAAACGGAAGGGGGTTCTGGTCGTCGAGTAGTAGACTTTCTTGTTCTACTTCTTCGGCTGCTGCTGCTGTTCCGCCGTCTGCCGTCAAAGGGACGCCTCGATAATTTTGCCCGGCAATTCTAGCCGTTTTACCCTGCAGCTGGCCACTTTGCAAGGCCAAAAATGTGTCCAAGTCCAGGTCTACTGGTTCGGCCGGAAGAGTTGTACTAGCAGGACCTCCCTCGTCCTCCCTGCTTGGCGTGGCAGTGGCTTTCGTCCCTCCGCCGCTGCTGCTGCTGGTTTCTTCTACTTCCACGGGCGCAGCTTCATCTGTTTTCGCCGTATTCTGTCGGGTTGCTTTGTTCCCCAAAACTTCTACCGCGCCACCCGCTGCAGCAGCTTCTTCAGGTGTCGCTCGGTGTTCCGGTTTCCCCTCACCTGTGGTCGCATGATTTTCCGCCGCCGTGCTGTAATCGGAGGAAGTTGGTCTTGTTGGCCCAGGAGGAGCAGCACTACTACTGCCCGCTTGGTCATCCCCCGTCTCTTTCCCAGAAGATACACTCCGGGTTGCAAGGTATCTCCCGAACTCCTCGGGGCCTGAGAAATGACGAATGCGCTGTCCTCCTCCCGCGATTGAAGATGTAGCTCCCATCATCGCGGCTTCCAAATTTCTACCTATATCCCCTTCGGGGAATTCAATCACCGAGATCGCAGCTTCTCGCGCTCCGATGAAAGAACTCGGCTCTTGTTCATTTTGTCGTTGTACTTGTTCTGCGACGGGCTGCAAGATTCTCCTGCGTTCTTCCACACCCTCCGGCACTGCCGTCGTCGCGGAGCTTAATATGTGTATGGGACGGGTCGCGAGGGACAAGTCGTCGACATCGTGTCTCTTCTTGTCAGCTGCATCGGCTACAAATTCAGCATCTTTGATCTCTGTCTGTGCCGTTGTTCGTGTTCCCCTCACGACCGCGTGGGGCTGCGCGACCTGTTCTTCTTTCTTCTCGCCCTCAGAAGCTTTCGGCGTAATAGAAGAGGACCGCGGTGACCGTAAAAAATCGGTCGCTTCCCGTTCCAAATCCTGCAAGACCGCGTCACTCACGTAATGTTTGCTGGGGTCAAGATTCAGCAACGAAGCGACAAACGGCGTGGAGGCACCGCGCAAGTGAGAAGAAGTTGATGCTGGACAAAGTCCCTGCTCCCCTCCGCAGCTCTTTTGGCAATTCATTTCGACGTCTTCGGGCTCCGCTGCGGTCGTGGTGCTGTTGGCGTTATTAATACAACCGCACAGACTATCGTGAGAAAAAACTGTTTCACTGTGAACTTGTGATGCAGAAAATGGAACACAGAACTCTTTGTCTTGCTACACCTGCAAGGCATTGGATTTAAGCGTGTTTTCCCTTGGGAAGCGCGCATGACAAATTTTCAGTCTCATGTGTAGCAAACTTGTGATGCAGATCTTGCAAAGTCATCACAGTGAAACACTTTTTTCGTACGATACAGACCGAAATTGTCCATTTTCCGCTCCAGATCCAACGGCGAGAGCAAAAGGTGACAGGACTGCTCTAGGGCAGAAGAAGAAGATTGCCACAATGTACTTTTCATCCAAATTACCCCTTCTGACTGTTCTTGTTGTGCACTACACAAATCACACTTTCCTTCCCCCAACTGGAGGTCGTGATCGTGTCCACCCTGCTCATACCCGCGGCCGCCCTCCAGACAGACCAGCTGGGCCTGGCGCCAGGTCACCAGAAAAGCGCAGGCCAAGGCCGTGCCCCGCCGCAGCCGCAGTTTACACTTCTCGCGCCACTCGAGGGCGCGTCGGGCGGCCTGTCGGTTTTCCTCCTGCTTTTGCAGCAGCTCCTGCCGCTGCTGCTTCTTCGACTTGATGCCCGTAGTTGGTGGGGGGACCAGGCGTGATAATCCAGACGTTGGTTGTAATGGTGCAGCAGCACTCCCAGATGAACAAGATTCTCGGAGCTGCGGAGAGGAAACGGACAGATCCTGTCCAAAAATCGCGGTTCCGCTACGTGCTCCGTCTAGGCTTCGAACTTGATCACCAACAAGGGCCGAGGGAGCCGCACGAGGATGGTGCCTGCTTGCGGGATAAAGGCCCTTAGCCCGGAAATCCCAACGCGGGGCGACCGTTTCTGCCAGGTCAAACCGACCACCTGGTGTGTTCAAGCACGAAGGGACATCAATAAATGGCACCGACAAATCGAAGTCTTCGGCTTCTTGTGGAGGTCCTGACGAGGAACCATAATGCCTCGCCCACCTCCCTGACGCCCCGGGTACTGCAATGGCGCCTGCTGCAGACTTCGCCCGCCGACAACACAAACGCACCTGGTCGCGCAGCTGCTGCAGCTCCTGCTCAAACTCTGCGTCGGACGACTCCGTCTCCTCCGACCGCCTATCAGAAGTACTACTAGGGGCACTATCTTTCACACTATTCGACGAAGGAGTATGATTTTCAGCTTGTGAAATAAATGCTGCATTGGAGCTGAACCTACCTCCCCGCGGACCCTCTCGTTCCTGCCACATTCTGTTTGCCACCAAGGTTGCTTTCGCCTGGGCCATCGCCCGGTAATCTGCCTGGGACCTTTCATGGCCTGCGCTCGGTAGTAGACCAGGTTTCGAGAGTGTGTGATGGCTATGGCTCGTGCTCGTCGTGCTGCCGCCGGGAGCATTCTTTGGTGCACCAGCGCCTGGTAGTTGTACTACACTGGCGGGAGAATTCATCTTATGCCCGAACTGCCCTCCGGACGTCCCGCCAAGTGCATCGTCTGGGTAGTTGTGTCTGTAGTAGTACCCATCCTCCGGTAGCAAACTGTCACTTTGCGGCCCCACAGCACTCGCATAGAAAACCTCTGCCTCGCCCTCGCCTTCGACTTCGCTCCGCCCGCCGGCAAGAACTACAGGTGAAACCCGCACGGGGAGGCCGGCCGCTGGGAAGCGAACGGACCGTGTTGACGAGATGCCTGCTCGACGTCCGGGTTTGACTGCGCTGGTCGTAGCGGCGGAAAATACTGCTACAACTGCGATCGCTGCCACGGTCGTGGACCTGCGCAGGGGAAGGGCCATGGCACCGGGCATCAACATCCTCCGGTGGGGTCGAAGCCTTCTACTGGGTCAGGTGAATTAGGCTCCCCATAGCAGCTTCACAGTGAAGCAAAAATTTTTCGTCCCGGCGGATGCTGCTTTCATAAAGTGCGGCTGCCACGTCGACAGCGTCCTTTATTTATCGAGACACTGAAGTAAAAAGCGCACTTTCATATCATGCTCGCCACTGTTCACTTGACGAGATGCGGCATTCTTGAGTTACTTTTGGATTAACATCGGTTATCCGAAAAAAGAAAGCAAGAAAAAGTGAATAACTTGTTGCAAAAGGCCAAAAGGACGAAGAGCAAGAGCCGACCTGCGACGAAGGTAGAAGATAAAGATTTAAGTGGATGCAAAACAACAAAATATTGTCGCTGTCAGATCTGTATGCCTGTCATACAATGTGGATGCGTGTCGTGCTAGTTCTGTGCGGCGTCTTCTAGGTGAGAACGAGATTGCTCAAAACGATATTCTCTGGCTCACCTGCACAGGTCGATATCTAAATTCTTGAAGCTGTAGCTCCAGATAGTAGAGGCGGATCAACCATAGTGGAGATCTTCAAAGAGAGTAGCTTTATACATATCGTTAAACACAGCTGCGCCGCGCTTTTGCGTGATTGCAGCCGCCCTTGTGCATGAGTCCACCAAAGTAAGGGAAAAACGAACCACGCTCGTAGCAGGTACAGAATTCTAGATCTTTATGATGTCGTGTCAGTCCTCCATCTTCATGCTCATGGAATGTATAGTATACTACTCGAAGCAGAGCCAACAGAGACGATTCTTGATGATCAAGCTGAGTGCACAAAATCACTTTCTTCAGATCGCACGAAGAACCAGACCAGGGCCGTCGATATTGAAACATAGTAAAATCCCGGTGCTCCATGCCTTGTTTTGCACGAGATTGTGTCACACACGAACACGTTGTAACTACCGAAAGCAAACGAAAACATAAACCAGACCGAGATTCAGTCGAGACCGAAAAGAATACTGTGTGTCAGACACGAAAATGAGCGCAACGAAGCGAGATGGTGGCCGCACCACCAGACATCAGCATATAAAACGTCTGACGAAGAGCGATCAACCTCTTGCACCGAAGAAATTCAAACTAGACATGCAACCTCGAAAGCCAAAACGGAAACCAAACTACGCTGAACATGTGCTGGGAATCCAGAAATCTTGAAACCTCCTTAGATCTACTCATAGATGAATGACGGAACAGCAACAGAGAGTCAAAACTAGCAAGAGCCGATGCAGCTGACTGGGCTCGCTGGCGCGCAAAGGCAAAGAAATGTTTTTCTCATGAGGGGATAAAGGGGTACAGCGCAGAGAAGTGCATCTTCAGCTTCGTTTGGTACAACTTCCGCATCTGACGTGACAAAACGCAACGAATCTTCGCCAGTGTCACTTTTCCTAGTTGCGCTAAATCTTCTGATATATTATACTTGTAGTAGTACCATCAAGAAGGAGAGAACTTCCAGTCGAAAACAGACCAGCGCCGCAAGCAGCTGTCCTGTGTTTCAAGCAGAGTTGCAGCTGCTCTGAAAATTAAGGAAGGGGATTACTGTTGTATGTTGAAATGAATAAGAAGCTCCGGAAAGATCTCGTGGGGGAAAACTTACAGATGAGTCCGATTGGAGTAGGGGGTACTGAATGCGGGCTCCGACATTGTTACGTGCTTACTTATCGAAATAGTTATAGTTTGTAAAACGATATGTTGCATCAATGTGAAATCAAAATGTGAAGTCTGAGTAGATGTAAAATGATATGCAATTCATCAGTGCGTGCAGAGCTTATCTTTCTCATAGCGTGCTGGACGTCGTTCCGCGAATGAGCGAGATGCAAAATTGAAGTTGCGCAAATGTGTCACTAGAGGAAATGTGTATGCAACATAAATAAGGATGAATAAAATTGCGTGTTGGCGCTCCTTATACGAAGCAAACCTTTGCTTAGACTTGTTGCACTCTCCGACGACCGAATTGTTGCAAGAATGAATTTGCTGCAAACTACTCGGAGAAAAAGTACGATTAAGGTGTAGGAAGTAGATGCAAAATCAGAGTTTAAGTAGGTCACTGTAGCCGGTGCCGGAGCGAATGCGAACTGCTAGGAAGAAGAAGAAGATCAAGATATTATAAAAAGGTTGAGGTTGTGAAAAAATAAAGTGATTGTCGAAGACACGTCTCCAACTATAGTACCAGTAGCACAACTTTGATGAAAAGCGACATGGCGTCGCCGGCCGCTCCACTTTCTCCTCGAGCGGCTTCTGTTCTTCTGTCCCATGATTTTTACACCGTGAGAAAAGCTTCGGCACCCGGGTCCGGCGCGAAGTCGCGGGCACTGGCAGGAGGATGGAAAAACCCCAGGCTGTCCTCGCCCGGCACGGGAACTGGGTCCGACCCGTCGTCTTGTTGGGCGGACGGCGCTGCGAGAAAAGCCGCAGCGCCGGCGCCAACTTCGCGGTGGTCTTCCGTAGGAGGGCCTCCCCCATATGGATTGCAAAAGTGTCTGGGTCTGGAAGAATCCGAGATCTGTCATGCAGTTTTTACCCGACCAAGATCGTCTGACATGCACGCTCCAGCATCACAGACTTTGAGCACTTATCCCAATGCCTAATCATCATGACAAACCCCCTCTCTTGCAAACAAGAAATGGGGCTTCTTGCTAGCCATGCATGACAAATTTTGTCATATTAATGTAGACTTCGCATCACAAATTGGAATCCGTCCAGACCCAGACATTTTTGCATTTGATACCCCAGTTTCTTGCACGAAAGACGAGCAGCAGCCGTCCTCCGCAGCGGGCGTCGGAGCCGGGGCCACCTGCACGGCCGGTGGCGCAGGCGGATCGCGGCCCGGGCCCGGCGTCGGGCTTGGGCTCCGATTGGCTTCCTCGGCGGGGGCCATGTTCTCCGTGCTCGGGCTCGGCGCCGGACTTGTTGTAGTCGGCGCCGGACTTGTCGTCGGACTTGTAGTAGGCGGCGCCGGACTTGTCGTCGGACTTGTAGTAGGCGGCGCCGGACTTGTCGTCGGACTTGTAGTAGGCGGCGCCGGACTTGTCGTCGGACTTGTAGTAGGCGGCGCCGGAGTTGTCGTCGGACTTGTAGTAGGCGGCGCCGGAGTTGTCGTCGGACTTGTGGTAGGCGGCTCCGGGGTTGTAGTTGTTGTAGTAGTAGCTGTAGTTGTAGTGGTAGTCGGCTCCGGGAGCGTATTCGTCTTCAATTCCAAGTACCCGTTAATGTGATGATCGCCATACCCGTCTTTGGGCAAAATCTGGTGGTAGTTCTCGCCAGTAAAGATATAGTCGTACGTCCTACACTCATAGTCGTCAAAACCCCACACCCCCGCATGATACTTTCTTTCTTGATTTACGCAACACGGATTGTTCTTACAGTTAGACCAGCCCGTTTCATACTTATCGAAAGGTCCACTAGGACATGCGGTTTGCTCGTCGAAGCATGTCATACTCATTACACCAAGCTCGTCTGCTATAACAAAGAAAAAAGAGAAACCCCCACGTTGATCATGCACGACAAAAAATTGAGTACGGTATCACATGGAGGTTGTAGAGCCTTTAAGGGTCGTGCCAGCACCTTGTTCAGCTTTACAACTTTAGCATGTTGAGAAATTCGATGTGCAACGCAAATTCTTGTTCCATCTACGTTGCGGAGAGGACAAAACGAATTTTGGTTGCGCGACGCGTGTGATGTACATGTTGATGTTCTTATGCAACCCAGAAATAATATTTTCGTTGCAACTACTTCTGCAAGGAAAAATGGCACTTCGTGGTGGGCTCTTTTCTGTGGGTTAGCTCCAGGTATCACCTCCGCGGCGGCATGTAACTGTCGGATATCGCGCGCTCAGGTAAGATGTATCAAATGCGAATATGTTTGGATCTGGATGAATGCAGATGTTTGTCACGCATTTGTCGCATGACCCAGAAGTTCTGGCATGCAGGCAATAGCATTACACGTTCAGAACGAATGCGTATCACAACATTTTTGCACATTCCTCCAGACCCGGACATCATATTTGCTGTCGATAAGATGAAGGCAATCTCAACTATCACGACATTATCGGAGTAGCCTGTGACTGTGACTCGCAGCGATTGCATGACCTAGCAGCCTGCCGGGAAAAACAATGATGTAGCGCAAGTTTCATCTTAGACAAAGTAAGACTATTTGATGTCAGGCGACGAGCATGAAAACTGTGAAGAAAAACAATGTAGAACAAGCTCCTTCCTTGTCCTTGGGTACAATGTAGAAGAGGAGCAAAATGGTAATCTTCGTACGAATATTGAAATTAAACATCAGCACCACCACGGAGGTTTCGCTATCATGCATGAAGACTCCTCCAGGTCTGTAACAAGTCAAAAAACCGAACGCTGCGGCCTTGCATGTTGCTGAGTTTGCTGTTCTTGAGTACTACCTGTACTTTCACTGCAACATTTGAAATGGTCCCTCTATCAACACCTGAGCGGGCCATAGTGCAGGATCCCATCGTGTTTCTCCCATTTTTCAGTCCCGTCCCAAAGAAGTCTATGAAACACGACTTACCGTAATTCACCAAGCTGCTGACGCTGAAGCCGGACGCCGCCATAACATCAGAACAAATAACGCGCACCGTGCCCACCAGAGCTCCGGGCGCCACAGCCGTGACACCCAGATGAAGTTCCGGATGTTGGCGAATTAGTATTAGAATTTCATAAATTTGCATACATACATACATATCCTGTTTATTGTAGAGGATAGTACCAACGCCCTTTGCTTCTATCTGCACAACCGCTTTCGTGGTCACAGACTAGTGCAATTATCGGTAGCATCTTCAACTTGATAGTAAGGCGCCATTTTCGTCTTCCAGTCGTCGTCGTGCCCCCCTATTACAATGAAAAACGCCCCCTCCCCATATCAAAACGGAAATCTGTGATGCAGATTTGTGGCCACAAATCAGCTTTGTGATGCCAGAAGGCAAAAGATGCGGACTGTAGTGCTGTCTAGTGTGGGAAAGCCTTGCAGCTCCAGGATGACAGAAGGCAACTGGAAGTGGGAAACAGCATGACAGATCGCCTGCAATTTAGGCCGCAGCCTCGTCTCTTGGCCTTCTAGCAATACAAGTCGATTTGTGTCCTCAAATACAGCATCACAAATTCACGCATGTTCCGTTTCCGATATGGGGAGGGGGGATTTTTCATGTCGATACCCCCAGAGTCGACCTTCCAGCCCTCATCATCGCGGCTATTAAGATGAAAAGCGGTACCCCTGCCCCGCCCCCGCCTGAGCTCTACTACCTAGCGCTGCGTTGAAACTACGCTTCCAAACGAAAACAATTTGTCTTCCTTCTCCTTGTGATGTTGTGAAAGAAACATCAACACGACGGACAGGATTTGTGTCAGAGTCTTCTTGGCCAAAAACACAGCGGGCCTCACCCGGATCATGCTAATCAACATGCCAGTCAAAGCTACGTGTAGTAGGCAGCTTTGCTGGAACTAAGTAATGTAATGACAGGCGCATTTTTTCATTCTGCACAAATGCAAATTTTTCCAACCCTTCTCTGCAGACACAATGAATGATTGTATGACCTGCGACGTAGCTCCGAAATACATCAACACGAGCATTGTACTATCGAGTTCCATGATCGTCCCCGGGAGCCTTCTTCGCTGTGCAGGCATAGCTTTGGTTTCATCACGACGGGGCAGGATGGACTCTTTTCAGTAGGATAGCGAAATCGATCGAAAAAAACGTCGCGATACTGCATTGTGTTCCCTTGCTTGGTATACAACTTAGTACCTTCACAGCGATCCTCTCCATTTTGATCTCCATGCGGGGGAGCCCAGCAGGAAAGTTCGATGGTTTCCATTAACTCCAGTGCACAATTCCAAGGATTCGTGCCGGAGCTGGCGCAGTTGACGTACGTATTCCACGGGTTGTACCCGGCGTAATTCAACGGGTGGGGTTGCATGCCCCATCCGATTCCCTCACCAGTGACCGTATTGAAAACTAGATACGCATTGTGCTCCGCGCATGATCCGCAGTAGCTAACGGCTACCACTTCCTGCAGCTCTTCTCGCTGGGTGGAGGCTGCGATCAGGAGGCGCAACGCCGTGTAGTACGACGAGGACCCGGCAAGGTAGCGCGCTGAACGCCGCTCTAGCGGCATACGGAGGAACGTACTCCTCTTGTTTCCTGCCGCGGCTGATTGCAGCCCGAATTTCATCATGATCGAGTTTTTTCTTGTCGAAATTCTTCCGCAAAAAATAAAATCAGACTTTTACTTTTTCCGTAAAAGACACTTGATCAGGTCATACACGACGTTGTACTAGGACTTATTTGTACTAGGCAGCCCCTTATCAGTAGCTCCCTTTGATGCGATAAAAGGGCCCTGTAAATCGAAATCACCGAACCGGGTGGTAAGGTATACTAAAAAGCTGCTTGGCGGGAAAACGAAAACTTTACTTGTCCAAACAATAACAAGGGCGAGGTAACAAGTACAAAGATGAAGACCTGTACTTTTTCTGAAACGCAAACAAGTTCTAATTGTATTTCGCTTGTCTTCCTGAAGAACGACGGGCCGCGTCTGCCCTTCGTGTTCTTTTCAACGCGGACGAGATCGAGAACGACATCATACAATGAGGAACGATTCGACTTCGTGGTACGCTGTACGAAGCTTGCCTAAGAAAATGACGTAGAATAAAGACGAGCACGCTGCATGTGTTGCGTGGACGAATCTTTGTTCATTATCCCTATCAGATCGCATCATAATAAGTAAATTATACGGAAAGGAAAAACGACCAAGATGGAGATGCAGCCAATTATATCAACAATAAGCACGACCCGCCTTGCCGACGAGGGCGAACGATCACGATCACGATGACATGACCCTGTGGCAAATAATAAATCCGGAGGACCACCTACTTTTCTTATATCTTTCAACGGCAGCACGATGATCCACTACTAGTACGTGGCCTCGAAAACAAAACAACTACGTAAGTCCTGCGCAACGCCTGTCGTGCAGCCATGGGGAAGTAGTAGTAATCAGAATTCACGATGCTTACGCGGCGCGAGAAACATGAAGAAACAAAGATATGGTGGAAAATTGCGAAGAACTTAAAGGAGCTGGTGGCGTGTGAAAGTTGATTTTTCATGCGCAGGAGAATTATAAGTACCATCTCTCGTCAGTCGAAGACCACGCGAACAGAAGCAGCACTGAAGTTGTGTTATTGATGAAAAGCAAACGACGTGACTTCTCTTTGTCTGTGGTAGCTAGTGGACCACAGCAAAAATAAGACACTACTTTTGTTTGCTTCTATCCGGGAGCCGATCCTTTTGTCGTAACAACTACGCACGTAGTTATTCGTTCATTTAGTTTTTTATGTACGTGTTTACACAAGAATTAGGTACTTCTTTATCCATTATCGCTTTATTCCACCTCTCGAGGCCTTCATGTCCTTTTTCTGCGCCAAGATTTCGCCTTCCGTGAGCGGGCGTCGTTCCCGCAACTGCTTCGCACGGAGTGCTTGCTCCTCCGCCAGCTTGAAAGCCTTGTCGGCCGAGGTGTGGAATTTTAAGCCGCCCGTGAGCCCAAAAACCGCGTCATCCTCGTCGTCGACACCGTTTTCCTCGTTGTTCTTCTTCGTTTCGTTCCCGTTTTCGTCGCGCGTGGGCTGAATGCGTTTCGCGTTTTTCAGGCGTTTCTCGAATTCGGCCAGCATGTTGAAGCTGGTCTGCCCCCCTCGGTTGCGGTGCAGGCTCTCGCCCCCCGGCAGATTGTCGCCGCCCCCGCGGTTTCGTTTGATTCCCTTGGTTGCCTTGTTGCCCTCGTCTTGCAGGAATTGGTCGAGTAGCAGGTCGCTCTTCTTTTTCTTCTTCTCTTTTTTCTTCTTGCCGTTGCCCTCAAATTGGTCCTGGATTCCTTGCTTCAGCTCGTCGATCTTTTGCTGCCTCTTTCTCTGCTCCTCCTGCTTTCGCTTTTGCTTCGCGTCTTGCACCGCGTCAAGGTCCGAATCTTCTTCGGAATCGATCCCCTCCCCCGCTTTATTTCTCCTACCTGGTGACCTACTCCCGGAGGACGCGTCGCTCGAGTCTGCGTCGTGTTTATTTCGCTTTCGCTTGCCTCCTCCCTCCGCCATTTTGGTGCCGCTCAGAAGCGCGGCGTTTTGACTGAGGTCCACGTTTTCGTAGGCCTTTTTCTTGAGTAACCGCTCGTCTTCCAGCATGTCGTGCGCGGAACGAATCTTGAACTTCTTTGCAGCCGATGCTACGGTAGTCGCGTTCTTCTCCTTTTTTCGTCCTGCAGTAGACCCACTACTGTCGCTCTCCTCCTCGTCGCTGTCCTCCAGCGCCAGGACGTTTTTGTTCTTCACGACCTGGATCTTTTTGTCCTGCAGCTCCTCCTCCTTCCGCTTGGCAATCGTGGACTTCCAGTTGTTTTCCATCTTTCGCAGCTGGTTCTTCTGCAGAACGTCCCCCCGGATCTCGATGTCGTCAAAGGGATTGTGCGTCACCTCCACGTGGGTTATCCTGGGCAGGTCGCTCGGGTCCTCCGCGAGCGGCCGATCCGTCTTCGCATCGGTCTCCACCTCCGCCATTTTGGTCAGGTTGTACAGCGTGTTGCCCGCAACCTTGGCAAACAGCGTGTGCACCTTGTCCAGGTCCCGGGCGGGGCCCAGCGTGAAAAAGAACTGCGACCCGTTGGTCTTCGTGTGCTTACCTGAGTAGACGTAGACAAGACAAGAGTTGATGTGCTTTTTGCATGACAAAAAAACGGGGTGAAATGCTAGCAACTTCGCATGTTGACAGACTGCGGCTTTTTACCTTGCAAGACTTCTTGTAAATACTGCGAGTTCTTCATGTTCAATTATCTTGCAGCGCCCGAGATGAAATGAAACTGTAACTGTTGATCACTATAGTTAGATACACGTAGAAATTTCTATCCATAAATGCTACACGACGAAGATTGATAAGGATGAACCACTAAGTACCTGCATTGGCCACCCCCATCATCCCGCGTTGCCGGAACTGCAGTCGGCCATGGATTTCTAACGGAAACGGTTCCCCGTAGATAGATTCACACGTGTTGCCGGTTCCCGTGGGGTCGCCACCCTGGATCATGAAGTCTTTTATTATCCGGTGAAACGTGGTGTTGTCGTAGTAGCCCTCCAGGCAGTTCTGCACAAAGTTCCGGCATGCTTTCGGGGCCTCCTTGGACCACAAAGCGATCTGCAGCGGGCCGAAATTCGTGTGCAAAATCACCTCGCCCTTCGTGTCGGGCTCGTTTTTGTAGCCCGTGAAACTACCCGCCGTCGCCATGGTTCGTCGGTTTTGGGATGATGTATATCAATGTCTACTGTTACTTTATCTTAATATACGAGCGTATAAAGAAGTACTTGTCATCTACTACAGTCAATCTTGAGACAGGAAGATAACTAGTACCCAACTTCAGTTGTTGTTCAACTTCCTGTTCCTACTGCTTCATGAAGAATAAACTACTGTGGTTCCGCTTTCTGTCTACTTCTGGTCGCTGAAAATAATACGGAAAACGAAAACCAAATGCGATTCAAAAAGTGGAGGATGGCTTTGGCAAGATGCTGGAAATTATAAAGAACCCAAACTACTACTTCTCTTCAATCAATGCGATTCTTGTTCTTCAGCTTCACCACTACTCATATACTGGAAATTACGGAACGAGGACGGGATCCTCGTAGTTGAGACAGATTTTCTTGAGGCATCCAATTCGAGGATGTTATATATCACGGGAGATTTATTTTTCCCATTAATTCGTCCACCTCCGCGTCTGTGATTTTATTTTTTCATCGGGGAAGAACAATGCAGCATCGAGCTATACGTACTGTAGTTGTTAGTTCAGATCATCGTCAGTCCAACCCGGCTATCACAAGTTGCAATATCCGGAAGAAGAAGATCAACAGAGACGCGGCAACCACAAATAAATCTCAGATCTTCAACTTTTTGCTCACTGCTCATGAACCCCGGAACAATTAGCGCTTGGTTAATGCAGGTTTTGAAGAGATCAAGTAAGTACTTATTTTCATCTGCCCATTATACAACCTGCGTCGTGTTTGTGGAGGCACCACTAGCTTCAAGAGCTGCCAACGGCTCGCTCCAGAGCCACACAGCTACAGCTAGTAGTGGGAAGAAGATGAACACGCATGAATTCGTGCCGCATGGTAACATAGACACTTCACTCTAGGCGTCCGCGAATGTGGATTTTTCTTGGGGCTGTTGCAAGTAGAAGTAAGAAAAAAAAATTCTTCCTGATCTCAACATCGCACAACAATTGTCGCCTGTATTCCCTAGAAAAGTGGTAAGCACATCTGTCGTCAAGGGTCGTGTACTCGTCTTTTCTCGTCCTGTGAGTTGTTGCAGACCTAGTCTTGTGATCCTGATTTCGAACTGGACGAGATTCAGTTACACAAGCGAAAAACGACAAGCAACTTCCTTCTCGAAAAGAGCAGAAAATTATTGAGAGTGAGGGGATGCTTTCACTCGTCGACTTCTCTTCCCGTTCCCCCCTATTCCGCCTGGAAAATGGAGGCAAATTCGTAGGAGACCAGTGCGCGATTGCTGCTGATCCCGAAGAGTTCTTTTTCGTTCAGAAAACACGCGTTCACGAGGTTCACGTTCGGCGTAATGCTCACGTCACTCTTTCCGCCCTTGTAGGTCAGCCCGTACTGCAACTGGGTGACCACGTGGACCATGTAGCGGAACTGCGGCTCCTGGTCGCTATCGTCTAGTTCCGGCCGTACCAATGGGGGAGAAGTAACGGGATCATTTTGCTGCGCCGCCGACGGCGCAGCAACCGACTTTTCGTAGTAGCAGAGCCAGGCCGGGGCGTTTTCAGAACAGGTCTCTGGTCCTTTGAATTTCGGGTTTTTGCGCAGGAAAAAGACGTGGGGCACCATAGGAATGCGCGCGTCGTGGTCTTGGTGAATCTGGACGCGGTTCGGGTCCTGCCAGTATTGGTCGTAGGACTGGAATTTCTCGGCGAGATTGTAAAACACCTCCGCGGTGGGGCGCAGAAACTTCCGCTCTATAATTTGGCCGTTTATTTCCCCGGACTGGGAGGGATCGGAATGATGATCCACCGCCGCGCTATTACCATTCCATCGTCTATTTCTCTTCTTTTTCGTACTGACCGTGACCATCAGCATATCCCACGAAAAAAGTGTTACAGTTACACATCTGTTGTCAATGCAGCAACACAAATTTCTCTGCATGAGAGAGAAAACTTGTAATGCAGAAATCCTAAGGGAAAACGCCTATGAAACGAAGCTCCTATGCTTATCCGACATGACAGAGCTTGTCTGTCTTGCTTGGCCTGCAACACAATGTGTAACTGTAACACTTTTTTCTAACCATACAGCAGCAGTGTCGGTTTCGACTTGTGGTCGACGCCCAATATATCAAATGCAAAAGTGTCTGGGTCTGGAAACTTGTAATGCTAAAAATGAATGGTAGACGCACAGCAATGAGCAGCGACGCATGACAAATTTTTTGGCCGCCATGTCTTACGTATTCCGCATGGCAAACTGCGTTTTTGCATGACAGGTAAGCTGGCTTTTTCGTGCCTATGCAACACAGATTCTCGAGTCATGCCAGACAAGCATGACAAACTTGCATTCTTCCAGACCCAGACACTTCTACAGTTGATACAATATCACGTCGTTCGTGTCCGGATTCACATACAGTGACCGAGGCTGCAACGCCTGGCCCTCCCACTGACCGACGATCTTCACAATCTCAGCTTCGAAGCCCGGTTGTAGTTCTGATGTTGGTGAAGGATCCTGAACGGCTGCATTCTGCGCTTGCTGTTGATGTTGTTGTTCCTGGGACGAGAGAAACGTAGAACTAGTAGCAGTACCACTACCCTGAAGATGATCTTCTGGTGGTATGAGACCTTGCGAATTTAATATTCCGCCCGTATTCATCGGCGAGGGCGGCGGAGTGGACGGGCCTCCGCCGGGCCGGTTCACCGCCGTCCGGACGTGCTGGGTGACAGGCTGTTGCTGTTGCTGTCGCTGCAGTAACGATGAATCTTGCAGCTGCCCATTTATTTCTGGTGGCTGTGCTGGTTCCTTTGCTTTGCACCGAACTATGGAAGATTGCAACAAGACCACCGGATTGCAGTTGTTGTCCATCGCAATGTCTATGATGTCCCGGAAATTTTCCTCCTCCTTGTAACCGTTCGCCAGCCAGGGCTGCAAATCTTCCTCGGAATCGTCGTCGGTACTACCGGGAGAGGAGGAAGAGGTGTCAGCACTACTACTACTACTTCCCCGATTCATTTGATTCTCGATCTCCGAAACGATCAAGTCCTGCATCTCGCGCGCGCACTCGTTCCCGGGTTGGCTCGCTTCGTTGAAATTCAGCAAGTCAAACTCCGTCGCGTACACGATTTTATCCACGCCGCACTTCTCGTTGCACGCTATCCTCGCAATTTCCCCGGTCTTGAAGGCGTTATCAACTGTAAAAATGTCTGGGTCTGGAAGAATTCATGTTTGTCATGCTTGTCTGGCATGACTCTTAAATCTGTCATGCACGTTACCCAAGCGCTGCGTTTTTCTGTGATGCAGAAGCGCAGTTTGTCATGCAGAATAGGCAACACCTAGGAGCTCAGAAACTTGTCATGCTGAGCCAGCATTTGTAGCCTCATCATGAGACGCTACGCAGCATCACAAGTTCCCAGACCCACACATTCTTACATTTGATAGGCGTTGCTGCTATCGTAATTCCAGCCCGCGCCCCCAGCCTGCTTGAAATTCGTCACCACCGTGCCAGCCTGTTGCAGGTACTGCTGCGTGGTCAAAATTTCCGTCCTTTCTCTCCTGTCTTGATGTTGTACCTGCTGTTGGCCTATCTGCACAAAGGAATTCACCGTGCTCGCTTCATTTCTGGCTGCGGCCGCCCTGCTTTCTTGCACGATGCTGCCACTGCTGGACGTGGGCGCTTGGAGATGGACTTTGAACCCGGGGACGCGGAGAAATTTGTAGTATATCCTGAGTAAAAACGTACCCACACCAGAGTTGTGATGCAGATTTGCAAAGACAGGAAGACTTGTAATGCGCATCCCCATGAGAGCCATTTCCAGTCGTGTTTTGGAATTTGTGATGCTGTGAACAGGATGAGCAGATGAATCTGTGACGCGGCTGCACTTTCTAACCTGCACTACACTGCATAGTGCAACTTGTCATGCGTGACTCACAAAACTCCTAGGTTTGTGTTGCAAAATCCTCATCCTGACTCTGGTGTGGGTACGTTTTTACTCAGGATATAGTACGCGTCGTATTCTTGCATGGACAAGGTGACGAGCGCGACCATATCAAATGTAAAAATGTCTGGGTCTGGAAACTTGTGATGCTGGGCGGCGTATCATGAGGAGGCCACAAGTGCTGGCTCAGCATGACAAGTTTCTGCGCTTCTATATGATGCCTATTCTGCATGACAAACTGCGTTTTTGCATGACAGAAAAGTGGGGCTCTTGAGTAACGTGCATGACAGATTTAAGAGTCATGCCAGACAAGCATGACAAACTTGCATTCTTCCAGACCCAGACATTTTTACATTTGATAGACCAGCCAGGAGATCAATAGACTGATCATCACTCGGTTGAACAGCACCTGCGGCAGGTAGTTCGCCTCGGTCGCCGTGGCTTCTAAGGTTTCGATCTCCTGAATCACGTGCGGCGTTTCATACAACGCCTTCTTATCAAATGTAAAAATGTCTGGCTCTGGAAGAATGGAAGGCTTGTCATGCTTGTCTGGCATGACCCATGATGCTTGTAATGCATGACCCAGCATCACAGATTTTTGGAAAGCTTCCTGATGCCATTTCCGCATGACAAATGCCCTCCTCGCGTAGCACAAATATGGCTCCTCTTGCTGGTCATGCAATACACATTTTTTTAGAGTCCTAAGTTAGCATCACAAGTTCCAACTTTCCAGACCCAGACATTTTTACAGTTGATACTTCTTCTCACTCAGCCAGGCACCCAGTCGGTCGATCAGGTTCCGCTTCTTCGGACCCCGGTTCTTGTTCGATGGTCTTGATATCGAAGCGGAACTTTCATCTGGCAGTGCGGAAGAAGAAGATGATGGCTCTTCTTTACTATTGTTCTTTTTGCCATTTGGACTATCAAATTGCACGACTTTCTTGTTCATCATTCCTGTGCCCACTGTACCAGCTACATCGGTTGTTGCACTATCTCCAACCGCGAGCAGCTCGTCTAAATTGTCCTCCAGTTTCCTCAAATTCTCTTCCAACACTTCAAACCCGTGTTCTAAAAAGTTGGACCGCATGAAGACCGTATCGGGAACCGAGTATTTCACCACCTTCCGGTCGTAGTAGACGTAGCAGGGCATGTAGAGACCAGTGTTGTTATCGTAATCCGGGATTTGCACCCACTTCGCGACGTATCGTATTCAAAAACGTCCCCACCCCATAGTTGTGATGCAAATCTGCATGCTGAAAATGTGTCTCATGCGGAGCCCCATGAGAAGCATTATCTAGTCGCGTTTTGGAATTTGTGATGCTAGAACCAGCATGGCAGACTAGATCTGTGATGCTGCTAAACTAGCTCAAACAGCAGCACGCTAAGAGTCCAAATTTGTCATGCGAAACAGCCAAAACTTGTGGATTTGTCTAGCCGATTCCCCATCTTGACTATGGGGTGGGGGCGTTTTTACACAAGATACGACGTGTTGCTTCTTCTGCCTCACCTGCTGGAAAGTTGTTTCCGGGTTCAAGTTCGCTTTTATCAAATGTAAAAATGTCTGGGTCTGGAAGAATGCAGACTTGTCATGCAGGTTTTGCATGACCCATGAGGTCTGGTATGTAGGACATAGCATGACAGATCCTGCTGTGAGAGTTCTATCATGCCTATCCTGCATGAGAAACTGCCTCACGATTAGGTCAAAAGTGGCCAGCTTTTGGTAATCATGCAACACAGATTTTTGAATGATGCAGATTTAGCATGACAAGTTAGATTCTCCCAGACCCAGACATTTTTGCATTTGATAGCTTTCTGGAGCAGTTCGAGAATTTTCGGTCGGAACGTGTTGTCCATTTTGTCCTTGAAACTCGCGAAATCAATCGGGATGGGTTGGAGACTTGTCTGCCTCTCCAAAGCGGCAGAGTTCGAGGACATCACACTGTTTCGCCTGCTAGCCGTCCCGAAACTCGCGACCGTGTTCTGTGCGTTATCAAATGTAAAAATGTCTGGGTCTGGAAACTTGTGATGCTGAATTGCGCATGATTGAAGCGCTTCCAATGGCAGCCAAGCACGACAAGTTTTTGAGAGGTCTGCTGATGCCTAGCACGCATTACAAATTGCGTTTTCGCATGACAAAGAAAGCCTCTGTTTTGCTGCTCATGCAACACAGATTTTCCAGGAGTGCAGGACACGCATTACAAGTTCCAATTTTCCAGACCCAGACATTTTTACATTTGATATGCGTTGGAAAGGAGCGAAAGAGCTTCGTCGTGAAACTTGTTTCTGCTTTTTCGCATAATATTGACCGGTGGAGGTGGCATGCTGGAGGAGGTATCCTGAGTAAAAACGTACCCACACCAGAGTTGTCATGCAAATCTGCATGCCAAAAAGGTTTGTCATGCGGAGCGCCATGAGAGGCATTGTCTAGTCGTGTTTTGAAATTTGTGATGCTACAATCAGCATGATATACTAGATCTGTGACGCTGCTGAACTACCTAAACAGGATTACACTACGAAGACGAACTTGTTATGCCAAACGACCAAAGCTGGCTGATTTGTCTAGCAGATTTGCCATCTTGACTCTGGTGTGGGTACGTTTTTACTCAGGATAGGAGGAGGAAGTCAGCAAAGCGTCGGTTTCCTCAGCGGACGGAAGAAACCGTTGCTCTGGGTAAACGAAGTAATTTTGTTCACTTTCCATGCTGGTACTGTTCCTCAGGTTGGTAGCGTTCGTACTGCGATAATTCGCCTGTTGTTCCACCGTGCTCATCTGTTCGTTTATTTCCTTTCCTCCATGATTTCGTCGGTTGCGCAGCGTGGAGGTAGTTGTACCTTCGATGCTGGCGTCGTCCTTTCTATCGGGACCAGCAGCTTGTTCCGCAAGACCCCCAACTTTCCTTCTGATTTCCGCCTGCTTCGCCATCCAGGTGTCTAGATAGGCCTCTAACTCGCACGCGTGGTCCATCACCTCCAGAAAATCGCCGGCGAAAAGGTCCGCCTGCGTGTGGATCAGAATCTGTCTCCGGTCGACTTGTTTAGAAGTACTTGGAGAAGAAGGTCTTGTTGCGCCATGACCGCCAGCGCCGCGACGCATGTCTTCATTTTCCTTCTCGTTCACAGGAAGCGCTTTCCCCGTTTGTTCATCCTTCAAATTCATTTTCAAGTCCACATTTACCGTCCGATCTTTCACGACGACACCCCCGTAGCTGGAAGGCTGGAGATTCAACATTTCGTCACCTCGGAAATTCTGCTGGAAAAGCAGCGCTGCCTCCTGGTCCTCGAAGAGTTTTTTGTTTGCCCTCAGCGTGACCGCCTGCTGGATCCTCAGCTTCCGCTCCTCTCTTAACCTCTCCTGGGGGGACAGGTTCTTTGCGGTTGTTGCTGCGGATGATGATGATGATGATCCGATGCTCAATCGCGCATTACTTCTACCGTCCGCCTCGGAAGAGGACGCGCCGGTTGAAGATGAGCCGTAATTACCACCAGCGGCCCCTCGCCGCCGCAGAATCGTGTCGTCCAGCCGTTTCCAATATGGAATGCAAATATGTCTGCGTCTGGAAACCTGTGATGCTGCATTGCGCATGGCTGTAACGCTTCTTGCAATGGCAGCCAAGCATGACAAACTTTCGCTTTCTGCTGCATGACGCGCATGACAAATTGTCTTCTTGCAAAACAAGGCAAGCAGCTCATCTATTGCTGCTCATGCAACACAGATTTTCATTTTCCAGGAATGCAAGAGACGCATTACAAGTTCCGACCTTCCAGACCCAGACATATTTGCATTCGATATCCAAGCGAGACAGTCAATGTACAGGATCTGCCGGAACTTTTCAGGCAAGTGCCCGTGCGGGGACTCGATTGCGTTGGTCGTATGGATGTGTCAGGATTGAAATCGACAAAGTTGAAAATGAAATAATTTGTATTGCATAAAATGGATGAAAGTTGTAACGCAGACTCCAAGTGACGCATGACAAATTTGGGTAGAGCCGAAATCCAGTTTGTCATGCTGTTTGGGTAAGGAAGACGCCTTTTGTCATGCTACTTTAGCAGCTCAGTTTCTACAACTCCTCAACAGGCTTACGATCTGCCTCACTTGCCTACTCTGCAAGACAGGCACTTTGTGGGCTGCAACTGCATTTTATGCATGACAAACTATGTATAATTTCAACTTTGAAAATTTCAATCCTGACACTCCCATAGGTCGGCTGCGACAGGTAGAACAGGAAGGTCAGCCAGGAAAACTGGAACAAAGCGGACAGAGGGATTAAAATCGTGTTCCAGATCGAGTTCCGGTCCGCGAGTAATGCGCACGTGTAGATCATGAGGATCACGAACACCACGCCGGTTTGCAAAACGGTTAACAAATACGACTCCCAGCGGTTCAAAACCAAATCCACCGTCGCGATTGCGCGGGACAAAAACGCGTAGAGTGCGCCGCACATCCACGCGAGCAGCCACATCTTCTGGAAAATCGCCAAGTAGGTGAGCAGGAAAAACGCGATCGCGTTCAGCATCATGTAGGTGCCGAGCGCGTTAGTCACGCGCGCGTAGGCGTCGAAGTGCTGCCAGTGTTTTTGCAGGATCCTGAAGATATCCAGGTGCGAGGTGCGAATCTGGAGTCTCGGACGCATCTTCTCGGTCAGTTCGGCCTGGTTCGTGGCTCTCGGGTTATTTCGACTTGTACTTCCCGCCATTCCACCAGGCATCAAAGATGAACCCGCTGTACCATAGTTCATGTTCATGCCCGGAACTGCTGCGCCCCCAGTGTTGACCGGTCCGCCCACGCCACCTCCGCGGTTCAAGTAGTAGTCTTTTCTCTCCGCCTCCTCTAGCCTTTCGTTGATGTAGAAATGCTCCAACGCGTCGGGCTCGTAGTGAAACGGGATTTCCGGTTTTGTCAACGCAGTTTTCAGTGCACTGGTCGTTTTGTCTACTAATCGACTTCCGTCGGCCGCTGTTTGCGGCGCTTTATTTTCCTTACTCTCCACCTCCGGACCTGCAGCAGGACCCATGACGTTGCCGAAGAACTGTTTCAGGCGGGTCGCGAAGGGGATCCGCAGTTGTTTTCTCACATCGGTTTCCTCGAAATCCTGCAACCTTGCGCGAAACGCGTCGATCTCCGTGCCGGTGGGCAAGTCGCGGACCTGTCGGGATTGCAGCAGCAGGGACAGACCGCAGCTGTGCGCCGTGATTGACGCGTGCATGGCCATCCAGGTGGACAGCACCAGCATCACGATGCCGCCTGGGAGTAAGGATTTTGATAGTATTTTTCAATTTGTTTTATATACGACTACATGTTCGCGACTGTTTGTTGTTCCTACTTCTCACATGATGCTGCTTCGACTACATCACAGCAGCAGCAGCAAAGGACTACATCACGAAATCGAATACTAGAAAGAAGACATGACTACCTATGTTCTAAAAGCAGTATACCAGTACCTGTAAAAGACAGCATGAAGGCCCAGGTCGAAAACGCGGGCATGTCCCCGGACGGCAGTAAAGACCCCTCGCCCAAAATCGCCATGATCAGCGTGATTTGGAGTGTGTTGGTCAGGATGTAATTGTCCATGCGGAGAATGTATCAAATGCAAAAGTGTCTGGGTCTGGGAGATTGCGAGACTTGTCATGCTGGTCTGGCATGACTCTGAACTCTGTGTTGCATGGCCGCGAAGAGCTCTTCCTTCCTGTCATGCAAAAACGCCGTTTGTCATGCGGAGTACGCAACTCAGAACCATGAAAAACTCTTGTCATGCTTGGCAGCGCATCATAGTGAGTTCACTATTCCCTTTCTTGCATCACAAGTTTCCAGACCCAGACTACATGTTTGCAATGCATAGAATGGTTAGGTCGACCATTTGGTTGATGTCATCGCGGAACAAAAATATCCACTCCCGACGCATCTGCTGCCGCTGGTGCATCGCCGATTGCTGCATCGTCTTGTCGAAGTTGTAGCAGTCCTGATTGTAGCCCCAGATCTGCTGCAGCGTTGCGCCCGCCGCCGCGGCCCCAACTGCGAGCTCCGCCATGGTGTCGTAGTCGCTTGAGGATCTATTACAGTTTTAAGCAAGTAGTTCTTACCGGGCCCTGCTACAGCTCTCCTGCGTGCAAAACACGCAAGCGTGCCGAGGACCGCTATGAGTCTACAACTCACTCCGGGTCGTGAGAGGTTGCTAAGTGCGGCCACCGTCCAGCGAAATTGCTATATGCGGAAACATTAAACCCCTCCGAGGTCCTCGCCGATCATGTGGTGTGCTGGGTCGCGGTCCTGCTCTTGCCGATGGTGCTGCCATGATGGTGTATGATGTCACAGAGGTGGAGCTTTAGCTCATCTCATGTTGATCATGTGGTAAAAAGGTAAAGGTAGAGATAAAAATGGTGGCCATTTTTAACGCGATAGGAATGATGTTGAACACTGACATAGGTTAACTTAGAGATAGTGAGAGTTGTACACAGAGTCGCATATTACGCGGGTTCGTTGTCCTTTGCAGGGTGGTCCTCACAGTGGCAATGAGAATAAGACTATGCAAGCACAACAGAATAAAAACTAGGATAGTAGTACTAATCCAGCAATAAAAATGTGCATAAACTTTAATTAAAGACTTCACACGTCGTGACGATAGTTCTAGTCCATAGCAGGCCCGCCTGTGAGAAATTTTTTCTTGCAAAATCATGTTGCGTTTGTTTTTTGTACAACGCGACGCGCTTCTAGAATAAAACGCGTTGTTCTTCATGATTTCAGGTCGTGGTGCAGTTTGATTCCTGTTCTACTTGTTAGCGCGGCGGTGGAACGGATTGATCTTTTTCGAACGGTTGATAAATTTGGACGAAGCAATCGCACGAAAACCGACCAAATTGGGATACGGTTGTCCACGGATTTTATTTTGCACGAAAAACGAAGACACGAAACGGAGATGAAACATGGCAAGATAATGTTGAACAGATCCAGTACTTAATATCGTCGTCCCATTGGGCCGCCTGATGATTCTGCTCTCCAACGAGTTGATAGATGACGGAAACAAGACAGCAAGAGCGAAAGCAGTGGACCAAGCGTGGAGGTCCATGGACAACTTTTACTTACTCACTATGAAAGTAGACAACATGTTTTTGTTCATTGAAAATTATACACTCTACTAGTATTAAAACTGCAGACCCAAGTCCTTTTTCTCGTATTCAAAAAACGCCTCTCCCGCCATCGTCGCCCGTATTCTGGTCTCGGAGATTTCGCAGGCCGTCAGAAGCGGCGTCGTTTGGTAGATGAGGTTGAACTTTTCCGAGAAATGGTCGTACTCGAATAAGGACCCCGTTTCCAAAAGCCCCTGGATCACGTACTTCTTCCAGAATTCCGGATTCTGCGGGTCGACGATTGCATCCAAATCGGCTAGGTTTTTCATCGCCTTGTTCTTCCCTTTACCACCTCCGTACGCCCGCAACTGTGTCTCCAACACCTCCGGCGTCTTCTTCACGATCCAGAAATTGGCGATCGCAAACTGGTGGAAAAACTCCTGCCTTTTCTGTTTTGTCTTCGCGTCCCGGGTGGGGGGCTGCTGCGACTCGCCCATGGGAACGGCGCCGGACAGATCTCCCGCGTAGGGGTAGGCCACGTGTTGGCGAAGGTACAGCGAAAACTTTGGAAACAGTTCCAACAGTGGAACCAAAATTTTTTGCTGAGGCATGGTCGTCGTGGAAGAAGATCTTCGCGTCTTCACCTCGTCGTGAAGTTGTAGATCTGCTTCTGTGCTGTCGCTCGTAGTGGGAGTTTTATCTTCTTCCTTGTCCTTTATTCCCATCAAGTAGATGCTCGGGCCGTTGTTTCCGTTGTTTTTTTCCGTACTCGTGATCAGGAAGAATTCGTCCTGGAAAAGGTACATCGAAGCCGCCCGCAACGGCGTACTGTTCTCCAGCGTTCCCTTGATCTCGTAATTGGTCTCAACCACTCCCGTTTCCACATTGCACTCCGAGATTTTCCGGCCCTGGTCGTGAAGCGTGGATAAAAACACGACTTCTTCATTCCTCGTCGCCGGTGCCGACACGTCGCCACTGTTGCCTGTTTCGTCTACAATAAGTCGTTCTTCTTTCCTAAATCCTAAACCCCCAATTCGGCTGACGATTTTCTTCTGGCTTTGTGCGTAGAAAGAGTGCTTTCTCATGGAGTTGTCGCATTTTGTGTTCGATACCACTTCGAAGTCCGTCGCGATGGCGAAGAGCCGCTGGGGCTGAGAGAAGGATGGGGACTTGCTGCACCCCATCTGCGTAACTTTTGACGTGAGCGGAAACTGCGATGTTGACAGTAGCGGTGTAGACGGAGCAACAGTTCCTGCGCTGCTTGCTGCGAATCGCTCGACCATGCTGGAGTCAATGTGAATGTCAAACAATGAAGCGTTGTCAAAATTATGACCCTGGAAGGTTCGTGTACTACTCCTTCCAGTTCCAGCTTCTGCACTTTGTTCCACGATGAATCTGCTCCCTGACCCTGACATCGTACTACTCCTACCAATAAAAGTAGATCTATCCTCCTCGCTCCATGATCTGTCTTGGAGCTGCGCAAAGCTGCTGGTCTGGTGATCGTCAGGAGCTGCCACTGCTGCTTCCCCTCCCTGTTCTACTACTGCTCCCCACGCGTTTTTCCAGTTTTCATTCACCAGAACCGGTTTCACCGAATTGTCTACCTCCATTTCGGAAAACACCATCGCGGATTGGAAAACTTGCAACACAAACGCCAGCAACAGGCACAGCAGGTACACGCCCACCAGAATGTTGTACATATGTAACGGCAACTTTCCCGCGGCAATCGCGCTGCGTTCCAGCGTCTGGATTTCCCCCGTGATATTCGGCGTCTCATACCGTGCGACCTTGCGCGTCCACCAACTGGCGAAGGGGTGCTTCACTTTCCTGACGAATTTGCACCCCAAGACCACACAGGGTCGTGCTGCAGTTGTTCCTTTAGCTGGTTGGCTTCTAGTAGTACTACCTTGAAGTTCTTCTTGATGTTCAGCATTTTTACCATCGTGTAGCTCTTTGTCGTCAACCACCACAACCTCCGCAGCGTCGATTTCCTTTTCCAAATTTAACAGATTGCTCACCAGCACTTCCACCTGATTGGGAAAGAAATCTTGGCGGATGAGACCCGCTTCGGACGTTGATGTTCCGGATGGAATGGAGTACCGGATTTTCTCTCCTTCGTTGGAACAAACGTAAAAGTACAGTGGCGTGCCCGTGTTGGGGTCATAATACTCCTTTTCGATCCAGTAGGGCTTGCTCGAAGTAGAAGTAGATCCGCTGCTGTTTTCAGCCGTTGCTTTCGCGATTTCTGCTTCGAAATACTGCTCGTCGACGAGGAGCGCAAGGGGTTTTTGAACAACGTCCTGGTTTGCATTTGCTTCATTTCCGTCCTCCCTGTTCTCCCCCGCGGGGGCCACCGGCACCCGCAGCGATTGCTGCTCTAGTACTTCTTGCCCCACTCCTGTCAGAGCTGATCTTCTCCGCAACCCCCGTATTTTGTCGATCAAGGAAAGAATTTTCCACTTGCAGTATCAAGGTGAAAAAAGCGCCCACCCCATATCAAAACGGAAATCTGTGATGCGGGATTTGTGTACACAATTCACATTTGTCTTGCAGGAAAGCACTGCACGCAGATCGCCAGCCTAAGGGGGGGCCTTTTGGTGTAGGGGCCTAGCATGCCAGACGTCTGCCCTGTAGGCCTTGCGGCATTACAAACCGCCTGCATATCGCGGCGGACTCTCTAGATTCGCCTTCTGGCAAGACAGACAGGATTTGGGGTCACAAATCTGCATCACAAATTTTCGGAAGGACGTGTTTTCAATATGGGGAGGGGGGATTTTTCCTTGCAATATGCAGTTTTCGAGCAAAAACCGGTTTTCCTGCTCTTCTTTCCTCTCCTTCTCAACTTCCTCCTCCTCCGGGGTCAGCAACGCGTTGTTTTTCTCGTAATCCCGGATTTGTTGGGCACAGTAATTCTCGAACCCGCCGTCACTTAAATGGCTGCTGGGAGATATTTCGATTTCCTCAGACCCGGAATGGTTGGCTGTCGAGGTCGTGCTATCCGTTTGATCTTGAACTTCATCTTCTCTGTCTGGCTCTTCTTGGTCCTCTTCACTGTTTTTCTCCGCATTCTTCTTGTCGTTCCGCAACACAAATCCCGGTTCTGAATTTCGCAGTGTCTCGTCGTAACTGTCGAGGAAGAAAGAGGTCAGGGGAGCAGTGGAGTGCTGTGTAGTTGTTCCATGACGCGCAAACCTCCTGGAGAGCTTCGTGTCGCTGGAAGTTGTGCTAGAAGTGCTACTTTCGCGCCCATAATTCAAGGATTTTTTTGAATTTGCGGCTCTGGACTTGTCGTTTCTCGTCTCATTTGCACCGTGTCGTTGCAACTTCGGCGGGTTATATATCACCCGCAGCCACGCCAACAAATCGCAGTAGAGCTGGATCTGCTGTTTCAGACACTTTTCCAGAAGAACCACACCGTCTTGGTTTTTTGAGGAATCTTCGTCCTGAAGGAGCGTTGAAAAGTCGACGTTGTGTTCCTCCTCTTCATCTTTGCCAACTGCTGCAGGATGATTCCGTGCTGCACCACCACCGACGGCCGCAAAATCGGTCATTTCTATCTCACGAATACCCGATGGAGGAAGGTTTCTATCTCCCTCGACAACATTGCTATCCTGAAGAAACGTCACCGCTTTACCATTCCTGTTTGTTGGATGAACATCAATTTGAGATGATGAATTCACCCCCACACCTCCCACATCCGCCACACAGGCCGCCTTTCTTCTCCCCTCAGCGTCGACCACTTTTTCGCTGTCCACGGGCACTAGATCTTGGTCGGACAACACATTCCCGTAGGCCAAAATATCGACGAATGCCGTCATGCGGTAATTGTAGGGTAACTTCAACACGTATTTTTGCTCCGCATCCGACAGAATCCGCTCCTCGTGTTCTTTATCCCCACCGTCTCTCCTCCCCGTTTCGTTCCGCGTCGTGGGTTATGCGTTGCAAATATGTCTGGGTCTGGGAGGACGCGAACTTGTCATGCTAAGTCTGGATCGTACAAAAATATGTGTTGCATGACTACCAAAAGCTGTCCACTTTTGAACAAGCTTAGAGGCAGTTTGTCATGCGGGTTTGGCATCATAGAGACGTCGAAGAAGCTGTCATGCCAGGTCCTGCATTCCAAACCTCATGGGGCATGGAAAATATGCATGAGAAGTTTGTACTCTTCCAGACCCAGACATATTTTTTGCATTTGATATGGGTTGGGACAGAAAGAAAAACTGCATCACGAAGATGAACTGGAAAAGCGCGGGTAACGGCGTGAAGATTAAGTGCAGTAAGGACAGTGTATAGCTGTTCAGCAAGGGGTTATTCCCCGTGAACCCGTTCTTCTGGGCGGAGCTGTTGCACACTTTGAGCAGCATCGTCATCCAGTAGCTGAACATCATCAAAATCTGGCACGATTTGAAGCAGAACTGCCGGACCACGCTATTGCGAGGAAAAGTCCCCCCTTCCCATCTTGAAAACGCACTCGTCTGAAAATTTGCGATGCAGATTTGTGACCACAAATCCTATCTGTGTTCCAAGAAGGCGAACCCCGAGAGTCCGCCGCATTATGCAGGCGGTTTGTGATGCGGTTGGGCTTATAGCCTAGACGTTTGTCATGCTAGGTGCCTATGTCAAGACCCCTCGACTCAGGCTTGGCCTATGCCTGCAGTCCTCTACTTCTGCAAGACAGATCTGATTTGTGTACGGGAACCCAGCATCTGAAACTTCGTTTTGATATGGGGAGGGGGGATTTTTCCTTTTGGTACACGCTCCCGTAGTGAAAATCCATCGAACTCGACCAGGCGGAGGCGAACCCGATAAGCAGCGCGATAACCAAGCCAATCGCTGGGTGGGACTATGAACTGCAAAACTATAATCGTACTAGTAGTAATTGCAATACAAATTAGCTCAGCATGACAAATGGAATTTGTCATGCTGTTTTACCTTGAGAACGAGATTTGTAATGCATAAAATGCAATTACTACGAGTACGATGCTTTTGCACAGGATAGGGACTCGAAAAGCACGATGTCTGTGGTGAGGAAGAACCCGATGAAGTGCAGGAAAATGAGGAACCCTATCGCAAGAAAAAACTGCTTCACTGTGAACTTGTGATGCAGAGAACGAAGCACCAAAGTGTTTGTCTTGCTACACCTGGTGCAGGACATTGGATTTTTAACCGTGTTTTCCCTTGGAAAGCGCGCATGGCAAATTTTCCCTGTCATGTGTGACAGACTTGTGATGCAGATCTCGCAAAAACACCACAGTGAAACAGTTTTTTCGTGGGATAAACCCGAAACACGACGCTATCCGCGCATAGACATCGTAGTAGAGGAAGTGCTGCTGCAAAATCCGGTAGGTCCGCAGGTGCCCGCGCTTCATGCAGATTAACTTACTGCCCGGAGGATTCGCGGAATCGCTGGCGAGCGTGGGGACTGGCGGGCGGGGGTTTTGCACTGCTTTTGATTGTGGGTTCAGTTGTCTCCTCCTTCGTCTATTGATCTTCTCTCTTTCAATGAACTCTACGTTTCTTTCGGGAACAGCGAACGCGTTTGTGTTCCGAGTCCGACGTCGAGATGAATGTGTTCTACCAACAAGGTCCAGGTCTTCTTCCTCACTGTCGGCATGAATTACCCGCGCACCACTATTCTCGCCATTTTGATCATCAGATTCAGAAGAAAAACCCGCTTCATCCGGTTGATCTTGATAGTTGCTTGATATCCCACCAACATGAATATCATTATCATCTGCGGCAAAGTCTGGTAATTGGTATTTTATCCTGTTCGCCGCAAATTTTTCGTACTCTTCATCCCGCAAACTGGTTAATCCCAGGTACCTTTTCCTCAACTCTCTTTCCATATTTTCGTTGAGCAGGTATTCGTCTATCGGATCGGGTTCGTAGTTGTATAGATCCGCTTCTTGTGCAGCATCGTCGTTGCCTGATGAGGACCCATGTAGTTGTTCTACTCCATTTGCGTCATCATGATCTTCCCCTGTACTACCGAAGACACCCGTCGTCGTCTCTCTTCCGAGGCCAGGACGAGTAGTCCTTCGAGATGAACGGCCCCCATTGATATGATCATTACCGCCTGCTCCTCCTCCAAACGTCGACCTGACAAACCTAGAGATCCTTCGCACGAAAGGGATGCGCAACTGCAGTTCCTTATCGGTTTCCTCAAAATCCTGTCCCCTGGCTCGCCCCCGATCGACGTCCACCCCCGTCGGCAAAGCCCGCAACTGCTTGCACTGCATCTGCATGGATAACCCGCAGACCTGCGCTATCCTGAGTAAAAACGTCCCCACCCCAGAGCTGTCATGCAAATGTGCAATGACAGGAGCATTTGTAATGCGCAGCGCCATGAGAGGCATTTCTAACCGTGTTTTGACATTTGTGATGCTGTCAACAGGATGAGAGATTGGCCTTCTCATGCAGCTTCCCGTGCCAACGAGCCCTACACTACAGAGGGAAAGTTGTCATGCACAGCTCCCAAAACTTGGAGATTTGTGTTGCTAGATCCCCATCTTGACTCTGGGATCAGGACGTTTTTGCTCAGGATAAGCGCCAGGATGCTCGCTTCGATGGCCAGCCAAGTGGAGAAGAGCAAGAAAGCGCTGGGCATGACGAAAGCTAGGACGTAGATGATCAACAAGGACTCACTCGTTGACTGCTGGTTCGTATCAAATGCAAAAATGTCTGGGTCTGGATCTGGAAACTTGTGATGCAAGACAGTCAATAACAAACGCACTGTAATGCGCCGCCAAGCATGATAAGTTTTTTCGTGCTTCTGTGCTGCATATTGCGCATGAGAAACTGTGTTTTTGCATGACAGGCGAGAGAGGCTGTTTCGATGGCCCTACGCAATACAGATTTAAGGGCCATGCCTGATCAGCATGACAAATCTCGCAATCTTCCAGACCCAGACATATTTGCATTTGATAGTTCATGAACACCGGGGGGGAGAGCAAAATCCCTCTTTTCGTGTTCTCGTCCGCGGGCAGGTCGTAGTAGCTGGAATTCAGCCACCGGAAGGTCTCGTGGACCACGGGCGTGGGGACCAGGGCGATTAAAGCAAGCATTTCCAGACTGTTCAACGTGATAAAGATGTCCATGCGTTTTACCGTCATGTGCCATAAGTTGTTGATGTCTTCCCGATACAGCTGCACCCACTCTTTGCGCTCCGCGGTTTTTTGAGTGATCGCGGCTTGTTGCATCTTCTTGTCGAAATTGAAGGCCGCCTGGTTGTACAGCCACATTTGGAGAAAATCGGCCATTTTCTTGGTCGTGCCGGGTTGTACTTAGTTTGTAGAGTAGGAAGATATTTTTATGATATAAATGAGAACTACGGTAACCAGGGCGACGAGGTCGAGTTCAAGATCCTTAAAGATTGAAATAATCAATTTTCAGGGATAAAAATTGTACATAGCAATGTATAAACGCGGATGGAAGCAAGTGCAAGGCCATGGCAAATTACACTTCGAAATAAACTCCCCGTTCTTTGGGGTAAAAATGGGTCGTAGTCGTTGTATGTCGTGGAGCAGTAATGTGAGTCCGTAGCCTGATTGACTGAGGAAAACAAAAAGCGAGACATTTCTTGTGGTTATGCCGATGGTGGATAAAGGCCCAACGACTACTGGATCAGAGAGAAGATCCTCCAAATTCATCTTCATTGGTTCACATTTCTTGTTTTTACACTGTCTGACGTGGTGCGTCTCAAGCTTATGGTCTCGACGCTGGAGTATCCTAGTTGTACCGATGCTTCCATTGATTCAGATCGCACGAACGACGAGATGTTCCGATGAATTTACGACATCGACATCGGAGGTGGGTCATAAATAAACAAATACGACGCACGCAGAGCAGAGATGAAAAGCACGAACGCAGGGAAAAGGTTGTACGAACGGGTCAACGATAACGAAATCTACTGAACGAGTCCGCGTGCGAAACGAGTCCGCGTACGAAAACGAAAAGTACGCTTCTTGTTATGCGTAAGATACGAATCCCAAAGTGATGTTGAACAGGCAACGAAAGAGACGACACGATACTAGTATCCCAGCATTCGAAATCAAAATGCACGCATCTATGGCAGTGCGTCAACGGTTGTACCTGAGAACTAGCCTGATCAATGTACCTTCGTGGGGCAAAAATGAGGACTCAGAATCTTCACCCTCTAAACTCTACGTACTATGTATGAAGCCAGGTCGCCACACTAAGACGAACAGAGCAATGAGTAACTACCCTGAGCATGTGGCTTCGCAGAAGAACGCGTGGTGCTTCCCTAGCGATAGTATTCCGCTTCAAATCGACAGGAGCGACATTGTGGCTCTTACTTTTGCGCTCACGCAGCACAAACTCGGCATGAAAACAAATTCATCTTCCAGAATACGGATGATGTCCTCGTGAATAGGTTGAAGCAGAAGCACGGTACTGATCATAGCCATACCCACGTCCCTTCCAGCTGCTGTTACGACCTGCCGATATGGCACCATTATATTTCCCGCTACATGCTTGCTTACTCCCTTTCCCACCAAAATACGCAATAAAGTAGTCTTCCGCCTGTTGAGCCGTTTCGCTGCCGGCGCGCAGCACTTGATTATTTTGATGCAAAGTATTTCTCCTCCTGCTCGTTTCCCCACCGTTGCAATAAGTGTACAACTTCTGCACCCACTCGGTGCGCAACACCTCCACGCGCGGTTTTGCCAGTAGCCAGTTGTCGATCCAAGCCCGGTCCAGCCAGTGACGGCTGTTGCTCACCGCCTCGAAGGTCTGTCCGAGGAAGGACAGGTCGCCGCCAAAGCCGGTCGAGTTCCACTGGCACATTTGCCGCCCCGCCAGGTTCTTCGCTGCGTACCGCGGGTCGTAGCAACACCTCCACATCCTGCTGGGTGATAAATGAAATCTAGCAATACCTACAGTCGTGATATAATGAAATCTGACATTTAATAGAGATGAAGTTAGCTGTTTGTTCTTTGTAGGTACTAAGTACACAAAGTGCTCACTTCGCCGCCTGCTCCGCCTGTTTGTTCATTTTATTCACCGCGTCAATTTGCATCTCGTCTGCAAGCTCCGGCGAAATGTGCTCCAGTTTTAACTGCATCTCCACTTTGCCCGACTCTTTACTGAAGTTGTGCTGCGCCACGTTATTCAGGTTAGTACTTTTCACGCTGCTCTTGCCGTTTATGCAAGAAAAAAACTGTGCGATGTATCGTGCAGATTGATGCATTTCCTAGCCATAGCCTGTTAGCATGACATCAAACATGCTCTGCAGGACAGAGAAAGTCTGTCATCAAGCACGGCTAGTATCCGAATCGGTATGATGAAATCACGACGTATGAAATGACCCAGGGTTGTACCACTCGTCCAGCTTGGCTGGCCGGGGCCGGCATGACACGTGTATTAGCTTATTTGTAGTAAGTAGCATGCATTGCATATAGCTACTTACTATACAGAAGATTTCCTGTACTTAACACGGCACGTTTCTTCTTGCATACTGTTTATTTTCTTCGGGGTGGGCTGGTTGGAGCTCTTGCTGTTGCCTTTCTGGTATGCATTGCAAAAGCATCACCGTAAAAGAGATCATCGCAGTCATGCATCACAAGCGTCTTTCTTCTAGATGTGTAAATTCTGTTTTTCATGCAGAGAAAATTAATATTAATATTTACATTGCTTGACTTCCGGGTTCTGGTAACGCATACCCCCGGCGACAGGTGACCTTGACAGGTGACCTTGACAGGTGACCTTGACAGGTGACCTTGACAGGTGACCTGGACAGGTGACCTGGACAGGTGACCTGGACAGGTGGGCGCGACAGGTGTTGGCGACAGTCGAACGCCCTTGCCCCACTAGCGTGGCGCGCACTAAGCGACCACGCGCGCGCCTGGTGTGAGGCAACCCGATGCCGAACTTCCTGCCCCCACTAGTGCCTCGTGCACTAAGCCACTATGCGCGCGCCTGGTGTGAGGCGAGGGGCGGACGCTGTCCGCCCCGATGCCGAACACCCTTCCCCCACTAGTGCCTCGTGCACTAAGCCACTATGCGCGCGCCTGGTGTGAGGCGAGGGGCGGACGCTGTCCGCCCCGATGCCGAACACCCTTCCCCCACTAGCGCCACTAGGGATGGGCACAAGGCCCCAGCGTGGGGACCCTGTCCCCACGCGTGGACCTTGTTTGTCATGCGATTTCTGCTAGTCTAGGATACTTTTGCAAAGGATATGTGGTTGACTTCTATCCGCTGCCAGGTTCTTCGCTGCGTACCGCGGGTCTGCGCGATTCCGCATCTTCTTGCGCTTTCCACATTACCATTAGCCGCGAAGGAGTTGCTTTACCTTTTCAAGTAGAACAAAAGAATAGCCGAAGGCTTCCAACTGCTCGAGGATTTGCTTTTATTTGGATGAAAAAGTAGTAGTCGCGCCATCGGAAGCTCCTACAGAGGTGTAAATACTTCCTATCGCCTTCTTATTTCCGGCATAGGCTGTGGCTGTAGGTGGCTTTCGAAACTGCAACTGAGCAGGGTTTGCTGCTCGTCACATTTGATGAAATAGAAATACAAAAACTTAAGAGAGGTGGTGGGGTAACAGTAGCTGGCGCACCCGTTGTAGCTGCGGTTACTATTACAATTATTTTTAAGGAGGTTTGGCAGTCGTGGTGATAAGAAATTACGGCACTGAAATCGGAGTAACTCAGAGTGGGTGGGAAGTGATAGTACTTTGAAACAGAAACTCTCTTCGTGCATGTCTTCGTGGGGTAGCTTAGCATCAGAAAACGAAACTCCAAGTGGGGTATGGTTCTTTCCTGGCTGCCTGAATCTAGAAGTAAGTCCTTGACTAAAGTAGCTCGTAGCCACTGTCTGTGAATTGCTCATGCGTCAACGGAGCAAGTCCTGTTTCTTCTGTGCAAAAATTATTGTGAATTGATGTAAATGTACGTGTTGTAAAGAGACAAAAATCATGCTTACGCTGGGGCCGATTGTGAAAATGAAATAGTACTATTAGAATATAGTAAGGAGTAGGAGTAAGTAAGTGTCTTTTTGCAAAAAGCTGCTTCCTCGCGGTTTGCCTAGTACAGACACTAAATGCGCATGCTTTCGTGAAGGGTAGCGCAGAAAGTGCAGAAGACAACAACGAAGAACATCAATGACAGACTTTAGTCCGACACCGACAAAGCCACTCACACTGTCACATACCAATGGGGTGATTCGCGGCAGCGCGCACCGCGGCAGCGCGCCCCGCGTCACTCGGTCCTGTCCCGACCTGGCCGCCGGCCGCAGCGCCGGAGGCCGTGGAACCCAGCCGGTCCACCGACGGAGACACAATTCGTCCGCCCGAACGGACTGGAAAATGACCCGCTCCGTCACATACCGTTGTGAGGGGCGCGTCGTATTGACGTACACATGTGTAGTGTTGTTGCTCGCTCCCCGAACTGCCCGACACCCCAAAGACACTTGGTGTACAGTAGAGCTGACCGTGGCAGCAGTCCGCCGTCGAAGATAGTTGTTGGAAGTACTTACCCCACGACAGATCAGTTGTACATGCCGTATTGACGATCGATGCAGCACGTACGTATTGACGATCGATGCAGCTTTATCGAAATTTTTTACTACGAAATTAATGCTCAACACCGCCGGGGTGATGAAAAAGTAGAAGCTCAACTACCACATAAGGAGCGAGAATGCTTTTACTCATCCTCCACAGTCCCGCCCCCAGCATCGTAGGTCTCTTCGAAGCCTTCCCCAAAGCCATTCCCATCTCCAGCGAAATGCTCTTCCCCTTCCATGATTTCAGGCTCAGCAAGGTGCTCGTTTTCATCTACTCCCCCTTCTAGTCCCAGATGATCCTCGGGTTGTTCAACTCCTGGTTCATCATCATACTGGTCGTCATGAAGATCTTGTTGCCAGGTTCTTCGCTGCGTACCGCGGGTCTGCGCGATTCCGCAGACACCAAAGGTTGTGCTCCCGGATCACCAGAGTGATCGCCTTCTTCTGCGCCCCTTGCAGGTCGCAGAAACGGTCGGTCTGCTGGCGGTCAAGCCAGCCGATGGCGAAGGGAATCAGTGGCATGACTTCTCTGTCCTCGGCGGGAAGTGTGGATGGCAGGGCCTCGCCACTTTCTAATTTTTGCAACAAAGTCGTCCACTGCCCTCTGCAAAGTCGGCCCACCTCGGTAGTTTTATTCCGAGCTTGGCGCGCCGCGGATGCTGCTCTCGTGGTCCCTTGCGCTGGCAGCTGCAACTCTGCGTGAAGATTGCGGGATGAGGAAGGCGGGTCTTTCGAATTACTATTTGTAGCATGGTCCGCTACTGCAGCTGCTTCCGTTGGACAACTCTCTTTTGGAAGAACGTTGATTTCCTTTTCTCCTGTTTCATCTTCTACTTCGTTGGCCTTCGTAATGATCTCTAGCTTAAGACCCATCGCCTCCTCAATGGCTTCGCGAAAAGTGATTCTTACTCGCTTCTTACTCTTGCCATTTTTGCTCGCCAATGACCTCCCTCGATCTTCAACAACGTCTCTTGGTGGAGCTGCCGGGGCTCCTGCAGCTGCTGCGTGGTGTGTTTTCAGAGTTCCGACGAAGTCCACCAACTTGTTGAGACAGCGAAAGACTTCCCCGTTCCCGCGTACTTTTTCGTAGACAAACTCCTCCACTTTTTCTATCAAATGCAAAAGTGTCTGGGTCTGGAAGAGTCATGCTGTTTCTGCATGACACAGAAGGTCTGGCATGGAAGCTATAGCACTACAGGTTTCGAGAAGCTTCCGCAATGCCGAACCCGCATGACAAATCCCCCATGTTGGGGACAGAAAGTGAGCAGCTTTTGCTACCTATGCATGAGAGATTTTTGTGTGTTCCGAAGTGCGCATCACAAGTTTGTATTGTTCCAGACCCAGACATTTTTGCATTTGATATTTTCGGATTGCAAACGATTTTCGTCTTTGGTGCGTTTCTTCTCGAAGTCACCCGCGATATACATTGCAAATATGTGTGGGTCTGGAAGATGGCAACCTGTCATGCCAAATCTGAATGATGCAAAAAATCTGTGTTGCATGGTTACCAACAGCCGTCCTTTTTTAACAAGTTGCCAAGGAATTTCTCATCCAGGACAGGCAAGATAGAGATCCCACAGAATCTGTCATGCCATGTGCTGCATTACAGACCTCATGGGTCATGGAAACTGGCATGACAAATCTTACATCCTTCCAGACCCAGACATATTTGCATTTGATACGCGAGCCCGTAGTGCGAGAGGAGGTTGCTGGATGTGATCTGCACCTTGTGCGGACTCTTGGCTCCCCTGGTTCCCACGAGTTCGCGAAGCGTCAAGGTCAGCAGAGCGTCGCCCACATGCGCTTTGGACTGACCCGGTACTTCCTTTGTTTTTACGATCTGCTGTGCCTCGAGAAACTCCTGCACAAAGTCGTAGAACCGGTCTGCCTCAACCTGGGACTGCGGATAGTTTTTCAATTGCGAAAAGTCCACACCGCAGCTCGTTTGCAACGCCTCCACATCCTGCTGGGTGTAGTTCTGAGTGAGGGGAGGAAAGGACGGGGAAGGTTGTGGCTGGAAAAATTTTTGTTCCTCCACCTCTCGGCCGACAATGTTCAACCCGTCTACAACTTCCCTTTCATTTTCTACCTCTTTGCTTTCAATTTCATCTCGAGGACCATAGGCCAAATAGGAATGCTGTTCCGCGTCCGAGACATCAGGAATTGATCCGTCTTCTACTTCTTCGCCCATCTCTTCAGAAACTTCAGCCTCGTCGCTGGTCCCCACTAGTTGTACCGCACGGGGTTCATCTTGTTCGTCCACAGCGACCACGACTGCTGGTGCACTTTGACTAGTATTTTGATTTTCGTCCTCGTCGGGGTACGGAATGAAGTCCTGCGTCATGAACTGCGACGCCTGGCTCCGCACCGCGAAAGCGTCCAGCGCTCGCTCCTCGCTGTGGGCGGCGTTCGCCATCTTTCTAGAACGGACAGGTGTCGTTGAAAAAGCAACCTTATAGAGAACTTCTATATATACTCCTTTACAATTTACAATTTATTCACGAGAAGATCTCGCGGTTGCAGCGAAAAATCGACTGCTGGGTTGTAGTACTTCGAACAACAGACGCAAGAAAAAGAAGCAAAGGCTGAAGCATCAAGACAAGTCGCAAGGGAAAAAACGCCATCTTCGCCACGGCGTCAATACCACAGCTAAGTACCACCTGAGTAGTAGAACATCGTCACAACTCATCCACACGACATCTCTACTAGAGTGCTGCGAGAACCAAAGGAGAGGCCGCTCCTAGGAGGTTGTCGACCCAGATGAAATCATTTTCATCATTTTCGTTTTTCTTCGTCATCTTACACTTTTGGTTTGCACTGCCTCCTGAATCAGGAAGGTCTTCAATCTCTTTTAAGTCTTTGCAATGCAAAATATAAGATGCGGCCATGCTAATAGTTACTTTTCCACAATGAGATGAGCCTTGTTGAGATGATCAACTGTTTGTGTAGCTTTCTCTTTGCAGCTGCGGTCCTGCACTGGGGATCGGACTACTGATTATACTATCTTTCTATACAAAATCATAGGAACGAGTACACACGCACTCACTCCAGTCTAACTGGGCCAAAAAATGGCATGCAACATCTGTCTCATTGATCTGTATGAGACACAGGTCAGCAAAAAAATTAAAATGACCTGGGCCAGCTCAACTTACATCTCTGCACCCAAAGAAATGATATAGATAGGCTTAGTAGCGTCTGGCGCCAGCTAAGGGAGTACCGTGCCAATCTTCAAGGGAGTCAAGGGAGTAAGTTCGAAAAGCGCTCAAGGTTAGCTCATTCAACCAAAACACAGCAAAGCCAAAAAAGATTTATGCGTAATTCAAATTCTAAAATCATACACAAATCGCCCGGTGGATTTCGACGCGTTTGATGGGACGTCTTTAGGGCGGTGGCGCTTTGCTAAGTGCTACCTCGTTCTGCTTCGTACGAGACTTTTGAAAATTAGCATAGCGATATATAGGATAGGTTTATGGAAAAGACCGACGAGCATCAATAATTCAGACAAAGACTCCAACTCGGATGTAGACTGGAAACAAAAATGAGCCCGAGCACTCTCTAACACGTTCAATAGATACCTGTACTTCTTTCTTACTGCTATAAAGCTGTAGCAGGATCCACCTTGAAAGAAATTCTCTTCTGATAGACTTCCCCCCTTACACCATAGGAGCGTGTAGTTTCATGAACGCGCGCATCTCTTCGACCATCGGCAACGTGGTTGCGTGGTCTACTGTGTGGTCGCTTTCCAGCAAAGTCTTCCACTCGTCAAAAACCTGATTAGACATTACCGCGTCCCACACCCGTCCAAAGTCCGAATCTGCCGGGGGCTGGTTGTGGTCAAACTCCCAAAACAGCCATCCCGAGCGGGCGTTCCTCTTCTGATGTCGCGCGGACACTGCGGACAGGGCGCGGAAGGGGCCAATGTACGCCTCTCCCGCGGCATTCGGATTGCGGACGGCGTCATAGTTCCCAAAGAAACGCTGCCAGCTAGACGAGTGCAACAACATATCGCGCGGCGCAAGGGTCTTCCGGTTCATGCCGTGGCTCTTGAAAAGAATCGACTGGAAAGAAAGCCACAACTTCTTCGCCATCACAGTGTGTTCGTTCTGCCAAAAATCCAGCGGGTGCACCGGGTTGCCCGCCGCGTCCGTGTTTTCGCTCGTCCTTTGGGCCGGATTCCGGATTGGGAGTCTCGTGTCTGCGCATTGCCCGGCGATAACTCGATGGAAGAACCGATTTAGCCAGCCGAGCCCCCGCCCCAGGCTCCCGTCGATGCCGTTGAACAAGTGGCCGTAGTTGGTGGAGGCGCGCAGGTGCTCGAGGTGATGCGGCGCGTAGACCAGCACGAATTCGAGAATCTGCAGCTGTCCCTCGGTGAGCTTCCCCGTGCTCCAGTTCCAGTCCGCGTCGGTCCACAGGTCGGCCGGGTCGTTAATGAAGTGCCTCGTCGTCGGGGCGTGCAGCGTGTGCGACGTGTAGGAAGCCACCCGCTCCAGCAGGCGCAGCGCGTTCCGCTTCTCCGCCACTGTGGGCAGGTCCGCCTGCAGCACCTCCTGCAGAGAAAAGTTTTTCGGTCTGTCCGGGGCGTCCGCGTCGCGGACCGTCCGCTTCGGGGTGGCGGAGATCAGGCTGCGCATCACCAGTCGCTCCACCATCGCCTGCCCCTCACCCGGCGGGGCGGGCTTTCTCGTCACGGGGGGAGGCGCCGGCGTCTGCGCGGACCGCGGCCCCTCCGCGGTCGCCCGCGTGGACGCGTAGTCGATATCGGGATGCGCCGCCCAAGCCGCCTCGCCCCAGGCTTGGAGGAGCGAATTCCGGTCGGTCCGGTCCACCCACAGGTTAGCCCCGGTCTGCGGGTCCGTCTGGAGGTACTTGTTCCCGTTTCGGAACATGATGGTGTTCCCGACCTCGTCCGCGCGCCGGGATCCCGCGACGATAGCTGCAAACACGAAGGCCCGAACCAACGCCGCTTCGCTGCTCAGGCCGGAGTAGGTTTGCAGCTGTTGCCACAACTGCGGGGCGTTCTTCTTGACCATAAACAGGAGATACAGACTGGTCGGGATGTGCCGCACACTCCAGAGCGCCCCGTGGTTCCACGCCTTGTCCGGCTTCGCGTTGCCGACGGTTGCGCGGGGGTAGGGCATCCCCGTGAGAAAGGTGGACAAATTTTTCCCCAGTTGCCACATCCAGTGCTTTTTCCCGCTCAAAGCCGTATCCACGTAGAAGGCCGGGGAGGTGGTCGTGGTCGTGGTCGTGTTTCTGTTTCCGGCACCACCACCACCAGCGCTGCTCTTCTCGAACTCGTTTTCAGTAAACAGCTTGTTGTACTATTGCCACTGGCGTTCGCCCTGCGCCTGAAACCACTTGCGGCACCGGTGTTGATTCTGTGCGCCGACCGCAATCTGGTTGCAGATCGTTTTCCAAATCTGCCCGTAGGTGTTCGGGAACCCCTTCTGCGCCATCAATTTCCCGACGGAGCTCACACTAGGCGGAAGGATGTAGTTGTCACTTAGTATTCCGTCCGGGTGCGGCGGGCCGGGTGCAGGCGTCGGCGTCGGATTCGGCGTCGCATTCGGTGTCGGATTCGGTGTCGGACTCGGTGTTGGATTCGGCGTCGGATTCGGTGTTGGATTCGGTGTCGGATGCGGCGGTCCTGTTGCTCTATTCTCGTTGTTTCTGTTCACCACCACTGACGCCACCGGCACGGCGACACAGGTGCAAACTGCTAAGACTGCGAGCACAATCCAGAGCCAAAGGAATTTCTGGCAACAGGAACGAGGACTTTCGGCCGAACAACCGGAGTTAGAGTTCTTCTGCGCGGCACATCCTGGTCGGTCCTCTCCGTGGAGGAGCAAACTGTGTTGCTCCTGCTGTATTTCCAAGTCCTCTGCCTCGTGCAAAAATGAACCCCGCTGCTCCCGTGGGGCAACACCTCCGGCCAACATCATTTCTGCGCACAATAAAAATTTGGAAAGTAGTACAAAATATAGCCGCCGGGGCGGGGGTAGTGAGGTCGTGGGCGTTTTTTTTGCCGGCCGCAGCCTTGGCCGCGGCTTTGCTTTTTATGGGCTCGCCATACCGCCGTGAGTAACGTTATGCCGCACGGTATGGCGGCCACTTGGGAAACGTCGCAAATTTTGGCACATTTCCAAAATTCCTTTCCGAAAGCCAGCCCCGATGCTATGGGGCCGATCCGGGTGCCACGGGGGGCGCCCAAAAAGCGAAGAAAAACCGGGCCCATAGCATGCGGATTGGCTTTGCGCGTCTGGGGCGCTTTTTATTTTTCGCGTTTTTATTTTTCACGCCGGCGCTTTTTGCAAAGCTTCCCAGGCTCTAAAACCGGCGAAAAGGCGGCCGCTTTCGCGGCCGCCCAAAATGCTCCGAAATCGCGGCCGTGCCATGCTGTTTCGCTGTTCTGATTTTGGGCGCGTTTTTTGCGCGCCCCTTTTTGGGCGCCCCAAATCGCCAGAAACCAAGGCGGCGGGCGCCTCAGAAGGGCGCCCCTTTTGCCGGCTCCCCTGCGTCGTTTTATCAAGTGCGAATCGATAGTTTTCAACCGGGCTTGTTTGATGGCAACGCCCCGGCCGCTTGACAATTGAAAATTTTTTCTGTCAAAAAACACTTCCGCCCGCTTCAAAACTGCCGGTCGTTTTTCACGGGAGGTGGCAAAAAAACTCCCCGGTTAGAACCGTTCGGTGACCTCACTACATACAAGTAGTTTAATTATATTCGAGGTTGCTCAATGTAGACTACTGGCACTAGGTCTCGATCCTTGATAAAAGGCAGCAAGGAGGACCACTTCTGAAAATGAACTTGCTGCACTTACAGGTTGCTTAGGCGTCAAGAAGCAAGAGTATTCAAAACAAGAAGCGCAGCGTCCACCAACAGGAGCAGCTCTCTGTAAGTTCGTGGTCTTCTAGTTCGATACGATCAAGAAAAGAAACAACGTGTCGAAAATCAATGAGTTCTCACAAAAACTCGACACAAAAATAGGGAGTCAGTGGCTGATTAATTTTCGTCTACTCGAGTGGTCTAGAGGTTTAGAGAGAGATCAAAACAGAAGTAGAGATCAAAATAGAAGTAGAGAATAGGTCTTCTAGTTGTAGAGATCAAAATAGAAGTACAGTCTCAGTCAGCCTTGGAATCCTGTAGCTTGTGCTGTTCTTCCATGCAGTGACGACCACGGGTTGCTCCTTCGATCTGAAAAAATCTTTACCGAATGACCACGAACAAGAACCTAATCCAAACTTAATATAATCATTTTTAAAAATTGACGGACTCAACTGATCAGGGCCACGACCTTGTTGTTTTTTGAGCCGCACAATCAGAAATAAATATACGAGGACCAGGACCGAGCAGTGGAATTTCAAAAAAATTCTTTCTTTCGTCCACATTCACCGCGCAAGGAAGATTTGTGAAGATCCATCAAGGTGATTTCGATCATCGCGTTCATAATTTTCGATTGGTCTCTGTGATCTTCTGTGAGTGATCCAGATTTCAAAACATCGGCTACAACATGGTCTACTTAACGTTTTTTTCACCGACTACATCCTCGGCAAGATGACCAATGGCGCTGCTACTGCCGAAGTAGCTCGCTTTTCAATACAAATCCGAATCTGCTGAAGAACATGCTTTAGATTTTTTCAACAATTTGCTGTTGATCATGACGCGAAAACCCAAAGTTAGTCATCCATGCGTCAGTATTTTTTCACGTTTTTGAAGCAAATTACCGGCACGGAAATCATTTTCGTTTTCGTTTTTTTTGTAGTTTTTCGTCATCTTACGTGGAGTTTTATGGCAGAGATTATACAGCCTCATCTTACACTTTTATGTACTAGCTTGCTCTGCTTCCTGAAGCTGCGGAGTTCGTATATTGACATCAGGAAGGTGTGGGTCGTGTCCAATCTTTTTTACTTGCAATATTACTCTGTCGTGGATGTTGCGGCCATACTTCTATCCATCCGATTTTGGAATCAGCCGTGTCGTAACACGAATCATCCGAGAAGATCATCTTAATTTTTCTTTATCCGCGCTTCTAGTGCACTATCTTGCTCAGAAAACCAAAACCATAGAAACGAGCACACACGCACTCACTTCAGTATCTATGTATAGATGGGCAAGATGAAATAACTGGTGGCACGCAGAATCTCATTACAGAAAGAAAAATCTCCTGGGAAGTCGGGAAGAAAAATCAAGATCTCCTCTTTGGCCACTTAAAGCTAGACATAATTTCCACCAATGTGATTATTTCTTGTTCTTTAGAACAAGAACTGCACCCAAAAAATAAAAAGCGCGACTTAATTCTACCGTGATCCTTTCGTCCGGTGCATTTCGTCGCCTTCGGCATCAAGGCGGCGCTTTCCCAAGCACGAACGCGTTCGCGCGAGAGCTGTGTCCACCTACACGGCCGCCTGTAGCTACAGAGATTTTACAGTGATGAGAAGTTGTGAATTATAACTGGATGCACCAATTTTTTAAGTTTTATAAATTGCACAAGGAGCGCCAAGATTACAACTAAGTTCGTTGCATCTGTATGTATGTGTTAAGCATAGCAGAAAGCCTGCAGATAGTAGAGAAGCCAGAATTCTGACATATCAATATCGAAGCTGTTCTGCTGATTTCTCTGTCCGGGCCGGATATAATTATCCGACTCGGCGTACTTAACTCTTCGTCTTCCGCTTTCCTAGCACACCCTTGTTGCTGGTGATGTATTATGACTATGCAGTTGAGAATGAAAAATAAAATCAGCGATTGGACCTCGAAATATAGATGCACAAAGTGGTCGGTAGAGAAATAAGCAAAAATCCAGGATTGCTTATTCCTCTACCGTTTTATCAAAACTGTAACTTTACTTCATTGTTAGCTGTTAGGTTGAAAACATTATCTCGTCCACAACTCGTTTGCATACACCTCCAAGAGATTATCATCATACAGTCAAGAGTACATCACGTCTGAAAAATTATACAGCGAGAAATTGATTTTCATAGAGAATATTGCAACGCAGAGTCCAAAATTAAGACCGAAAGCAGATCAGCCTAGAAACGACTGCAGAAGCTTATTTTCTCCCGTACTTACAAAAACAAGACCCGCTTGTAATTACGGTGTACTCTAAGTGTGATCTATTTTACCGGTACAATTATACAAGGAGTTTACGTAAACAAACCCAGAGCTTTCCGGAAGTCAGCGACAACTTGTGTGTAGACTTGCGGATCCATGGAGGACTGCATGTTCGCCAGCGCCAGCTGGCATGCGGTTTTGTTGTGGCCCCAGTTTTTCACCAAGGTTGCGTTCCCGTCTACAATCTGGTGGCGGAACCTATAGCGGTGCGACATCTGGCGCGCCAAGTTAGCCGTCGGGAAGGGCGTATCGAACATCTGCTGGATTTCGCTGATGTTCCCCGGCCTTCGCTGGTACTCTTTGTGCTCGAATAACAAGCTTGCCTGGAAGAGGGTCAGCGTCGTGATGCCTTCCCGGATCCTCTGCCGGCTCTGCGCGGTGGGATGCTGCATCGCAATCTGCTGCCCAGGGGGTGCGCCGTTTTGTTGCACCCAGCGCAGGGTTCCCGTGTTCGGCAAAACCGCACCGAGCAGCTTGAAGATCGCGTAGCGGCCCAGGTGGAAACTCGCCGCGACAAAGTGCGGCGAAAAGTGGTCGTAATTGCACGTGGGCCGCAAGTGCCCTAGGTCGTGACCAAAGTGGAACACGGGCCAGAACAGCCAGTCGGCCTGTTTTTCTGTCGCGGCGGGCCCCGCCGCGGGGTCGTAGGTCAGAGACAGTGGGAAGTCTTTGGGCATGTTCATGTAATATAGGGCGTGGTTCGGATCCGTGGTCTCCGGCAGTCCCGTTGGCATGCGCGGCTGGTAGTCACGTTTGACGGCTACCTCGATGTGGTGAATGCTCAAGGTAAGCCGGAACAACTCGTCCAGGAAGGCGTCATGTTGTTCCGCGGAGGCAAAAAATTCCGCGCCAAATCGCATTTCCCGGGCTACCTCGCGCACGAACAGGAATCCCAGCATGTTGTCCAGGGTGGACAACCGACCCAGATTTCGCTTTAGCTCGCCCACCGTGTTCATCCACGCCGGAAAGCGCGCCGCCTGCAGCTTCGCAGTAAAGCTTGCTTCGGCCGCGGGAGACAACGCACTGAGATCTGCAACCGTCTTCCACCGCATCCAGGGCTGCGTCAAACCGTCCACGTAGCGGAAAGCACGCCCCATACCCCCGCAAAGGGCAAACATTTGCTTCAAGAAGGCCTTTGCCTCCTCGGGGGCTGCCGTCGTTTGCATCTGAACGCCGGCTTTGTGCTGGAAGTATTTGAGCCAAAATCCCCAGTAATTGTTCTGCGTGTCGTCCTGGCCCGCGGGGCCGTGGTCGAGGTAACTGGTTAAGAGAAGAGTAGAAGCGAATTGCTCCACAAACCACGTGACGTGATGGTTCCCGCGGCGCGGCACAGGGCGCGGGCCTTTGTCCGGATACTCGATAAGCAGGACGTGGTCGTGCACGTTCTGCAGGACAGACTCCACAAACTTTCCTTCCCCATTCGGGCCGCAACATTTCTCGATCCGCATACCGCCGGCCGACCCGCGCTTTCCGGTGACTGCAGACACCCCTCCATAGTGAAATCGGTACTTCTCTGGCGTTCCGCTTCCGCCGGCGGTCAGTTCGTTGATGAGTACGTCGTGCTGCTTGCCCCAATTACCGCCCAAAAGCTTATCAAATGCAAAAATGTCATCTGGGTCTGGAAGATTGCGAGACTTGTCATGCTTGTCTGGGATGTTTGTGATGCGTGTCCAAGAAGAGACCCTTTTGTCTGTCATGCAAAAACGCAGTTTGTCATACGAAAAACGCAACACGATTTCTCATGCTTGGCTGGGCATTACAAAGCATTCACTAGTCCCAAGGCAGCATTACAAGTTTCCAGACCCTGACCCAGACATATTTGCATTTCATAAAGCTCGGACCCGGTCAAAACGTCTTTGCCCACAAGTTGCGGTGGTGGAGTAGGCGGAGTCGGTGGTGGAGTAGGCGGAGTCGGTGGTGGAGTAGGCGGAGTCGGTGGTGGAGTAGGCGCAGTCGGTGGCGGAGTAGGCGCAGTCGGTGGCGGAGTAGGCGCAGTCGGTGGCGGAGTAGGCGCAGTCGGTGGCGGAGTAGGCGGAGTAGGCGGAGTCGGTGCTGTCGGAGTCGGCGCTGTCGGAACCTGCGTGGGGTTTCTACTCCTCTCCTGGTTGTTGTGTCTCTCCGCTACCACAATGGCCACCGGCACGGCGATGCCGGTCAACACTCCCAGGACCGCGAGCAGAATCCAGAGCCAAATGAATTTCTGGCAACAAGAAGAAGCGCGCCGAGGACCACTTCCTTCTCCTTCTGGCGCAGAGTTCTGCGCTTGTTGGGAAGTAGTTGTCAAGAACGGCGTGGCTTCTCCAGCATTCACCTCCTGAGCTTGAGCCTCAAGAACTTCGCCGTGCATGGGAAGCAAACTGCCTCCCTCCGGGTCTTCTACGTCGACCTTGCTGAAAGACGACATCTCATCCCGCGACGCTGCTGCACGAGCGGCCAACATCTCTACTTATTTACAACAACAGTTTCGACCTGATAAATTATTTTATAGAGAGACAACAAGCAGGACTGATAAAAACTCGTCTCCCGTGTTTACTTTACTCGACAAAATGAGTTTTAATGATCCAAAAGTAAGGGCAAAGCAAAAAAGCGCAGCAGCTTCCTCAACAAGAAGCTTCCTCTAGCGAGTAAAGTTGTTGTCGAACAAGCTACTTAAGTACAGTGTGCGGCCGAGACTACTAACACAGATCTTCGCCTAACGCAAAACACAACACGTCGGTCCCAAGGGATAATTGTTGTCAATAAATCTACACAGCTTCGCTTTAAATCCAAAAATTTGAATAAACCTCGTCGGCGACGTCGTAATTGTAGAGACAACCCACTGGCTGATTACTAGTGTTCGCCTACGATGGAGGTTTGGTCTGTTTGTAGAGCTCTATTCCAAATAGTACAAAAGTATCGGCCTTGTCTTTGCTGTTCCTTTATGAAATATAAGAAGTCCCTGCAGGCAATTCCTCCGACCACGACTTGTTCCTTCGATAAAGATCCTCACCGATTCTTGACAAAAAAAATCAACCGTCTTTGATTTTGATGACGGACCATCATGGTCAGGACCACTACTTGATCATTTGATTTTTCTAACCATCAGACATTGTCATGTGGAACCATCAGAAATCATCGCGTGGACGAATGCTGCTGTCTTCCGAGTACAAGGACCGAGCACTGCTGCGACATACTTATTACTTCGGAGATGGATCCTTATGCTTTTTCCGACACGATTTAGAAACTGTGATCCGCTTTTTCAAATAGAGATGAACGATTTTGTGATCGAGACGAAGGATGAAAACAAACACCATCCGGACTGAGTCACGCTGCGATTGAGCAGGACGCGCTTACTTTTCTTCAGCGTCGACTTTCGTTCCTTGTTTTTCTTGCCAAAAAATCAATTGGAGTGCAACTGATAGTATCATTTTCAGAAGCGAGCTACTTCGTGCCTGCTTCTTTCGGTGCAGGTCTCTTGCGACTTTCCATTGCTTTGGTCTCTTGCGGTTCTTGCATCGGGTCGCCTGCGCCAGGGGTAAAATCTAGGCAGGGACTCTTTTACCCACCGAATCTAGTGGTAGTGCTCCCACATCTCCACCATCATGCCGCAGTGAGCATGTCATAGTTCGTCACAATTTTGATTTCTGCTCTATGTTGTTTTAAGTCCAAGACAAATTTGTTGTTGTTGATGAAGGGGACTGCATCATACATGAACATTGCAAAGTAAATCTACTTCTACGTACTATAACTTCGGGGGAGAAATACCAATACCAATCATACACTATACTCATACAACAGCGGAAATACACGTCAAATTCCAGAGGGAAGAAGTTTGACTAAAAGCACAGTAGCAGGGCGACCTGAACAATGCAAATTCTGTATAACTGTAATCATCAGCTTAACAGCCACAGAGGTGCTGCGATGTCAGCATGGAACCTCCTCCGAGGTTGTGGCTCTCTGTGGTCGTCTCCGGCACTGCTTACTTCGTACTTGAGGTTCTTCTTGTGCTGGGTGCGGGTGGTGATAATGATAAACTCCTGCTCTGATGATATGCATTGCAAACATGTCTGGGAGGTCTGGAAACCTTGAATGCTAAATGGTCATCCGTGAGCGCCAACGGCCCTTTAGCTTTAAGTGCAGTGCAGCATGACAATTTTTTCAAACACTTTCACAGGCTTGGTTGTGCTTGTGCGCTTTACCATTAAGTACAAACTGCGCTTTTTCATTGCACGAAACAACCTGTGGCGCTCTTGTTGCTTTTATGCAATACAGATTTTTCTGGAATCCTGGACACGCAATACAGGTTCAACCTTTCCAGACCAAGACAAATTTGCATTCCATACCTCTTGCATGGGAACGACGACGACGACTAAATTATGCTGCGCGCCATGAAGATTTTTCCCGGTGCTTTCAGTCGACGAATTTACCTGCATTACGACGAGTCGGAGGCGCGATTTATTACTGGTGGTGACCACTCTGTGGTTGCTGTTGTGCTTGGGCTCCAGTCCGTTGTTGCGATAAAAAACGATTCCGTTCTTCTTGCTGTCCTTGCCAAAGAGCCTCTCCCTGGTCAACGTAGGGCGACCCGTCGGCGTAGCAACACAGGTTGAAAACCGTCTTTCCGTCAGGAGAAAAACCATCTGGGAAGGGCGGCCGCCCAGACGCAGTAGCGCGGCATGCAAATACCAGGTCGCCGCCACGCGTGATATATCCGCCGGTGCTGGGCAGCTCCGCACCGTGAGACGACTGAGCTGCACTCGGGATCATGAAAAGAGCAGCGTCCAAATTGAGGCCTCGTCGAGATGAATCTGTTCCACCTGCACCACTGGAAGTGCCTATGCCGCTGCCGGCAGGAAATATACCATGTCGAAAATAAGGATCCTGGCCCTGAGCCTGAGCATAGGGAAAATCATAGACATCCGGTCGCGATCCAGAGAACGAGGCCTGCCCGATTACTACCGCTTGTTGTCCTTGATGTTGATGTCCGACTCCGGCGGGAGCGGCATGAGAATCAGTGTCCTCCTCCGCGTCGGAATCCTGAACGTCAGCCCAACGACCGCCTTCGGGCATATTTCCCCCACGAACTTGTTCTTCTTCTATGGGCGTGGTCAGCTTCTTCCGCCACTTGCCCTGCTTCGCAGGACGCAACGCGACAGCCTCTGAACCAAGCACCGCGGCTGCCAGATGAACGAAGGACAAAAGGCGACTAGGCGACATTTTGGTCTTCGAATTCGTTCGTATAGGTTATCGTTATATTCGGTGATGTTGATTTAAAACTTCTTGCTTATATGGTCTTGGGTGAAAGAAGTCAGTGTGAGCACACGACAAGTACCGGTGTTCTTTAGTTTTGTACTGTAGATTCAATTATGCACTTACTGTACTAACTTAGCTGCAACAGGAACAAGGTCTCTTGATTTTTGCGCGAGGATCTTTGATGTTGTCAAAGTAGAAGCTGAAGCTGTTGCACTCGTTGTACTTGTTCTTCAAAGTCGTGTAGAAGACACTGGCGATAAGTAGACAACTGCGTCGACGCGGCGATAGTTGTAGTTTACTTAAGTTGCTGTTGGTTTTTTGTACTGAGCAAGAGTTTTGCGATCAACGAACATGTATGTCATGACAATACATAGATACGTGGTCTGTGTTCGTTCTCTTCGTCGTTCCGACAATTTGGAAGTACCTACATTGACCCGTCCAAATGTACAGATTTAGGATCCTCACAATGTTACTTTTTGATTTTTAGGCCCGACTGTGCACAAGTAGAAGACTAAACTTCGGAGCGATGATCATGATCCTTTATTGAATTTATGACTTACGACATAGCGCCTCAGGCCTTTCTTTCCGACACGATCTAGAGATGACTGCGATTCGCTTCAATGTGCAGCGAGCGCCTCAACGAAATGATCTGGGGAACCGAACCGAGAAATTGATCTGGGTTGATCTTTTATTTTGATTTTCCTATTCTTTCCGGAACTCATGAAGAAGTTGTGCAAGACGAAAGGTGGAGGTACCATTCCACAAAGCATTGCACCTGGCGTAGTCGCACAGCACTGAGAGATGAAAATAATCTTCATCCCTGCCCCAGGAGTCATAAATTTCACGTGGTCAGCAACCATTTTTTATTGAAGAAAAATACCAGCTCAACAACTACCTTGGTAGTTCGGGCTTCTTCTTGGTCCAGCCCTTGTTGTTCTATCTTTCCGTTCGATTTTTACTTCCTTTCTTACTGCTGTTAAGCGTACTTTTACTTTGTCTGAATTCGGCTAAGGCTTTACTGTAACTGTATCATCTTCTAATTTTCGCGACATACACTCCGGGTCGTGGTCCCCTGAGTCACTATCCCCATCCCGATTCCCGTGATTCCTGCTCGTTTTCGTTGATATAAAAACTGATAGCTTATTTTCAATAAAGTATTCTATTTCTGCACTGGTACTATATCAGAGTTGGAGAAAAAGTTGTGTTAAGCGGTCTCGCTCGAAATATCGGCGAATCTTTGGCCGCGGTTGCCGTGGTTGCTCCTTCAAACACTCATTTTGGCGCGTAGTTTCTCGCATCTCGTGTCAACCGCGACCTCACAGGGCAAAGGTAAAGATCAAGCTCTCGACACTTATGTCAACATGATGAAAGTCACAGTACAGGAAGAGGAACTACACTTGTACAACCAGGAGAACAAATTTTACAGCCTGTAGTAACTTTCACATCCTGAAGGAAGCTCTACTGCTGAAAAGTGAAATAAACAAAAGCTCACCAACACTACACCTTCACACGCTCGGGAAGTCGTGAAAGCTGACACGAGATGAAGTTCGCTGTTTGTTCTTTGTAGGTACTAAGTACACAAAGTTCTCACTTCGCCGCCTGCTCCGCCTGTTTGTTCATTTTATTCACCGCGTCAATTTGCATCTCGTCTGCAAGGTCCGGCGAAATGTGCTCCAGTTTCAACTGCATCTCCACTTTGCCCGACTCCTTACTGTAACTGTGCTGCGCCACGTTATTCAGGTTAGAACTTTTCACGCTGCTCTTGCCGTTTATGCAAGAAAAAAACTCTGCGATGTATTGTGCAGATTGCTTCATTTCCTACTCCTAGTCCTAGCCATAGCCTGTTAGCATGACATCAGACATGCTCTGCATGACAGAGAAAGTCTGCCATCAAGCACGGCTAGTATCCGAATCGGTGTGATGAAATCACGACCTATGAAATGACCCAGGGTTGTTGTGCCACTCGTCCAGCAATTGCTGGCCGGGGCCGGCATGACACGTGTATTAGCTTATTTGTAGTAGCATGCATTGCGTTTAGCTAGTTACTATACAGAAGATTTCCTGTACTTAACACGGCACGTTTCTTCTTGCATACTGTTTATTTTCTTCGGAGTGGGCTGGTTCGAGCTCTTGCTGTTGCCTTTCTGGTATGCATTGCAAAAGCATCGCCGTAAAAGAGATCATCGCAGTCATGCATCACAAGCGTCTTTCTTCTAGATGTGTAAATTCTGTTTTTCATGCTGACGAAATTTGTCATGCGATTTCCACTAGTCTAGGATACTTTTGCACAGGATATGTGGTTGACTTCTATCCGCTCCAGCTGTGCGCTGCCCTGACCCACCAGTTGGTTTACGATCGCCTCGCGCTCGCCGTCAATGTGCACCTTCGGGATATTGTTGCTGTGCCGGGCCGCTTATGCAGTGCAAAAGTATCGTACTAGTAGTAATTGCAATACAAGTTAGCTCAGCATGACAAATGAAATTTGTCATGCTGTTTTGCCTTGGGATGGAGATTTGTAATGCATGATTGCGATTACTACGCGTACGATACTTTTGCACAGGATACCGCTCCCGCGAAAAGCACTTTCGTGTAGGCTTCGGCAGGATTTTTGATCGCCTCCTCCGCTTCCCGCTTCTGTAGGTGGTCCGTCCTGGCCTTGATCAGACTCTGCAGGGAAAAGAAGGGGTTCTCGAACACGCTCTCCGGCTCCGCCTGGCCATGCAGATTGCTGTACGTGTTCGCCTATCAAATGCAAAAATGTCTGGGTCTGGAAGATTGCGAGATTTGTCATGCTGATCTGGCATGGCCCTTAAATCTGTATTGCGTGGCCACAAACAGCCTCTCTCGCCTGTCATGCAAAAACGCAGTTTCTCATGCGGGATACGCAGCACAGAAGAACGAAGCAACTTGTCATGCTTGGCGGCGAATTGCAGTGCGTTTGTTATATGACTGACTTGCATCACAAGTTTCCAGACCCAGACATTTTTGCATTTCATATCGCCGGACCAAAGCTGTTTTTCTTCGGTCCAGCCCCATCGACGCCTTTTGCGCCGCCGGCCGCATGCTCTTCGAATTATCATCTGTAAAAACGTCCCCACCCCAGAGTCAAGATGGGGATTTTGCAACACAAACCTAGAAGTTTTTGCTGTTTCGCATGAGAAATTTGGACTCGTAGTCGTGTAGTGCTGTTTGAAGTAGTGAAGACGCATCACAAATGGACTACTTCATCGTGATTCCATTTCCAGCATCACAAACCTCCAGATAGCATTAGAAAATGGCTCTCATGTGGCTGCGCAAGAGGAACATTTTAGGCATGCCACTTTGCATGACAAGTCTGGGGTGGGGACGTTTCTGCAAATCATACGAATGCGGTCTTCATCATTTTGTCCAGCGACATCCGCCCAAACTTCTTCTGCTGGTGACTTTCGATCACCTGATTGATCGAGTTGCTGTGTACTTCCGTCGGCTTGTTCTTGTTCGCGCCGAATATCCCGCCAGGATCGGCAATGTTGTCGAGGTTCTGTTGCTATCCTGTGCAAAAGTATCGCACTCGTATTTTGCAGTCATGCATTACAAATCTTGATCTTAAGGGAAATCAGCATTACAGATTTCATTTCTCATGCTGAGGAAATTTGTAATGCATTTATATATACGAGTACGATACTTTTCAATTCATAGTTGCAGGTGGTCCAGCTTCTTCGTGCCGAAGCACATGGCCAGGTCGTTCTCGGTATGAATTGCAAATATGTCTGGGTCTGGAAGAATGGAAGTTTGTCATGCTTGTCTGGCATGATTCGACAATCTGTGTTGCATAGGCACGAAGAGGCCCTCTTAATACCGGTCATGCAAAAACGCAGCTTGCCATGCGGAATACGCAACACATGGCAGCCAAAATAAAATTTGTCATGCATAGCTGCGTATTGCAGTGCGTCTATCATTTTTCACTTTTAGCATTACATGTTTCCAGACCCAGACATATTTGCAATCCATACTCGAGAATCTTTGTCTCGACTGGATCGTCCACTAACTCCGCAATCTGGCCCCGGTAGTCCTGCAGCAGTGCCCGCAAGCAGGACCACAGTTGCTTCTGGAACAAGGATTTTTTCTTGATCATGATTGTCTTCAGGTCCAGCAGCACTGGGAGAATTTTCTCTTGGAGTAGTCTTTTCTGCACGGTTCCCCGGAGATTATCCATCGCGAGCTGCTGCTTGTCATCGCTTGGGTTTTTTTCGTCCTCCGGTTGGTCAATTTCCAGGCCGCCCTTGCCCAAAACCATGCAGCGCATCTCTTTGCTGGACAACAAAATCAGGCAGTCCATCAACACACACCCGGCTGGGGTCATGACATCAGTGGGAAACGGCACGCAGTTCGTATTTTTCTGCGACGGGTGTCAAAAGGAAAAACCCCCCTCTCCTCATAGTAAAAAGAAATTTCTGACGCTGGATTTGGATACACAAATCTGCAAGACGGACCCGGTTCTTTGTGGTCACAAATCTGCATCACAAATTTTCAGAAGGATACGCCTTTCAACATGTGAACCAGGGGGTATTTTTCCTCGCAATAACGGGTCGTTTGCGATTTCCGACAACTTGTGTATCCTAAGTAAAAACGTACCCACACCAGAGTCAGGATGGGGATTTTGCAACACAAACCTAGGAGTTTTGTGAGTCACGCATGACATAAACAGACTGTGCTACTGCGGGCGGGACATTGTGTATCAGGTGAATTGATCAACCCGAAGACGCCGCCCCCCCGGGCCCTATGGCCCAGGCACTCCCCACTATACTCCTCACACAAAACGCCACCAATACAACTGTAGGACATAGCCAACCACCCCGGAGCACCAGCACCAGCAACGGGGGCGGAAACGGCCCCACCCACTTCGCATTCCTATCTGGCAGAGCACAGACCACCAGCACACTGTGAGAGCTGACAGCTGTTTTTCTTTGCCACATTCACTATAGCAATACCTTAGCAGGGGCGCACGCGCAACAACATGCGCCCAATGGAGAGCAGGCAGAGCAACTGTTACTGTCCGAAAACTGACCAGGCCACCAATAACTAAGGAGGAGAAGCTACAGGCTAGACCATACCCATAATGATCATGGACGACGTTTTCGACTTCACAAAGGGGCAGCTACAAGGGAATACATGGGAGGACGGTGGGGACACTTTTCTCGGGGGCCATGCAAGAGAGAGTCAGTCTGATAATTTATTGAGAACATGCAAGACCGGGGGCAGCGGGCTTCCCGAGGTGAAAATGTGACGTGGGCCCATGGTGGAACCTCGCCCGGCTGGAGGCGTTTCGGTGGTCGTGCTGCTTGCGTTCGTCGGCTCCGGTACGCAAATGCTTCGAGCCGAGGAGTTTGCAGCTACACATCTTTCGTTGAGTGCCCCTACACATCTGTTGTTGAGTGCTACGGGAGTAAGCCGCCTCGTTGGGGTTACTGCTGAAAATTCCCCTAGCCCTGCCGCATTTGCTAGCGTCCTGCGCCGCGCCTGTGCCCGGAACGAGTGGACTCCGCCTGAACCTAGGCGCCGCCGCGCAGTGCAGGCCAACACTTGTCCTGGTCGCGCGCTGGCGGTCGGTGCCTCCGTGTTTGGCAGTGGTGCGGCCTGTCACGCTTTGGTGGTGTGGTGTGTGGGAGACTACGGCCCGCAGCCTATGGATTGTGCGCCCCGACTCTCGCCTCCCCGGATTGCGGTTGTACGGCACGACTACTATTTACCGCTCCTCTGGACACCCGCAGGACGGTAAACGGCGACTCCGCGAACATGGAGAAGTTGCTGCCCATGCCCGTCAGGCTAAGCGAGGACCTTGCTGCTGCGCAGGATGGTGCGTGGACCACTGCTGCAGAATTTAGGCGCCGTGTCCGGGCGGGAAGGAGGTCATTTTTAGGAGGGGTACTCGGCAGCGCGGGGCGCTGGGTCTGAGATCTCGGCTACTGTAAAGGGGGGCCTGAGATCTAGTCACGCATGACAAGTTGCACTCTGCAGTGTAGTGCAGGTTAGCAAGTGCAGCCGCATCACAAATCCAGCTGCTCATCCTGTTCACAGCATCACAAATTCCAAAACACGATTGGAAATGGCTCTCATGGGGATGCACATTACAAGTCTTCCTGTCTTAGTCTTTGCAAATCTGCATTACAACTCTGGCGTGGGTACGTTTTTACTCAGGATATTGTGCTCCGTATCGTTTTCCTGCACGCCCTGCGTGTTATCAACTGCAAAAGTATCGTACTAGTAGAAATCGCATGACAAATTCCCTCAGCATGAAAAATGGAATTTGTAATGCGGATTTAGGTTAAGAAGGAGATTTGTAATGCATGACTGCGATTACTACGAGTACGATACTTTTGCACAGCATACGTGTAACCGTGCAGCAAATGGGTGACGATTTTGTTCAATGCCAGGTCCCTGGCATTTGTGTCCATCTTATCAAGTGCAAATATGTTTGGGTCTGGATGGGTGCAGCTTTGTCATGCAGGTCATGCATGAGCCATGACGTCTGTGATGTATGCCCTAGCATCACAGGTCTTCTTGATGGCTATCCCGCATGACAAATTCCCTTATCCAATAGCAAGAATCGGACTCCTTATTTTGCTGGTCATGCAATACAGGTTTTTTTGGAATCCAAAGACAGCATCACAGGTTGAAGCAACCTTCCAGACCCAGATCGATATTTCAAATTGATACATCTGCGCCAACATGAACTTGTAGATAGTGGCTCGTTTCTGTGGGCACTTGACCAGGGAAAATCGCGGCATCTTCGCCGCGGTTTCGCGGTAGAGCGAGAAGCCGGTGAAGGAAGAAATGGCGCAGATGGTTTCCGGTAAGTTGTTCTCGTACAAATTCTTGTTCCGTGCGTATGAGAGTGCACAACTCCTCCTCCCTGTCCTTTGTCATGCAAAATGTCAATTCCAGTTGCTACCCTGTGGCACTATCTGCATCACAAATTTTGGGACTCTAAACAGTACTACACTCAGGGCATCATGATAAACTTGTCACACATAGCATCCACCTGTGTTGGTGTTTGTATTGCTGTCCATGCATATACAAATGAGCAAGACGAGGGGGAGTTGATGTGCAGTGTCATAGTGCGAACAGAATCTTCACAAACACCGACTGAATGAAGTGCCGCACGTCCTCGTTGGGGTCCGCCAGGGCGTAGATCAAGCGGTACAGCAAAGTCCCGCGGAGCTTCACGAAGTCTTCCGCGAGCAGGGAGGAAAGGATCATGCCGGCTTGTTTTCGGTTGATACTCTGCTTTATGCATAGCAAATATGTCTGGGTCTGGAAACTTGTGATGCAAATCTACGAATTGTGGGCGCGCCGCAATATGCAGCACAGCATGACAAGTTTTTGCGCTGGCTGCTGTGAGTTTCGTTTTTCGCATGACAAACTGCGTTTTTGCATGACAGGCAGGAGGCCCTTTTCCTGCTCACGCATCACAGATCTAAGAGTCACGCCAGACAAGCATGACAAACATGAATTCTTGTTCCAGAGGACCCAGACATTTTTACAGTTGATATGCTTCGACCGGAGGCAATCGGACATCTTGTCGACATGTCTGAGGCGGTTGGAAAATGTATTTTGAATTAGATAAAACTACATCATCATGAGGAAATTGGAATTGCTGTACTTCATCTATCCAGACTTGTATTAGAAGGTTCCTACGTGCTACGTGCAACGGAGTCAAATATTAGTTAGTATACCTGTCCACCAAGCTGGTATATGTCCGGGCCAGGTCTCCCAGCCCGATAATCAAGTTGTTCCGCACAGTCACGGATTCCTGCTCGTACATATGGATTGCAAAAATGTCTAGGTCCGGAAGATTCTAAACTTGTGATGCTGTCTCTGGATTTTAAAAAAAATTGTATTGCATGTTGACCAGCAAGAGGACTCCAGTTTGTGCTACGCGGAAAGGGCATTTCTCATGCGGTAGAGGCATCGCAAAGTCCTGTAAAAATCTGTGATGCTAGGGCATGCATCACAGACATCTTCATGGATCATTCAAAATATGCATGACAAGTCTCAGAATCTTCCAGACCCAGACATTTTTGCATTTGATAAGACAGGTGGGCCACCAAAAAGTCGATGTTTTCCTTCGCCAGCTTCCCCTTTTTCAAACACAGCTTGATCAGCGTCACAAACGCCTGCGCCCGCACGACGGTCGGGAGCTGCAGTCTCTCCGTTCGTATGCAGTGCAAAAGTATCGGACTCGTATAAATGCATTACAAATTTCCTCAACATGAGAAATAAAATTTGTAATGCTGATATACCTCAACAAAAAGATTTGTAATGCATGACTGCAATACGAGTACGATACTTTTGCACAGGATAGTTCGTCGCGAATACTCGTTGAATTCGGACACGTGTCCGGACGCGATCTTGCGCACGTCGAACACCGTCTGGTCGGAAATCGCGTCCGGTTTCAGCACGGCTAACTCCCCCAGCGTGAACAGGTGATTTTGCACGGCGAGCCGATCTCCGTTCCGCGAGAAGTCGCCACCGTGCGCCTCGAGCACCTCCTGCGTGGCGGGGGACACGTGCCCCTGACAGAGCCACTCTAAGCGATAGGAGATGTGCGCGAGCAGGAACTGGAAGTGCTCGTTCCGCACTTTATCCGTTCTTTCCTTTGAGTCCAGAAAGTTCAAACACTGCATCATCTCCTTGATCAGCATAGGCTCGGCGGAAAACTCGGTCAACCGCGCCGTGAAATCCTCGGATATCAAATGCAAAAATGTCTGGGTCTGGAAGGATACAGCTTGTCATGCTAAATCTGGATCATGCAAAAGTTTGTGTTGCATGATTACCAAAAGCTGTCCGTTTTTGACTAAGTTGGGAGTGAGTATCTCATGCAGGATAAGCATGATACAGATCTCACAGATTCTGTCATGCTAGATCCTGCATTCCAGACCTCATGTGTCATGTTGAACCTGCATGAGAAATCTTGTACTCTTCCAGACCTAGACATATTTGCATTCCATATCGGAAAGCCGCACGCGGTCCTGCTCGGGAATGGTATTGATCGGGCGCTTATCAAATGTAAAAATGTCTGGGTCTGGATGATTGCGAGATTTGTCGTGCTGATCTGGCATGGCCCTTAAATCTGTATTGCGTGGCCACAAACAGCCTCTCTCGCCTGTCATGTAAAAACGCAGTTTCTTATGCGGAATACGCAGCACAGAAGCACAAAGCAACTTGTCATGCTTGGCGGCGCATTACAGTGCATTTGTTATTGACTGACTTGCATCACAAGTTTCCAGACCCAGCCATTTTTGCATTTCATAGCGTTTTTGTAAGAGCGCGAGGGTCTTGCCGGCGACGAGGTTCGCGGAGGGGTCGTCTTTCACCTTTATTGGATGTAGATTTATTGCACAAGGATCTATACCATTGTGCTGGTGGTAAGTCCTTTCAAATATTTCTCATGCACTTCTTGTTCCAATACAAGGTCGCGCATGTCTTTGTCTTAGATAACGACGCATGAGAAAAAATCATTTCGAGTCTACTAGTCACTTCTACCTATAGTACCTTGTCGAACAACTCAATGAGCAGACTGGGTGACAATTTCGCATCCTGTGCAAAAGTATCGCACTCGTACCATTAATTGCATTTATGCATTACAAATCTCGTTCCTAAGGCAAATGCGCATTACAAATTCAAGTTGTAATGCTGAGCCAATTTGTATTGCAATTGATACTAGTAAGTACGTTACTTTTGCAATTCATATTTCGCCTCCTCCCCCAATTCGTCCAACAGGTGCCACACGGCAATGGGCCACCCCCGGTGGTCGGGCAAACTCGTGTTGCAGAAAGCCAAGATCTCCTTCAGGGCTTCCACTAGCTTCTCGTAGGTCCGCGTCTCGAACTTGTCAAACTTCCGGTAGTTGACCAACGCCCGCTGCAGGTATTCGATTGCCTCCGAGTCCATTTCCCGCAAAAGTGTGAAAACTTTCCCGTCGGGGATCGCGAAGGAAACATTCTCCTGGACTGCACCCTTAATGCTGTTGTTGTTTCGCCGCTGCTGATTGTTCTTGTCGATCTTGCGCTTTTTCAGGCTCGGCTGGCTTTGCGCGACCAGTTGGAGGTTGTCATCGTCAACGTCTTGATTTACGGCGTCCAAATCCTCCACAAAATCGATCCGGGAGCGGGAAAGAGAACCGTTAGAGTTGCGATAACCTCCTCCAAGACTACTCCCGGAGTTCCGCATGATTTGGGAGTTCTCTTTTTCCTGCTTGATCCTCTGTAAGGCCGCTGGGGACGCGTTTAGCTGTGCTGCTTCTTCGTCCTGAGTCAAGTTGTTGCCCTTGTTGTTCTCGGGAGCGTCTTCCTTCCTCTCCACTGCGAAGACTTTTTTCGTCTTCTTCACGCCGCCCGGGTTTTTGCTGTCACCGAAGATGTACTTGATCAGAGGTTTGAACAGGATCTTCTCGATCACCTCTAAAGCTTTCTCCTGCACCGATACTTCCGCGTCGACCACGGCGCCAATAACGCCGTTCACCCACGTCACCCGTATTTCTTCATTGCTATCGTCGAGTTCCAAGTATTTGGTCAGGGACACAATGGCGTCTTTCCGGATTTTTACCTGAGCAGACGGAAGGATTTTTATTTTGATTGTGTAGCATCTGATTGATTGTGTACGTAGCATGAGAGCAGCCCTATAAAAGCAGTCCTGCGGTTGCACTGCGCATCAGAAATTGCAGTTTCCCAACGAGTCTTGCGGGTCACGAACAACTAAGCACGACAGTGAAAATAAATTTAACTCTAGTACGCTATCATCCGACAGCAACGCGGCCAACTTTTTCGGACAAAACGAAACGGCCCGGGGGTACCGTTGCGTCATATCAAAAGGAAAAGTCCCCCCACCCCATATCAAATGGGATATCTGTGATGCAGGATTTGTGTACACAAATGCGCGCTGTCTTGCAATACGGCATCGCAGCCAGATCCGCAGCCTAGCGAGGGACATTTTGGTCTAGTTGCTTAGCATTACAAACGGCTGCCCTCTAGGCCCAACAGCATGCCAAACCGCTCCCATAATGGCAGGGAAGCCCCTGCATTTGTCTTCTTGCAAGACAGACGTGATTTGTGGTCTCAAATCAGCAAGACAAATTTTCGGAAGCATGCCTTTTCGATATGAGGAGGGAGGATCTTTGTTCTCAATACGTCAAATAGAGGAGTTTCTGGAACATCACTACGGCTTTGGCTTTGATAACCGGCTTCTCGTCGGAAATCGTATGAATTGCAAAAGTATCGTACTCGTATACTAAATGCATTACAAATTTCCTCAGCATGAGGGATAAAATTTGTAATGCTGACTTCCCTTATGGGAAAGATTTGTGATGCATGATTGCAATACGAGTACGATACTTTTGCACAGGATAAATCGACTGGTCAAACAGTTTCCGGATGTTCAGCATGCCGGGTTTCACTTGGAAATTCCCGGAGTTCCGCGGAACAACGTTGTTGCCGTTCTCGCTGTACTCCACGCTGTTGTTGTTGTTCAACCGGTCATCTTCCGGCGACCCCAGAACCATGTCCAGCTCGGTGTCATTCAAGGATTTCAGACACAGGCAGATCATCTGCAGCGCCCGGGCCCGGACGGAAGGAATTGCGTCGCTCGTCCGTTCGATCACCGCTTGGAGCAGTTGCTTCACCAACTTTGGGTGGATCCGGTTCGGGTTCATATTGGTTTATGCATTGCAAAAGTATCGTGCTCGTATAAATGCATTATTTCCTCAGCATGAAAAATAAAATCTGTCATGCGGATTTACCTTACGAAAAAAATTTGTAACGCATGACTGCAATTTTTACTACGAGTACGATACTCTTGCACAGGATATGGTTTGCTGCTCGTCGTTGTAGTTTCCGTCGACCTCCATTGGCGTCGCATTCGGGTCCGTGTTCTTCCCGTCGTCGTCGTGCAGTAAAAGCTGCCGGGGTTTTATCGCGAGAAAAAACTTCTGTCTCAAGCTCAGAGTCTTCAAACCCTTGCTTTATTTGCAGACTGAGACTCGGCGTCGGCAATACAAATTCGCTTTTAGCATGGCACGCAAAAGAAAAAACCTGTGGCGCGTCACGTCAAAGACAAGAGATGAAGCCACGTATTTGATAAAGAATTGATGGGGCTCTTTCCTTTCTTGTCTGCCCTCGAGCATGACAGAAATAATGTCATGCACGGAAATACAATTTCTTTTTCTTCCGCATAAAAAATACGAGTTCAGAATGAAGAGCTGACAGTTTTTTCTTGCAGTAGGTTTCAACGACTCATCCTCGAAGTCCGCAATGTCGAACTTCACGGCTTTCCTGCTGGTTTCCGGCACCACCGACCCGTCCGCGTCAAACATTTCGACATCTTGCGTCAAAGTCGTGGGGCCGTTGTTCAACATCTGTGACGAACCGCCCGCCGGTTTTTTCTTCACCGAAGACTTTGGATTTGTTTTGCTGTTGTTTTGTTGTTCCCCGTCGGCTTTCGTCACATCCGACTTCTGGGTTTGGATCCCCACATTAGAAGCAGCAGCCTGCCTTTCATCTTCGAGTCTGGCCTGTTCCTCGTACGCTTTCTCCTCCGCCTTTAAACTTTCCAACTTCCCGCTTTCCCACCCCATCAAGTTGGCACACAGTTCCGTCGCGACAGCACGACGCGAGTTCAGGGTGGAACTCATGAACCGCAGGAGAAATTCGAAAACGCGATCCCGAGCGGCGCGGGTCATGCCCTTGAAGAGGTCGTATCCCACGAAAAAAGTTTTACAGTTACACACTTGTAGTGAATTCAGCAACACAAATTTCTCTGCATGAGAGAGGAAACTTGTAATGCAGAAATCCTACGGGAAAACACCTATGACACGAGGCTCCTATGCACATCCGGCATGACAGAGCTTGTCTGTCTTGCTTGGCCTGCAACACAATGTGTAACTGTGACACTTTTTTCTTGCAATAGCTCGATGGTGGTGTCGACTAGCTTCTCCCGCAAGTCCGCATATGAGAGTGCATAACTCCCCCTCCCACTAATTTCCATGGCATGAATAGCAATACAAACACCAGCACACGTGGAGCCAGCGCATGCCAAGTTCGTGGTCCTGAGGCTGGTGTATATACTGTTTCAACTTCACCGTAATTTGTCATGCATAACAGTGACACAAGCACCGACTGGAGTTGTGGACTTTGCATGAGAAATCACAACGAGGGGGAGTTGTGCATACTCATACCGCACGGTCCGCGACGTGGAGGCAGAGGTGCTGGTATGAATTGAAAAAGTATCGTACTCGTATAAATGCATTACAAATTTCCTCAGCATGAGAAATAAAATTTGTAATGCAGATTTGCCTTAAGACAAAGATTTGTAATGCAAGACTTGCATTTATACGAATACGATACTTTTGCACAGGATAGCTGGATCAGGCCGACGAAAGGGTCGAGAGGGTAGTGCTGTAGTGGCCGCGTAATGAATTAAGCAGTGAATCTTTCTGTAGTCTCCGATCTCACAAACCATCGCATCGCAAATGAAATAAAATCATACGTCTCTTCTTCATCGCGAAGACGAGGATCGACGCAACTGTTTGCAAAACGCAAAGTCCATGTCAGAAAATAAGTAGAGTACATTAATTTCATACCACTTTCCGCTTCACCGTTTTCTGCACCATCGCCTTCTCCCCCCTTTTCTGTCCAATCTTGACCAACTGGGTTCGCAGTCCATCCTCTTTCTCGGACGCTTTCTGGGCCGAATCCGGCTCTTCCTTCTCCTCGTCATCGTTCAGAATTAGAACATTCCCGTTCTTGCCGACATGTTGATTCTTTTTCTTTTTGTTTTTCCCTTTCCCTTTCCCCTTATTGTGCTGCTGCGCGTTTTTCGGGAGGGGGGTGTTGAGACCGTCCTCTAAGTCCTTGTCTACGTCCATAGGAGGCGACTCTGCGTTGATGTTGGCGTGGTCTCCAACGGCGTCGAGAAGGTTCTGTTTTTTTTTGGGTGGGGGGGGGGGTTGGATATTATGCATGAAAAGCGGGGATTGGAGATTATGCATTCATTCTACTGTACTGTCAAGAAAAAAATTCTTGCTCTGATGTGCGTGATTTTTTACCACTTACTGCGAAAAAATTCACTTTAAATCATAACCGAACAAAACAATATACCTTCCCAAAAAGGTCCTCCGAGTCCTTCTTTTCGCCAGAACCTTCAATGTCTTCAATCAGTTGCTCCTCAAACGTGTCGAATTCCTCCTCTCTTTCGTAGATCCGCGACTCCAGTAGCTCCGGGTACAGTTTTAGCATCATCTGCACAAATATCAACTGTAAAAATGTCTGGGTCTGAAAACTTGTAATGCTAAAAGTGGATGATAGCCGGATCGCAATACGCAGCCAAGCATGACAAATTTTTGAGCTACAATGTGTTGCGTATTCCGCATGAGACGCAACGTTTTTACATAACAGATAGGAGAGCCATTTCGTGCCCATGCATCACAGATTCTCGGGTCATGTCAGACATGCATGACAAATGTAGGAATCTTCCAGACCCAGCCATTTTTGCACTTGATAACAAACGACAAGCTCCAGGTCCGCAGCTCCTTGTCCTTTCGCGTTAACGTCGCTGGGTAGCCGCTCGTCTTCACGATCCCGATGGGGTTGATCAGGTGCGTTATGCATTGCAAATATCCCTGGATGTCTGGCTGGAAGGTTGCACCTTGTGATGCTGTGTTTGGATTCTAAAAAGATTTGTATTGCATGACCAGCAAGAACAATCCAGTTCCAGTTTGTGCTACGCGAGAAGTGCATTTGTCTTGGGAAATAGGCATCAGGAAACCTTCTAAAAAGCTGTGATGCTAGGTCATGCATTACAGGCATCACGAGCCATGCAAAACATGCATGACAAACCCTGCAACATTCTTCCAGACCCAGACATATTTGCAGTTCATATGGGTGAAAATTTTCGAGACCATTAGGTGCAGTTCAAGGTTCAAGTTGATGTCCTTTTCCTTCTCTTGTTTTTTCTCCATCAATTCCTCGAGCATCTCTGCCCTGGACTATGCATTGCAAATATCGATCTACTAGGTCCGGACGTGTAAAGATCATGCGAGATCTGCAGGAAAAGGTAAAGGATAAGTAACAACGTTCTTTCGTGATGCATGAATACAATTGGCCAATTATTTTGCCGTGCTGTGAAACCTACTTTATCATGCCCGTGCGTTTTGCGAAGGAATCCGCAATAAGCCTGTTTAAATTTCCCATGCTGATGTCTCATGCTGTATTGTGATGTTTATCATTATTTCCTTGTTTTTATGGCGTTAGTAAGCGGCTACCTAGTTCGCTCCTTCGCTTCAACAACTACACAAATTTCCTAGAGACGACCCGGGCTGCGCCGCATTTGCAATGCATATGGACTTTCCAACCTCGTCGTTCAGCGCCAGGGCGTTTTCCGTCTCTAAATCCTTTTGCTCCTTCATCATTGCGTCTACCTCCGCGGCCATCTCCTCCTGCGTCATCGTTTTCTCTGCCTCAACGGTTTCCAGAGTGTACTCCTTGGCGTGCCGACAGAGGTTCCGGAGGCATTTAAACACCGTGGTGAACAGCACGTACGCGCCGTCGCTGCTCTTGTCCTGCTGTATGCAAAGAAAAAACTGTTACAGTTACACATTGTGTTGCAGAGCAAGCAACAGAGACAAGCTCTGTCATGCACAAAATGCTTAGGAGCCTCATTTCATACGTGTTTTCCCTTATGATCTCTGCATTGCAAGTCTTCTCTCTCATGCAGAGAAAATTTGTGTTGCTGAATTGACAACGCACGTGTAACTGTAACACTTTTTTCGTGGGATATGCTGCTGTCCGCGTTTACTACTGGTGGGGGTTTTGTTATTTTTCGTAGCTCCCGTGGTGGCACTAGCGATGACACCAGCCAGATCCTGAGTAAAAACGTACCCACACCAGAGTTGTAATGCAAATCTGCATGCTGAAAATGTTTCTCATGCGGAGCTCCATGAGAAGCATTTTCTAGTCGTGTTTTGCAATTTGTCATGCTCCAATCAGCATGGTATGCTAGATCTGTGATGCTGCTGAGCTAGCTCAAACAGCACTACACTACGAATCCAAATTTGTCATGCAAAGCAGCCAAAACTTGTGGATTTGTCTAGCCGATTCCCCATCTTGACTCTGGTGTGGGTACGTTTTTACTCAGGATAAGCTAGATTCACCCGGTTTTCGTACACCTCGACGTCTATGAATTGCAAAAGTATCGTACTAAAGTAAAAATCGCATCACAAATTTGGCCAGCATGACAAATTAAATTTGTAGTGCGGCTTTGCCTTAAGGGAGAGATTTGTAATGCAAGGTTGCAATTTTTTCTACGAGTACGATACTTTTGCAGTTCATAACGTGGGGGTGGCAGCAAATCGCCGTCAAGTCCTCTATGGCGAAGTCCATCGCGTCGATGGCGGAGGCGATGGGAACGACCTCGAGGGTGACAGCCAACTTATTCAACAGCCCGAGAGAGAGTTTCAGTGCCTCCCGCTCTTCTGCCTTCTTCGCTTCGAGGTCCTCGGGACGCTCTTCCTCCTCAACCTCCGCAGCCGGCTCCTCCGCCCCGACAGGGTCGCCGTTTTCGTTCAGAGCGTCAGCCTGATTTACATTTGTTCTCGCATCACAAACTCGAACTCAATGTAGTTCTTCTTTATTTTTCGCATCAACCACACTGTGCCATTTCCATTTTTCATCACATGCCATGGGCATCTCAAAAAAACGTGTGAACAAGAAAAAGCATATAATTTCTATCCTACCAGTTCCTTGGTAAAATTCTTCTTCTTTTTTTTCTTCTGGTCTTTCTGCGTCAAGGTTTTGCACGTGTGCTTGAAGATACACCGGACCAAACTCGAGCGGAAAAACGTGGACCACGAGGGGCATGCGTCCTTGAGCTGCAGTAGGTCCAGGTAAATCGCAGACGCCGCCACTTGAATCTGATAAAGTTTTGTCGTCAAGTGACTTTTTTTTACGAAACCGAAAGTGGATGACAAGCGAAAGAACATGAACATGATCAAAGAGTCCGCCGCGATACAGACTGCACATGAGAAAAGGTCAACTACAAACACCACCATACGTCCTTGTCCACATCCCCACTGCCGGCGCTGATAAGCTGGCCCAAGATACTATCAACTGTAAAAATGTCTGGGTCTGGAAGATTGCGAGATTTGTCATGCATGTTTTGCTTGAGCCATGATGTCTGTGATGCATACCCTAGCAATACAGATTTTTTGCGGGCTTCTTGATGCCTATTCCGCATGACAAATGCCTTCTCAGCGTAGCAAAAATTGCATTCCGTTTGCTACTCATGCAATACAGATTTTTTTGGAATCTAAATACTGCATCACAAGTTGCATTCTTCCAGACCCAGACATTTTTACATTTGATAGATACACTGCAACTGCTCGATCCGCTTCAAGTTCTTCATGGGGCAGGTTTGGATATCGAATGCAAATATGTGTGGGTCTGGAAGAGTCGGGGCTTGTCATGCACATTTTGCATGACCCGTGAGGTCTGTGATGCTGGTGCTAGCATCACAGATTTTTGGAAAGCTTCTTGATGCTAATTAGGCATGAGAAATTATGCCCTCTCGGCGTGCCAAGAACGGACTCCTCTTGCTGCTCATGCAACACAGATATTTCTAGAATCCGCAGACAGCATTACAAGTTCCACTCTTCCATTCATCCAGGGATATTTGCAATCCATATTGGAACAAGTAGCGCCAAACCAGGTCCGCCTTCATTTCCCCCCTCTTCGGCAAGTGGTCTCCTGCGGCCGAAATCTTGTTTTTGGCCTTAGTTTTCCCGGTAGTAGACGACGAGCTGGAAGACGAGGATCCGCCCGCGGCATTAGAAGAAGTGCTGATTTTATTTCCCTCTTCATTTTCGTCGTTTTCGTTTTCGTTTCCGTCATCGTTGCGGTCCACGATCCCCAAGAGCGCCTTCTGCTTCGCCACCCACTTCAGCTCCGCGGCTGCCGGTGTGAGCCACTCGTCCACCAAAGTCTGCAGCTGCTCCAGTTGGATGTCATAGATGGACTGGCACCCGAACTCGAATTCGAGTGCGTGCTCGCTGATTTCGAATTCCTGGAAAACCTCCTGGCCAATCTGGTCCAGCGCCAGGCCTTCGAACGCCGCCTCGAGCGAGATCTTAGGGGGAAGATTCTTCGCCGCGGCGGGCATACTGGTGAGACTGTCGGCTGCACTTGCACCGGGTCGTCGAAAGTCGTGGATGCTAAAGCGAAACCGGCGTTTCGGGGGCAGAAAGGAATCTTCTGTGTTTTTCTGATCCACTGCCTTCCTTCGTTTAGAAGTTGCTGTACTTGTTCTTCGGGATGAAGAAACTTGTTCCCTGGCTGCACGGGTCGTTGAAGTACTTCTTCCGCGGGGCTGCGAGGTAGTGTATCGCCGTCGCGGTTGGAAAGACTGGCGCGAGGATGAAGCAGGTTGGGGTAATAATGAAGATAGCCCCGACCTTGTAGTTGTTCCGGGGAGCCGCTGTAGTTCTCGTTTTTGTGGTACAACTCCTTCTAGGGGCCCCCGGTGCAGCTGATGTTCCTGTAGTTCTTCTCCTTCTACATGCCGCGGTCCGAAAACCTTCTTCTGCGTTTCTCCCCGGGCCGGCGAGCTTCGTAGTAGAGACGGTAGCTGTGTCGACCGCCGAGGGCAGGGTAAAAAATTTTGCTGCTGCTGCCTTGATGTTCTTGGTGGAGGTTCTTTACTATCCCGTGCAGATGGTTCAGGTTCTCGTCGCCTAGGTTCTACTTGTTGTCCGCTACCTTTCGGTTCCGAAAATTGCAGCGCCCTCGGCTGTTGCACAAAACTCCGCGAGGAGGAGGAAGAGGCGGAACGTGAAGAAAGGCAAGTACTAGATTTTTGGCCCAACGCTGCAGGTCGCACTGTACTTCGGGAAGAAGATGATGATAATGCGGAAGATGAACTTGTTGTTTTCCCCACTTGCAGGAGCTGCTCACGACGTGCGGTACAACTAGATGACCGCACTACACCAGAGGACTTCTGTGCCCGTTCAGGATGTCCTCGCTCGGTCACTGCACTTCCTGGCTGCGGTCGTTGTGGTGGTCGGCCACTGCAGCTTATACTCAACAAACTATTGCTGCTCGTAGATGAAGTTCCTATGGAGTGATCCGAAACCGAATCACTTCTGGTCCTCCTGTCTTCTAAGGAAAGAGTGTCCTCTGGCGTGTTGGTCCCCTCCGAGCCGTTGTTTTCCACTACGTGTCCTTTGTTGAACGCAGTGAAGACGAGGTTAGAAGCTCTTTCCGAAACAAGATCTTTCTCGTACTTAAAATTTATACTCCTCCTGGCCCCGTCAATATCGTGCGGAAACAGGCCACCTTCTAGCGGACCACCCTCTTCAAGTACTACGCGGCCACGGGCGTCCTCGACGTCACCGTTCTCGAGTGTTTCCACGACATCGTCTACAGTTGCAATGTCGCGGTTGCTGTGGTCACGAAGTAGAGTTGCAGCTTCTTCGCGGGAAACTACAGCTGCTGAGCCGTGTGAAGTAGATGCTTCTCGTCCTTCTCCGTGGTCCCCAGTAGTTCCACCACTACTTGGGGATGCATTTATAGTTTTTGAATTAATTTCAGCCGCTTCCTCCTGCTGCTCTAGCTCCCTCCGTCTTCGGAAGGGCGAGGGGATTTGGGGAAAAAAATTCGCTAGCCGATCAAACAAGGACTTCTTGTCAGCACTTTGAGGTGGGGAAGAGGAGGAGCCCGTCATGTTGGGCAATAAATATTACTTAAATAAGGAGCGGGAGGAAGAGTATAGAAATCATAAATTTGTTCACCGACGAGGAGACAAAATGACTTCGAATCCAATTCGATAAAGTCGATTTCGAGTTGTGTTGAGGGGGCGAAAGATAAAGCAGTCAAGTCGATTCTTAGAGGTTCCTCTTCATCGTTCAAGTTTCTCTTTCTTATTCAGACGAAAATTTTAGTAAGTGCATCGACTTCTAGGACTTTGCTCTTCTACTTCTTACTACACTAGGTTTTATCATTTCACGCAACTATTAGCAGCTTTTGGGCACAACAACTCCTCTGCCTCTCGACCACCTGCTCCTCCTATAGTTTGTTTGTGAAATTTCTTGATTCGAAGATGTCTCTGAGTTGTTGTCTCAAAACGAAGTTCACTTCCTTTGTGCAAACTGATAAAACAAGTAGGGCCACCTTTCAATTTGTCGTACTGATTCTGATACATCGAAATGATATAATGTCTTATCCATTGACGTTCGGAACGTAAGCCTGCCAAAAAGAAAGCGTCCATCACCACAATGCGTTTTGAATCATTTTTCTCGTGTCTCTTTGACCGCCACCAACCTCGGCTTTGGAAAGCGGGATAGAACCACCACCACAGCCGAGAAAACTGCACATGCACTTCTTCGCTATCAGCGCATTGCTGCCCAAGAGCTGCAAGGAACCACAGTCGGCGCTCTCATCACGCGTGGCCGCCTGTTATACCAGGCTCGCTGAAGCGCCTTCTGTGAACTTATTTTCTTTCGCAGCAATAAAGAAAAGCTCTCAAAAAATTTTGCAAATTCGATTTCGCCTTCGTGCTCATTGTCTTCAATATCTTTTCACACATACTTCTTTCTCGCCAGACGCACAACTTAACGGTCCGAACCAAACCTGCGATAAAGTATTTGTTCGAACCTGAAGCCGTCCGAATCTAGAAAGATGAATTCTTCAGAAAAGAGCCGGAGTGCCAGCAGGTCGCGGTAGCAGTACCTAGCACGGGCGGTCGCGGGTTGTAGTGCCAGCCTTTCACTTTCTGCAAAAATAGTTCGCTCATAATGTAATGTACTGTATCGCAGGGAGAAGCGACGACTGTTGAATCGCTGCACCGGCACGGTTGAAAATTTAGTTCGCTTAAAATCTTTGCCGACTCTAACGTTGGTGCTCGACCTGACAGTAGCGGTACTAGAGTCGACGACATTTGTAGTAATAAACCAAAAGTATGAATAGCTCGTGGCATGCGTTTGAAAAGCAAACCTGATAGTTCTGGTAGATAGTTTAATCAAGATATAAAATGTGTTGCGAAGGAGCAACGAAAATAGGTTGTGAAATTGGATAAATAAGTTCATCAACGAACGCGGCTTCAGCAAATCCTCCAAGCGGTTCATTCTTCACGATAATAAATTAGTTCCGTCAGTACTGCTAAACGCTAAATTTGTCTCCACATAAACAGTTCTAGAAGAGATAATGTTGACAAAATCATAAATCAAAATTCTTCAAAAATCCACCATTATTGTTTATCTAGTCCGCAAGTACCGAACCTTTACGACACCCGAAACCGGTGCGTGTTCATCATACACAAAACATCATAAAGTAAAAACATATGTGCTGACATTGAGGTTTTTTTTCTGAGAGAGGTGCAAAACCACACATAGTACTTCCATCTGCGTAAAAATCATACATCAGTTCATTCTTTTCCAAACTCCAAAACAGCTCTCTGATAGGATACTTCTCCTTTTTAAAGTGGTCATTATTTCAACACATCAAGATGACGAAAATTTCTCGAGAGAACGAGAAAGGAAAGTAATATGAAAATCTCTTTTAGCTCTATTCTGCCTTCTAATCAACAACCAATTATTTATTCTTTCCCTCTCCACCTTCTAAAAACGTCTAAACCCCGATAGATAAAATTCTACTGTTTCACAATCTGAATTCCAATCACCCCGTAGGACTCCATCTGCGAGACGTTCACCTCCCCACAGCTCGCCAACTATGAGAGTGCACAACTTCCCCTCCCCTCATTTGTCATGCAAAATACCCGATCCACCCGTTGCCACCTCTTGGCACTGTTTGCATGACAAGCTCTGGCAGCCCAAATAGCACTACACTCCAGTGCCAATTCGTCATGCAAAACCGGCACTCTTGCTCATGCTTGTCTTGCCGTTCATGCTCTACAAATAAGGGGGAGGGGAGTTGTGCACTGTCATACCAACGTCAACAGATCCAGAAACGCCAACGCCGCATCCGCCGCGGAATCGATCCCCGGCATCTGGTCAAACGTCGTGTACTCGAATTTCTTCTCCTGTTCTTCCCCATTTTTACTCTCCTCCTGCAGACCACTTCCACCGACCTCGGGGAACTCAAACTCGTTTTCAAAATCCACGAAATCCGAGTCGTTTTCGCTTTTCCTTTATCCAGTGCAAATACCCTGGACGTCTGGAAGAGTTGTAAATTGTGATGCTGCTTTTGGATTCCAAAAAGCCCTGCATTGCCTGAGCAGCAAGAGGAGTCTACTTTTTGCCATGCGAAGAGAGCTGCATTTCTCATGCGATATAAGCAGCAGAAAGCTCTCGCAGAATCTGTGATGCTAGGGCACGCATCACAGACATTATGGGTGGTCATGGAAGATATGCATGACAAACTTGGCACTTCTCCAGACCCAGACACATTTGCAATGCATATCCTCCCCGTTTTCTTCGCCGATTTCTGGATGGTTTTCCAGGTGGACACAATCCGCTTTTCTATCAAAAGGAAAAATCCCCCCCCCATATCGAAAAGGGAATTTCTTGTGATGCAGATTTGTGGTCACAACTCAGCTTTGTCATGCTACAAGGGAAAAGATGCGGACTGTAGTGCTGGGCGGCGTGGGAAAGCCTTGCATCTTCAACACGACAGGGGGCAGCTGGAAGCGGGAAACAGCATGACAAATTGCCTGCAAAGGAGGCCACAAATGCGGCTCTTGCCCATCTAGCAATACAAGTCGCTTTGTGTACTCAAATACAGCATCACAAATTTCGTTTTCGATATGGGGAGGGGGGGTTTTTCCTTTTAATATTTTCCCAGGACAGCTTCGATCGCGAGTATGAACTGCAAAAGTATCGTACTCGTATAAAAATACATTACAAACTCCCCCAGCATTATAAATCGAATTTGTAATGCTGATTTACCTTGAGAAGCAGGTTTGTAATGCATAAATGCAATTACTACGAGTACGATATTTTTGCAGTGCATAGCGAGTCGGAAAACGCGATGGAAAACTTCGATGACCTCTTTTTGTTCAATCTCGAGTCGTATGCATTGCAAATATGTCTGGGTCTGGAAACTTGTGATGCAAGAAAGGGAAGAGTGAACTCACTATAATGCGCGGTTGCCAAGCATGACAAGTTTTTTTCGTGGTTCTGAGTTGCTATTCCGCATGAGAAACTGCGCTTTTGCATGACAAGGAGGAGGGGCTCTTCGCGGCCGTGCAACACAGAGTTTAGAGTCATGCCCGACTAGCATGACAAACCTCGCAATCTCCCAGACCCAGACATTTTTGCATTTGATAAGTCGGAACTCTCCTGGCTGCTGGAGTTGTTATTTTGAAACACGGGGTCGTCAATGTTGCCAAAGTTCATCTCGATATCGTGCTCCTGCCCGCTGTTGTTCAGGTCCAGGTTTAGCGACTGATCGTTGTGGTCAAATAAATTTGTCCCGAGATTGGCGTCACTGAAATCAAAGTTCCCAACCTCTCCTACATTCGGCTGTAAGAGATCCGAGTTGTTGGTTTTGTTCAGCATGATGTTGCTTCGGCTCAGATTTGGTATCGAATTGTTGTTCTTACTCGTCCCACCGCGCAGCTGCACATTACCTAGTAGACCCGACATATGCATTTGGTCCTCCCGCGAACCAGAATCGCCACCCCGGAGCATTTGCATGCGATCGGAGGAAGACGAGGAGGGATCCTCGGGATCGTGTCCGTTTCTGTTCTTTCCCCGACCGGTAGTGAGAAGCTTCCGGTCCTCGGGCGAAATCGCCAAGTGCAAATTGCTGAGGGCGGAGCTATTGTTTCCGAACTTCATAGCGGCCTCGTTGTTCTTGTCACTGAGAGCGGAGGTGTCGTTTCTACTCAATTGCAGATTCGAGGACTGGTTCAGACTGTGCATCGTGGAGTTGTTGTTACTTTTTCCTAAGATTCCGCTTTTGTCAACGCCAGTTGTGTTGTTAAGATCGCCACCGGTTTCAAGTTCTTCATCCACATTGGGATCCTCGTGGTAACCGAAGTCATTCTGGTCAAAGTCGAACTGATTTTTATCCCCGAAAATTTTGTCATGCTGATTCTCCATCCCACTCTGATTGTCCATCCCGTTCATTCCAAACAACTCAAGGCCGCTGTGATCGTTCATGATCCCGTTCATCTGCGACAGCTCTTCATCCCCCTCCGGCAAAATCGCAGACAAGTCCATATTGTCTTGAAACAAACCTCCACTCGTGTTGTTCGTACCATCTTGAAAGTGAAACGCCGAACTGTTAAACAACCCGGATGAACTACCACTCGTGTTTCCATTGAGTAAGCCGGATCGAACCACACTCACGTTGTTGGAGGGAGCAATAAAGTTTTCTTGGTTAAAGAAACCGGAAGATGAGGCGCCGCTTTTATTGTTCAGGGAGCTGTTGTTCAGGAGTCTATTTGAAACCTCATTATCATTTTTCTTCACCGATGAATTCGCCAAATTTTTCTGCCGTTTCGCACTCGGAAAACCAGAAGCAACATCGGGGTCACCAAAGAGGTAGTTGCTGTCGTCCGCATTGCTCGTCGTGGCAGCCCGTTTGTTGTTCTTGTTTCGCTTCGCGCAGAGTTTGGACTGTTTATTTTTCAGTTTGAGTTCCACCTGCACGTCGTTTGTATCGAAAATGTCGACTAATGGGTTCATCGCAGGGAGGAGCAAATTCTTCGGAATCTTCAGATTGTTCCCTGCGGATAATTCTTTGCTGTTGTTGTTGTTTCCACGCTTCGTATTCTTCTTCCCTGCTGCTTTCGTGCTGTCCTTATTTTCCGCCCCGTAGTTCTTACTGCCACTGTCAATCCCGAGCAAGCCAGCTAGACTGAACTCGAACTTCGAGGCCAGGCCCTTGAAGTTGTTCTTCAGCATGTCGGAAACTTTCACGAATTTCGGTTTCAAATAGTTCGGTTTCTGTTTGGGTACTTTTTGCTTTCGTTGCTTTTTCTGCTTTCCGTGGACGAGGTCATTCTCCAAACCACCAAAGGTTAAAGACGAAGAGGAGGAGCTTTTGGACAAGTTCTTGTTCTTTTTCTCATTCGTGTCTTCGTTATCGATCCCCATCAAGTCATCCGTTTCGTGGAGCTGTAAGTTGCTCTTCATCGCTGTTGATATGTTGTTTTTATCCACTACACCAGAAAGAGCTCCTGCCGAAGCAGACACATTTGTACCATTCAGCATCATGCCACTGGCACTGCTGTTCACCAGTCCACTGCTTCCAAAATTGTTCATGCCGTTGTAGGCCTCATCATCAATCGGGTCGATAAAATTGGCGTCGTCGTGCAACAGCATGGAGAATTCCAGATCATCTTGCATGGACAAATCCGTGTCTTTTCCCATGAGGCTCCGGTTCAAATTGTTGCCTTCAACTCCCAAATGATCTTGCTGGTCGCCTGCTGCCCCCGTGTTGAAATTGTTGTTCCCGCTCATGTTGTTCATCAGACCGCTTTGATGGTGCAGCACCTTATGGTCGTGCAACAGTAGACTGCTGTTCGACAAATGGCCTGGCGGTAGGATCGATGACTGATTGTTGTTCAACACAGACGAATTATTCATATTACCGGATTTATTGTTGTTTAGCTGCAAATGGGAAGACCGATCATTCGCATTGGATATCCAGGAAAAAAACACCATCACGGTCACACTTAGGAGGTTTTGCATCAGAAATTTGTCTCGCATGACAAATTTTTCTTGTATTGCAAAAACACAACAAAGGGAAATTGCCTATAACTCTTCCTCTTGGCTGTGATGCATTTTTGCGCATGACAAAAATTTTTGTATTGCAAAAATGTGCAAAAGTGATTGGGATGGTGTTTTTTTCTTGAATATTGGAACTGGAGCTGTTATTCAGTGTCGTGTTGTCAAACAGCCCAGAAGTCGTATTCAGGTCCCGCCCGGTCGTCGGGGCCAAGTCCGTCGCGTTTAGTAATCCCGATTTGGAGTTGAGCTTTACCTGCTGCGGATCGACGTTTATTCCGAAAAAATTATTGTCCTGCGCGTCAATATATCAACTGCAAATGTGTCTGGGTCTGGAAGAGTGTATGTTTGTCATGCTTGTCTGGCATGGCTCTTAAATCTGTCATGCACGTTACCCAAGAGCCCCGTTTTGCTGTCTTGCAGAAACGCAGTTTGTCATGCAGAATAATATTAGGCAACACCTAGAAGCTCAGAAGCTTGTCATGCTGAGCCAGCACTTGTGGCCTCTTCCTGATACGCCACCCAGCATCAGAAGTTTCCAGACCCAGGCATTTTTACAATTCATACAATATTACCGATGTCGTCATCCGGGATTAGGTCTAAGGAGACGTCTAAATTACTATCCTCTTTGTTTTTCTTCTTCTTCTTCTTTTCCGTCCACTTGTTCCCGCCGATTGGATTTCCCTCACCGTCCAATTCCGGGGATTCGAAATCCGCACCGCCAGAGGAAGGGTCGTCAATATCCTTCTCGCCGGGACCTCGTCTCGAGAGTAATCCCAGGTGGCTGTTGTTCATTCTCTTGTTCCCGGTAGAAGTCGGTGGGAAAAGATGCGGGCTGAAATGCAGCATGTTGTCCAGGTTCTGACTGATGTTGCCGTCTTGAAGACCAGAGTGCTGCTCGACTAAGTCACCATTGTGCGAAATAAATCCACTTTGGTCGTTGTTGTTCTGCAGCAGCAGCCCGCTCTGATTGATCCCGGAACTAATACCTGCGCCGCTCGTGTTCTTCTTGTTCGGCACCGAAGCTCCTGCACCGGACCGGACCAAATCTTCCAGGACCGGCGAGTCGTACATCATCTTGTTCTATCCTGTGCAAAAGTATCGTGCTCGTAGTAATTGCAGTAATGCATTACAAATTTTTTCCCTAACCTAAATCCGCATGACAAATTTTATTTCTCATGCTGAGGAAATTTGTCATGCATTTATACGAGTACGATGCTTTTGCATTGCATATGCTCCCGTTCGTCAGCCCGAGCTTGTCGGTTTTCTTCCCGGTTCTGACAGTCTTCAGCAGGTGCGAGATCTGGTCGTATCCTGTGTAAAAACGTCCCCAACCCAGAGTTGTCATGCAGCTTTGCGACTACAGGAACATTTGTAGTGCGCATCTCTATGAGAGGCATTTCCAGTCGAATTTTGGCATTTGTCATGCTGTAAACAGGATGAGAAAGTGGCTTTCTGATGCCGCTGCCCTTCCTAGCCAGCACTACGCTGCAGATGAAAACTTGTCATGCACAACTCCCAAACCTTGGAAATTTGTGTTGCAGATTTCCCATCTTGACTATGGGGTGGGGACATTTTTGCTCAGGATAGGTCGTCCGTCTTGTTCAGCTTGTGGAGACCCACGTCAGAAACCAGTTGGCTGTCACCGTACTCGGAGAGCCGCATAGACTGGGACCGAAAGAACAGCTCCTGCTCGAAAAACTCCAGGTTGTCGTATGGATTTTTGCAAAAGTTGTACGCCCTAGCTCTAGCATTGAGGACTGAGTTACAAATTTCAATTTTCTCAGCATGAAAAACACAAATTTCTCATGCTGACACGCGCATCAACAGGACAGATCTGTCACTCATGGTCATGCTATGATAGACTGGTGCATCTAGGAATCATACCAAACTTTTGCACTCACAGGATATGTCGCCGGGAGACACGAGCTGCTGGTCGGGAATGTCGAGTTGGATATCTGTGCGGAACGAAGGAATCACGATTTATTTCTCATTGTCTTTGTCATGCAGAAACGATATTAACGAATAGGATTAGGAAAAGGAATGCGCTCCCTCTTGTGCATGAGAAAGTTTGACATGATGCGCCGCGACATGTGCAAGTCAAACTACTACATCTACCTAGTACAAAAACAATACCAGCATCCAAAATCGGGCTTCCGGCGTCCCACGCGGCGATGCTATTGTCCAGCACCACCGCCTGCTTCTTCTTCCTTTTCTGCACGGTGATGCCCCTTTTCATGAATTTCTGCACCGCTTTTTCCGCCGCGGTGATCGCCTTTTGCAGCTTCAGATTCAGCATCTTCGCCAGCCCGTGGAACAAAATTCCGTACGTCTGGAGCGCATTCGCGGACAGTTGCACGTGCAAGGGGCGGTTTTGGAAGTTTTTTTTCGATCCTGTTCTGTTCGACCTAGAAGAGGACTTCGAGCGGTAGGACATGGACTGTTTTAACACCCGTTCCAGGAATGAATCGCGCCGATTGTTTTTTGTCGTGAGGTCGTATCAAATGTAAAAAGGTCTGGGTCTGGAAGAATGCAACTTGTGATGCTGCATTTGGATTCTAAAGAACTCTGTATTGCATGAGTACCAAAGGGAATGCAATTTTTGCTACGCTGAGAAGGCACTTGTCATGCGGAATACGCATCAAGAAGCCCTCAAAAAATCTGTATTGCTAGGGTATGCATCACAGACATCATGGCTCATGCAAAACGTGCATGACAAGTGTCAGAATCTTCCAGACCCAGACATTTTTACAGTTGATAGGTCGTCGACGTTTTTTTTGCTCGTCGTCCCGTGGTTGGCGGTATCTTTATCTTGCTGTTCCTGTTTCTTGCTCGCGGAAAGGAGCTTGTTATTCTCCAAAGAACCATCTGCTTTCGAGGACTTGGACTTACTGTCCACCTTCCGTCTTTTCGCATCGCTCTTCTCCACATAATTCTCGTCATTTCCATTTTCTTCCGGAGAAGTCTGCTCCTCATTCACCCCGCCCGCAACCGTCGTCTCCTCCACAAGCTCGGAGAGCTGGGATCGCAGGTCTTTTTCCAAGGTCTTCTTTCGCGTCGGGTTGGTATCAAATGTAAAAATGTCTGGGAGGTCTGGAAACTTGTGATGCTGCGTTGGGAATAGTGAATGCTCTGTAATGCACAGGCAAGCATGAGAAATATCTGCGCTTCTTTGTGTTGCGCTTTTCGCATGACAAACTGCGTTTTTGCACGACAGGCAAAAGGGTCTCTTCTTGGACACGCAACAAAAACTTCTTGGTCATGCCAGACACGCATGACAAATCTCGCGATCTTCCAGACTGACCCGGACATTTTTACACTTGATAGTTGGTAGCGGCATGCCAAAGCTCCCGAAAACTCGGGAACTGCTGGAGAAAGTGGTGATAGAGCATTTTTACTTTCACTTTGGTTTTTCTGTTATGTTTTCTGCATGTGAAATGGAAATTGAACGATACAGAGATCGGTAGCTTCAGTTGTACTTACAACTAGCTGCCTGAGGAAGTTCTTTCTAACGAGAGGAAATTCATCTCGAGTTAGAGTTTGTTTGGTTGGTAGACCACAAGAGAGTAAATTTATTTCTCCGCGCGTTGCTGCAAGATGTTCCTGTCGTAGAGCTTTGTTGTTTTGTTGCCAAGTGCCGCAGTGGAAAACTACATCCTTAACAAGCTACTTACTTAAATTCATTTTGCCGTTTGAAAGTACTCTCGACGCTCATTTGCCAAACGCTCTCAGTACTTGGTTGATGAAACAGCCCCTGTGTCTATTTTGTAAGGCACCACATCTATAATTTTGCTCGTCCCTCGTCGGCCTTTTTGAAAATCCACTTCACTCAGGCTACACGACAACTCGGACGAAAAAACAAAAAGCCTCGACGAGTTCGAAAGCGAGGAAGGAAACAAAAACGACATAAAAGAAAATGGAACAGATCCACCGAGCTACGATCGGAAAAAAAAAACAGAGCGGCAGGAGCAGCACGACCTGCATCTTCTTAAGTGCTCCTTCAAAAATGAAGGCACTTATTAGTTTTCCTTCTTGCAAGAATATACTTATATCTTTTTCAACTCAACACAAAGACACAAATTTTCTTTTCGTTCTGCGTAGAAGATCAAAGTTCTGCATCTGACTGCGCGTCGTGGCCGAGGGTTCTTGCGACAAGTCCACCTCCCGCGGCTAATGACATGGAAGTGCAAAAATGCAAATCAAGAGGAATCTTCGAAAAAATTCTTGTTTAAGAATCTCAAAGTGTACAACTTCTACCTCCTTGATGTCGGGAAAAGCACGACAAATTGCAGATGGCGAAGCAGTAACTACACAATTATGCAATAAATATTTACTTCATCCTCCGAATGTCAAGTCAGAAGTAGTGACAAACAGTTTCAAAGCCGTAATATTTGCAAAAAACCACATCGAATCTGCGTCGCCGCTGAGTGGCTGCAAAAGGGAGCATAGTTCTTGTCGGAGATGCTGATCGCGGTGTAGTTATTCTTATTTTGCGCAACACAAAGACAAATAAAGAGTCAAACAACTATCACTGCAAGTTCTTTTACCCCAATGTGCAAGGAGGTCGAACATAGCAGGACAGCGACAGCGTTTATTTACTTGAAAAATTATCCTATCCAAAAAACCCTGACTCATCAAACATCGGCCCCATGACGCTTCGTGCCCACTCCTTTCGTGCTTTTACCGACTGCTATCAACTGCAAAAATCATGTCTGGGGCTGGATAGTATTGAAAGCACACGACATGCTGAGGAGCGTTACATCATGCTATGCATTACAAATCTTATTGCTCTTCTATTCTTGCATGGCAAATCCAAATCCAGACCTGGACAACATATTTTCAATGCATAACTGCATGTGCCGGACGAATTTTATGTAGTCCTCGCTGCCCGTCAAAGCGTCTTATCACAGGAAAATAAACCTGTGTTACTGGAAGCTTCTTGGACTCGCAGCATGACAAAGTTGCTCTCGTCCGTGACAGACAAAGACAAAGGCTATAATACACGGCTGGTACGCCGGGACAGTGTCGAAAGACCAGCATTTTGTTGCATGCTTCGCAAAAAATTGTCCTTGTGTCGCATGCTTCGCATTACAGACTTGCTGTAAACACAGTTCTTTTCTTGCGATACGTCTAAAACGCCGTGTATTGTGTCGTCTGCCTCCAGCTGGAACCCCTTCGGGTCTGCGTTGTAGAGTTGTACAATGTATGTAGATTCAAAAAAATCAAATTGAAACTCACATCGAAAGTGAAGACCCTGCATGAAAACCAAAAACACACATGCCTTCTATGAGTTGGCTTTAAGTTTAATGCGTGAGAAAAATTACGAAAAATGAGTACTTTTGACAAACTTCGTCAGCTCCATAATGACGTGGTCCACATCGTACCCTGCGTCGGACAAAACCTGATTTGCTCGGTCCTCAAATTTCTTCCTGTACTGCAGACTATGCAAGAAAAAAAGTGTGTTGTGATGCGCAACGTTGTAGTGCGAGATGGCTGCGCTTGCCAGGCTGGTCAGGCAGATATCAGGTGCGTTTTAGTTTTTACGCATTACCTCTGCCGCACAACAGGTTTTTCTTTTTGCTGTTCTTACCATGCCAGACAACTTCATTACAGTACAATGCTCTTTCTCCAAGAGGAAACCGGAATCACTATACACACACTTTTCTTCTTGGATACAGATGCAGATCCGTCCACTCCAGTTTCTGCTCGACGTCCACAGGATCTGTTTTTTGTTTGAACTAGGATTAGATTTGTCATGCAGGACCGAGAAAAGAGTCCCTACCTGTCATGCAGTAATCAACATATGAAAACAAACCACACCTATTGTCTTCTAAGTACTAATACCGTCGTCCGGAAACTCGTCGCAATGCTTGAAGCTCCATCGCATCAGATCCATGCAAAACTCGTCGTCCTGGAAGGCTTCCAAAATTTCCCGAAACATGTACGCCGGTACCCCATTTTGTCGGAAATCGTCCATGGTGTCAATCGCCAGATTTGTTGGGTTATGGATTGTAAAAGTGTCTGGATCTGGAAGGATGTGAACTTGTGATGCGCATTTCACAACACAGACAAATCTCCAATGCATAGGCAGCAAAAGATGTCCATTCCCTGTCACCAAAGTGTGGGATTTGTCATGCGGATTAAGCAATGCGGAAGCTTCTCGAAATCTGTGATGCTAGGGCTTCCAGGACAGACATCCTGTGTCAAGCAAAAACAGCATGACTCTTCCAGACCCAGACATTTTTGCATTTGATATGGCTTCTTGGCGGAGCTCGGCGGACTAGCTTTGGAACTGGCTGCATCCGTCGACGCGGCGGAGGTGCTGGACGAGGAAAGAACGCCATCCACCCGTGCGGAGTTCATCGGATCGTAGTCGGAGGCGGTGTCCAGGTGCTTTGCCGATACGACGGTACTTTTCCCGGCAGTAGACGGCGAGGAGAGACTGGTTGGCTTTGTAGTTACCTGATGTTCTGGGAGGTGCTGATCGTGGTAAAGATGTTGAGCCGCTGTCGTCGAGGTCATCGTTGAGGACTATTCACTGATTATTCTTCTTGCAAGTCGCAGCTCGTAGTTGCAAAATCGCATGAAGAGGAAACGATCCACACGCAAATGCAAAGAACTTTTTTTGCTATAGCTTTTCACGTAACAGAATGTTCTGAGCTATGTGTCGCGCTTGTAATCTTTCACTCCAAAGGTAGAAATGGGTCGTAAATGCTCGACCTTCTACTAGTATCGAAGCTTCTAGAGCCGGTAAGATCGGATCCATAACTTCGAAAAGATTGACACGAAATCAAAGGCGGAGCCAGTTGTGAAACCACAATCATAATGTGCATGTAAAAAATATGCTTATGTATGATGTGCTTCGTACCATTTTAACTGAATGAATGAATGACTGAGTCTTCGACACAAACACAACAACAATTTGACGCAAACCTCGAGCTCTGTAATTCGTCCTCACTACTTTTTACGTGTGGAGATTCAATTTTTTAGCAATTTTCCCCTCTCCTCTCAAAAAATTTGGTTAGATTTCCTCGTTTAGTTCGATGAGAGACCGCACACCACCTCGTCACAACGACATATGAATAGCGATAGAGATGAATGATCGGAACACAAAGCTGCATATGAGCCGAAAATAGCAAATTAAATCAGATGTCACTGCAACCAAGGGACCTCGCTAAACAAGCCGATTTTTGATCTGCGCCTGCTATCCGTTTTGCGTTTTTTTGTCGCGTGAATGTGAAAGCCAGCAGTAGTCGTAAAAGAAGTTCTTGTACCTCTTTAAAAGAACTAGCTGCCACTACTTCTACCAAGAAGTACTCGCTTGTTCTGTGTGTGTCGCTTTTTCTCTTTGTTCATTTTGGATTATAGAAGTAGATGCGCATGGCATTATCTGCGTTCATCTCCACCAAAACGACACCATCACCTCCTCACCGATACACCAGCGTGACCATGGCCATGACGATACAGCCAATGGAGACGTAGGGACTGAGTCGCTTCTATCCTGTGTAAAAACGCCCCCACCCCACAGTTGTCCTGCAAATCAGCATGAGGAAAATATCTCTCATACGGAGCCCCATGATGAGCATTGTCGAGTCGTGTTTCGGAATTTGCTACGCTCAAACCAGCATGATGCGCTAGATCTGTGATGCTTCTGAACTGGCTAAACAGGACTACACTACGCAGCCAAACTTGTCATGCGCAGCAGCCAAAGCTTGCCGATTTGTCTTGCAGATTTCCCAACTTGACTATGGGATGGGGACGTTTTTACAAATGATAGCTTCCCTATTACCGCAAACCGCCCCGCCATGCCGCCGAACCCCGGCCTCTTGGGGTCTATAAAGGAGAAGGAGGGCTGGAGGTAGGTACAGGTGCAGATGGCCAGGAGCATCGCCACAAGCAGCGACGAGAGAGAGAAAAGCACCGTCATGATATTTAGAAGTAGTACTTGTGGATTACAACAACTTCTACCGTTTATTTGATGTGTGCCGCGGGGCTTGGTCGTCTTCTTCTCTGGGGGTTCTTTTCGGAACTTGAAGCTACAAAACGAAGCGGAGAGTGAAGTATGTGTGTGTGTCGCTGTTACAAGAACAATTTAAAAATATTTTGATTTTTACTCTCAAGGTAAGTAGTTGGCTGTTTCTTTTCCAACCACATACGTGCTGATACCATGCCAACATGTGAAAAGGCTACTGAAACTCAAAAAGTGAATTCATCACTAGCGTTCGTGGCAACAGGATCGGATAAGAAGGGCCTCGCTTGATTGATTCTGGATCTGGATCGTGCGCGTTGGCCCTTGATGTGATAATGCATTATGTGTAGCGTCTGCACGACGGAACAACGTCGTCGACCCTTGACGAGCCAGAAACGTGGAGCCAGGACCTGACATCCACTTCATTCCGTGGAGGTCTCGGTCTGGGGCACTAACTATAAACGCCGACTCCTGCGAAAGCGGGAAGCTAGTCTTGTCTTTCGTTTGTTCATATCGCTAGGTATGATAGATTGAATTAGAAACTCCTTCTTTTCTACATCCTTAGAGTGCTTCTTTTGTGCTGCTCCTGCTGTGAAGAGCAGTGGAACTGGTATAATTCGTGGAATGATCTGCGTGCGGTGTTGTTTCGTCCTCCTCCAAAGGGTCGCTTTTTTGCTTGTTGTCAGGACTACAGCCAGTTGCGCATGGACAAGAAGGTACTCTTCCGGTGTGCCTGTTCACTTGTAGCAAAGGATCCCGCCCAGCACTTGTGGCAGCACATCTTCTTATGTAAATTTTTTATCAATCTTCATAACAAGAAACATCATCGTCAAACAAGAGGTTGAATAAAACACCAAATTGTTTTCGTCAATGTCAAAATCACAAAAATCATTCTCATCGGCTTGTTTTGCGCCCTCAACGCCCCCGACCTACCGCCGCCTGTCCGCGTGGTAGTGCGCCGACTTCGGGCGGTTGACGCCCACCCTGACCCGCCCGGGGTTGGTCCACAGTTCCGTCCGTGGGCTCACGTACTCGATGCGCGGCGCGTTCTCGTGGAGGTTAGTGGACGATCGGTGTCGCATCCGCTCCTCGCGGGTGAGCAGATCCATGTCTTCCCGCACGGACTTCAGGTTGTGGCAATCCGCCCGTAGGTTCCCCGTTTTTGTCGTCGTCAGCCGTTCCCACCACGGGACCGCGGCCGTGCTATTTCCCGACGCTATGACAGGGCACAACTCCCCCTCCCCCTCATTTGTCATGCAAAAACCAAAATCCAGTTACTACCTTGTGGCACCGCGTGCATGACAAGTTCCGGAAATCCAAACAGTACTTCACTCCGCGCATGATACTGTCATGCACAACAGGGTCCTCCTGTACTGGTGTTTGTAATGCTGTTGATGCCATACAAATGAGGGGGACGAGGGGGAGTTGTGCACTCTCATAGCCGCGGTGGCGTTATTCGTCGTGCTGTTTGGCGTGGTAGGCCGCGTCGTGTGATTCGGGTGGTGCTGCGCTGCTTGTTGCGGATCGTTCTCGTTCCGATACGTGTTATCTAGTAGTGTGATTTTTGCCGCTCAGCAAATAAAATCGTGCGGATAAAGAAGTGACTCGTCGATATTGTGCCGAACAGCACCTAGTCCCGGGCAAAAAAGATGATGGAATCGCTTATGTTATATATACAATTCGCCGCCCCGGTGTATGTGACCCTCTCTCCGCCAACCACTGCCCCGGCCCCCGCTCCCGTGTAGGTTACCCTTTCGCCGGTGTGTGCAGTGTGTGCGGAGCTGCCCGCGCTTCTTCCATGGGGGTGCCCGGAGGAAGGGCTGTGATTGTCAGTTATGGTTTATGATATTCCTGATGCTGATGTGCAATGACAAAACAAAATTTGAATTTTTTCACCGCCAGGTAGTGCCAAGTCTGTCAAAGTCAAACAGGGGAACTACTTCTATACCGGCTGTGCCCCCCGTGGTTACTCGACTGCGATCGGTAGTGGTAGTTGTGCGATCGGGCATGCGCGCTGGGGTATGGTGAAGAAATGATCTCCATCTTCTGCAGACTCGAGAAGATATGAAAGGAGCTGACATATTAAAGTCAAATCGGTCTTATGCACACACCATACGAATACACCATGTGCACGTTGAAACACCGCAAGTAGGAGGACTTCTGCACGGCTATATGAAAAACGCACCTCTTCTTTTTCAGCACTGCAAACTTCACCCCTCGACTGCGGTGATGGAGACTCAGCTGGTCTACTTTCCTTGCATAACGTGATATTTCTCGTCGGCCGGACGTTCCGGATCTGGTCGAAATTTCCTCCTATCGCGGGAAAATGCGCCACTAGCACAGCAGTCTTGTCATGCAAAACACATAGCACCTTATGTTATGCAGAAAAGGGCAGTGATGTACAAGAAAACACACAGGCTCGTTGCCTACCTGCTGCTCAAGTTTTAGTTTTACCGAGACTGCATGTTGACAAGCTCTGATGTTGCGTCAGCGTTTTTCTGGATTGGGTACGAATGTGGTTATACTCCGGCTCGAAGACGACACGATCAGCCCACATCTTTATTTCCTCGATCTTTTGTACTAGCTCAGCTCCAGCTCCTGAGTTTCTATATATAATTATTTCGTTTTTCGTACTAAGTGCTTCACGACCAGCTCCTTGCGCATTGTTTATTGCTTCTCCTTGCTAATGTTATGATAGAAAACGGCGCTGTCAAAAACCTTCATGTTCACGGCAATTGCATTTCCTTATTTCTTACACGACATAAAATAAATTAGTGGCCGTTCTAAAACTACCATGCATCATTTTTACGGCACTTGACGCAAGGGCTCTAGTCTTGGTCACTGTTGACCACTGCTCCTCTCGCGCTTTTTTTCCTCTCAGTCTCGGTAGCGGAAGCACGTACTCTACGCAGTAGCCCGCAAATTTTTGTTCCACCTCTGCGGTACTTGCAGCTTCGCTCAGCATTTCTTGTTCCTGTGTCACGCACGGGTAGGCATAACATGCTGTGATCGTTTGTCCTCTCACAGGCAAACCCAATGAATCGCAGCACGGCGGCTGCGGCACAGAAATCAGTACCTCGGTAATAAAGAGCGATCCAGTGACGAACAGGATTTCTCACTTGCGTGTCCCCATCCGTGACTATGAGTTCACGTAATAAATACCATAGGTTGTACTTACTGAAAAAAAAGCCTACTTATGTATGAAACGTCAACCAAATTTGTTCAAGATCAAAATCCATATCCAAGAAACAAAAGTACAAAGCTGTGCGGGGACTACAACAAGTCGAAACTAGATCAGGTCGCGTTCACTTGTATCATTACCTGCAACAACTTTTGCATGTTCCAAACCCTCGCATCCATGCCCACTATTTCTTCCACCAAAGCTGAGCGAGAAGAATTAAGATCCCCTTGCGCAGACGGAGGAGAATTATCTTCGATCTCATTATTTTCCGCCTCTATCGCTTGCACCAGCATTTCACAGAAAACCGCCGGATGGATTGTTCTTGTGTTTGCGCTTCCTGGCTGTGCATGGGCTTCAGCAAGAGAAACTCGTGCTTCAGGAGCAGCATGCGAAGATATCCTGAGTAAAAACGTACCCGCACCAGAGTCAGGATGAGGATTTTGCAACACAAACCTAGGAGTTTTGTGAGTCACGCATGACAAGTTGCACTATGCAGTGTGGTGCAGGTTAGCAAGTGCATCCGCATCACAGATTCATCTGCTCATCCTGTTCACAGCATCACAAATTCCAAAACACGATTGGAAATGGCTCTCATGGGGATGCGCATTACAAGTCTTCCTGTCTTTGCAAATCTGCATTACAACTCTGGTGTGGGTACGTTTTTACTCAGGATAGAAGAACTGCCTACACCACCCTGCTCGCCGCGTCCAGCACTTCTCCTGGTGTTCTCATCCCCTGGAGGCAGAAGCAACCCCCAAAGCACCTGCGGAATCTGCAGGTCGCACTCCCGCAAAGTATGCATTGCAAATATGTCTGGGTCTGGAAGAATGCAAACTTGTGATGCTGCATTTGGATGCGAGAAAAATCTGTATTGCCAGAGCAGCAAGAAGAGTCAAATTTGGCAATGCGGAGAGGGCATTTGTCATGCAGGATGCACATCGATAGGCGCTCAAAAAATTGTGATGCTATGGCATACATCACAGACATCATGGATTATGGAAAATGTGCATGACAAACTTCTTCTCTTCCAGACCCAGACACTTTTACATTTAATACAAAGCGGCATCGATCATTTGCAGATAGGTTTTCCGCATCACAAACTCCGACTTTTCGTGTCGCAACTTCAGGAAGAAGTCGTGGCTCAGCACTTGCTCGTCTGTTTGGCGTTGTGTAGTAGTTGCAGCACTAACGACCGTCAAAGAAGAGGCTGACGAGGCGCGTCGGGAAGGCAGTCCAGACGATCCTTCGGCGCCGGGAATCGAAGACGATTCTACTTTTGCTGCCCCCGCCGGCGCCGCTGGCGAAGGCACGATCTGTCTCCCCTGCATGCGTAGGGTGGGCGAAGCAGTGGGTGCTGGAACTGCTGGTTCTTCAACTTGTTCTACTCCGGGTTGTGACTGTTCATGTTCTTCGCGTTCGACGGTGAAGTTCCTCCTGCCGTTTCCCCCCCGCCCTGTGTCGCTGGTTTCCAAATCCACCCCGCTGCCCCGCCTCGTGCCGGGATCGCCACTACTACTTGCACTGCTTCTCCGGCTTCTCGCCGGACTTAAAGAAGTGTATCGCTCTTTCACCGCTTGTATTGCTCGTTTCCCGAAGTTCAGAATATCAAAAGGAATGAAGTAGCTAGAATTTATTGATCAGCGCAGCGTGAAAACAAAATCTAATACGGATGTAGTATGCAAAAACGAAATACCAAACAGAAACAGCTTCATCTCATGGTGGACATTTTTATGCCCTTGTGTCATGTCAAGCGATAGTTTCTCAAGATTTCCACTTTTACGTATGTTTGCATGTCTGGGAACAATGACACAAACAAGAAAATGCGAAGTAGACATGATCCTAGCTCTTTTCACTCCACTACATGACCACTCCGGTCTATCACAAGAAAAAAGTGTTACACATACACATTTGCTGGAGTTTCTGCATCACAAAGTTGCTCGACATGGTCAAGAAAACCTGTGATGCGCAGACTACAAGGGAAAACACGAATAAAATGAGGCTGGCAAGCATTTCCTGCATGTTTGTCTGTCTTGCTGGTCTTCCATCAGAGTGTGTAAGTGTAACACTTTTTTCTCAGGATACGGTCCCCGCGGCCCGAGCCACTTGAGACACCTATGGATTGCAAATATGTCTGGGTCTGGAAGAGTGGAACTTGTAATGCTGTCTGTGGATTCTAAAAATATCTGTGTTGCATGAGCAGCAAGAGGAGTCAGTTCTTGGCACGCGGAGAGGGCATTTCTCATGCGCAATTTGCATCAAGAAGCTCTCAAAAAATCTGTGATGCTAGCACCAGCATCACAGACCTCACGGGTCATGCAAAATGTGCATGACAAGCCCCGACTCTTCCAGACCCAGACATATTGGCACTCGATAACACGACGGAAGCAGCAACCCCGCCGGTCACCGCCTCCGAGCCCGCCGCTGCTGCAATCGCTCCCGCGGCCGAGGAGCTCGCGCCCCCGCCCACCGCCGCATATGCGAAAAAAACTGTGTAAGTGTAAACTTGTGCTGCAGAAGATGCAACAGAGTCACACCTGTCATGCCAGACAGCCATGAAGTCCTCTTTTCGTGTGTGTTTTCCCTTACAAACCATGCATGACAGGTTTTCTCTGTCATGTAGAGCAAATTTGTGATGCTGTTCCTCAAAGATAGTTACACTTACAAACTTTTTTTCCTGGATACCGCACCCGTCGCCACCACCGAACCCACCGCCGCGGCGGCGGTCGCACTGTATCGCAAGAAAAATCTGTAACCTTGTGATGCACAAAGTCGTCCCTCTCAGGCGCGTTTGTCTTGCTACCCGACATGTTGCACGAAGACATTATGAAGCACGTTTTCCCTTGGAGTGCAGCGCCGCGCATGGCAAATTTTCTCCTGTGTCATGTGCAACAAACTTTGGATGCAGTGTCTTGCAAAATCATCACAGTGAAATAGTTTTTTCGTAGGATACGGTGCCTCCGGCGAGTAAAGCGAGTTTCAGCATCCGTTTCGGGTCGGTTTGCACACTGTAGGACCGACTGGTCCGAAAATCGCAACCGCACTTCTCCGAGCCGACTTTACACCAATGCGCCATCAGCTCGCAATTGCGCACGAGAAGGTCGTATTCGATTTGCGGCTTTTTGCTGTAGTAAGATGTTGTTGACGGTACGGAGATTACCGGGTCCTGCTGGTGAGCAGTGCTAACGCTAAGAGGATCTGCTGCATCAGCGTGTGGAAAATTGCTGTTTTCATCTTCATCCACCTCCGCGATCGGCAACTCCACAAGCGACAACGCCCGCAAGATGGTCACAAAAGCCGGGTCCGCCTTTTCGTTGTGCGCCACGCCGGCGCGCTTTATGGCCGATTCTCCGTACGACGCGTTGTATTTCACCCGGTGCGCGTGCTGCGAATCCTTCAAAAATTCCTCCAGAGTCGAAACCAGAATCCGTCGAGAAAGTATCGAGTCCGCGGACAATCGCCGATGGTAGCGCCATTGGATGTTTGGGTTGTGTAGACAGCTGCAACTAGAAAAGAAATCGAATCAAGAAAAAAATGTAGCCTGGCAGCGCGATTAATCAGTCGATCCTGCAGCTAGTTTTAACAACCGAATAAAGCATCTTGTTGCACTTTGAACTTTGCATCAAACAATTCTTGCCTTCTACCTTCTGCCACATCACACATCCCAATGGCCTCAAAGGCAAAAATCTCGCCTGTGATACGCGACACCCAGCCACTGAAGTGCGCGACTAGCACTTCCTGCTTGTCCAGCTCAGAAAGAGCCCCTGCAGCTTCGTGCTCTCCCGATGGATGTCCTGGCGATGTTTTCCCGTCTTCTTCGTGCGACGATACTGCCACGACACGACATTGTTCGCTCCTTCCGGATCCGGGCGGCCGGCTTGTTCTTTCCCCTACTTTCCGCATCCCCTCCGTCGGCCACACCACAATCCCGTGGTGAGAATACGTGTACGCCAGTCGGTAGGTGTAGATGTGGTCGCCGGCAATCAAGTCGTCTTTGACCGTAATGTGCGTCTATTCTAAGAAAAAACGGCCCCACCTCGGTGTTGTCATGCAAAGTGGCATGTCTGATACGTTTGTCATGCGCAACCCCAAGAGGAGAGTTTTCACGTGCTATTTGGGAACTTGTCAAGCTCGAATCAGGGCGAGGTGCTCAAATTTTTCTCATGGAGGTGCACACGCTAAACAGGACTACACGAGAACGAGCTCACACTTGTATTAATGCGCAACAGCCAAAACTTGCTGCTTTCTGTAGCGAAGTCGCCATCTTGACTCTGGGGAGGAGACGTTTTTACTCAGGATAGCGTCAGAAACTTCTTCACCGAGTCCAAATGCTCTGCAGAAGGTGTTATCAAATGTAAAAGTGTCTGGGTCTGGAAGAATGCTGCAACTTGTCATGCTAAATCTGAAGCATGCAAAAATCTGTGTTGCATGATTACCAAAAGTCGTCCAGTTTTGACCAAGTCGGGAGGGAGTTTCTCATGCAGGATAGGCATGAGAGAGATTGCACAGAATCTGTCATGCTAGGGTCCTGCATTCAAGGCTTCATGGGTCATGGAAAAGCTGCATCACAAATCGCGCATTCTTCCAGACCCAGACATTTGTACAGTTGATAGGCGTGGCCGATTCGGCCAGCGCCTCGCCCGCTTCTCGCGCCAAGGCGGTGGCGAGGGACTGCATGTTGGTGCCAATTTCGTTTGATTCTGAAGTCAGTATGAAGTCGGTGTCGGTGTCTGTACGTGTACTGAAATAACTTAGGTCACGAAACTCAAAAAGTGACCCATACGTACACTGAAGAGAAAAACCATATCAAAAAGAAAACTCCTCTTTTGATGGAGAACTAAGCGAAGCGTCTACTTTGTAAACAAAAGGAGCGCGTGCTTTGTAATCGAAACCGACACGATGTAAAAAAAACTGCAATGCAGCATATTAGCATCTCCATACAATAGAGAATGATTCAATAACTGGTGACGACGCCTACTCGCCATGAGATAAAAAGGAGCACTAGACCGCAGTACGTAGTATCGTTTATTTCCCTCAATTCTTCACCCCCTCCCAACACCATCTTCGACCCCACCAAAAAGCCCTTGTTGATCGCATTTTCGATTTAGATTTTACACTTAGCATTCGCTACAAATACCGACATGGCAATTTTGACCGACGAGGATTTTCATTTTTGTATTATATATAAAACGGGAATGAGATCGGAGAACCTCCACAGAGCCAGGGTTCTTTCTCTTTGGCAACGGAACCTACCAGTCGTGCAACATAGTAGAAAACAACAACAAGATGCAAAAGTGGTTTGACATAGACGCACGGAGCGAAAAGGATCAGCTCCTCTGTAAAGAAACCAATCAAAAGCGACCACGACGTTCTTGACCGACCACGACTCACGCCTTTGTCTATTTTGAAGGAACTTCATTTTCGGATCAAAACACTTGACGACCTCTTCGGAGAGATGGTCCATCGTCTGCTCGCGACCGAGGCGGAAAACTCGCCTTCGAACAACGTACGTCCAATAATATGGAGCAGGCTGTTGGATATCCAACTACCTCCACCTCGAGTAGCGATAGTCAAAGCGGGGTGACGTATTGGTATCTTATGGGCAATGGAGAGCGAAAAGCGTGAGTGTTCTTGTTTGAGGCTCAATAAAATTCAGTCACAGTGCCGCGGTCGAAGCACAGCGAGCACTACACTAGTAAAAAGCGAAGACCTGGTTGTATTTGAAATAAACTATTTCTCAACGAGAGGGAAATGAAATGAGGAAGCGCTATGCCTATAGCTCGTCCTCTGCTTCGCTTCTTAGCTGTGTTATGCCCGTGCTCCTTTTGCTTTTTAAAAACGCCAAAAAAACATCTCACATGTTGGGTAGACGGCGACGGGCTACGACGTGACAGAGTGAAATAATGTAAAATAGGTCCCAGGCAGGCTATGCACGTACGAATCAAGTCAAAGGCATCAAAGTGGGAGTAGAGTCGTAGTTGTAAAGCTTAGAGCTTGATGCGTTTGTGTTTTTTCATATGTAATTTTTTTGCGTTTTTGTGATATGTAATTTTTTTGTGCTTTTCTCATATGCAATTTTTTTGCGTTTTTCCAATATTTCACCCGCACGAAAAAGTGATACTTAACTCTGGGGCTGTAGGAAATGGAGATGGAAGCGCGTGAGTGTTGTTTGAGGCTAAATAAAATTCATTCACAGCGGCGCGGTCGAAGCACAGCGAGTACTACAGTAGTAAAAGCGAAGACCTCGACCTGGTTGTTGTATTCGAAATAAAATATTTCTCAACGAGAGGGAAATGAAATGAAGAACCGCTATGCCTATGCCCCATCCTGTGCTTCATTTCTTAGCTGTGTATATGCTCCTGCTCCCTTTGCTTCTTACTTATTCCGCCTAAAAAAACTTCTCACATGTTGGGTAGACGGCGACGGGCTACGACGTGACCAAATGAAATATTAATGTAAGGTTGGTCCCAGGCAGGCCATGCACTTATGAATCAAGTCAAAGACATGGGAGTGGAGCCGTAGTTGTAAAACTTACAGACCGTATTCCGGAGGGGTTGGGTAAAAAAATAAAGCGAACTGAAATTCATATTCATGAAGGACAAACTTCTTGTGAAAAGATGTGCCGTGGCGAAAAGGCTATTGATATGCGATGACTACATTCTGATTTTTTCATAGGTGCACAAAAAGTAAAGCGTAAATCCATGGATGATCTCCTTCAAGGCAATTGCAGCTGCAGGATGCACTTCAGCGTGCGTACTTACTGCGGTTCGGGCTTTATTCTTATCGGTTCTTCGGTGTGCATTCGATAAGGATAAAGCTGCGAACGCTCGTCTGATGTCTACTGCAATAGCAATTATCGTGGTCCTAAAAAGATAATACTGCCAATGCCGCCGTTTCGTCTGATGATAATGGTTGTGGTTTATTTTGGATAAAACTTCCCCGAAATCTTATGTCTACAATCTTCGCAAGGAACAAATAATCGAAATAAGTTTAAAGAGGTAGACGAGTGCAAGTTTGGACTTTCGAGATCGCACTGATTGTTTGCTTTGTCTGTTATTGTTTGTATGTTTATTTGTACTTATTAGTAGTGTCATATCTAATATATTACCACTTGAAGAAAAAACCTGGGTAGAAAGGCTTTTCTAGCTTCCATACCCACCTTCACATGTCGGTAGAAAGGCTTACCTAGCTTCACATTTTTCCGTGCAATAAGGCCCCGTGTGATCGCAATAGCCGTACTGGGCGCGCTCCCGCAGGCTCAAGCAGTTGCCATCCCCTTGAGCCTGTTCCTTGCTCATCCACTCATAACCACCATCAGCGCACCCCGAACCACTATCAGGGCTGCGTTCACACCAGCAACCCCGGCCCACAACCTGTTTATTCCGGAGATTTGGGTTCATTTTCCATGCTTTCATGATCAAGAGCGTTCGCGCCGTTCATTCTTTTAGTTCTACCACCCCAATCGAGCAGGCGCCCAGAACGCCCGCTGGGAGAGCATCTTTTCGATCGACATTCAGGGCATCGACCATCCAATGGCAGAGAGTGTGTGTGCCTGTGCCTGTGTGTCGCACTCTGAATACTAAATTGGAATCGATGCGGCTGCCAAGCCAACAATTACAACATGCCCAACTATGGCAAGACAGCAAGTAGTAAGCAAGTACCTTCTTGAGGTCCTCTTCCGTGCATGATTTTTGCGTCGCCTTCTTCTTATCCACCTGCATCATCGATCCCGACACTTCGTTTCCCGCCCACATCAACTTCCGCGCTTCGGGGGGGGGGGCACCACGGCCCCGGCCACTGTGGCCGCGAGAGGGAGGAGCGCAACGGACTTCCTCGGCATTTTGATTGATTGCACAGCTGTGGTAAGGTTAGAAGTTCTTACTGCAGCAGATGACTTGTTTGTCTCCGTCGTCTGTTTGTGAGTTTCGTTTGTTTGCCCCCGGCAAAAAAAAAGAGTTTGAAAGTAGCTTTCCTCAGCTTCACTGTAGTTTGTGCTGGTTCATCAAAGAGAGAGAGATAGATGAGATGACATGTACACACAGTAAATCTATTTTTCGACTATCTGCGACAGCGCTCCGTCGACCTACAGCTTGTATTTCCATTGTCAACGAAGATAAACGACTAGAGTTCATACATACTCCCTTGTATGTGGTGGACCTTCATCGTGTCCAAATTCTTGACTTGGGAGGAACGGTACGAGTGTGTCACGACAGAAAGAACGACCCACAAAGAGCAGCTGGTTTTGAAATTGACCCACCACGGAAAGAGACGATATTACCTACGACTCTGATAGTACGGTACGACGATGATTGCATCAGTATCAGTGGCAGTTCTACGGTTCATACATAATTAATACGATAAGACGATGAATCGGCCACAATTCTACGAACGCACGAAAATGATAAGTACGAATACCCAAGGTGGGAACAGTAATATGGGCTCGTCCCCGAAGCAAGAACACTGCCGTGATTCTCATTGCGAATCCTTTCACCACTGGTTGTAAACACGACAGACTTCCTCTGCAGTCAGTGCACGAGAGCAAGAGGAGGCGATTCCGAACGACAGCAAAAATCGATCAAGAGAACTAGCCGAAGCCTTTTCATTTGCATAGTCAGATGCAGAAAAAGAAGCGCTACCTCATTTTGTACGGGGATGGCGTACATTTGTGTAGCTGCGAAGACAAAGAAAAACGGAAACACACTGCCGAATCACAATGTCCTTCCTGATCCCGTCCTCGGTCTCGAACAAGTAACGACGCGCGTTTCAAATAAGAAAGAACTCCTCTACAAACTTGTCGCAATCCATGCTGTATGCCTTTCCTTCCCCTGTGAACAAAATCGACAAGCTTGTTATCGAAATTCCGATTCGTTTTCGTCTTCTACTTCTCCTCCCAGAAATAAATCGATTGAGATGCGCGTACAAATTTTCTGTAATCTCTGGAACAAGTACAACTTCTGAAAAACGTTGGCGGGTTCTTGATTTCCATCCTTTTTGCTTCTTGTTCATCTCCACTTCATCCGTAAAACCGGGCGCTCGGCACAGTTCTCATTCTTTCTTTCGCTGGGGTGACGAGTCAGGTGATGGTCATGATCGAAATACCACATTTCGATCAACATGTCGAACGCTCTGTAGTATCTGGCCATAGCCGAGACGCGGCCAGACTGCATGTACTACTACGTACCAGTGCCAACAATAAGAAACTGTCAGAAATTTATACCCGACGAAAATGGATACCAATACCACTTTATTGCACCTCAACTTGTGCGGGACTGTGTCTATGCCGAGCGTCTGGTGTCTGTCGTCCATGTATTAGTAAAGTACTTCGTACCTGTCGCTTTGTCAACTGTTTCATTGTCAATCATAGTTTTGTAAATGTGGTAGTAAGTTGTACGTACTAGCAAATTGATTCTTTTGAGATTTGACTGGATTGAAAGAGGAAAAAACAACATTTGAAAACATAAATTGTCTGCTTGTCGCCAGCCAGCTAGTCGGGACAGAAAAAAACCAATTACGTCCTTGGGAAAGAATAGAAATGAAGGGGTATTAAAGTCAGAGCTAGAGGGCATGAAGCCGGCGCATCAAAAAGAAAAAGTACCTTTAAACAAGAAAGAGTTCTGGCTCGTCTCAGTAGGGAGGCGAAAAACAGAAATTGTTCATGTCCTCGCAGCATTTATGAAGAATGTTGAGCCAATAATTATCTGTTGGTTGCCAAGAAAAGCTCGTGCCAGTGTTGCGCGTCCTTCGTTCTCAAGCCGCGATCGCGAGCACTCGAAAAAAGGAACAAGCCGGTGACCTTTCTTCATCGTCGTTGTAGATGTAGTTTATTACACACAAAAATATACACGACGCCAAGACGAGAAATAAATCACCACTTCAAAAACCCAAAGCTGAAGCACTTCTCGGCTGTCTAGATCGATTTTTAGAAATCAGAGCACCTACGTACTAGACCTGCTGCTAATGCTACAGAAAGTCCTGCTAGGTGAAATACTAACTATCTATGGAAATAATGCACATGAGGGCACGACAATGCGCATCTTCTTGAAGAGAGTACTACACCTTCTATGCGGTCCAGGCTTGTTCTTCTTGTCAGAAATTGTGATGTTGAAAGAACCTTTGTAAAATTTGTATCGATAAAATAAACTGAATTGCGATTATAGAGTTGAGAACAATTTGGCGAAAAATCAAGAAGTGCTCAATGTGCCGCCGCTGTAAAGAAAACTCGAATCTCGTTGTTGTTTCGTCGAAGTCGAACAAGAAAGGTCGTCGTGTAGATAAAAATCCCTTCTTGTCAATGTGAAAAGCTTGTCGCCGAGGAAGTTTTGTCGAGGGAAAGTAAGTACTTTATTTTCCCCACATAATTCAATAGACAGATTTCGCCGCGCTGCGCCAATTTTTGTCCCCGTGGTCGTTGGTAATTTGTTTTGTTTGTCGTGGTCGGTGGGGAGTTCTTGTGGTTTTTGCCAAGAACGCACTAGTTCTAGTCGTGCAGAGAGTTGTTACTATTTCCCTCATCACGCCCCCCTCTGCACCAGGATGCAGCTTCCGGTCAAGCAGTAGATTTCGAAAATGTTCATGGTAGTGAGCGGCTTGCCTTGCACTTCGAGTAACAAGTCACCGACGAAGAGCTTTATGAATGTGTCAGGATCGAAATCGACAAAATCGAAAAACTTGTGATGCACAAAATGTAGGGCACTGAAGGCCTGTATTGGGGAGCATGCAAATGAGGCCGATTGTAAGCCTGTTTAGGGGTATGCAATGCGCTGCCAGAGTAGCATGACGGGAGCAGTCTTCTTTGTCCAAACAGCACGACAGACTGGATTTGGGTGCTCCCGAAGTTTGTCATGCGCCACTCGGAAACTGAGGCCACAAACTGGTATCGATTTTATGCATCACAAATTTTTCGACTTTGTCAATTTCGATTCGGACACTTCCATAAGCTTCCCCCGCATCGGACTGTCACGCTCCAGGGACCGCTATCAACTGCAAAGATAATGTCTGGGTTTGGAAGATTGCCAGGCTTGTCATGCATATTTTCCATGACCCATGATGTCTGTGATGCATGCCCGAGCATCACAGATTTTTAGAGGACGTTGCGATGCCTCTACCGCATGAGAAATGCCCTCGCCGCGTAGCACAAACTGGCGTCCTCTTGCTGGTCATGCAATACACATTTTTTTAGAATCCAGAGACAGCATTACAAGTTTAGAATCTTCCAGACCCAGACATTTTTACAGTTGATAACCGCACAAAGAGGCCGATTTGCCCGGCCTGCTCCAGCTGCATTCCGCAGCTCGGTCGAAGCTCGCCCGTGTTGGGGTTCTGATAGTATTTTGCATTACAAATCTTTTGGTTAAGGCAAATCCGCATTACAACAAATTCAATTTGTGATAAATTACTTCATCCGAGTGATGAAAAAAAAGCACCACAGACAATTTAATACCACGCTGTCCCGCACTCGCAGGGTGACTAGTTCCAGAATTTTCGCGGGGAAAATTTGTCTCATCACGGTGTAGATCACCTCGTGCGCCACCGGGTCTTCGGGCCTCTCGTAGGGTACGCTGTCCACGAACTCCCCGGTTCCGTTCTGCTGCTGGTCCGCAAGCATCATGTTTGGCGAGTGGCTGTGCGGTATCCACTGCAAAAGTATCGTACTCGTAGTCATTGCGTTTATGCATTACAGATCTCTTTCTCAAGGTCAAGGTAAATCAGCATTACAAATTTCATTTGTAATGCTGCGCTAATTTGTAATGCAATCTATACTAGAAGTACGATGCTTTTGCATTGCATATGCGGCGTCACCACGGTGGGCTGCACGGGCTGCCCGTTGTTGGGGAGTTGCACGTTCCCCCGCACTATCAAATGCAAAAATCCCTGGATGTCTGGAAGATTGATGCAACTTGTCATGCTAAATCCGAATCATGCTAAAATCTGTGTTGCATGCGTGCCAAAAGCTGTCCACTTTCGACCAAGTTGGGAAGGAGTTTCTCATGCAGGACAGGCATGATAGGGATCTCACAGAATGTCTGTCATGCTAGGTCCCGCATTCCAGACCTCAAGGGTGGTCATGGAAAACCTGCATAACAACTTCACACTCTTCCAGAGGACCCAGACATATTTGCAATTGATAAGTACCATCACCTGGTCGTCGCCACCCGTCACTTCGGGCATGTACTTGAAATTGAAATAGAAATACCGGTCGCCGTAACTGTCGATTTCGTACTCAAAGCTGTCTTCCAGAAAGTTGTCGTTTACGAAGCGGATCATCGCGTTCTTGAATTTGTCCAGCGCGCCGACGTTCCGCATGATGTCGTTTTCACTGAGTTCGGTCGCGGGGGGCGGGGGGAAAGCGTCGGAACGCAGGAAAACCACACTGGGGTCCATGCCGATGGGAAAGGCGCGGAACACCGCGGACATTATGTAGGCTGTCGTGCGCTCGTAGAGCAGGGGAAGCAGAATGTTTCGCGACTTCCAGTGGGATTGGGGCACGCGCGGGCGGTAGAAGGCGCACTTCATGTGGATCATGGATTTGGTGGCCCACTTGCAGCGCAGACAATTGAGCAGGGAGATGCGCGCGTTCGGGAGCCGGCGAATCAAACCCGTGATGAGGTATTTGGCCTCGTTGGAAAGAGCGCACTTCTTGGGAAATTCGAAGTACCTGCAGCGGGGTCGTGATGGTTTTCATTTCTACGTACTCGTATTGCAGTCATGCATTACAAATCTTTTTGTTATAGGTAAATCCGCATTACAAATTTAATAAAATCTATCGCTATACCCTCGTATTTGATTCTGTTCCATCGTCCTGGCGTCGCCGGTGAAGGGATATCTTCCACATAGCAGCACGTACAGCACTACCCCCAGGGACCACAAGTCTGCGCTAAAGCCGTAGCCCTGTAGAGGTTTTTTCGTATAATACTCATGAAGTAGTCACAACGAATTTATACACTTGGTAAAAATGGATGCTTTCTTTTCCCGTCTTCAACTTCATCCCCGGATCGGTTTCGGTGTGGTCGACGTACATAGCCTTTTTTGCTGAAGACGGCTACGTTCTTGGGAACAACAAGAACGAGCAATCGGACGACAGTGAAACAGCAAAAGCTGCTATATGATAATAAAGTATACCTGCACCATCCCCGCCTGCTCGGAGGGGGTGGTCCGCGTCGCGCCCAGGCTGGTGGCCACTTCCGGGGCCCAATACTGTGGCGTCCCCGTTCGCGTGGTGGCAATGCTGTACCCGTCCGCGACCAGTTTTGCCAACCCAAAATCTGACAGCTTGATCTCATACGCGACCATTTGTCGGGTTTTATGAAATGCAAATATGTCTGGGTCTGGAAGAATGCAGGAGTTTGCCATGCAGATTTTGCATGACCCATGAGGTCAGTGATGCATGCCCTAGCATCAGAGATTCTGCGAGGGCTTTCTAATGCTCAGACCGCATGAGAAATGCCCTCTCCGCGTAGCACAAATGGCGCCGCTTTTGCTGCTCATGCAAGACAGATTTCATGCAGAGTCCAAAGGTAGCATCACAAGCTGCATCCTTCCAGACCCAGACATATTTGCAATGCATAGGTTTTGTTGTGGTCGCATTCCACGTGCTGGTTCCACCGCGGGTCCCCCGCCAGCTCTTATCGCAAGAAAAAAGTGCTACAGTTACACATTGCGTTGCAGGCCAAGCAATACAGACAAGCTCTGTCATGCCGAATACGCATAGGAGCCTCGTTTCATAGGTGATTTCCCGTAGTATTTCGGCATTGCAAGTTTTCCCTCTCATGCAGAGAAAATTTGTGTTGCTGAATTGACTGCGAATGTGTAACTGTATACACTTTTTTCGTGGGATAGCTCTTCGGCCTTAATCAGCGGGTACCGCTTGCACTGTTTTACAAAGGTGTTTCGAACATCAAGTAGAAAACTTCATAATTTTTTCTTCATCTTCGATCTACTTTCTTATATATTTTCTATCTTCAAGTTCAAACAGGATTCGACAAGAAAACCAGCCCAACCAGAAAATTGGAGGACACACGTTCCTGATGCCCATGATGACCACATGCACGAACTTTGACTGTGAGATGGAAAACAAAGCGACAAAGACAATCAATAGGAAGTACTTAATAAGTTCGATGCAACTAGTATCAGTCCTTACCACAAGGATATTTTCCGGCTTCAGATCTCGGTGCACAATTTGCTTCATGTGCACGTACTTTAGTCCCGCCGCGATTTGGACGAACACGTACCGCGCTTCGGGCTCCGAAAATCTGGCGATGTAAGGCTCGTTATCGTGGTCCAGAATGCGGTCAAAAAGTTCGCCTGTGGAGATATTTTTAACCGTGAACAAGGTGTGTTTCATAATTTGAAAATGTTCTTGTCACGCGAATAAACAATAAAGATCCTGAAGCGATTGATGACATACGGTATGAGTTGGTGAAGAAGTAGTTTTTGTGTTTCTGTTCAGTTCTACTTTCATTTTCCTGCAGCTGTATGTATTGAAACACAGAAAAAAAACCAAAAATTTCTTGTACCATGCGGCACGATTTCCATCACCAAATAAAGGTTGTCCCGCTGCTCGATGACGTCGACCAAACTCGTTATGTACTTGTTCCGCAAGGTCGACAAGATCTGCGCCTCCCGCTGCAATTTCGAATATTCGCGGCTGAAGCCGCTTATCCTGAGGAAAAACGTCCCCACAACGGAGTCAAGATGGGAAATCTGCTAGACAAATCAACCAGCTTTGCTTGTTTCGCATGGCAAGTTTGTCCTCGTACTGTACTCCTGTTTAGCTAGTTGAGCAGCATCACAGATCTAGCATATCATGCAGGTTCTAGCATCACAAATTCCACAACGCACCTAGAAAATGCTTCTCATGGGGCTCCGCATGACAAACTTTTTTGGCCTGCAGGTTTGCATGACAACTCGTCTGGGGTGGGGACGTTTTTCCTCGGGATACCGCTGTGGTTCAGCTTCAACCTCTTCAACGAGATCACTTTTGCGGCAAAGCACTCCTCCGGCTTGCTCTTCCGGTAGCATCGGTAAACGGTCGCCATCGTATCAAATGTAAAAGTGTCTGGGTCTGGAAGAGTGTAAACTTGTTATGCAGGTTTTCCATGACCCTTGAGGTCTGGAATGCGGGACCTAGCATGACAGAGTCTGTGAGGTCTCTTTCATACCTATCCTGCAGGAGAAACTCCCTCCCAACTTGGTCGAAAGTGGACCGCTTTTGGCACTCATGCAACACAGATTTTTGCATGATTCGGATTTAGCATGACAAGTTGCAATCTTCCAGACCCAGACATTTTTACATTTGATACATCGCGCCCGCCCCCAACTCTTCCGCCTGCACGTAGGGGTCGCGGGCGTCCCCGAAGCACAGCCGGGGCCCGTCGTTCTGGGGCGTCACGGTGCGCTGCACGGTCACGTCGGCGAGAATTTTCGGAACGGCATGCTGCGGCTGTCCCGCTGCCGCGCTGTTTAGTGTCGCATTCATGGCGCTGTTGCTACCTGGCCCACCACCTCCGCTGTTGTGTTGTTGCGGGGGCGAGTTCAAGTTGGGGTTCATGTTGGTGCCACCCGGCGGCGGCTGGAGGTTATTATTGTTCTGCTGCTGCTGCTATGCAATGCAAAAGCATCGTACTCGTATAAATGCATTACAAATTTTCTCTGCATGAGAAATAAAATTTGTAATGCGGATTTACCTTGACAGAGAAATTTGTAATGCACGATTGCAATTACTACGAGTACGATACTTTTGCACAGGATAGCTGCTGGTGTCCTGCGTTGCTCATCTGCTGGCTGGAGGACGAACTTGGATTCGGACTGCCCCTATCAAAAGGAGAAATCCCCCCTTCCCATATCGAAAAGGTATGTTTCCGAAAATTTGTGTTGCTGATTTGAGGTCGCAAACCACATTTGTATTGCAAGAAGACAAGGGCAGAAGCTTCCGCCCCACTATGGAAGCGATTTGTCATGCCGTTGGCCCTAAAAGTGACCCACTTGCCATGCTGAACAACTAGACCCATACGCCCCTACCTAGCCTGGGGATTTGGCCGCAGTGCCTCTCTGCAATACAAACCTGATTTGCGTACACAAATCCAGCATCAGAAATTCCGTTTCGATACAGGGAGGGGGGATTTCTCCTTTTGATAGCCCCGCTGCTGCTGGTGCATCTGCTGCATATGCTGCTGCTGCGCGGCCGGGGAAAGTATGCATCACAAAAGTTCTTGTACACATGATCGCACCACTTCTTGTCGTAGAAGTACCAATCGCAATATCTCGTTATTTTCACGACAGGAGATCATGATCTGGCTTCACACTACACGAAGAAGAAGATTCAGCATTTTTCAAAAATTGTTCCCTTTTGATGAAAAAACCACCACCACTTCTTGTATCCATAAATCAAACGCGCTTGTAGTTCATCCGGCTCATACGTAGTCAGACGTGTGCGAAGATGAATATCATGCTTTCACGAAACCTGTGATGCTAGAGCTTCCATGCCAGACCTTCTGTGTCATGTTGGGAAGCTAAGGGCTGGGCGTCCCTGTCTTTCTCTAAACCTTAAAACGGTAGCCACTTACTCGACAAACTCTAGGTAGAATAAGTTTGGACAAAGTGATCACTACCGAGAGACAACAAACACACAGACCTTCTGTGTCATGCAAAAGCAGCATGATAGTGCGACGTGTGCGAATAGGATCATGCTTTTGTATCTTGCGTAGAGAGTGCGGCAAACTGCGACGGGGAAAGCGGCGCAGCCTGTGGCAGATTGGGCGACGGCGGACCGGAGCCCGCGATATTGGGGGGCACTTGCAGGTGGGCATTCATGGGTAATTGCACCGGCTGCACTGGGTTCTGATTTGTTCCCGCCGAAGATCGGGCGTTCGGATTAAAATTCTTACTCGCGGAACTCGGGGGAGTTGTATTCACCGCGCCTGGTTGACCAGACACTGGTCCTTTTCCATGACCCTGCGTGGTACTATTGTACGCTTGTCCACCACCGCCTCCCTTCGGCGTCATTATGTTTGGTGACAGGTGTTGCTGGCGCGGACTCACGCCCGGGCCGCCTCGATGGTGGATCGGGGCGAAATTCGGGCTGTGGTTGTAGGCCGAATTGTTGTATGAATTGCAAAAATGCTTGGGTCTGGAAACTTGTAATGCTGGGCTGTGAATAGTGAAGGCTCTGTAATGCACAGCCAAGCATGAGAAATATTTGCGAGGCTTTGTTTTGCGTTTTCCGCATGACAAAGTGCGTTTTTGCATAGCAAGCAAGAGGGTCTCTTCTTGGACACGCAACATCACAAGCTCCTTACTCATGCCAGACAAGCATGACAAACCTTGCGTCCTTCCAGACCCAGACATTTTTGCAGTGCATATGTTGTTGCGGTGGTTGTAGGGTCCCCCACCGTGGGGCGGGCCGCCCATCAGGGGCGCGTTGGTCGGCGTGCCGGGGGGATTGTAGTTGCCCGCGGCCCCGCCGCGCGACGATTGGTAGTCGCTGTGAGAACTGTTGTTGTATTTAGAGGAAGAAGACGTGTTGGTGTTTCTTGTGCTGTTAGACGTGGAATATTCGCCTTGACCAGGACCCGCATGATGGTTGCTCATCCCCGTGCTGCTCTGCTGCGCCCACCAGTCGGCCGTAGACATTTGCTGCTGCTGGTTGTAGCTGTTCCCACCCTTTGGTCCCCGGCTGCTGCGCGGGTCGTGGTGGGGGTTAGGATTGCTACTATTTCGGTCGCTCATGTTGTTCATTTGCGCGTTAGGAGTACTACCTGTGTTAATGTTGTTGTTGCCCGTTGCAGTAGTACTGTTGTTTGCACCAGCAACACCACCTCCACTGGGAAGATTACTGCCTTGCTGCACAACAGCAACGCCCGCCTGCTGTGCAGAAGTTGCGGAACTATTCTGTGTGGTGTCCGGCGAGTTGCCGACCGGCCCCACGCCCGGCTCCATCTCCGGCGGCATCCCGGGCCGGTTAAACGAGGGTGGGTTCGCACTGTGGGGGTTCATTTGATGTTGTCCACCACCACCTCCGGGTTGCTGTACCGTGCCCCCACCAACAGCTTGTTGGCTGCCGCCCTGCGCATGCATCGTCGTCCCTGCCCCACTAGAGGATCCCGGGGCCCCACCACCTTGCGCGGTGTCCCTCGCCCCGCCCCCGGCGGCGCTCTGGCCCATGGACACGTTCGAGGAGTGTGACCCGACCGCGGAGTGCAACTTGCCGCGGTGCTGTTTCAAATATTCGTTTATCCTCTTCGCCTCGAGCGGCTTCATCTTCAAGTCGGCAGCAAACTGCTGTGCCTCCTCCAAAATCTCCAAGTAATCTGCCGCACCCATCTCACGGCACCAGTTCTGCGCGGCGGTCAGATAATGCTCCAGACGAAGCTCTTTCAGCCACTTCTCGAGACCTGATAGAACGAAAATATTAAGGTTTTTTTCTTTTTGTCTTTACAATTTATACCGTAATAGATCCGATTTTTGGTCGTTGACTTAAGTTTTGTTCACATACTACGCTAAACAAACTGATCAAAAAAAAACGCAAATTATCGCACTACCGTCGACGACCACGGGTCCCATGCTTGTTGCGGTTTTTGTCTGCCCAGGTTGTTTGCTACTCCCACCACCTTGCTGCATGTTTGGATTTGGCTGGTTCAGACCCGCGGTGATAGGGTCAAAACGCAAAAAAGCCTGGTACCCATCCTCACCTGGTGTTAGTTTATTTCAAAGTAGGTGCTTTTGATAAGAGTACATTCATATTTTGTTTTCAGTTACGATGAAATTAAATGGAAATGCGAGAACTAGTACAACCCAGGGACTTGTTCCTCTTGATCCTTTGTCTCGCTAAAATGGCCGAAGCTGTTGAACCACCTTCGACGCTGGTGCATCTGCATGATCTTCACACAGCAAAAAAAATGAAAAGTTCTATACATCTTGTCCGCATGGCCGCGTCGTCTGCCGGCCCGTGCTCGTGATCCCGGACCGCTTCCTCTACGAAGGGCCCAATGATGTCCACCCACTCGTTATTCTGAGTAAAAACGTACCCACACCAGAGTCAGGATGGGGATTTTGCAACACAAACCTAGGAGCTTTAGGAGTCACGCATGACAAGTTTCAGTCCGTAAGGTAGTGCAAGTTAGCAAGGAAAGCCGCATCACAAATCGGCCTTCTGATCCTGTTTACAGCATTACAAGTTCCCAAACACGATTGAAAATGCCTGTCATGGGGTTGCGCATCACAAATGTTCCTGTCATGGCAAATCTGCATGACAACTCTGGGGTGGGGACGTTTTTACACAGGATACTCGTCTAAGGTGGACTCCAGGTTGATACAGGAAGCAAAAAACTCCACGGTTGCCTGGTCTACTATGAAATGCCAATATGTCTGGGTCTGGAAGGTGGCAACTTGTCATGGTAAATCTGAAGCATGCAAAAATCTGTGTTGCATAAGTGCCAAAAGCTGTCCACCTTTGACCAAGTTGGAAGGGAGTTTCTCATGCAGGATAGGCATGACAGAGACCTCGCAGAGTCTGTCATGCTAAGTCCCGTATTCCAGACCTCATGGGTCATGGAAAATCTGCATGATAAGTTTACACTTTTCCAGACCCAGACATTTTTGCACTTGATATCTACCTCCAGGTTCATAATCTCCAGCGCTTTGCGGATTCGAAGGTCGTATCAAATACAAAAATGTCTGGGTCTGGAAGATTCTGAGACTTGTCATGCACGGTTTGCATCACCCATGATGTCTGTGATGCATGCCCTAGCATCACAGGTTTTTTGAGGGATTCTTGATGCCTATCCCGCATGACAAATGCCCTGTCCGCGTAGCAAAAACTAGAATCCTTTTGCTGCTCATGCAACACAAATTTTTTAGACATCCAAACGCAGCATCACAAGTTGCATTCTTCCAGACCCAGACCTTTTTGCATTTGATACGTCAATCGCCTCCGCCATCTTTTGCTGCTCCTTCGAAGCCATCGGCAAGGCTGAGGTTCCGTCGAAAATTCTTGTCGCGTTCCGGGAGCGACAATGTCGTCACGATTCGCCGTGAGCAAAAGTTTATTGAACCACGGCTTTCTACTTTCGATCTTGACTTTATTCTCTGATAAATATTTCGTCACATGTTGTTTCTGTTCGTTGCCACCCAGTCGTGCTGTACCCAACTTCGAACTACGGCAGCGAGGTACTACTGGAATTGGGCCGCCGAGAAGGTCGTTTAGGTCTAGACGATGGAGTTATTTTTTTTACTGGCTTTTATTCTTAAAACACTTGCTCTCCTGCTGCTGCTGTATTCTCGGAATAGAAGAGGTCTTTCTGGAAAAAACCACACGTAGTTTTCCACCTTTGCGTGCTACCAGCTTCACTGCGGAGCTCCTGCGGTTCCAGTTTCTGTTGGGACGTCCGGAAGACGGCGCCTCGTCGCAGTTGCGAAACCCCCTGCTCCTGCACGACTCCTGGAGTTGTAGTCCACCTAGAGCTCGGTCTTTCTTTTCGGTTAGTTCTTGTTGTCCGTTGTGTTCAAAATAATCAACAAATTCAAGCTGCGCCATAACGATTTTTCGTATCAACTAGAGATCGATGACTTGTAAAGGGAGTAGTTGTACTTCTTCAGAATTCAAAGTTTGTCTTTTGCTGCCGAGTAGTAGCAGCGTACTAAACTTTATTGTATAAAACAAATCTTCTGGCGGCAGAAGATTCTAGTGCCAGGCGCTATGATCAAAGCCAGCTTTCAGAAATTTACCATGTCTGCGTCTGTTGTACAGCTGAAAAGTTCCACTTTATTTCCTGTTCCACTTTTTGTGTTGTACTAAGAGAAACGACCTGCGAGGTGGTTGTACGAAAGGAAAATTCCAGACTCGAAGACTATACGTAGAAAAGGCAGCAGCTCTACGTAATTGTGTAGCAAATTGATACAGATACGGAAAAATAAAAAGTGGAAAAACGCAGAGGACCCAACTCCAGTCGGAGGGCCTGGTTCTAAATATTGTTATCTTGATGATGATGAAGTGGTCCCTCTACAAGCCATTCTCGAGCTCATGTAGTCCATCATGGGGCTCAGGATCAAAAAAGCAAAGAGAATATTAATAAAGCTGACAGTAAAAACTGAAGGACAACATAACACACAGATATTAGCGAATGAACTACTCGGCTTGGGACACACAAAGACAAAGACTCATCTTGCTTCTACACAGGAAAAATATCATGAAAAAATTCAACGTAGAAAAACTCCTGTGAGCTAGTGCTGGTGCTAAGTAGTGTAGGCCTGAGATATAAAAAAAGAGCGTACTATTATAGCGAGCATGCTAAAAAATGGAGCAAGAACTTTTTTACTGTCCCTCCAGGAACATGACAAGATCCCGTTCAACCCGACTAATTCTTTTGGTTTCAAAAATCTTAGAACTAGCGCAAGAAAAAAGATCCAGCTTAGTACTCAGATCGAATTCGATACTTTTTGAAGGTTCATCTTCCGCGATGAAGAGATCAATTGTAATTCTCGTTTCGAATGGTCGTGTTCTTGTAACAACATAGTACTCGTCTTTCTCGCAGTGCTGATTTTGGACCGTCGTGAGTAGTAGAGTTCGTTGTACATCTTCAAAAATTGCTTCAGAACCAGTGCTGATCATCGGCCGACGAGGGAAGTATCAGACAGTTCTCGTACTTGCAGATTGCATGCAAACAAAGGATCAGGATCCACTATAATCACTTGCTCGCAAAAATCTAGTTTCTGAATAGCAGGCCTTTCACTAATTTCGAACACCAGCGTCGATCTACAAGGGCGACTGGCTTTCTTCCGCTTGCCGAAGTTCGTTGTTGTACTTTGGTGATCATGTGAATAGTACATATACATGGCTATAACTGCTTTTGGCAAATAACTGTCAACCTCGTCCTAGTCCATTCTTTCCTAGCCCATTCTTATGTTGCATCCTTCTGAATTCATCTCTGACCGTGTTCAACATCTTTATAGAAGTTGTTTTGGACGTCGAGTCAGTTTGTTTGTTTCCATCCGTAATTCCGATTACATCAGTACGAGTTGTACTAAAACCGGATCGCAATTTACAAATCCTTCTCCATTTGATAGCTTTGCAAGAAAACGCCTCACGCAAAGATCGTATCACCCCACAGCTACTTCTCCTTGAGCAATTCTTCTGATTGCTCATCTTCTCCGATTTTTTTCTACTGCTGTAGCCAGCCCATCCGTCGCCGTTCCATCGCTTGTCCCGTTCCAGCACAGTGGTCACTATACCTGACATTAGTGATTGTGTTGAACGATGACAGGACAGCTTCACGGGGATCGACAGCGAACATATCTGCAAGCTAGACAAACATGTGTAGTTCACGACGAAGATGAAGATGTTGAAGAAGAAATCAAAGCACGACACAAACAATAGGTGAAGAAAGTGTATCCATACTCCACTTTAACCACACACTTCATACACACCCCCGACGACACAACTTGCCCAGAGTGCGCACGATCACGGCCTGTGGAAGCTTTTCGAACAGAGACTCCTTGCCACGCGTACGCTTTCCACACTTCGCCGAAGAAACACCGCGACGAGCTACTGTTTCTGCGGTCGGCTTGCTTCGGGCGCAGTTCGTCGTCGAAGATCCTCCGGCGGTGCGCGGAGGTCTTGGTGAGGTCGGTATGCTATGCGCCACAATGCCTCTGGCGGCGGAGGGAGAAACCACCACCGGTCGCGTCGTGCTTGCCCTTGTTGCAACATGGCCTCGCACTAGCCGCTGCCGGGGGCTGGAGTTCGGCGTTGGTGACTTTCTCCCTCGGGTCACTGAGCTGCACGGTGGTGCCGGATGGAGCCAACTTGGGGGGGGTGGCGGTGACTTACGCTAGTAGCTTAAATGGAATCTAGGGCGCAGCCGGCTGCACCCGGCTGCCTACACATACTCTCCAGGGGCCCCGTGCAGAGGGCCCCGCTCTCGACAGGTTTTCACTTCACTTCGAGGGGTGGTGGTTGGCGGTGGCCTCTTCGCATGTGGCTCACTAGACCGGGGCAGGGAACGACGCAACGCTATGCACCACGGGCACGCGACTACCAAATGCCAGTGTGGACGCCAATCCGGGCCACTTAGTGCAGCGCGAGACTCTACCCTGGGCTAACGTTCTCAATCCCGAGGGGAGTCACGGTAAGAAAATCCTCGCTAGGGTCTCAGGGGCACATTTTGGATAACGTTTCACTCGCCCAGACCGAAGCTACTTCTCCTTGAGCAATTCTTCTGATTGCTCGTCTTCTCCGATTTTTTTCTACTGCTGTAGCAACTGTTCTTTTGAATGCTGAATCTCGACGTCGTTTTTCAGAAATCATAAGTGGTCTAAACTTTTCAGTAAAGGTAAATAAACTTCCTTCCAATACTCTTGAAATTTCAGTCGTGTTTACTCGTTTTTAGTTGTTGCTTTTTTTTCACAGGCATCGAATGTGTTCTCATGTGTATGTGTCGTCGCTGTCCCGGTACTAAGTAATAAGTAACAGAGTTTAATAGTCTCGACCAGCAGGCCTAGGACTCTGCAGCAGTAGGGAAGAACCCGAGCTGATAATGTTTGTGCGGATTTTGTGGCTGTGCTCCTGCGACACACCACAACAGGGCACCCTTGCATTCGTCACACCAAAACCTCTTCATCACACAATATACAATAAATCTTACATAGGTCGTACTAGTTGTTCTAACGATACAAAGACATAAGAGCAGCCGCAACATCATCCTGACTATAGCCGTACTTCTCCGCCCCCAAATTTATCAAGGACGAAGTACGACTATGATCTGGGGCAGCTGCTCTGTGGTCTCATTCGTCGAGGCGACAAGAGTGCGTAGAACCTAATAGTCGCCTCATTCTTGTTCCCTGACTTCTACACCTGTATTCTCGAAGACCATTACGAAGCAGCTGGGAAACTAACAGTTGGAAAGTCTTGTAATTTCCCCCTGTGATTCACCTCGCTTAACAAACACAGTATGTACCATTTTTGCAAAACGAAGAAGGTCATGCTTTCGTTCTACCTACCATCAGTGCGGAGTTTTTTTCCGAAGCGCGAGCTAGCTTCTCCTGGCTAAAACCTAAAACCCTCCCGCGTTCTTCTTCTTCTTCAGTTCTCTATGTATAAAAACTACGCGGTCCAACACTGACTTGACGTCCGCACGAGGACTTGCAAGCAAATACTTGAAATATTATGACTCGTTACTGATGCTGAAATAGCAAGAGTGTTTACTTAGAATCTACTTTTCGTCTTAACACACCGCCTTGATCCAGTTTCTTCCCACGAATTCCGTAATCCTGCTCACCACCTCGCCGAAAAAATACCGGCTGCCCTGCAGCGTTTTCCAGTCGGACTCTTCCTTCGCTTCCGCGAAAATGCGCGCCGGCGTGCCTTGCAACACAATTTTTACCGAGGAAGTTCTAGTGTACTTCGGGCCACTGGTTCTTGCTGTCTTGGTCGACGTCGTGCAAGAAGAACTACTGCTTCTTCCAGATGGTATTAATTGTCCCGTGGAAGTAGTAGATGATGATGCCAGACAAGAAGTCGCACCGGAAGTAGGAACTCCTGCACGAAGTAGATGATCCTTATTTTCTACCACCACCACCGCGAGGGCGTGCTTGGAACCGAATTGCAGAGCGTGAAAGTTCTTGTTTTGCGGCGAAACGGTTGTGCTGGCGGCTTGAGCATGTTGCTGGTGGTGCTGTGAGAATGTTGAGGAAGTCGGCGAAACAGCATTGACGGCGTCGTCCTCTTGGTGTAGTGGTCTACTTGAAAAAGTAGAAGTGCCGGAACTAGTTGTATCAGAAGTGTTGTTCGTGTAGTTTTCCCTGCTCACTGTAAAAATTCCCATGTGATTCTTCACAATCGTGACCACCGGATCGTCAGTAAAAATTTTCTTGCGACCGCCCTGCTCTACTACTACCTCTTTCTGCGCGTTCGCAATGCCCGGTCGGAGCTGCAGCACTTGATAGGGAAAAGAATCTGTCCCCTGTTTTTTACCACTACTTCCCGCAGCTGCCCCCGGCGAATAAAGGGTACTACTATCGCCGTACTCTCGTTCACCGACGACGGCAAGGTCACCATGCTGACCACACTGCGTGGTACTATTCGGTGAAGATCCTGGCGGCCGGATCACGACCTGCACGCACCGGCCGAAATGCTCGGTCCCCTTGTTCATCTCCTGGTCCGCGCCGGCGAGCTTCTTGCTTACCAGTTTTGTCAAAACGTCTTGGTGCAAACTCGCCAGGGAGCAGAAAAAAGTGGTTGGGTAGAAATACTGACTGGTTGCAGGAGCACCAGAATTATGTTGGCTATCACTCAGAAGTAGACCACCGTGCTCCTCGTATCCTATGTAAAAACGTCCCCACACCAGAGTCAAGATGGGGATCTCGCAACACAAATCGAGAAGTTTTGGGGGTCAAGCATGACAAGTTCGTCTCTGTATTGTAGTGCAGTTTAGCAAGTACAGCCGCAACACAAACCCATCTATTCATCCTGCCGACAGCATTACAAATTGCAAAACGCGCTTGGAATTGCCTCTCATGGGGATGCGCATTACAAATCTTCCTGTAGCTGCAAATCTGCATGACAACTCTGGGGTGGGGACGTTTTTACTCAGAATACCTCGGAATGAATCCGCGTCACGTCCTTGTACTGCACGAAGACGTTCTGCTTCTCCAAAATCTTCTCGATTTCCTTTTCGAAAGTTGTACCCTGGTGGTCCTGCGACAGCACATCACTGGTGCTTAATACATCCGCCCCGTTTACCTTGTTGTACTTCCGCACCACCACGCGCAAATTCGGAAAGGCTTCCTTCAGAAAGCACGCGTACTGTGCAGACACGGCGAAGGGGTATTTCTGGTGAAAAATAACCTGGCCGATAATTTTGTTTCCGGAAGAGCTACAAGTAGGTGAGCTTGATGAGCTAATATTCATCAGAAAATCGTGCGCCTGCCGCAGCTGCTTGTTGCGCAAACTCGTGGAGAAAATCTTCATCTGTCCCGGGCTTCTGTTTTCTGGTCCAGCAAGAACATTTGACGTTGACACTTTGCCGGAACTGCATCCAGCTGCGTTGGCAGATTCTATAGACGATGAGTTTCGGCACCGCAAATCGATGAGCAAATCGAAAGCGATCTCCTGTTCATCCTGAGGACCCTGCTGGGGCGCTGATTTTTGCTGATGCTGCGCGACTAGGTCATGCAGCAGATGCCCAGATTTATTTTGCTGCAGCTCGTCGATCGCTTGCTCTTGCTCGTCTGCAATGGAACAAGAATTCGCACAAGCACCATTCCTATCAAATGTAAAAGTGTCTGGGTCTGGAATGTTGCCGGGTTTGTCATGCATATTTTGCATGAGCCAGGACGCCTGTAATGCACGACCTAGCATCACAGATTTTTAGAGGGCTTCCTGATACCTACTCCGCATGACAAACGCCCTCCCCGCGTAGCGCGAACTAGCTTCCTCGTGCTGGTCATGCAGTACAGATTTTTTTAGAGTCCAAAGTTAGCATCACAAGTTCCAACCTTCCAGACCCAGACATTTTTACAGTTGATAATTCCCATTTCCGGTTCGGATCTTCACGGAATTCGCGAACTTTTCCAAAATTTCTCCCCGATAGAACTTCAGCTTCACCATCGGCTTCACGACCTCTTGACGAATCGTGGAGGAGGTCGCAGTTGTAGTTTTACTACCCCCACTTGTTGCTGTTGACAGTTATGAACTGCAACTATGTCCGGGTCTGGGAGAAGATTGCGAGATTTGTCATGCTAGTCTGGCACGTTGACTCTAAACTCTGTATTGCGTGCCCGCGACGACGTCCTCTTGTCTGCCATGCAAAAACGCTGCTTCTCATGCTAAGTACGCAACTCAGAAGCACCGAAAAACTTGTCATGCAGGGGAGTGCATCGCAGTGTGCTCACTATTCCCTTTCTGGCATCACAGGTTTCCAGACCCAGACATATTTGCAATGCATAACAGTAGCTGCCCGCCAATCTGCTCTAACACGTCTAGATACTTCATCGGTAGAAACTCCTTGGGATCCTTGATCGACAGTGCCATCTTGCTGTCGCGCTCGAAAAAAGACTTGTTGTCAATGATGGCGATGGATCGGAGCTGGTTGTTCATTTTTTTGGTAGTAGAACAAGCTGCTGGCAGATCGTCTTCTCTCCCATATCCATGCCCCGCCCGCCCAAATAAGGTGGAAGATGATGTCACCGCCAGTTCCCTGGCCAAGGCCACCGCTTTCATCCCCCCGCCGAGAATCACCACTCGTTTCACCGGCGGAGGCGGGTAGCTACAGCAGGAAGATGATGAGAGGGCTCCTGCTCCACCTCCGGCGCCGCATTCTCGCATAGCTGTACAAGTAGTCGTTCCCTGCGTCAGCACTGAGGTCGCCGTGTTCCAGGCCGTGGTCGCAGCGGAGACCACAGATTGCGACTTGGAAGAAAAAGTGGCGGAAATCCGAGGATTTATACCAGGACCAGGAGGATGTTCTTGCATCTGGATCATACTTCTGTGTCTTTCCGAAGATTCACCACCTCCCGCATGGGACGAGGTAGCCGCTGCTGTCCTCTGCGGCCCTCGAGAGCTGCAAGTAGAGCTCTTGTCGGATAGTTGTACCCCGCACCAGGATTTTTTGGGGTTTTCTTCTCTGTCGAGGGTAAGGTCGTGTTGACCAGCAGCTGCACTTTGCGCACAGCAGGCAGCGGAGGCGGGAGCGACAGAATTTTTGCTCGTAGAACAACTACCGTCGCTTGTCCTCGTGATTCCAGATTCATTCCCGGCCGCGACGCTGCTCCTCGAGTTCTTGTGCTGCGAATCTTCATGATCATCATCTCGACAGGTGGAAATAACAAGTTTATCAAGTTGCTGCAGCTGCTGATCATTCTTGCTGGACTGCAGATCCTCTATAATTATTCCCTCGTCCCTATGTTTCCTTCCTGCTGGCACGACGGCGGACACCTCGGACACCGAACGGTGCTCGCTGACCAGCTGATCGATGCTCAGGGCCTCCAAGTAGCTTTCTCGTCGGTTACATGCTGAAAACAGCTGCTCCTCGTTTGCCATGTTGTGAACGGAGATTTCGCTGTCAGATTTCTGGTTTGGCAAGAGCGGCAAAACAGCTTCGTCTAGCTGCTCAACGTTTGATGTTCCTCCGACGCGTAAATCACTGGGACCGGCGTCAGATGCTGGTGCGTTATTTGTAGTTCCTCCTGCGATGGTGGAGAGTGTAGCCTGGATCTGCGGAACGGTCGAAAAGTAGTTCTCGCTGTTCTTACTCCTGGAGGAAGAACGACCACCCATTGCCAGCAAGGACGGCGCGGAAGAAGTTCTTGCACTGACACCGCTGAAAGGGTCGTCGTGCAGTTGGTCTTCCACGGCTCGTCCAGAATCATGATTTGTTCCACTCCTCATCGTTGAGCCCTGTGGTCGGGAAGACATGCAATTAGATTCCGGTGAAGAATTCTTCGGGTAGAGGACAACATCCTCCTCACCTTGTGCCGACGCACCATGCGACGACGCGGTAAAACTTCTCTTGCTACCGAGACTGGACGCCGAATTACCATCCGACGGCGTGCGGTCCCCCGTGCAAGCGGCAGTGGAGCACTGGGAAACACTGTCCGAACTACTCTTGCTATTCGGGCCGTAATTTTTGACCATTTTCATCGACGTAGATGAAGTTGTACTACAGCTTTTGTCTTTATTTCTCGTCGTCCCAGCGCCAGTGCCCGCCGCAGCATGACCGGTATGATTTTTATCAGTTGTACACGATGCCCCCGTCGACGACACCACTTTATTCCGTCTCGCCGCGGCTTTTTCTAGCTGTTTCCACAACCATTTCCGCTCGCTGTCGCGCTCCTGGTCCCACTCCTCGATGTTTTTTTTCTCGTTGTGGTGCGGTAACCCGCGAATCGGGCTGGTATTTTGCCGGAACAGGAGGAGCGACTGGTTATTTTTTGCACTGCTTGATGTCGTGGTGTTCTCCTCGTCCTTCATCTTTAGAGAAGGTAATGGATTTTTATCACTCCGCTGCCTCAGCGCCAGCGCGCGGCTGCTTTCTTGTCGTCTGCTTGTGTCGATCGACAGATTTGGGTGATCAACATGTTGTCGGGTCGTACTACTATTCGAGCTCCTCCGCGACGACGCGGACGCGGGCGAATTTTCTGTAGAGCTGCGCACGGATGCGGAAGAGGCATTGCAGCTTCCCGTCACCGATCGGGTGCTGGTGTTCGTGTTGGACGACCTATAACTACCACTGCGTGATGAAGCCGAAGAACTGGTTTCCTCTGGCACCGGGCTGCAGCGTCGGCGCTGGTTTTGATGATAATGAGAATTACTGCTCTGTGCCGCTGAAGTAGTCTTCATCGTAGAAGCTCCTGATGCAGAAGTTCCCTGGAAGTTATTGTAGGGACTGCAAGATGAACTGCTCTGCCTCTTAAATCGCAGCCCGATCGGCGACTCATCACGGTACCGGCTCGTGTATCGTAATAGGGAAGAACTACTGTGGTTTTGCGCGTAGTGCTGCTTGCGCGACATAACCGCAGCGGTCGCCATGGTGGGCAACAGTCGTCGTGCAGCTCGGGGGAGGTTGTGCAGTCTGAGAAAGGTACTTACTACGTAGGTGGTGCCGCTTAGTTAGACACCAGAAGAGTATAAACTAAGTACTTGATGTTTTTATCACTATCAGGCAAAGACTCTCCGTGCCGGTTGTACTATTCTTCTTGTAGAGGTGGTAGTGGTAGTGGCAGTGGTACTGTATTTTACAATTTTACACTTGTGTGGCTATCTTCGCAAATTGGAGCACAAGCTTCTACACCACTGTGTTATAATAGCTGAGTCTTCTGCTAATAGCGGTCGATTTTTTGCTCACGCCGTTGCGAAAACATCTTCCACAATAGGCGTTGCAAGTCGAAAGTTATGTAGTTAGCGGTTCGGCTTCGGTTCAAGGCACAAGAACTACTCAGTGGCAGTACTATACACCCCGAATATAACAAAAGGCTTTTAAAAACACGGGCAAAACAGGAGTTGGTATACGGAAGATTGGTGTTCGATTTTTACTTTTAGTACATTATCGGTCTTATGTTCGTACGTTGCAGCGATGATGCTCTTTGATGTCCGCGTTTTGACTTCAGGAGCAAAGCTGGTATGGAAATATACAACTTGTAGAATTCAGTACGGATATTTGTGTTGTTGTTGTTGTTTTCGATTTTCAAAGTAACCAAAAGGTCGTACTATCAGGTCTTACTTTTTCCAGTAGTTAGATTACAAATAATTTCAAGAAACAATTACTCAACTTTGATGATGCCATATGGTTCGCGTACACTTGTCGGGAAAAGAACGAGTTGACGGACGTGGACCGCGCAAGTGCAATTTGTGCACATCACGTTGGCAACAGCAGCTCTTAGGGTGTTCAGAAGAATGACCTGCAAGACGAGGCAGGGCAATAGTAACTAAAAAACTACCGGGGGCAATAATCTGTGTAAGCGAAGAAACTGTGCATGGAACGTAGAGAGAAAATAAAAGTCGAATGTTGCACAATGCAAAACAGAGCTTCGGCTAAGTTTCGCGAGCAGCAAATACACTAGCGAACCCAGCAAATACAGGCTCTGCGAAGATGCAAATAATGTTAAAACCGTAAAGCAAAAGGGCGGAAAGATTTCTGTCGGCGCTTCAATCCTATGTCGTGCAAGTGTAGTAAAACCGTTGAAGCGCTGTAAAGTAACCGCATAAACAAATCTGGTAAATGCGGATCTTCTCGATTGGAAACTTCCCAATTATGCGTGACAGATCTCAATACGCGGCCTTTTGAAGACGCGTTAATACTTCTTGTAGCCACCTTCTCACTCTATTCACAACAAGGTCGTTGTGCTAGTACTACTCCTTATTTTACAACAAACATAAACAAGCTAAAAAAGTACTATAACGCTAAACTTCTTCTAATTTTTTTGTATTGTACCAATACCACACTAGATGCTAAAGGTACGTGTGGGGTCGCCGAATGGCCCGCGCGAGGCGGACGCAAATTTGGCTCGACATCTTCGCAGGAGCTTGTTCTCGAGGATTGTTTACCCGTTGTTTCGTGTGTTCGTTCGTCCTCGGTGGTCGAAGTAAACTGACCCGTGCGAAGATGACGTTGTGCAGATCAGATGAGCAGTCCTTGGCAGGAGCTCCAGGTGATTTTTGATGCCGTACTCTACTCCTCGAGTCCTGGTTATGTACTAGACTCACGTGCTGGGGTCGTGGACTAGCCTGTACCAGTGCACGACTTCTCCGTCTTCAACAACAACTACCCAGCATTCTCGTCAAACCCATTTGCAGCTCCGATCTAATTCGATGGAGGTACAAGTTGTGGTAGAGCAATGTCGAGAAGATGAGAAGGGACAGAAACCGCTCCGCTGGTCGTTGTAAACGGGAGTTCTTGCGCCGCCGTAGTTTTATTTCTCGCCCACTTTGATTCGCAATAATAGCAAAACGTCGAGCAAGTGGATCAAAACTACTGAATGCTCAAATCCGGTCGTTGTTGTACAACAAAAAATAACTCTTCCTCTAAAACCGCGCCTCGGAAGAAGAAAGTACTGCGTCGAAGAAGATCTAAGCAGTGCACCGTGCTTAGGTAATATGAGTGCAGTAAATTGCACATCAAAACCTTCCACACCTATTTGGTAGTAACAGCAACACAATCACAAGTAGTGAAGTAGTACCAAATTGTATATAGCAATCGACAAATTTATCATTGCCATGGTGCGGTTTGGGAGAATCAAGTGCAGGATGACGCCGTTCTCTTTTGAGAGAAGGAACATCATGCAGATCTTCCGTACTCTCATTTCAACTCCGGAAGGATAGATTTTTTTGGCGAAAAAATTTTCCACTCGAAGATCCGATTCCGAATGAAAAGCTAACTCGAGAGCAGATAGAGGTCTTTGTGATTTGGACCAACATTGCAGTAGACCTCTGATTCAATGCCGAGTGAAGATCTTGTCGCTTTTCAGATTTCAATTTTGGACCGCGACCATGCAGGTACTTACGTACTAACTTTCTTTCGAGAAGCTGTGGTGTGATGTGATTCTGTCTTTATTTCTGATTTAACTGTATCAGGTGGACTGACTCCGGTCATGCTCTAGACCAAGGACAACAACAAATTTGGAACCGAAGCTTGCGGAATGGATTTTGTTTCTTGTTTCATGATTTTTATGTTGTTGGTGTAAATCTGAGACCAGAGGGACGCTTTCTCTTTCTGTACTACCGGTGAAGATGGATCTTTTGACTGAGCATACATATCGATTTTTTTACGAGGGCCGACAACAGCGTGCATGCATGGCGTTATAGTAGCAAAGAACTTTGCAATACTGCAAGGCCGTTCTTGGTTATAGATTGTCGAAGCTGGGTCGTGAGATTTACACAAGGGATGATCGCTAGTCAAACTAGAAAGATACAAGTCAACTTGATCCTCATCTTGGCATCCACAACCACGACAATACACGCTGGAGCAACGAGATAGCTCAATCGAGGAACACGGCAACAAGAATACGTGTATCACATGCCTGTCCCCAATTTCCGACGAGTTTAACGGCTTGGAGGTTTCAAACAGTTATCAAATTGACAAACATACCGCTCGAGCCCGGCGAACGCCGACCGCGCGTCTGCATCTGCCCCCAGGGCCGAATTAATATTGCAAGCGGGCGGCGGAACCAACAATGCGGCCTCTGAAGCGCAACGGCGCCTCCGATTGGCGCGGCGCCAGCGGGGCGCGCGCGGCATTCTGATGGCGGCGAGCTCCACCACCGGGACCGCCCAGACAAAGAACAGAAAGCGAATGGGCGGAGGGCGGGCGAAGAATACAAACCGGGGCCCCCAACGTCGGCTGCGCGCGTGAAATCAGCGAAAAGCGGCCGGGGCGGGCGGAGTTACGGAGAAACCGCCCGCGGGCCCGCCGGCCGGCGCAGTACGTACCTACGGACGCATCGGCTGCCGCAATTGCGCCGGCGCGCAATGCCGGCAGCGCGGCAAGAAGTGCGCAAAAGGCTGGGGGGCTAGCCTTTGCGCTTTCCCGTACTCCGAAACTATAAGCCCGGGCCGGTGCCTTCGCCCGATGCGCCTGATTCTTCCGGGCGCAGTCCATCGCCGCGGTGGATGGGCATACAACCCGGCGCCCAGGGCTGCGGCCCACATCTTGCCCAGCATGCGCCGGCCCTGGGCCGGCCGCAAGGCGAAAACGACCCCAACAAGACCCCCCAACCCGGGGCCCCATCCGCAACCCCCCGGAGACGCGCAGGCCCCCCCTTTCCGGTAGCAGCTGACGGCGGCCCCGTGCTCCGTGGCGCGGCTCAGCGCCGTGGCGTGCCGCGCTACATCTCCTCCCCTCTTGGTTCCCCGGCCGATCTCCTCCCCTATGATATTCCACAACTCGCCTGCCTTTTGTCACTTTGCCGCGACACTGGAGCGCGCATACATAGGCGACCGGGAAGGCGCCCAGCCTCACTGGCTGGCACGTACACACTGCGGCCAGCTCAACGAGCAGCCCAACGCCCCGGGGGCGCGCACGGCGGGGCGGCACTAGCTACACGCCCGCCGCGGCCTGGGGGCGGGCGCGTCGCCTTCCTCCGCCTCACACGCGCAGGGCTGCGCCCTCGCGTCGCGGAGGACCTTCGCGCGCACTGCTGCGCCCGGCCCCCGCACGGCTTCGCAGGCGCGCGCCGTGAAACTCCTGGAACATCGCCCGCGCTTGCTCGGCCAAGTTCTGCACCAGGTGCGCAGGGCAAAGGACAACGGCAAAGGGCGCGCGGCGCGCACGTTCCGCCGGAAATTCCCCGAGATGCCTCCGCGCGGCAATTCCCAAACGATGCGCCGAGAGCCGTCCCCCCCCCGCAGCGAACGCCCACAGCCAGAAAGCCCGCACAGCCAGAAGGCCCGCACAGCCAGAAAGCCCGCACAGCCAGAAAGGCCGCACAGCCAGAAAGCAGGCGGGCTGCTCTGGGGGAGATGCGTGATAATGGCAGAACCACACTAGGCACTGCAGAAAAAACGGCGCAGCCCAATTGTTAGCTGGGAACACACTGCAGGATACTGAATCAGTACCGGTGTCGAAGAACCGGTCGATCATTTTTTCTTCCCGCGCTTTGATGTTGCAACCAACAAGGGAAAACTGCACGCAGCCCGGAATTCAACGGGAGCCTTGCCATCTCGAGCCCGATACCATCACCAGAACCATACAGATGTCGCGACTTAATGGTCGCATAAGGGTCAATCTTGTCAAAGACTACTGTATTCTTGAGTTGCAATATAGTATTCTTGATTTGCACAAAAAATCCGATAGACCTAAAGCTGAGCCTGACTGAGGTGAATATCCAGGAGACCTGCCAGACATTAGTCGTACCGATAGAAATAAATATGTTAAAACCTATGAAAGCGTGTCACCAGCGTATTATTTTTCATTTTCTTGCAACGAATATACAGGAAGGAGCCTCCTCCACTCGAAAAAATGGCAGCTCCGCCTCCGTTGTAAGTAGAAGTGCACCTACGCAACAAACATAATTCCGGTGGACCTTCACCACCACACTTCAAAATCAATTTTTCCAGAGGGCTTCCGTGCGGGAGGACCCCTCACGAGTCTACTTCTTTTCCACGACCAGCAGCTCCCCTACAACAACCACTCTACCCAACCTGCCTCCTCGCTCTGCACAAACCTTCTGTGAGTTCCCTATCAAAAGGAAAAGTGTCTGGGTCTGCAATGTTGCCGGGTTTGTCATGCATATTTTGCATGACCCAGGATGTCTGTAATGCATGACCTAGCATCGCAGATTTTTAGAGGGCTTCCTGATCCCTAATCCGCATGACAAATGCCCTCCCCGCGTAGCACAAACTAGACTCCTCTTGCTGATCATGCAATACAGCTTCTTTTAGAGTCCAGAGTTAGCATCACAAGCTCCAACCTTCCAGACACAGACATTTTTGTATTTGATAGTCCCGTGCCTTTTCCAACACCGCGGCGGAGATGAAGCGGTTTTTGCGAGGGTATTAAAAGGAAACATCCCCCCTCTCCATATCGAAAAAGCGCGCTGTTCAAAATTTGTGATGCTGATTTGTGGCCACAAATCGAGTCTCCCTTGCAGAAGAGGAACGCCAGAGCTTCGGCCGCATTTCGCAGGCGATTTGTAATGCTGCTGCGCCAATGGGGCAGACAGCTGCCATGCTAAGTGCCTACCTCAAGCCACTCCTTTCCGGGCTTTGTATCTGCCTGCAGTGCTCTACTCCAAGACAAGACTGATTAGATTTGTGTACGCAAATACAGCATCACAGACTTCCCTTTCGATATGAGGAGGGGGGATTTTTCATTTTGATAGAGGGTAGAGCGTGTTCAGCGCGTTGTTCAGTAGGGTGCAGTCGTCCTCAGCTCGCTCTCTATCCTCTCTCTTCTCCGCCCGCTGAAGCCGGGACGCGTGGTGCCGTATCATGGTTCGCGACAGCGGCATCGTAGGTCGTGCATTACTAGTCTTTTGCGAAGGCGAAGAGGAAGACTTTGCCTCTGTCTGTGTCTGTCCCTGTAGAAGTCTACTACTTCTTGAGGAGGCTCCTGCAGATGTTGAAGTCGACGCTTTCGGCAGGAAGCCAGCCGCTGTCGGGGTAGTAGTAGTTCTCGAAACTCCTGTAGAAATTCCGGGTGAAAATAAAGGACTCTTTGACGACGGTGATGATGATGATGATGCTCCAGCACGACCAGAGGGAGAACGAACGCCACCAGCCGAGCTCCTCGATGAACTACTTCTACCACTACTCAACGTCTCGGCCAAATCTGCGTCGGCTTCGACGAATCCGGACAGCAAGTCTTCCACTTCGTGGCACAATTCCGTCGAGAACAATTCCGGACAAGCAAGCTCCTGAACCCTGCGTTGGTTGAAAATCGACAGCATCCCAATCGGGATGGATCTATCCAAGGAAACAAGTGCTTTTTACAGTTACACAGTTCTAGTGAATTCAGCATCTTCACAAAGTTGGTCTGCCTAGCAAACAAAAAAGCTTCAACTTGTATAAATGCGCGGCCTGTAAGGAAATGAAACACGCACGAAATGACAATGCCAAGCATGTCCTGCATGACAGACGTTGTCTGTCTTACTTGTCTTGCATCAGAGTGTCGTGTACTAACTGTACACACTTTTTTCTTCGCATAGGATCCATCTAGGAAATACTGGAGTTCCAAGTTCCGGTAGTGCATGGAATCCACCGGTTGGGCGTAATGATCAGCAGATTTTGTACAAGAAGAATCTACTTTTTTCTTGTTATTCGGAAACATGAAAGGTGACTCCAGGTTTGAGGCAAGTTTCAAATCGTTTCGCACACGGTCCGCCACACTGGAACCTGCAGCTCCTATCAAATGCAAAAATGTCTAGGTCTGGAAGAGTCGGGACTTATGATGCACATTTTGCATGACCCGTGAGGTCTGTGATGCTGGTGCTAGCATCACAGATTTTTTGAGCGCTCCTTGATGCTAATTACGCATGAAGAATGACCTCTCCGCGTGCCAAGAACTGACTCCTCTTGCTGTTCATGCAACACAGATATTTTTAGAATCCGCAGACAGTATTACAAGTTCCATTCTTCCAGACCCAGACATATAAATATGCAATCCATAGCTCCGGTTGGAGTGCTACTCGCTGACGCGGCAGACCCCGCTCCTCGTTTATTTCCCGCGTGCCGACTGCCGCCCGCGGCGGTGGCAGGTGCAGGCGCTTTTCTCGAAGAAGAGGAGGAAGAAGTAGGTGTAGTTGGTCCCCATCCTGCATGCTGATGATGCCCTCCCGCATTGTTTGTCATCATCCCGGTATTTATTTTTCCTTTCTTTCCGAGACCTTGCTGTTGTTGATCCTGATTCTTCGACTTGCACTTCGCAATCGCCGACACCATGGGGCTTGGCTCGTCTGCGCACACCGGACACCTGCACGACCCAATATTGGCCACAATACCTCTCTTCGCGTTTCGTGCTTCCCTTCGCATCTGCTCAAACCGTTTTCTCGCTTCCGGAACGGGGTTCACGCGGATGAACTGCCTCAACTGTGTCATCACCAACGCAACGGTAACGCTGCCGCTGGAAATCTGCCCAAGCACATACATCCAGAACATGGAGGAATCCTGATAGAACACGTGAAGATGGTTTGTAGGTTATAGTTTCTTGGGGATACGATATGATTGCCTGAGCGTTCCGTACAGTTCATTTCCTAACAAACAGATTGATACGACATGGCCAAAATGTTGACGAGGAGATCGAGATATTGATATATGTTGATATCAGTAGATCCTCCATTCGAAAATTACTCTCTACCCTGAACTCCGGAGGTTCGAAGCACTGCACAGTCATTTCGAAAAGGGCAATGACGGCGAGTGGATAGCGCGCGGCGTGCCGCACCAGCTCCAGATAGGGTTTTGCCAGCCGGCCGGCTAAAGACGTCGGTAATACTTCCTCGAGAAGGTCTCCAACAGCACTGGGGATGGTGCCGTTGCCCGCTTGATGCGCTGCGGATTTTGCTGCTGCCGCTGCCGCTGCTACACCCCCTCCTGAAACCTTCGTTGCTTGTTTTTTTGAACTACCCTTCGAAGCAGCTGTAGTTGACGAAGTAGAACTACCGCTTTTTTGTTCGGCTCCCGCCGTCGTGTTGATGTTCCTCCGGTGCAGTAACGCCCTGATCGCTTTCCTCTTTTCGCTGTCCGCGTCAAGACAACTGCTCCAGGTCTGCACAGCCTGGTCAACTAGTCTTTCCTTCGGGGTTTTTGTTCTAGTGGGATTTTGTACATTTGATGATGATAAAGAAGATGACGTTGCTCCACCTGTCGCGCCATTTTTGCCAGAGAAAGCGGTACTAGTCGTGGACCCGTCTTCTTCTCGCACGGCCCCGGCTTGTTGCAGAAATCCCTTACTCTGCCCCCCATCGACGCACTCGTCTGGAACCATCCAGCATCACAAGAAAAAAGTGTTACGGTCTTTACACATTTGTTGTAAGAACTTCAGCAAAACGACAAATTTTCTCTGTGTGGGGCTTGTTCCGGCGCAACACAATGTGTACTTGACTGCAAGACTTTTTTCTACTTCCCATATCCAGAAGACCCGGCCGGTATCCGGATCGTGAAAATTTTTCGGCAAAATTTCCTTTTCCCCGTCTACCCCAAACATGACGACCAGGAACATGAGTTTCGCAATGGTGTGGAGACCGGTAAGCATGACATTGTCGATTCTTTCGAATTCCTGTCTCGTAACGTCGTCCACGGCACCTTTCCATGCCAGAAACGCCAGCCTGTATCGCACAGAAAAAAGCGAGCAACGAGCGCACATTTGTAATGCAGCACTAAATTATATATAGTTTTGGCTATTCAAAAAATCATGCCTCCTGCTTCTAGCTTTTTTCTCTAGCATAGCGTGAACGACTTGCTGATCAGCTGGACCGCGATCTCTGACCACATGCTGTGCAGGATGAAGAGCACTTGGAAGAGTTTGTATCGAATGTACAGATCGCGGTGCTCGACGAGCGACACGCAGGGCGGGGCTATCGTACGGGAAAATCCCCCCTCCCCATACTGAAAAGGTTAAGCTATACTGTTGGGCATTTGTGACGCTGCTTTGTGGTCACAAATCGCGTCTGTCTTGCAAGAAGGCAAACCCAGAAGGCCCCCCGCATTATGCAGGCGGTTTGTGATGCTGTTGGGCCTACAGCATGGATTTTTGTCATGCTGAGCTCCTAGGCGAAAACCTCTCTACTACGGCTTGATATGGGCCTGTAGTCCTCTACTGCAAGACCAGGGCGATTTGTGTACGCAAATCCAGCATCAGAAATTTCGTTTTGATATAGCGAGGGGGGATGTTTCTCTTTGATAGGAGCGCACTGATCCACCGCGTGTTCCAGGAAATCCGAGCGGAGCATATAACCCGCTCAGGTGTTACAATTTCAAATCGGTTATCTTTACCATAGAATATTATGGAAATCTGTGATGCACGAAGTGCAAGAGCTAACCTACTCGTCGCACAGGATTGCGCAAGACAACTTCTGGAGTGGTCCCAATCCGCACTAAGTAGATCTGGCAAAATTTGTATTGCAGAAAGTCGAACGCTGTGCGAGTCTGTCATGCTCTTCATGCAAGACAAGGAAAATGCAGACTCTAAATGGTAACCGATTTGGGATTGTGACACTTGAGCAGGTCATAGAGCACGCGGAAACTACTGGTCCACGCACACACATTCGCTTCGATCTCCTCGTCCTCAGCATCGTCCTCTTCTGCGGCAATGGATTGCTGTTTCTCTGCAGTAGGTCTGTCTTGGTCCTCGACTGCGGTCGTGTTCTTCTCCTCCTTCTGCTTGCCCGTACTGAGATGAGAATCGGTAGAAGCTGGTGCGGCGTCGACATCCATTTGCTCGTTGTCCCCGACAAATGTTGAATCAATTTCCATTGCGTCTTTTATGGAAGAAGATGAACCAGCGATGTTTACTGGTCTAGCAACGGCAGAAGAGGATTTGATACTCCCAGTAGTTCTTGTACCAGAAACATTATTGTCCTCCTTCCTACCGCCGCTCATTTCCAGCACCGTGCCGCCTCTGTTCACTACTTCAGCGATTGCCGTGAACGCGTGATCACCCCCTGCTCCACTGTGAACCAGGCCCCCACTCTCCACTTTCTTCAAGTCTTCTCTCTGTGGTAGGCACTGCTGCATCATTTTCAGCTCGCTTTTACTCACCTTCACGGGGAATTCCACCTTGTCCGCTATCAAATGCAAATATCCCTGGATGTCTGGACGATTGCGAGATTTGTCATGCTAGTCTGGCATGACTCTGCGCTCTGTATTGCGTGGCCACCAAGAGGTCCTCCAGCCTGTCATGCAAAAGCGCAAATTCTCCTGCGAAATACGCAGCACAAAAGAACGAAAAAACTTGTCATGCTTAGCGGCGCATTACAGGAGAGCACTGATTGTTCACGGACTTGCATCACAAGTTTGTTCCAGACCCAGACATATTGGCAATGGATATCCGCTGGAATTGTCACAAACTTGTTCCGGGCCTCCATCACGGACCGAATCTGGTTGGCCGTGTAGCCCTCCAAGTCGAGGCGCGGCTCCAATTTTGGCGTCATTACCAAACGAAGAAATTCCTCCGCACCCTTTTGATCCACAAAGGATTTCTTCGGTCTGCTGACATTATTTCCGCGCTGCTGCTGCTGCTTGTCGTGGCGACTAGAATTAGTCGTACAACCGGCGGCAGAATTTTTAGGCTGCTTGCTGTTGTCTTTGTGCGGCCTGTTGCTTGTTTTCGGACCCTATCAAGCGCAAAAATGTCTGGCTTTGGAAGGTGGTAACTTGTAATGCTAGCTTTCCATAGCTAGGAAATCTGTTTTGCATAACCAACAAAATAAGTCGCAGCCTCTTTTGTACATGCAAACACGCAGTTTCTCATGCGGATTGCCTATGAGAAAGCGTTCTGGAAAGTTGTCATGCTAAATTGCATTGCACACTGTTTCCATCATCCACATTTTAGCATCACAAGTTTCCAGACCCAGACACTTTTGCATTTGATAGACCCCGACCAGATGCGGTCTTCGCCGCTAATGGACCTCGTCCACTCCGAACTTTAGCAGTAGTTATCAAAGTGAAAAATCCCCCCTCCCCATATCGGAAACGGAAGATGCGCGAACTTGTGATGCTGTATTTGAGTACACAAATCGACTTGTATTGCTAGAAGGCCAAGAGACGAAGCTGTGGCCTCAATTGCAGGCAATCTGTCATGCTGTTTCCCACTTCCAGTTGCCTCCTGTCATCCTGGAGCTGCAAGGCTTTCCCAGGCTAGACAGCACTACAGTCTGCATCTTTTGCCTTCTAGCATCACAAAGCTGATTTGTGGCCACAAATCTGCATCACAGATTTCCGTTTTGATATGGGGAGGGGGCATTTTTCATTGTAATAGTAGTTGTACCAGCACCACCGTAGCATGATCCGACGCCGCTTGCAGTACTTCTTCTACCATCCTCCTCGTAGTGGTCCAATGGATCGAACCGCGCGCCTTCCTCTTCGTCCTTCATTCTCGCGTCTGCCTCGTCCGACGCAGAGGTAATAAAAATCCGCATGCCGGTGAGCAGCGTCGCGAATAAATACAGCTGATCCAGCATCATGGCCATGGACGCACCGCAGCAAATCCACTCCGCGCACTTAAACGGAACATTGCCAATCGTGTCCCGCTCACTGGCCAGAAGTATGCTCAGAAAAGATTGCGCGCGCTTTTTCTTCGGGTTGGTGTGCTCGCTAGTAGATTCGTGCTCGTCATCATCGACGTTGTTCCCGATAGCAGTTTCTTCGTCTTCTTGCGCAATCGTGGTGCAACGTGTGCCACTACACGTTGCTGCTCTAATTGCAGCAGCACTCCTGCTCCTTCCACTACCTTGCTCCACCGCGGTAGAAGAGGAACTACGTGTACTTGCAGAAGTTTCCTCATTATCCGCAAAGATCAAATCTGCGACCTCCTGCGCCAAGGCGTGCCCGATTCGGTCTTCGTCGGTAACAAACCAACTATCGGCGTACTTTTCCTTAAGTTTTTCGTCTTCCTCAGTCAATTCGTAGTGAGGGAGAATAATCCGCTTCATTTCTGTATTCCGGATTTTCTCCTTGTCCAAAATCTCTTGCAGCTCTACTACTTCCGGCGTTGAGATGAAAAGGCGATTTTTCTCTTTCTTGTCTCCAGCACGAGAACCACCTCTAATGTCATCAATTTAATTTTTTATGCCGAGGCTCTTTATCCCGGCCTTTTCCAATCGCTTCCCCACGACGCTGTCGTGGCAAAAGCTTCGCCAGTATCCAGGAAAAAAACTGTGTAAGTGTAACCCTGTAGGAAGAGCAGCATCACAAATTCGTTTTTCATTACACGGAAAACCTGTCATGCGCATCTAGTAAGTGGAAACACGTATGATAGTAGCCTATGACGCGCTTCCAGCATGACAAGTGTAACTGTTTTGCATTTTCTGCATCACAGATTTACACTCACACAGTTTTTTTTTTTGCATAGCCAGGATTTCTCGTTTATCACGTACTTCTGCCAGGAAGAAAATGTCCGCAGTATTCCGGTGAAAAATGCCTCCACCCCGTAAGTTGCAACCATTTGTAATGCGAAGTTTCGAAATGCACACTTTTTGTCTTGCATGAAAGGACGATGGATCTTTCTGATGCAGATTCTAGTCGTATACAGCAGCCCTTGCATGACAAGCGCCGCCCTGGCTGGGTTTTTTTGCAATACAGATTTTTGCTATTCACGATTGAAAATCTGTGATGCTGATACATGCAAGACGGCGAATGTTTCCATTGTGAAGCAGGTTTGCAATACTTACAAATGCTCCCAAGTGCTGGGGTCGTGGGGGCATTTTCATTGTAATACGAGAGAACCGCGCGTCGGCGCCGCGGACACGATTTTCACCCTCCCAGCTTTCCATCGCCTTCCCCGTCTCCTGGTCTTTTATCCACTCCGGCGACAGAATCTCGCAGAAAACCTCCGTCCAGGGATCGATCAAAACTGTGTTGACAACGTTTGTCACGCTCTCTGTCACACTTGCGACCGGCGTAAAATTCTTCGCCAGCGGGTAGACGAGCTTGTGCGCGAAGAGGGGCAGAGCCAGCTTCCAGATCGTGTTGAACCGTTTCCTGTCAATCCTTTTGTTCGAAAAGGGCACGCGGATTCTCTGCTGCTTCAAGGATTCAAAGTGCTTCTTCCGCCGCTGCCCGATAACGTGCGCGGAGAACTGCGCGCGGGAAAGCAGCAGGGAAGCCAATTTCGCCCACTTTTCTTCTCGAAGCGAGGTCGTGATCATTGGCGGTTTTTGTTCATGATGTGATGTACTAGTAGAAGTAGTACAACTTTGTGTAGAAGTTTTACCACTACTACTACTACTACTGCCCCCACCTCCCGCTGCTCCCCCCGCGAGTTCTATCCTGAGTAAAAACGTACCCACACCAGAGTCAGGATGGGGATTTTGCAACACAAACCTAGGAGTTTTGTGAGTCACGCATGACAAGTTGCACTCTGCAGCGTAGTGCAGGTTAGCAAGTGCAGCCGCAGCACAGATTCATCTGCTCATCCTGTTCACAGCATCACAAATTCCAAAACACGACTGGAAATGGCTCTCATGGGGATGCGCATTACAAGTCTTCCTGTCTTTGCAAATCTGCATTACAACTCTGGTGTGGGTACGTTTTTACTCAGGATAAGTTCCGCGCTTTTCACCTCCACAGCGGAGAAGATTTTGTCCCGGAGGCGGGTGATGATCAGATCCTCTAGCGCTTCGTTCTCTTCGCAGGCGCCGTGCTTTTCGCTCGTGCACGCGTAGCATTTTGGAGGCCGCTGGTCTATCCTGAGTAAAAACATACCCACACCAGAGTCAGGATGGGGAATCTGCTAGACAAATCAGCCAGCTTTGGTTGTTTGGCATGACAAGTTTGTCCGCGTAGTGTAGTGCTGCTTGAGCTAGTTTAGCAGCATTACAGATCTAGTATATCGTGCTGATTGGAGCATGACAAATTTCAAAACCGCATTAGAAAATGCTTCTCATGGGGCTCCGCATGAGAAACATTTTAAGCATGCAGAGTTGCATGACAACTATGGTGTGGGTACGTTTTTACTCAGGATATTGTCGGAGGTTTTGTTATTTTTCACCTGATACCGCACATCGTAGCAGGGAGGATAATTGATGAAACTGCTGCTTCTAGCGTTTCCGGTGCTCTGACAAGGAGTCGAGCCTGATCCTGAAACTGGACCACTTGCTGCAAGAACCGGATTACTATTTCCTGTCGCTCCATGACTGGTAGCAGCAGAAACCGATCCCGCTGCTGGTTCTCCGGATCCTGCTTTGCGCACTGAGGAGATCTTCAAAGGACATGCCGGTAGATCTACTTTTTCACCGGTGCAGCTGCCATGAACCGGAGTTGCAGAGCCCGAAAGTGAGTTCATCTCCTTCGGACACGGAGTCCCGGTCCACGACTTCGGCGAATCAATATCATCCCCAGAACAAACTAATCCGCAAGCACACGACGACGTCAACGGCGAAGAGCCGCAAGAAGTGCGGCCAGAAGTATCCCGCTGGCGATTTTCGCTCCACGCTTGCGTCAGAGAAGATCTTGTTGGAATCTTCTTGCTCCCACCAGCACAAGAAGATAAACCTCCCCTGGAAGATGAGGTCGACGGCGAGGAAATAAATCTTCCCCCGACTTGCATCTTCCGGATCATACCCAATTGCCGGCGCACGTCCCTTGCCAAAAGCTGGAGCGCCAGTTTTTCCCACCGGACGCGGAACAGTTTGGCACTTCGCAGTCGTTTCGCACTGTCCTTCACAAATTGCTTCGCGACGAGCTTCTCCCAGGTGGCGATAAAAAGCTTCGATCTTTCCTGTCGCAACCTATTGAGAGGAAAAATCCCCCCTCCCCATATCGAACAGGTATGTTTCCGAAAATTTGTCTTGCTGATTTGAGACCACAAATCACGTCTGTCTTGCAAGAAGACAACTCCACAGGCTCTGCCGCATTATGCAGGCGGCTTGTGATGCTGTTGGGCCTACAGCATAGACGTGTCTCATGCTAAGCGCCTAGGGCAAAAGCTCTCTACTCAGGCTTAGCAGGAGCCTGCTTTCCTCTACTGCAAGACAAACCTGATTTGTATACGCAAATCCAGCATCAGAAACTTCCTTTTGATATGGGGAGGGGGGATTTTTCCTTGTGATACAACCGATCTAATTCCTCCAACATGGACTTTTTCTTTTCTTGCTCTTCCAACGCTGCTACGGCCTCCACTGCGTCTTCGAGCAAAGAGCGGGTCGTACTAATGCAGCTTGCTGCACTACAACTTTTGTTCCCTCCACCTCCTCTGAGATGCCTCAACAGTATGCTGACGTCATTCCCGAAACAATCGCAGTCGCCGCTAATTTTCCGAAAAGCCTCCTCTAGAAGAGCGTGGGTGGAACGACCAGCGACTCTGCTATAATTTTGGCCGAGGACCCCTCCGCCGCTGTTGGTGGATGACGGAATATGAAAGTTATTGCCCATTGCAGATGTTGTTCCCTTCCTCTCATCGACCCAAGTCTGCGTGAAGATGTCGAAATCTGGGATGGCTGGCAAAACCCCATGCAAGAACCACTTCCGCTGCTCTTCCTCGGTCTTGACGTCAAAAAGTTTGAAAATCTTTTCGCACGCCGTCGTCAGATCTTTCCCCTTCCGCTTCGACCGTCGCATGTTTTGTGCTTCCTTCAACTCGTTTAGGAAAGTTTCGCACTTCTTCGCGGGAGAATGTGTTGCGGTTGGGGATGAAGAGGGTGAAACAGGAGGTGCTCCACCTCCTGCGGTTGATGGAGACGCAGCAGGACAAGAGGATGACCCTGGCACAACTTCTGCGCTTGGTGCAGATGCCTTTGCATCAACCGGTAGTCCTGCTCCCGCAGAGCTAGCCGCGAAGCTAGGAGAAAAAGAAGAGGACGCAGGTGGAGGAGGCTTCATTGCTTCGAAGATCAAACAGAGCTGCTGCGTCACGTATAATTCGGTGACTTCTCTGTCTAGGTCGGCAGCGCAAGAACCGGCGTTCTTGTCCTCTTTCAATTCTGTTTCTTGTACACCGTCAGGATCTACTGCCTCATTTATTTCCCCGGTCGTGGCGGGTGCAACTAGTTCATCTCTCGGCGTTTGCTCCATATCGACGTCGGGGGCAGCAGCTCCAGGTGCTGGCAGTGCACCTACTCGGCATACCGTAATAAGCGGCTAAAGTGGTAACTTTTTCCGAGCCACAAAACAAGAAAGCTATTGCTTCGCGCCGTGCGTGGTCCCCATGACAAAAGCAGAAATGAAAGCCCTTGTACCAGGGCGAGGCGCTCCCTTTCTATTGATTCTTGCGGAAAAAAGCCAACAAAGCTTCAAAGCGCTCCCTTTGCGGAAAAAAGCCAAAGCTTCATCAAAGGACTAGGTTCCTATTTGCGCGCTCAAATAGGATATCTATTTCTATGCTTTTCGAAAATGCAAAAAGATAAGCTCCCTAATGGCCGCGCCATTAGGGAACTTATGCTTCAGAGTTTTTGCGTTTCCACTTGCGCATCATCGAGTGAAAAAAACCCAAAATCTCAAGCCATGAGTTCCCTAATTGCACGTGCCAATAGCGAACTTATGTTAATGTTTTTCGAAAATGAAAAGTCAAAAGTGTCCTAATCGCGCGTGCCATTAGAGAACTTATGCCTCAGAATTTTTGCATTTGCGCATCATCGTCATCGAGTGAATAAAACGCAAAATCTCAAGTACGGACGCGCGAGGTTTTTTCCCCAGGGAAAAAGCAGAAGGAGAGAAATCCTGCAGCACTTAGCTCGGGAAGCCGGAGAATGCAGAAGCTAGCAGTCGTGCGGAAAAAATTTCATTCGCTTGCTCTTTTTCTGTGGGCCGTACCAACTTAGCCGCTAATTACGGTTTTTCGAGTACTTCACCTCTCGCCGTTTGTTCCATATCGACGTCGGCGGCAGCAGCTCCAGGTGCTGGCAGTGCCACCGGAGCAGCAGGGCCTTCATCACGATCCCTCTGTTGATCATCCGCCTCTACGACCTCCATTGGATCATTTCCACCTGGCACAACTGCTACGTCTTCCGTCCCCGCGAGTACTCTGCTCCCTTCGCAATCGCCCTGCTGAGTGGAGGCAGTTCGCGCAGTGCCTTGCGCGGCTTCTAGTACCAGACCAGCTTCCACGCTCCGTCTATTAACGAGCTCCTCGTCTCTAGCTCTACTCGCATGGTTCGCCTGCTCAGCTGGTTCCTCCCTTTCACTTTCCTCCCCCGCAGAACATGCGCCCTGCTCAAGTGCACAAGAAGCACCTGTTTCTCCTCCACAGTTCCGATTGATTTCGCTGAGAGAGGTATCGTGAGAAAAAAGTGCTTCACTGTAAGCTAAGGATTTTGCAAGCTTTGCATGACAAAGTCGCATGACAAAGTCGTTGCACATGGCAAAGAAAACGTGCCATGCGTACTTCCCAATGGAAAACGTGTTGAAAAAGCCAATGTCTTGTATGTGTAGCAACACAAACGCGCTTGCGTTCCATTCTATGCATCACAAGTTTACAGTGAAACAGTTTTTTCTTTGCATAAGAGGAAGAATTCGAGCCGCCCAAGGTCGTAGAGGAAGAAGTTTGACTTGCGTCAGCTGTTCTTTTAGCAGGATCGTTTAAAAAAGGCCGCGGGGGCCCCTGATCAGGGTCGGACGAAGAAGAGCTGCAGCCAGGATGATGAATGCAACTAGCGGGAAGAACATCAACTGAGAACAGGTCGTGGTTGCTGTTGTTGTTGCCGGATTTACTATTTTCACCTTTTTCCGGACCGGAATTTAGTACCATGTCAACACTCGGAACAACAGATGAACTGCTATCCAGCATCGCGACATCAGTCGACGACGAAGAAGACCCTGAGAAGGAAGTTTGTGTTTGGTCCATCAACACGCCAGGTGATGCTGATGTTGTGCTGTCAGCTGGATCATGAACTTCTTCTTGTTGCTGTCGCGCAACGACGCCTTCCTCCTTGCGAAGAGGAAGTAGACTGGGAAGTAGTAGCTCTGACAGCGTTCTTTGTGACGCTGCCTCCGCTTTTCCTGTTTGCTTTTTATCCTCCTCCTCGCCATCATCTTCATCCAGCAGTTCCAACCACTCACGCAAGACCTCCTCTCCATGATCTTGTACGCCTGCACTAGTATCAAAATCAAACTCACCAACTCTTTCGCAAAACCCCTGGTGTTCCGCATCCGCCCTCCGGTCGTCTTCCAGATCGGCACTTGATGATGCCGCGGCGGTCAACTCTACTTCAGTATTTTTGCTAAAAGTGCCATTCTGTTCATCGACCGCCGCGGCCTGCTCATCTAGCCCACCAGAGGCAGAGCCCGCCTTATCCTGCATTAAAAGGTATGATTCCTGGTCGCCTTCCAAACATGCGTCGATTTGAGCCAACAAGAACGCATCGTGATCTTCTAGTACTGTATCAAGCGGCAGAGCAAGTTCGGTAAGTGCTGCTGCCGCACCTGGTAGCACGGTGGCGAGGGCAGCTTCCAGGTCAGCGTTTATCTCTTCGATGCTGGGGCGAACTGCTGGGGTTCCTGGTGTTCCATTCTCATTCTCTGCAGAAGTTGTACTATTCTGAAAAATAAACTCAGCTTTTCCATCGTCCTCTTCGTCCCCTTGCAGTTGCAAATCCGCATCACAAGTTCCCACCTCCTGCTGTTCCTCCTCGAGAGGTTCCAGTAAGCAGTCGGCGTGTGCTGGTTTATTGTCCCCCGCGCCGGGGGCGTCAAAATCGAAAAAGCTGGGCAAAGCAGGTTGCAGATGGTGCCTCGACGTAGTTCTTTCATCTTCCAATGTTGCAGTTGCATTTTCCATTGATGACGTCCTCAAATGTGGCTGAACAGAATCAGCATGGAAGAACTGGAAGTCGTGCTCCTGTCGGCCCTGCTCGTCACAGCTACTTCCTATCTTTTCATCTTCATCAAAGGTTACTGCCTCCTGGTTGTGACCACCCATTGATGGCGGCGGCGGCGGCGAAACTACGCTCTCTGCACTCGCCGCGAAAGGCAGCACAGCCGCATCGTGGTCTTGTATTGTGTCGAGTAGAGTAGAGAAGTCACCTCTAGAAGTAGTACCGGAGCCGGGCACCGGCGTAGTATTTTTATTGGAGGGAGCACTTTTACGATGCTCCTCCGTTGGACCACTACCAACTTGATGTTCCTCGGTGGAAACAGCAGGTTCCGCATTCATTCTGATTCCCACTCTCGTCTCTGCACTACTGGGCAGCAGGAGCACCGGTGACCCTCGGCCGGAGCGCAGTGAAACCAGGCTGTCCCCGCCTTCCACCAGAGGGGAATACGAATAGGTGAGCTGAGAATCATCACTTTTGACCACAGCTGACAAAGGCGTCGCCGTGAGAGAGGACGCGTGGCTCCTGTCTGCAGGAGATGGTGACGTTGTCATCGAATCTTCACGTATGATCGTTGTTCCTGGCGTTGCTTTGCTTTTGTGAAAAAGCAATCTTCCTGCTCCGGGGGGAGACGGCAAGCCTGCGCTCCCCGGCGTAGAAGAAGTTCTTGTTCCTCTGACAGTGCTATAATCAGCAACCTCTACAACTTCTGACACATGCAAAGACGTCCGGAACCTCTGCGCCAGCTGGTCCACTGCATTGCGCTCCTCAGCACGGTTTGTTCCGCCGGGCAAAATGCTTTTCGAATTCCATGGCGACCAGTTGAACGCACTAGCCCTGGACGAAGGTGAGTTATCCAGCTCGGGCGCGCTGTGGAGCTGGAAAATTTCGGACAGCTCGGGCGGGAGGAAAAACTCATCGCTTTCTGCAGGACCGGTCGGGCGACCAGCTTGGTGCTGCTGATGTTGCGTGTCTTCTGGTACTGCAGCTGCTTCCTGCGGTCCTACTGCAGGCCACTCCGCATGATCCACAGGCGGCGGTGGCGGCGGCTCCGTGGGTGGAGGGGTCTTCGGCGTTGTGCTGAGACCTTGATGTTTTTGTACTAAGGGGTGCCTGCTTTGGTAGCTCGAATCATGCAACTGCTGTGCCCCCGGCGGCGGGGGAAAGTTAGTGTTATCTTGTGCTGCAGGAGGAGGTGATAGTATCATCGCATTGGTCGGAGTAGTCGTCGTCCCCTCGCCAGTGTAAGAACCAGGAAGAGCAGCAGCACTTGGTACAACTTCTTGCGGCCTTTGCCGCAGATATGTTGTAGCTGCTTCTGCTACTTTATTGAGAGGAAAAATCCCCCCTCCCCATATCAAAACGGAATTTCTGATGCTGGATTTGTGTACACGAATCGGGTTTGTATTGCAGAGAGGCACTGCGGCCAGATCCCCAGGCTAGGTAGGGGCGTATGGGTCTACTTGTTCAACACGGCAAACGGCTCAGGTTTAGGCCAAACAGCATGACAAATCGCCTCCATAATGGAGCGGAAGCTTCTGCCCTTGTCTTCTTGCAAGACAGATGCGATTTGTGACCTCAAATCAGCAACACAAATTTTCGGAAACGTACCTTTTCGATATGTGGAGGGAGGATTTTTCCTTTTGATATACTTCCTTGGTCTCCAGTCCAGGAGGGGCCGCAGGTCGCCGCAGCGAAACCGCCGACAAAGGCAGTGGTGGCGGTGCTGCTGGTGCTGCCTCTTCCCCTTCCCCTTCCCCAGAGAGCAGCGTTGGCCGCGGCCTCCGTGGAAGATCCTCACTTCTTGTGTAGAAAGATTGCAACAGATGGCTCGGCATCATGTTGTGTAGTTGCCAGGGTCGAGGACCAGTTGATGCGCCGATCGGCTGTGTCTCAGACCCAGGTGGCACGTAGGAGCTCCTGGCACTACGCGGCTGACCGTGGTTCTGGTGCAGTGGCGCCTGCTGGCCATGGCCTCCATTCGGGTTCGGCCCTGGCCCCGGCTCGATTATAGCATCGTGTGCTGCCGGCGCGTCTTGGGCTTGTCTCGACGGGCCCCGCTGTCTCCTCCGGGAGTGCTGCAAGAACGGGGCTGCACTACCGCTCGAACTGCTCAAGCCCCCTGGCGCATGATCGGGCCTGGCCGCAAAAACGCCTGCTGGAAACAAGGAGAAGCTGCTGGTTGTTTTCTTGTCGGTAGCTGCATTATATGCATCATCCCCGTGCTGGGAGGGGAGGAACAAGTGGGAGATGAGGCAAAGGAGGAAATAAAGACAGGTGAGTTTCATCACCTGCCTCCTTGTGGTGCACAGAGGGTGATCCTCATGAGGGGGTCTGACGAGTTTTGCAACTCTACTACTGTACATCATCTTGATCATCTCCCGCTACCAGTTCTTGCAAGTAAAAAAATTATAAATTATCACGCAGCTGCATGCCACGAACTGCTACAAAAAAATGATCGTAGGTATATTTTTCATGCGATCTTACGGGCAGCATGTCAATAGAAAAAAAATGTTTCTTTGCATTTTCTCAGTCAGTCTGTAGCTGCTATTGTTGTTCGGTTTCACCAACATGAAAGTGGAGGGTCAGAAGCAGAAGCAAAGTCAGACCATGAAATGCTTGTGACGTACGACGTCAAACCTAACACATAATTCACGCGACGTATGATCTTTTTTCTTCGTTGCACGAATGGCGTTACCAGAGCAGAAGCAGCGGTGGTATACAACTAAAGAAAGTGCCGCGGTTGGATCCTTTTCAACTTCATGCAGGGGTCAACATCTTCACAGACTCAGACACCTCCTGCTGCGAGACATCAAAAATCCAGTCCTGATCATCGTCTGTCATCATCGCGATCGATTGGTAGCAAAATGAAATCCGTATGGTACTATCTTCGTACTCTCTTCTTTAGCCTAAAGCACTTCTACTATCAATCTACTCCGTTGATCTTTTGAACTTCTGTTGCCCCAGTTTTCTTTTTCTCACACAAGAGTGAACAGGCTGCACAAAACGTTCCAATTTTCACTCCTCGCAGAGAAATGTTGCGCCATGTTTTTCCTCCTTGAGAGGCGCTTTTATTTCGAAAGCCTGACTCAATCAGGACAAAAGAGAATTCAAATTGTCGTTCTTGTAGCGACACACCAGGTCTTATTGATCTTGAGATAGTAAATATTCGCCATGATCTTTATCTCTATCACCGATTGCTCCATGCAGTTGCTTCCTCCGCAGAGCCTGCGACACCCTCTTCTCGGTCTTCGTCTGCTTCCGCAGCATCGCCTTACTTCGCGCGGCACCGTGTCTGCGCAGACCACTGCTACTTTGTGATCGACCACTGCTTATGTCTGTTCTGTCTGTTCTCGTCTGCTGCTCTCCTGCACCTTCACTATCGCTACCGCCCCCAGGACGATCTTCTCGACCACGACCTGTGTCAGCAGGTCTAACCGCAGGAGAGAGCTGTGCTTTATCTTGTTCGGGAAGAACCACCCCCGAGTTATGATGTTCTCCACCTTGACTCGCGGCTACTGCTCTGGTTCCTCGTCTGGAGGAAGCCCTGGAGGATGCAGTTCTCCGCCCACCAGCGCTAGTACTTCTCCGCGCCTGTCCTCGCGACGAGGCCCTTTGGTGCCGACGGCTGGTAGCAGATGAAGGAGACTGTTGCACAACAGCTTCTGGGAGCCCTCCCGTCCACGGCGGAGACGTCGTCGAAAGATCTTCTTCTCCCAGGAACTGCTGCATCGATATTCTTCCTAAGCTTAGAGAATTTTGTTGCGCAGCAGTACCAGCTATTTTTCCAAATACTGATTTTTTCCTAGAGCTTGCTTCCTGCTCTGCCCCCGCGATGTTGATCCCGCCCGACACGAAACTCGGTTGCAGCTCCTGTGTTGAAAATGCAGTTGTCCTACTGGTCGTGGTTCTTTCACCGGCGCGGGGGTACTGGAGGTCGTCGCTGTGGCGATACAGCGCACTATCCCTATCGGCAGAAGTGCCGAAATGCATCGAAGATGAAGCCCCGGCCACAACTGCAACAGCTTCTTCGCTTATATTTTTCTCGTCCGGATATTTTTGGCGCGCGGGCTCGGAAACTCCCGCCCCGGTCGTACTACTCGTGTACGAGGCTTCTCGTTCTCCTGCAGCTGCAACCGTGCCTTTGTTCCTCGATGCAGCAGTATTGAGGAACGTAAAACCCGGTGCCGCTGTACCGTTTTTCCCGCCCCACTTGTTGTTTCCACCGCCTTTGTAGTTCCTCCCATGGGCAAGATCAGGCCTACCGTTTTTGGCTTGAAGTGGCAGCTGTTGCATGTGCAACAACATCTTCCCAGGTGTTGAACCAGTGCTGCTGTCGCTCGTGGCATTTTCCGACACCTCGTAGCCTGTGAACTTCACGACCCCCGGAAGATGATCTATCACGAGGAAAAATTCCCCCAGCCCCAAAGTTGCAAAAGTTTGTGATGCAAAGTTTCCAAGTGAAAACTTTTTGTCATGCATGAAAGGAGTATGAACCTTTCCGATCGATGCAGATTCTAGGCGTGTGTGTGTGTGTCGCATCGCTTGCATGACAAGTGCCGCTCTTGATGCTGGGATCTTTTGCAATACAGATTTTTCCTATTCATGATCGGAAATCTGTGATGCTGATAGATGCAGGAGGGCGCATGTTTCATTTGGAAAGGTTTGCAATACAAATGCTCCCAAGTTCGGGGGTGGGGGCATTTTTCATTGTAATATGATCGCAGTCCTCTTCACTGTCAAGCGCGTCGTCGTCCCCACCGCCCGCCTGCCGTCCCACGGTCAAAAACCCCGCGGTGGCCAGGCAGGCCACGCCGAGAAAGCCGCAGTATCCACTGCAAAAATGTCTGGGTCTGGAAACTTGTGATACAAGGAAGGGAATATTGAGCACACTGTAATGTGCTCCCCAGCATGACAAGTTTTTCCGTGGTTCAGAGTTACGTACTCCGCATGAGAAACTGCTTTTTTGCATGACACACAAGAGGACCGCTTCGCGGGCACGCAATACAGAGTTTAGAGTCATGCCAGACGAGCATGACAAATCTCGCAATCTCCCAGACCCAGACAGATTTGCAGTTCATACGCAGAGAATCATCACGATAAGACGGAGGTCGGAAGTGGTGTGGAGGTCCGCTTCTTCAGAAGTTGCGGATGTGGTACTCGTAAAAGTCATCGAATCAGTAGTTCCTGCTTCAGTACCAGTACCATTTAATATTCCAGCACTCGTGCCATTTTTCGTACCATTTCTGGAAGATCTACTCTTCTGTGTGCCTGCTCTCCTACTACTTCCGGAAACGAGAAACGAGCGGCCTTTTGATTTTCTGCCCACAAGAAGCGGTGAGGCAATGGACCACGGCTCGGAAGGAGAAGTCGCACCCTGTAGAAGTTGTTGTACTTGCTTTCGCGTCGTCAAAAGCGGCACTTTATTCTCTGCTCGGTTGTCTACTTTCGACCCTAGCAACGAACTTCCGCCGCGCGCCTTCTGGAGAGCAGAAGTTCTTACTCCTGTGGGTATAATTTGTTCCCTTAGTCTTAGAGCTGCTGGTGCTGGTGGTGGTGTGCTATAATTGTTCTCCGCGGATAATACTATCGTCCCACGCCCTGGTGGTTGTTCCACGCGAACTTCCTCCGAATTTTTCCTAGTTGTTGTTCTCTGCTGCTGCACCAGAACCGCGTGTGCCGTAAAAAATCTTCGACTTGGTGCACTACTTTTTGCGCCGCCGGAAGCGGAAGTAAGAATCAGTTTCTGATCTACTTCTTCTACATTTGATGTGGACCATGTTGGTCCACCGCATGATGTGGTCGTAGTTCCCGATAGGGGCAACAGGAGAAAATCTAAATCACTGCCTGCGAAGATTATGGCAATCGTCCAGAACAACAGAGGTCGAGTCATTTTCATTTTGGGATGAAGGAGAAAAATCTGAAGAACGAGATTTAGCTGATGATTGCGGGAAAGAGAACTCGTTTTTGTCGGCGGCAGTACTTTCGTGGTGAGTGACACTGACAGGATTACTTTTCTAAATGTAAGCTGCCATTAAACTGGCGAATATTATTACTTTTTGACAAGTGCCTCCAAGGGGACTGCATTCCTTTCGCGTTGTAGTTGTTATTTTCACGCAGCTCGGCGGTGTAGAATATTCTTCTTTTGATGGTTCAGATTGGTCCACGACCTACGAGGCGGCAATACGAGCCATCGAAGGAGGACCACACGGCACGAAGATCAAGATATGAATCACGAAAGGAATATGAAGAACGAAGATGTTGCGCAAGAACGACGAACGACGATGAAGCAAAAATATCAGAGACCTCGTACGATTGAACAATCCCAAGACGACGATTATTTAGAGGTTAGTACAGCCAACTCTGTACATTTTACAAAACATCACTTCGCTGTGTTTCCTGACGATTATGACACGAAAACATAACAAGAAAGACAACAAGGATCGGATCGTGAACACGGAGCATCTTCAAGCAGGTATAGCTACTAACGTACCTATTGCCTGCTCCTGGGTCTCCGACAGACAGGGAAATTCAAATTTTTCCGCGACAGACATTTCTTCTGCATCTGCTTCGGGTATTTTTATATAAAAGCCCACTTCGTATGTTATTCCACGACATACCGATGCCGGAATTGCAAAGCGAAAGCGATATCTTTGCAACATATCATAAGTTCATCTCACACATAGTATTCTTTCTCTTCACATGATCTTCCCTGTTGTTCGGTTTTCGTCTTCCTCTTCGATCGGCTTCGTCGACGCTCTTCCTTTAGCCGTGGGAGGGAAGCAGCAGCTTTTGAAGACTCCACGTCCTCTTGCGGCCAGGAGTCGCCTTGCGGCCAAGAGTCGCCTTGCGGCCAGGAGTTGTCTTGCGGCCAACAACCCTCCTCCTCCGCCTCCCTTTCGCCAACCTCATATCCGTATTCAACAAAACTTTCCTCCGGCCAAAACGCCTCACCCTCACCTAGTGCCACGTTCCTGCTGTGACGCGGCTCAGCGGTCTTGCCGATACTAGTTCTTGAACCAGAACCGCGCTGCACAATAACTACCTCCGGAGCGATGTTGAATGCCTCGTGTGTACTAGTAGTTCCAGTGCTGGTGATCTTCACGATCTGCTTTCGCCGCGGGTCCTCGCCGGGAGGGTCGTCCCTTGTTCCAGATAAAGGTCTTGATGCAGCCACAGGCGTGGAGGTCATCTTCATCTTCTCTACTGCAGACAGCCGACTCGTTACGTCCGCCTTACTACTCCTAGTACTACTAGAAAGCGACTCCCGCACCGACCGCGCGATATTTCGGACTGCTTGACAGCGGAACACCAGAAAAGAGGCCGAATAGAGCAGAAGTCCCCCCGCCACCGCGCCGAGGGCGACGAAGATCCACGTGAGATCTGCTTCGTCGTCATCTGTTCTCCCCACCAACGGCGCTCCAGGTGCCGAGGTCGAGACCGTTGGCGGCTCAGGTCCGGCGCTACTAGTACTTGGCGTAGTGGTACCTCCTGAACCGGGCTGCTGCCCCGTGGTCGTCGTCATCGTTCCCGACGATGTTTCAGTGGGCATTGCCGGTGATTGACCTGATGTTGTATGTCCCGGCGTTCGTCACATCAAGAGCTGGTGGTATCCAAGAAAAAAAACTGTGTTTGTGTCTCGGGGTGACAGCATGACAAATTCGCTCTGCATGACAGAGAAGCCCTGACTTGTTCACGGGCAGCGAGTACGTGGAAGCTCGTATGTTGAAAAGAGGACGCTATAATAGGTGGACACCATGACAAGTGTCATGTAACTGTTTTGTATTTTCTGCATCACAGACTTACACTTACACAGTTCTTTCTTGCATAGGTGGCTCTGTGATACTCGTAGCGCCCCACTCGCAGGTGAAGTCTCCCGTCAGTCCGTAACCCGGCCGGCACGCTCGGCATGCTTGCGCGCGGGTATTGTAAAACTCGCACCGTGGGTACAGCATCGCGTACCCGTTCGGACACACGCAGGGGGGCTTGACCAAACTAGACCGGACGGTGACCTCGTAGGGCGCGACATCCTGCGCAGCGTACGCGTGCCCGTCCGTCAAAGTCTCCAACGCCCCACAGCAGGTGGTCACGTGGTACAGACAACCCCCGTTTTCGGTCCGCGTTTGCGTTTTATTGCTGCGCGCGCAGTAGGCCGGATTGATCTCTAACGTTGCTACGTGGTACCAGGCCCAGTTGGGACACACGGTTCCGAACGTGTAGCGCACCTTCAACACCGGCCGGGTTACCGTTGGGTACTCCAGGATGTCTGTGTAGGGGGCTGCAGCAGCTGTCGCATTGGTCAGGATCTCGGGGTAGCTTGCCTCGTGGTATCCGAGGACATGGGCGGTAACTGTCGGATCGATCTTTTTGTGTTGGGTCAGGCGCCACCGCTCGGCGATTGCCGTGCGGGAGAGGTAGGAGCTGTAGCGTAGGTCGTACCAGGAGAGACGGTAGTCGTACGCTGCATCGAAGACCCCGTTGTGCAATTCCGGCACAAAGATCACCTCGTTGCCGACTTGCGGAAAGGCTAAATGTATCCGGTGCAAAAGAAGTTGTTGTTCAACATCGCATTCACTTAGGGACAAGTAACACCAAAGGTGGATGCAAGAAAACCTTAGAACCTCTTAACCTCTTCGACCTTGCTAAAGTGCAACTCGTGGTCTGAGGCAGACTCTAGTACGTATACGTGTTGTTGCGATAGTACTTACAACTTTTGCAGTCCATACTCTCACGCAGTGGCGTGTTTGTCCCGCTGCACACTCCAGTGATGTTTCGCACTCCCGGATGAGAATGTTCCTGATAATATCATACAGAAAACTACAAGCACTCGATGTTTTTACGACGGTCTTGTCAATAACGCAAGGAAAAGTCTCTTTGCTCAGGGCATCATAGCGCAGCAGGCCTTCGCCTTCTTGTACGATCGCTGCAATAAATAACAGATGATTATACGATTTCTACCGTCTGATGTACTTCCTTTGCATGATCTTGACTACTTTTGACATATACACTGTCGACGTCTTTCTTTTTGATATGATCAGGGAGGTTGTCGTGCTAGTATTTGCAAACGCAAACCTGTGAGAACCAATCCTCTCCTGTGCTAGCCAATCTAACTCCTGCGAGAGCAACAGGAATGCGGAAAGAGCAGTGCCCCGTCGCTGGAGCCACTCGTTCACCGAGCGAATACGTCCAGGAGAAACTACTAAGTGGCTGCGGTAGTTTCCCGTCATGCGGCTCATCTCGTGCAGCTGTTCGGCCTCGTTGATGATTCAGAAACAAATTTTGCATTTACAGTTACTTTCTTCTCCCCCTCAAGTAGCAGCCAAATGGTTACAAATGAAAATCCGGAAGTGCACCGCGATTCAGCCAAAAGATGATAAAATGGCGGGCTGTAATATTATCATGCGAGAAGCAAAGAAATTTGACATGCTTTGAGATGAGGTTCTACTTCTTCTTCTTCCGTGCTACAATCATACGATTGGACTCAATTAGTACACGAAGGGGTTTAGACTGTCAGATGAAATAGCGATAGTTTTATTCCAGCGCGTAAAGTTCCCCCTCTTCCATAACCGTGACAACGGGCGCCAGTAGCTAAAAATATAGGGCTTAATGAAGCTCACAAAAGACCGTACAAAACTAAGCATTAGATGAAGTGCACCTAGACTTTCGTCCGACCGAATGTCTGCGAAAGCAAAGCGATCTTCAGTACTCATCGTACTTTTGGATCATAAAACCGAAGTGATAAAGTGCTAGCACAATCACGGCGCACAGAAGGTGATTTAGATTTTGTCTTCACCTCTACGTCTTCAGAACCGAATAGCAAAACACGATGAAATGAAGCAAACATGACCTAATCCGATCCGACTGGCTTGTTCAGGATGCGACCGAATTGATTTTTTTTGTCGGGAACCGAGGAACGTGATGGCGTACTAGAAACGAAAAAATTTTCAAATTCAACCGACGCCTGACTGTGCAGAAGTAGAGCAGTAGCAGTACGTTAGGGAGGAAAACCGGAGCCGCCGACGTGGATCCCAAAATTTTTTTTGCGGGGGCGCGCACATAGCTGCTCTCGGAAGAAAGCCACGGCCATCTGTTATCTCTGTCTGCCCACCCCGCTCGCGGCCTGCCAGCGCCCGCGCCACTGCCCCCGGCCGAGCGCACCAATCCGGCACTGCCCCAACCCCCGGGAGCGCTTATCGCCGGCGCCCGGCGCCCGGGCCCATGCCCCCTTCCGAAGGTTTGGGCACCTCCGCGGATTTCCTCGGATCTGCTTCAAATCGGGGAATTTTTTTGGGGCAGATATTTTCCCAAGATTTTCGCCTGATTTCGACCAGATTTGAAAGGGATTTTGTTGGAATGTAGTCGGGGGACGGCGTGAAAATTTCGGCCGGATTTGCCGGGGATTTCGCGCCGATTAGCCCCCCGGAGGGGGGCAAATCCTTGGCCAAACCGGGGAAATTTCCCGGGAATTTCCGGCCCTCCCGGATTTGGGCCAGATTTAAAAGGGATTTTGTCGGAACTTAGTCGGGGGACGGCGTGGTAATTTGGGCCGGATCTGGCCCCGGTCCAGGTTGGGCCGTCCACCAGCTGGTTGGACCGGGCCGCGGAGTCTGTCGGCCCGTCCCGGTGCCCTCTGGCCCCGGGTTGTTTTCGAACAAACGATAGTCTCGGCGTGTTCATGCAAAAAAAATTTTGGGATCGACGTCGGCGGCTCCGGTTTTCCTCCCTAAGTACGCTAGTACACCTCGTGATCCCAATAAACATGAAATAAATAGAAGATCGTTTCTACCGGGCTGCCACAGATAATCCGGCAGCGTAACTCTTTCTGCTGGTGGTAGAGCTAGTGCTATGTCTGGGAAAATGAATGACGAACCCGCGCGGTGTAGTTGCGACTGATAGACAGTTCCTCGGTTTCTCTTTCTGATGATGTCCTAGTCCTACTAGAAGTAACTGGAAGAAACTCCAGCCCCGGCAACAGGTCCGTCCTCCACAAGACCGCCACTTTTGCAACCGCGCCCACCCCCGCACCGTGCGGCGGGGGAACAGAATTGTAGGTGTGCACAGTGACACGGGTGGAGGTAGAGGTTGTAATATCTTCTTCACCACCCCCACCGCCTCCCATCGCCGTTCTAATCTTCGGCAAGTACTCCCCCTCGATGTCGATTGCCTCCGAGTGAAAATCCTTCGTGTATCTGAGCGAGACGAATTTGCAGTACCTGAAGAGATTTCTCACATAGTGATCCGCGATGTCCCGGGAGCGCAACTCCGAAAACGCGTGGTTTGACACGCACAGGTCGTAGTGTACTTGTACTATGGGCGGAGATGAATTATTTTTGGGAGACGAGGAAGACGAAGATGCTTCTTTATCTCCAGCTCCTTCGTCAGAAAACAGCTTGAGCTCCGGCATGTTGGACAAAACTGCAGCGGAACTGCCTAGCTGCTCTTCCTGCGAACCATGATCTACTCCTCCGGAAGATCCGCTAGCTGCTGTGGCGCTTTGCACTTGCGGTGAAACAAGAACTTCCTCCTCCTCCTCTGAGTAAGCCAATAACTGCGACGTTGCTAGATACGCCAAATCTTCCACCTCCGGCAAGTCAGCGAAGGTGTAGGACTTTATCCTCTCTTTCCCATAAACGCTGAAGAAACAGAACGCGAACCCACCGTGCCCCACACCGATTTCCGCAATCCGGATGGTACCCGGCTGCGGTTTTGATGCTGATGCTGATGCTACTGCTACTCCTGCGCTGCGGAGGTTAATTGTACTAGCAGGAGTTTGTTCAACAACATCTTCTTCACTACTCTTGGCCAACAAAGCCTCGACGACTGGGTGCAGATCCAGCAGTTCCCGGACATATCTCACCATCGTCGGCGAAATTTTTCCCACTGGGTCCTGAAAATCTGCGAGTAAGGGACCCCCGATGCCGTTCGTCCGGCGGAGGTGCTGCCAGAGGACAGAGTCGCGGTCGAACAAGAGCGAGTGGGAGTTGCTGTGCTGGTCTGCACGACTTGTAGTTCCACTTTCGGCTCGTGTTCTTGTACTGCTTGTTCTTCTCATCCCCCGCAGCAACGCCTTGACATAAGCGTGGTTTTCGTACCCCTCCTGCGGGGTCACGTGCTCGAGGATCAGTCGGTAGTGCCGGTTGCGCTTGAAGTTGTCGATGGTGCATTTTGAATCTTTTCTCCGAATGTTTTCGTTCAACATCTCGAATTTCCCCTCCGCAAACTCCTCCTTCTTGCTGCAAAAGTGCTCTTCCGGGTTCAGCGTTGCCAAAAAGTCCTCCGACGTTCCCCTTCGCTTCAGCAGCCGCTGCAGCAGCACCGTCTTCACCCTGTTACGGTGCTTGGCAGAAGCGGCATAGTACCGCTTTCTGTTCTGGTTCATCTGCGCAGCAACAGGGGCTGCAGATGATTTTTTCCTCGTGGCTGTTACAACAGACAAGGTAGTTACTCCGTGGTCTACTGACCCTTTGAAGTAGGAGCTCTCGGAAGTAGAACTTGCTCGCGGCCCGCCTGTAGTTTTCACGAAATCCAGCAAAACCTCCTGTATGCGGTGCAAAAGTGTCGTAGTCGTATAAATGCATTACAAATTTCCTCAGCATGAGAAATAAAATCTGGAGTGCGGATTCACCTTGAGAAAAAAATTTGTAATGCATGACTGCAATACGAGTACGATACTTTTGCACAGGATATCCTGCGCGCACCGACGGTAGGCGACCGCTTGGTGGCAGGTGACCAGCCAATCTTTGTCGGGCCGGCGCAGTATCAAATGTAAAAATGTCTGGGTCTGCAAGAGTCGTGCTGTTTTTGCATGACACAGGAGCTCTGGCGTGGAAGCTCTAGCATCACAGCTCTCGAGAAGCTTCCGCCATGCCGAATCCGCATGACAAATCCGCCATTTTGGTGACAGAAAGTGGGCAGCTTTTGCTACCTATGCATGAGAGATCTTTCTGTGTATGTGTTCTGAAATGCGCATCGCAAGTTTGTATTCTTCTAGACCCAGACATTATTGCAATCCATACGCAGTTCCGGGGGCACATTGTAGTCTGTGGCGACGGGGGGAACGAAAAAATCCGGGCCCGCTTGTACGGTTGCGTCGGCAGAAGCAAAAAAGCACATGGCGATAATTGCAGCTTTCACGAGGACCGAGACGACAGGGGTAACGTAGTAGGTCCTGGTGGTAAAAAAGCAGATGTCCAACAGCTGAGATAAAAGATCACTCCGAGAACGTCTTCGCCTGGAATTCGCGATTCTTGGATTTGACCTCAGCTTCAAGGTTGGACACGATGGTAAAAACCGTTCGGAGCCTTGGATGATCTTCGCATCGCTGGAGGCGCGCATGCTCGCATCGGGGTGCGAGTGGTCCCAGTTGCTACTCTGCGCAGGGAGAGACTTGTTTAGGTGGCTGCAATTTTGGACTTAAAGGGGCTCTTTTTCTTGTTTTCAGTTCGATATCGTTCGTTGTACAGATTGGCGTTGAGACTTGGAGGCGACATGTCAAGCCGAAGCAGCGCCTTCAGTGTTTGTACGATTGTTTGACCTTCCCAAACAAAGACGAACGAGAAAAAAAAACCGATCGTCCGATACCGACTTCCGAATCGAAAATCACAGGTCGGGAAGCGACCAACGAGCACCTGCTGAACATCAAAATATTTCAGTCGTGACGTACTAGAAAGAACCATAGCTGCAAAGTGCTTCGGGAGGAGGATGATCCCAGCTCAGCAGGAACAAGGAGACTATGTGTGTCGTCACTACTGCTTTCGAGAATCGAAAGAGATAAATCGTAATCGATTTCTTGAAGAAGCGTCTAGAACTGAAAAATTTTCTATGGCATCGTGTTTGTAACTTCGTTCACAACACCGTGAAGAGATTTTCACTTCAACATCGCCCACATGGCATCCTGAATTTCCACAGCAACATTTTCACGTTGAAACCAGTCTGACGTTGACAATCTACCAAAACTGCACCTCGTCCTCTCTACAACTTCTTCATCGCCAAGGCTGGAAAGAGCAGCTTGATCCCCAACAAGAGCAAGACCTTGATCTGCATCACTCCCTGAAGAAAAATCCAATCCACAGGCCTCGAGGAAAAAGCACCCGAGAAACATCCGGTCTTCTTTCTCTGTGGCGTAGCTACTGTGCAGTTTCCTCATAGCGGACGACGAAAACGTCCCAATAACTCGGCTCAAGGCCGTGACCGTGGCCGCTTCGGTTTCCCGCACCAGTTTTTTTTCGGACGCCCACTCTTGCAACAACGCGCGACGGTGCACGCGGTCGGATTCCGTGTCCAGCACCGGGTAGAAATCGAGGCTGGAAGACGTGGAGGAAAGGGCAGCGTTTGTCTCCTTGCTTTTCGTCCCTTCGGTAATTCTTTGTGGAGGTAGTTGTGTTGGGGAATTAGACTGGAGGTCCTGCTTCTCGCCGCCGCTGGCATGATCGGTTTCATCAAGAGCCTGCCCTTGTCCCTGGTATTCTGTTTCGTCCCTTTCCCCTTCTTCATTATCCATCTTCAGCGCGTCGCGCTTCGCCTGCTCGTCGGCCCAAAAATTTGTTGTCGAAGACATCATCATCTCATTCGTCGAACCCTGCTGCGATCTCAACAGCATCTGCTTTGTCTTCTGCAAATGGGCGTCCTTTGCTGGTCGTGATGGAAGTTGTGCGGTTTTATTACTGCTGCTCGCCAATAATTCGCTCTCCTGGTCCTTCTCAGCAACCGAATTTCCATTCCGCTCAACAGCAGTGCCTGCTTTTGTTTCTGTTTGTTCATCACCCTCCTGCTGTTCCACTGACTGCGCAAGCACATCCTGTTCAAACCCCTTTGCGGCTTTTCCCCTCTCCCGGATCTTCCGCACCAGTTCCACCGTGCTCGGCTGGATCAAGGCCTGCAGTGCCCGAAGTTGCCGCATGCCGAAGGACAACGTCAAGGGCAGGTTTCTGCTGATTTGCGTGTCCTATCAAATGCAAAAGTGTCTGGGTCTGGAAGTATTGCGAGGTTTGTCAGGCATTTTTTGCATGACGCCTGACGCCTGTAATGCATGACCTAGCACCACAGATTTTTAGAGGCCCTCCTGATGCCTAATCCGCATGATCAATAGCCTCTACTCCGCGTTGCACAAACTGGACTCACTTTGCTGGTCGTGCAATACAGATTTTTTTGGAATCCAAAGACAGCATTACAAGTTGCAATCTTCCAGACCCAGACATATTTGCAATCCATATGTCCATGTAGAAGCTTTGGACGATGGAATCCATGGAGAAGTGGCCATCATCTTCGTGGTCTACTTGGTCTGCTTGTGCTTTATTTTCGGTTACGCTATCGTCAACAAACTCCGCGATGTTACCATTGACATCCTCATTGTCATTCTCATCATCCTCTTCGCAAATGATGTCCTCCTCATCATCCCCGTCTACAGGATGCATGTCGCCATCAAGAACAGGTGGTTCTGGTTTTCCTCCTTCCACCGATGCTGGTGGACCTCGTGCTTTGACGGTAAAAGTTGTTGTACTAGAATTATCCTGTGCGTTATTCGTGCTGTAGTTGTTCCCGCTGGTTTTAATATTAGTCTTCGATGCAAATGAAGTCGGGTCGTTTATTGCTCGATCTAGTTCCGGTGTGGTCGTCGTCGAACTGCTAGCGGTTGTGTTAGGCGTGCTGGAACAAGCTGTAGTTGTGATCATGATCCTCGTAGTAGTTGTTTTTCCGCATGAAGTAGATTTTGCTTCTTCTGTCACGTCTTCTATCAAGATTCCGTTTTGTTCCTCTTCGCCAGTCGCCTTTATTTCTCCTGACCGACCTGCTTCTGCATCTGCAAGACAATAATTTTCTTCCTCTTCTTCCTCCAAAATCACCGGCATGATCCTTCTGTCGTCATTCTCCGGCAAATCTGTCCCGCATTCTATCGTAAGAAAAAACTGTTTCACTGTAAAGATTTTGCAAGTTTTGCATTACAAATTCGCTACACATTACAAAGAAAACTTGCCATGCGAGGATCCTAAGGGAAAACACCGCTAAGAATCACTTGTCTTGCATGTGTAGCAAGACACACACTTCAGTGATGAATTTTTTGCATCACAAGTTCACAGTGAAACAGTTTTTTCTTGCGATACGTTCCACAATAGAAACCGCCGCGACCCGCCGCTGCACGTCCGGAATGTTGACGACCGGGTGCTGCTGCAGATTCGCCCGCCGATTTATTTTCCCCGCTGCGGAAGTTGTAGATGGAGGTTTTACTACTTCTAATGCGCGTCGTGCAGATGAAATGTCGTAAGGCTGTTGCGAGGACCTCCGAGATTCATCTTCTAGATAGTTCGTCGTCTTCCCTTGTTGTTGATTTCTCTTCACTACCTCTTCTAAAGTGGGAAACATCGCGGCGGCGGCTTGTTCGAACACACTTTCGTCCATCATCAGCTCCGTTTCCCACCCCGCTTCGTCCTCAAAAGTTTCCAGGGTCGTGAGCTTTGTTGGATTTTCCTTCTCGACGGCATTGGAGCTGATGTTCTTCCGGTCGTTAGGACCACGGCGACCCAAGTTTTCATCTATGTTCTCAGGGACGACGAGAGCAGGCGAAGCAAGGCCAGAATGACCTACTTCATGCTGATCCTTCTCGTCTCTGTTCTCCAGCAAAGCATCAAATCTCGCCCGCTCCCTCCGCAGGTCTTCCGCCACTTGCTGCTTGACCGTTTCAGAGATTTCTTCTAAATTCTTGTCCACCGTGGACCACTCGGGTTCGTTGGACAGTTTTTCCTCCTTGTACAGAAACACCTTCTTCTGGCACTCCATCGAGCAAAACTTTCCCAACTCATTCAACTCCAAAACTTTCGACCCTCTGTCCCGTACGAGGTACTTTTTCTTCTTGTTTGCTCCGGATAAGATATTCAAGTTTTTGCAGCCAAACCTTCCGCACAAATCGACCATCGCCCGCTCCTCCACGATCCCGTCAATGTGGTCTTTCTTCAAAAATTTGCTGGCGAAATCGAGCAACTGAGGATCTTCCTTGGTCAGTTGCGCGAGCTGCAGCTGGAGCTCGAAGATCTGCTTCTTCACCTCCCGAAGTTGCAAACCGCGGTGGAAAATCTTTTGCTCGCTGGATGTAGTATTGTCGCGAATGATCGATGGGTCGTGAGATGCAGCTGTGGAGCAAGAACTGCTAGAGGAACTACTGCGATTATAATTGTCGCTCAGCAATTTTTGTACCCGTGCCGTGGGGGTAGTAGAAGAAGTGGTCGTAGCTGGAAGAATCTCCTGTTGCTCCGCGGCTGCGGTGGTTAGCTTTTCCAATAGCTCCTGCTTCTTGCGGGCTTGGGTGCTGGAAGCGGCTCCGCGGCTCCCGAGGAGAGGCATTGTTGCTGTCGCTGGAGGGATAATTGACGTGCTGGCGCGAGTTGTAGAAGGGGTGCGGAGCGGGTGCGTCATTTTTGATGTTCTAAAAAGTACTCGAAGGGATCAGTGACGGAGATCGCAATGGATGGCTGGGGATCAAGAACATGCTATGTAGGAAAAATACGGAAATGTGTATGAATATCTAGAAGAATAAAGGCCTGTAAAGCAGTGAGGAGCGGCAATAATCCATTATTAGCTTGCTCTGATCCCGGCGTCGATCATGATAGTGCTCAATTGCGCACAGCGTAAGTGCCGCACTGGACTTTCTATTCTAGAACCCCGACGCATCCGCCGGTCGCAGTTTAGGTTCTGCGCCGATGTATAATTCTGTTGGTGCCATCCGTGCAACGGCGAGGAATGTCAGCCAACGCCTCCAGCCGGAACGCCTGCTACTGCAGGATCGGTCGAAGCAGACAAGCATCACGAGACCCGCACGGGGACGGCCTCACAGGCCTTGCATTACAGCAGAAGCCAAACTAACTGGAGAAACAACACAACGCCCGGCTAGCCAATCCCACTGCGCCCTTCCGAGAGGCGGCCGGCCAGCGAGCAGAGCGGCGCCGCGGCGCCATGCCGACGGTGCGCACCTACGAAGCGCCACCGCCGGCCCTTCTGAAAAAACCCCGCACGGCGCCGGGCGCCACGCCTCTTCTTCAAGGGCGGGCACAGAATGAAACGCGCCCGCCGCCTGCGCAGGCGCCGGGGGCCTGCCCGGAACTGCTGGCTGGAGGACGCGGGAAGGCCAGCCTGGCGGAGGCCGCCGCCGGAGCGAGCCCCTAGGGCTTCCGGCGCACTCGCACGAACAGCGCACCCGGGGGCGCCCTTCCTGGCGCGGCTGCTGGCGCGCCCGGCTTCGCCGCCGCGCGCTTCTGCCCGGGGCCCTTGCGCATCTCGGCAGAGCTTCCCGCGCGCCCCTTGCATCTGCGCCGATTTGCGCTTGCCGTGTGCTGCCCTTCCTTGCAGGTTTTGGAGGCGCGAGGCATGCCGGTCCTTCGCTGCTTGTAGGGGGGTCAACCCTTTGCCCTTTGGCGCGGCCGCGGGCTTCGGAACAGCCGCGGCGTTCTCCCGGGCCCGGTCGGGCCTTGGTTTTTGGCCTGCTTGCCGAAAAACCGCACGCAAGGGCGGCGCCGCCGGCCGGCTGGCTGCCGAGCCACACATGGTTGGCCATTTGCACGCAATGGCCCGCCCGAATCTACGCCGCGGCCCTTCGGCCGCGCGCCCCCCCCCGAAGCGGCGCCCGGGCCGCCACCGCCACGAAGCGCCGCGCGCGCCAGGAATCGGGCCGCCCGACCGGCGCGCCCCCAACTTATTTAGCCCGCAACAGCCCCGCCACCGTGGCGCGCCCGCGCTGCACCACAGCCGGGGCGGAGTGCTTGAGAAGGAACAAAGAAGCGCGCCGCCCGGCTTGAAGTGCAACAAACTGGGTGGGCCACCGGCGCCCGGCCAAACAATTCCCCCTGCGGCGTTCCCCCTGCCTCCGCACGCCCGCCGCGCCGATCCTAGGCAAGGGGGCCCCAAGCTGCGTCTTTGTCGGCCCCCCGGCCCCATCTATCACGGCCGCGGCCGGGCACGGGAGCCAGGCAATGGCGGGCCAAAGACTCTGTGCCGAGGTTGCTCCACTCTTCAGATGCAGCACCAGCCGACTGCTGCGCAGCGACATCCACGCACTCGGCAACCTGGCAGACGGCGGGCGCCGACGCCATAAAAATGGCAAAAGCAGCAACAACGCGCAGGGCCCACGCCCTTCGCGCGCCAGTCAGTGCAAAACTTCGAGCGCGCTAAGTTTCCCTCTGCTTTGTGCCCGGTGTGCTTGCTGTCCTGCGGCCCAAAGCCGCAACAGCGGGACGTGGCACGCCTTTACCTAAGCGCCAGGCCGTGGCAGGTCGGGCCGCTGCAGCCGGGGACAGGGGCGGCAACTGCCGCACGCAAGTGCCGACAAGTGCGGCCGGCCACAAAGTGCCCGCCCGTCGGGTTGCTCCCGCGCAGCGAAAGCAAAACCGCGACGGTTGCGGCATGCGGAAAGTCCCGGCCCCCACGCTGCGCAACACGAACGCCGGCGCCTTTTCTTAGTCGGGCGGATCAATTCACTTCCTTCGGCAAGTACGGAGATTTTCCAGCTGTGTTACTGCGACAGCCTTGCGAACAACATTTTTTTGCGCCCAAGATCGTGAATTTTCAAGAGCTCGGGCTCCCGTCCTCGTCGTGCCCAGTTCAGATCCGAGCCAGCATTTTCATTATATCTTCTGATTTGTGCGTGAAAAAAATGTTCGTTTATCTCCATTGTTCTTCGCGGGATCATCAATTTCGATCCGCTTTGATGTTGTTCTACGAGCTGTCACAATTTCGATTTTCACATGTTCACCAAGAAATGCAAGCGCAAGAGAAAACATGCCACCAAATTAAAACGTCACCACAGGGTTCAAATGTGCTTCTGCTTACTTGGCGCGCATCAACTTTCTAAATAAAATAGTGCTACCCTTCGATGAATCGGATCGTTTGCCTACGCCAGTTTTGTAGCGCAACCAAGCCGACCCATCATGCACACACCACGGAGACAAACTATGGAAATATATAAACTCTCTGCTTCTACACGACACACACAGGTCATAAAAAAATTACTCCCCCGGGTCTTCATGTCAACATGTCATGGTACTTAGTTGTACATCAACCCTGGAGGTCTTTCGCACTATCTAAATACAACAGCGTGGTCCGCTAACCAGAACTGCTGCACTGAGCCTTTTCGCCGAGCAGCTTTGGTCGTAGCGTAAGAAAGTGACAGAGACTAGATCTAAAATCACTAAAGCTTTTTGCATTTCAAAATAAGTTCTCAAGAAAAAGAGCCCACACGTGGACGTAGTAAAGTCACGACAATAACTGTGAAATAATTTCGATTATTTTAGTGGTATTTATCAAGCTAAGCTTTGCTCGAAGGAGCACCTTTTCTTCTCCATCTGCAGTGCAAACGCAAAGTGGCGAAATGCCACATCTTCCCGAAAGAAAAACTATGTAGCAAACCACGGTGGCCATCAACTTTGTTCATTTTGTGCCTGGCTTGCTCCTTCTCAGAAACTCATCCCAGTCCACTCGTTTGAGTTGCGACTGCGTATCATGCAATAATCATCCCCAGCAGAAGGTGGGGCAGCTGCTCGTCCGCAGAATCCACGGACGGAGGTGCTTGCTTTGTATTGATGCAGAGACTGTAGTCTTGTAAACCTAGTATCAAACGTCTTCTATACTCCGATCTTCCTAGTGAGAAATGATAATTCCAGTCAGCCCTTTTTTGTTGAGTCTGATTCTCATTCTGTTTCTTGTTGTGATAATCGAAAAAACGCGGTATGGTTCCGTAAATAAATCATCTGCGGTATACTTTGCGATAGATCAACTAAATAAATCTGGTTTCAGATTTGTCTGCGAAAAGTTTAAGTTGTAAATCTCAATCCTATAGTGTAGATTTTTACGCTAGCCGGCTTATTTGCGCTTGTTATTTCTCGACGTAAATCCTTGTTGCGCAAAGTCGTGATAATTTTTCTTCGCGATGTATTGTACTTGTATCGTAAGTAGATTTCTATCGGAATAGCGCGTATTTTTCTGGATAATTTTGATTCTGCGAATAAATTTAGTATGGTTATGCTTGTTCAGTACGACAGTTGTTTAATAGACACTGTTACGCTAGGACCTTTTTGCCCCAAGAGCCACACATACAAGTCTGCTCGCTGACCCTGCTAAAACCGCATTTCCGTTCACCGCCCCAGCCCAGTGACCCCGCCGGTTAACCCGGCGACGAGGCTCTGCGCCGCGGCACGTTCTGTTCCCGCGCCTGGTGCCGAAGTTGCCAACGGTATATTTGCGTAGGGGTTCGCGCTGCTACTGCTGCTCGCAGTGTTGTAGGGGTTTGGCGTTCCGTACGGATTATGGGAGTGCCAGGATTGAAATCGACAAAGTTGGAAGTAGAACTTGTCATGCATAAAATCGCTACCAGTTGGAAGCCCAATTTCTAAGCGGTGCGTGACAAATTTCGGCACCGTCTAAATCCAGTTACTTGTCATGCTGTTTAGGGACAGAAGGCGTCTTTTGTCGTGCTACCTTAGCAGCTCTATCGCAGACCCCAAACAGGCTGACGGTCTGCCTCACTTGCCATCCATGCAAGAGAGGCACTTCATGCCTTGCACTTTATGCATGAGAAATTATTTCAAATTTGTCGATTTCAATCCTGACACTTCCATACGGATTCGGTGTGCCGTACGGGTTCGCGACGGTACTGGAGGACGACGCTGCCTGGCTCGCATATGGATTCGCGGGCACCGCAGTAGCCGTCGCTTGCTGTGCATACGGATTACTATTCGCGGCAAGCGCAGTAGCTTGCGCTGTTGCATACGGGTTACTATTCCCCGGCTGCACGGCGGTCGCAGTCACCGCCGCGTAGGGGTTCGTCGCCACTGCTCCTGGCGTTGCTTGCGCACCGTACGGGTTACTTGCACTACTTGCAGCCGTCGCCCCACCTACGACACCCGGCGTCTGCTGGTAATAGGGTGACTTCATCATAGAAGAAGTCGCTCCTATCTGCCCATAGGGGTTTGCGCCGACCGTGGGAGAAGCGACAGAGCCCGCGGTCATCTGTGGTCCTATTGGCCTTCCAAATTGCTGCTGCTGCTGTTGTTGCCCAGGTATCATCAGCCCGGGGGACGCTGCTTGCTGTTGTCTATGGAACTGTCAGGATTGAAATTAACAAAGTTGAAATAATTTGTAATGCATAAAATCCATACCAGTTGGACCCACAGTTTCCAATCGGCGCATGACACATTTTTCTGACCTCTGAAGCAAGTCTGTCATGCTGTTTAGGGCAAGATGGCTCCTCCCTGTCATGCTAGTCAGCAACCCAATTCTTGACTTTTGCCAGCACTAGAATCAGCCTCCCTTGCGTCCTCTGCAATAGAGTCAGTCTCTGCGTCGCATTTTATGCATGACAAACTATTTCAACTTTGACAATTTCAATCCTGACACTCCCATATGGTCCACCGGCTCCGTAGAGCGTTTGCTGCTGTCCCAAAGAAGATATCGGCTGCGTCTTATCCTGAGTAAAAACGTCTCGTCCACAGCAGAGTCAAGATGGGAAAGCTGCTAGACAAATTAGCCGGCTTTGGTTGCTTCGCATGACAAGTTTGTCCTCGTAGTGAAATCCTCTTTTAGGTAGTTCAGAAGCATCACAGATCTAGCATATGATGCTGGTTATAGCATCACAAAACCCAAAACACGACTAGATGAAAATGCTTCTCATGTTGGGGATCCGCATGAGAAACTTTTTTGGCATGCAGATTTGCATGACAACTAACTCTGGGGAGGTGGGGACGATTTTACACAGGATACGTCTGTCCTAGACCCTTCTTGGTCGCGTGGATTTTCTTGTACTGGCCCCTGGAATATCAAATGCAAAGATGTCTAGGTCTGGAAACTTGTGCTGCAAGAAAGGGAATAGTGGACTCACTATAATGCGCTGCCAAGCATGACAAGTTTTTTCCATGGCTCTGAGTTGCGTACTCCGCATGAGAAACTGCATTTTTGCATGACAGGGACGAGGAGCTCTTCGCGGCCATGCAACACAGAGCTCAGAGTCAAGCCAGACACGCATGACAAATCTCGCAATCTCTGAGACCCAGACATTTTTGCAGTTGATATGGAACTCTTCGGCGACGCAGACGACGCGCATCGCAAGAAAAAAGCGTTACAGTTACACATTGTCTTGCAGGCCAAGCAAGACAGACAAGCTCTGTCATGCCGGATATGCATAAGAGCCTCGTTTCATAGGTGTTTTCCCCTAGGATTTCTGCATTACAGGTTTTCTCTCTCATGCAGGGACATTTGTGTTGCTGAATTGCCTACAAATGTGTAACTGTAACACTTTTTTCGTGGGATAACGCGCGGTCGCGATCCAGTGTGCGGGAAAGCGGGAGGGGCGCGAGCGCTGGAGGGGAGGTTGTTTTGAGTTTGAGTAAGTAGTTCCGGTGATCGATAATCACTGCAAAGTATTGCAGCAAAGAAATAAGGGGAACAACAAACGACATATTTTTTTACGTACGAAAGGCTGTTTTTATTTGCGTATTTATCAGATAAAAATCGCATCACAAAAACAAAACGTACACGGCGGCAGGGTTGCGGAGAGGTTCTGCGTACTGCCCAACCCGTCTCCGCTGATTGTCTGCCCGAGCGCCTGTCCTTCCACTAGTCGCAGAATCTGCTCGGACAAGAGTCTTCCGGAACTCGACTGGCTTTTTACATCCACGCATTCTGAGTAAAAACGTCCCCACCCCAGAGTTGTCATGCAAATCTGCATGCCAAAAAAGTTCCTCATGCGGAGCTCCATGAGAGCCGCCTTCTAGTCGTTTTTTTGCATTTGTGATGCTAGAATCAGCATGATATGCTAGATCTGTGATGCTTCGGAAGTAGCTGAACAGGATTACACTACAGAGACAAGCTTGTCATGCGAAACAACCAAACCTGGTCGGGTTGTCTAGCAGATTTCCCATCTTTACTCTGGTCGTGTAGGGACATTTCTACTCAGGATACCGCGGTGGTGTCCTTCATAATCCCCATCTCCCGGCATCACATGCAAAAATGTCTGGGTCTGGAAGAATGCAACTTGTGATGCTGCATTTGGATGTCTAAAAAATTTGTGTTGCATGAGCAGCAAAAGGATTCTAATTTTGGCTACGCGAAGAGGGCATTTGTCATGCGGAACGGGCATCAAGAATCCCTCAAAAAACCTGTGACGCTAGGGCATGCATCACAGACGTCATGGCTCACGCAAACCGTGCATGACAAGTCTCAGAATCTTCCAGACCCAGACATTTTTGCATTTGATACCCGGACTAGGGTCGCGATCAGCTCCTTCAGCCCCCGCAGCACCTCGTTTTTTGCGTGGTCTGCCGCTTTCATCTCCTGCAGCATCCGTGCCATCTCTGCCATGCGCGAATTTGCCTCCGCCGGCATGAGCTGGGAAGAAGATGACCCATTCATCCCGTTATTTGTCGTGGTCAAGGTGACAGAAGATTGGTAGTTCTGCGTCGCTGTGATTGTCGTGCTTGAGGGGATTTGTGAGGAAGAAGATGCCGCTTGTATCGCGGGGGTCGCAGACTGGAGGGCACTGGAGCCGGAGGATTGGGGAGCTCCTGCGGAGGCTGTAGTAGTTTTAGTGATCATGTTGAAGAGTGGAAGTTGATTATGATTTGCACTTGCAGAATTCAAAATGCACGACCCTCAGGTGGAGCATGACAATGGATAAAAAGACACACAAAAGAATACGCGCAGCCGCTGCAGTCGTTTTTACGGTCGTCGAGACTTCGTGACTCCACAAAGTTTGTATCAAATGCAAATATGTCTGGGTCTGGAAGGATGCAAGGTTTGCCATGCACATTTTGCATGGCTCCTGATGTCTGTGATGCATGCCCTAGCATCAGAGATTTTCCGAGGGCTTCCTGATGCCTATACTGCATGAGAAATACCCTGTCGCTGTGGCAAAAACTGGACCTTTTTTCCTGTTCATGCAATACAGATTTATTCGTAGAATCCAGATCCAGCATCACAAGTTGCATCCTTCCAGACTCAGACACATTTGCATTGCATAGTTTGCACCTGGTCCCGATTCAGCCTCCCGTACCCCTTCCTCATCTCTTCTATTCTCGCTTATCGTATTTAAAAAAGTCCCCACCCCAGAGTTGTAATGCAAATGTGCATGCTCAGAATGTTTCTCATGCCGAGCCCCATGAGAAGCATGGTCTAGTCCTGTTTTGGGATTTGCCATGCTCCAATCAGCGTGATATACTAGATCTGTGATGCTGCTGAGCTAGCTCCAACAGCACTACACTACGAGTCCAAATTTGTCATGCAAAACAGCCACAACTTGTGGATTTGTCTAGCCGATTTCCCATCTTGACTATGGGGTGGGGACGTTTTTACATCGGATATCGCTTCGAAGGACTTTATCGTGAAAAACCCGAGGATTTGTTCCTCCGGGCTCGTCGAAGTGATCTTCCTCCTCAGCTTGACCACAATGGACGGCGGTGTGGAGGCCAGAATCTCCGGGCGAAACTCCAAATCGCCCTTCCCTACATCGATCAAGTGCTGCGTTCCCTCCGTACAGCTGTGCGCCACCTCCTTGTAACTCTTCTCAAATTCCTCTCTCGCCTTTGCATCACTGATGCCGCTGCTCACCGGCTGGACCTCTGGCGGCAAGGGGAGGAGGGCAAGGAGGGACTTCTTCGGGTCCTCATACGTGAATTGCTGTGGCGGCTGGTTTACGCCGCCAATCTTGAAGCTGTAGTAACTCCCCTGGGCGCCAAGGACCTAGAGGGGAGAATTGGTTTCGCACTTGCCTTCCGCTTAAGCACTCATGCAGACGTTCACGTCAAAATGTCCATTCCTTTGCATGTACGTCTTGTGCGCATGATAAAAAACGACATAGATACTATTACTATCGTCCAAATCCTGCGTAAAAAAGTAAAACCCAGCGAGGAATAAACACCCAAAAATATTCCATTGAGATTACCAGCAAGCTCCCCTTCGCAACAGTCACTTTTACGCCCGGTGGCCCTTGCATCCTCCCGTCTAGCCACACCCCGTTTGCGGATATTTCCAAAAATATTGCATCCCCATAAGCCTGCAGATAGCACAGCTTCTTCGGGAAGCGGTATCGTGGGCAAAAACTATTTCAGTCCCACACCTTTGATGCAGACTTTACTTAGCAGTACAAAGATGAGAGGAAAGAAACAAAAATTTCTGATGCTTCACACAGCAAGGGGAATAAAGATTATCAACGACTAAAACGACTACTTAACTTGCGTCTCCAGCATTACAAAAAAGTGTTCCGAGAGGACGTGTCCGCATCAAAAGTTGATAGTGAGACAGTTTCATCTTGTTCTCGCGAGGATAAGCAGTGTTTCAATTGCAGCACGTTCGATGCGTCCGATCCGAATGTAAATTGTTTACCGTCGGGTAGCGCGAACTTCAAAATCTGGTGCAATTGCGCGTCAGCAGACCCGGCAACTAGTGACGCCGAATTTGGTATTGCAAGGAGAAATATCCCCTCCCCATACTCGGATCGAGAATTTGTGTTGCTGTATTTGAGTACACAAGTCGACTTGTATTGCTAGAGGGGCAACAGACGCAGTTGCTCCCTCGTTTGTAGGCAATTTTTCACGCTGTTTCCCGTTTCCAGTTGCTTCCTGTCATGCTGAAAACGCAAGGCTTTCCCACGCCAGCCAGCACTACAGTCCGCATCTCTTCCTTTCTAGCCTGACAACGTGACAACTTGTGATCACAAATCATGCTACACAAATCTGCCTTTGAGTATAATGCGGAGGGGGATTTTTCCTCTTGATATTTGGGTCCGGTTTCAGGTAGCGTTTGGTCTGCCACGCTTCCTTTTTCAGCTGCCATTCCTTGAACAGCTTCACTTTGTCTGATAATTTCATTTTGCGAGAGCTGGAAGTTTTTTGATTTGTGCTACTGCTACGCATGACAGAAAGCATACACTCAACGTGAAGATTCTGCGTGGTAGTTGCAAACGCGGAAAAAAACAATCGTATTTACGGTCTGCCGTGCTCATCCAGAGATCCTCTAACTCCTTCATTTGCAATGTGTACTTCAGCACTTCTCGTTTTGCGTTGTCTAAATCCTGTACACTCCGTGTTCCAAGCCGCACGGAGGATTCCACCTGTGCCACGATCTGCTGTTTTGGCATCACTTCGGTGCGCAACTGCTGCAAGATCTTGGTGTAGCCCTGCTCCTCAAGAATTCTCTCCGCAGGGAAGGTGACGCACATGCGGAGCTTGGAGGCGAGCCTGATAGGATTTATTTTCATCCAGTTGTACTTTTTTTTTTCTCCAACAACATGTTTCCATTTTCCGATTGTAGCAATGTTTACCAGCGACTGCAAGAATAGACCACCCAGAAGTTGTAGATGCTGCTCTTTCTCGCCTCTTAGACGAGAATTTTTCTTTTCCAGATTGAATACTTATTTCGCGAGTTGTACAACTATACTCTAGCGTCCTCGCACTGTCCGCAGCATTGGCCGGATCTACGCAAGCGACCCAAGTTGTCCTGCAGCTTCCCGCATGGCTCTCCATCAAGAGTTGCCCCAGATAGGAAGTTTGGAAGACGGGCTGATAATATTTTTCTTTTGAGAAAGTAGCGAAATCCGCAACAGAAAATCGCACTGCGCTGCACATTTTCGCATGACAATTGATCGCTTTTCATTCGATAGTAAGTACCTTGCTCTCCGGTAGCAGCGGCTTGTTCCGCCCCACGCTCGCTCTCACCAGACCGTCTACGCAAGTTGAGAACAGCTCAACGGACCTGTTTAGGTACTCCACCGGCGGCTTTCCGACTAACGCGTCCCACCTCGCCGGACCTCCACCCGGGGTAGAAGAGGAGGTACTGCTAGAAGTTGTACTGCCAAAATCCCCTTTCCCACTGCTAGACGCGAAATCCACAAACGTCACCCGACTCAGCTTCGTCGGCCTTCCGGTGCCGGGCGTGTAGGGCTGGATTGCGAGATCAATCTGCACGAAGAGAGTGTTGGTTTCGGACGACAGAGGCCGCGTGGCGGGGTCTGCAGTATTTATTTCATGTGGACGACGATCATGGTGGTTTGTTTGATGCGTTGCGATGATTCTACTCGTAGTACTTTTGTTTATATGATACTTAACAATCACTTTGATACCTACACCTAGTACGAGTTGTGCATCACGAAGTAGACAGAAATCGTAGCCATAGGCGCTCACGCACGTGACGTACAAAATAAACCCCGTGTATTTATTTATCAAGCAGTAGCAAGTAAAGTACCTCCCAGCGCCTGCTTCTGCTTCGCGAATGCTACCGCTTCTTGAAACCCGGCTAGATCCACAATTGGGATTTTGGTCATATGAAATGCAAAAGTGTCTGGGTCTGGAAACTTGTGATGCAAGGAAGAGAATTATAGGGAGCACACTGTATTGCGCTGCCAAGCATGACAATTTTTTTCGTGTTTCTGAAACTGGATTGCCTACATTCGCATGAGAAATTGCGTTTTTGCATGACATGCAAGAGGAGCTCTCTGCGGCCACGCAACACAGAGTCCAGAGTCATGTCAGACTAGCATGACAAACCTCGCGATCTCCCAGACCCAGACATACTTGCATTTGATAGGTCAGCCCGGAAACCAACATTCCCAGTTGCCCATGCTCCAGCAACGTGAACCCATCACCCGCAAGAACATATCCCATGTAAAAACATCTCCACACCAGAGCCAAGATGGGGATCTCGCAACACAAGTCGAGAAGTTTTTGGGGCCTAGCATGACAAGTTCGTCTCTTTATTGCAGTTGTGCAGTTTAGCAAGTACAGCCGCAACACAAATCCATCTACTCATCCTGTCAACAGCATTACAAAGTGCAAAACGGGATTGGACAAAAGGCCTTTCATGGGGATGCGCAATACAAATCTTCCTGTAGCTGCATGACAACTCTGGGGTGGGGACGTTTTTACTCAGAATAGAACACTACCCGCACTCACCGTGGCTCCACCAGGGCCGCCTGTTAGTACAGCATCTTCGGTCACTTTCAGCAAATCCCGGACCGAACTGTCAGATACGTCGTAACAGGAAAGATTTACCAAAATTCGGTTCCGCTTGCCCACCTCGCAGTGCTTCACTTCTTCAAAAAGCTGCTGGGCGAACTTCTCGGATAAAGACGTGAACGTCGTTGATTTCCCGGCGTTGAAGTTCCCGTAGGTGACATATCAGCAGGAAAAATCCTCCCTCCCCATATCGAAAACGAAATTTGTGATGCTGTATAAAAAAAACAGTATTTGAGTACAACACAAATGGACTTGTATAGCCAGAAGGCAAAGAGGCGCAGTTGTTGCCTCGTTTGCAGGCAGTTTGTCATGCTGTTTTCCGCTTCTACCTGCCTTCTGTCATGCTGAAGATGCAAGGCTTTCCCACGCAGCCCAGAACTACAGTCCGCATCTTTATCTCTTCCCTTCTGGCATGACAAAGCTGATTCGTGGCCACAAATCTGCATCACGGATTTCCGGTTTGATATGGGGAGGGGGGATTTTTCTTCTTGATATAACAATGGTTCCGTTCTGCCCCTGCAAAGCTTCCACGAGCAACTTCGGCCCAATGTCGTCGAAGATCATGTCGTCAGACTTTTGCTTGTTGTAAGAGGAAGAAGTCGCAGCTTGCAAATTTTCCGCGTCGAAAAGCCGGTCGAATTCAAACTTCTGCGCGTCTATTTGCACTTCCCGCGACGTGTTGGCCTGTGAACAAAGTGATAAAATGCATTGCAAAAGCCCAGAGTAGAAGTCCTGCTCAAGGACCAAATTCATTGTCATGCCAAGAGCAAGAATGACTCACAACTGCCTGGAAGCTGCTCAAGATCAAAAAAGTACCTTTATTATCCCACTCCCGACCGCCCCCGCAGGACTGCTCCCGGGTCGAAATCTGACCGTCACTCTTATCGGCAACGTGTCCTGTGTAAAAACGTCCCGACACCATAGACCACGGGAAATCTGCTACACAAATCAACAAGCTTTGGTTGTTGGGCATGACAAGTTTGGCCTCGTAGTATGGTCCTGCTTGGCTACTTCAGCAGCATCACAGATCTAGCACACCGTGCTTATTGGAGCATGACAACTTCCAAAACCCGACTAGAAAGCGCTTCTCATGGGGCTCCGCATGAGAAACATTTATTTCTGCATGCAGGCTTGCATCACAACCATGGGGCGGGGACGTAGTTTTTACTCAGGATATAACGGCTTCGTCCCGTCCCCGGGCGGACTTACGGGTCCAAATTGCACGGGCGCTGCTGGCGTGCTGGCCGCGGTAACCGGCGCCGGCAGGCCCGAGTTTGGCGGCACCTGGGTCGGCGGCTGCGTCTGCAGGGCGGACTGCTGCTGCGGCGGGGCGGCGGGGGGTGCGAGAATGCTCGCGTCACGGTATTACAGGGAAAAGTGCCCCCCACTCCTGAAATTGCAAAAATTTGTGATGCGAAGTTTCCAAATGAAAAGTCTTTGCCATGCATGAAAGCAGTATGAATCTTCTTTCTGATGCAGAGTCTAGGCGTGTATCGCATCGCTTGCATGACAAGCGCCGCTCTTGCTGGGGTCTTTATTTACAATACAAATTTTTGCTATTCACGATTGGAAACCTGTGATGCTGATAGATGCAAGAGGGCGAATGTTTCATTTGGAAAGGTTTGAAATACAAATGCTCCCAAGTTCGGGGGTAGGGGCATTTTTCATTGTAATACACGGTACTCCACGTTAGACGGAACGGGCCTGACCGCATCGTAGACCGACGGAGGCTATCCACTGCAAATATGTCTGGGTCTGGAAGGTTGAACCTGTATTGCATGTCTCGCATTCCTAAAAAATCTGTATTGCATAAGCAGCAAATAAAGCGCCACACTTTCGTCATGCAAAAGCGCAGTTTGTAATGCGTTCTGCGCATGAGGAAGCGTTTGAAACATTTGTCATGCTCCGCTGCACTTACAGGCACAGTCAATCATGACCATTCAGCATTACAAGTTTCCAGACCCAGACATATTTGCATTTGATAGAGGCACGATGGATCCAGCCGGAGCCGGCGCCGCAGCCGGCTGGGTTTGCGCAGTTGGAGAGGGCTGGGGTATAAAGCAAATGAGAATCTGCAATTCAATTAAGTACGGACAACTGGAGCTGCTACTGTTATCTGCTTTTGCATCCCAAACGTTTCTTACACTACTGTCCGCTGCATGACAAGGGAACTCCCTCGGAAGAAGAACGCCTCAAGTAGTACCTGCTGACTCTGCGGCACGCTCGACGGGTAGCTGGGTTGCTGACCACCCGGAGCGGGGCCTGGAAGCGGCGGTTGCTGCGTCGTCGCTCCATACGGATTTGGCGGCTGCGGTGGCTGCCCCCCGTACGGATTCTGGCCCGGCGCACCAGCCCCGCCGGGCGGCTGTCCGTAGGGATTTGGTGGAGGTTGCTGCTGCTGCTGCTGCTGCCCGTACGGATTTGCAGCTGGCTGCGGCTGCTGTCCATACGGAATATTCGCTGGTGGCTGCTGTTGCCCGTATGGATTTAGCGGTTGCTGCTGCTGCCCATACGGATTTTGCGGCCCTGGAGCCCTGGCAGGGTCATACGGCGCTGGCGGCTGTTGCTGCTGCTGCGCCCCCGTGACAGGTGGTGGGGCCACACCAGCTCCGTACGGGTTTGGTCCCTGCTGTTGCTGCGGCGCACCACTGCCTCCTCCGTATGGATTGTTCACCGGCTGTTGCTGCTGTGACGGCGTACTACCATAGGAAACCGGTTGCGGTTGTTGTATGAATGTGCGCAACTCCCCCTCCCCCTCATTTGTCATGCAAAATGCCCAACTCAGGCTGTACCTCTTAGCACTGTTTGCATAACAAGTTCTGGCAGCCCAAATAGCACTACAATCGGCTGCAAATTTGTCATGCAAAACCTGCATTTTCGCTGGCGCTTGTATTGCCGTTCATGCCATACGAATGAGGGGAAGGAGGAGTTGTGCACTGTCATATGCTGCTGCGAATTATTATAGGGGTTTTGCCCGTAACTGCTCGCGTAGCTCGTGGACGGTTGTTGCTGCAGGGAGCTGGTGCTGTAGATCGACTGTTGCTGCGGTTGTCCTCTATCGCCGGAAAAAACTGTTTCACTGTAAACTGGTAATGCAAAATGTGCATCGCAAAAGCGCTTGTCTTGCTACACATGCACAACAGGATGTTTTTAGCTGTGTTTTCCAATAGGAGCCCCCCATGATAAATTTTCTCTGTCATCATGTAGAGCAAACCTGTGATGCAAAATAATTTGCAAAATCCCATACAGTGAAACACTTCTTTCGTACCATATCCTCCATAAGGACCGTATTGCGGACTGCTCGTCGTTCCGCCATACGGATTTTGCGCCGCCCCCGCAGCCGGGGGAATCAGCGACGCAGGCCGCGCGCCTCCACCGAGCTGATTCATCATGCTGATGCTTTATTGCGGTGCAACAGCAGTAGAACAACAAATCTAGAAGCCGGCGGGGGTTGCTTGTTCTATGTCCCAGAGGTGCACCAGCACCCTCGTCGAAGCAAACAGGCTAAGACGAGCAGACGGGATAGTACGCAACAGCCTCCAGCAGTCCCAACATCACAGGAGCCATTTTCAACATCTGGCTCTTCAAGTCAGTCCTGACTTCTCTGGCGCAGCCGCAAGGTACTAAAGTCCTCGCTTACGGCTGCTAGGAGGGCACTTGTGCCATCATCTTCTTCGACAGGGTCCTATATTAGAGACGATGAATTTCAAAATTGATTAAAAGTAGAAACCATCACGTCGCGGCAGCTGCACACGTGCATCATCATGTTGTTGTGAATTTTGATTGGCAGTCGAAGAAGTCACAAAAATTCAGTCTGCAGAAAGCTTCAGAAGATCTAGTGGCACTCTCCTTCGTTCTACTTCACTGCCCACGTCGTGTGGTGGTGGACGTGGAAAATAAAAGTGCCTCGTTTGGGAGAAATGTTCCCTGCGCCTTAGTGTAATACAACGAGGACGAGAACCACAAACCGCTATACCTATTCGCACTCCACAAGATCAACAAGACGACCGTCGCAGAAAGAAGTAATATTACTCGTCACGCAGATTTGACTTCTCTATTCTCTTCGGCAAGAAACACAACTGGAGGCTGTAGAAATTTCCCGGCGCTCCTAAAACGCATACTGTAGAAGTATACTCACTCAACAACTTGATGCTGGGGGAGGAAGCACTTCACCTCCGGCACGGCGTGTGCATGATTTCACAAAAGTGTCGAGAAGTAGATCTAGCAATGCCCTTATCACGACGAAAATTTTCCTTCATGATCAAAAACATCCTCTTCTCAACAGGAACAGTTTTGTTTGCCTAAATTCCCCTCATTCGTCGGACTTGGTGCTCTTACCCCCAACGTCTGCCCCGCGGAACCACCACCGCCGGGGGTGGTGTTTGGTAGCAGTTCCGGCTCGGACAAAATCGACTCTGCGAGTTCCGCGAAGGCTTTCGAGACTTGCAAATTTGTTCTCGCGGACGTTTCCAAGTACGCCATGGCGTGCGAATTCGCGAACTCCTCCGCTTCCTCCCTGGACACTTGCCTTTCCTCGAGTAAGTCCACTTTGTTCCCGACTAACAATAGTTTCGCTTTCTCGTGGGTGGAGTGCGCCCGGACCTCCTGTATCCACTTTGGCAAGTTGTCGAAAGTCTCCTTTTATTAACTGTAAAAATGTCTGGGTCTGGAAGATTCTGACACTTGTTATGCACGTTTTGCATGAGCCCTGATGTCTGTGATGCATGCCCTAGCATCACAGAATTTTTAAGAGCTTCTTGATGCCTATTCCGCATGACAAATGCCCTCTCCGCGTAGCAAAAACTACATTTCTTTTGGTACTCGTGCAATACAGATTCTTCTGGAATCCACATGCAGCATCACAAGTTGCATTCTTCCAGACCCAGACACTTTTACATTTGATACCTTTTGGGTGGTGTCGAACGCGAGTATGACCCCCTGCGCACCGCGGTAGTAACTGCTCGTCATGGTCCGAAACCGCTCCTGTCCGGCGGTGTCCCACACGGCGAGCTTAACCTGTTTTTGCTGCAGGGGCAGGGTTTTCGTGCGGAAGTCCACGCCAATGGTCGCCAGCTGCCGCTCGTTAAACATGTCGTCGCAGAAACGGAGCATCAAAGAAGATTTCCCGACGCCAGAATCGCCGACGAGAAGAATTTTGAACAAATGATCGTAGGGTTGCATTTTTTGTGAAAGTACGTACGACGAGAAGCGGGGGCTTCTTTTATTCAAGTATGTTTTAATATTGCTGCACTCACTCTCGCTTCTTGAGGTAGGACAACAAAACTACTTCAAATGACGACTGTGACCTGACTGCTTCAGGCCTCTGGCCGGCCGTTCGAATCTTTTGGGCGGAACCATGATAACGCGCCAAGCAGGCCAAGCTCGCCGAATAGCATCATGCACTGCTGGTGCCCTATTCGACCTGAATCCGAGACACGGGCGCGACGTGAGGGAACACTGCGACGAAGCGATGTGCCGTGATGAGTAATTGAGAAACTGGTCGGCGCAAAGGCAGGAGTGCGAACCGAAGCGGATGGGCCAGGCAAGAGTGCGCGACCCGGGAGGGCGGCAATGGTGTCCAGCTAATCGGAGCCGCGCGCCCCGGACTCGCGGCTGGCCCCGCCCGCGGCCGGCGGGGCGCTGAAGGTAGGCCCATCCGGCGCCACGTGCGCGGGCGTACCAGCGCAACGCCCGGCCGCACCAGCCAAAGCAGCAAGGCATGGGCATGCCCGGGGGGCGATCGCCCTCTAAGGCGGCGCCGCAGGGCACCGCGCGTTTCCCCTGCCCCCGCGCAGCCCGCCGTGGATTGCGATAGCCCCGGGACACGCCATCCCGGGATACAGCGTCGGCGTTGCTCTCTCCGCCCCGGGTAGTTCTTCGTGGCCAATGTCGAGATTCATTAGTCCAAGTGCAATTTTCGCAAAAGTAAACAACTTTCTGTGCCAACAGTGGCACTTGTAACAACCGGGCCAATCCTTTGGGTCCCATGTGGTCTCGATATAAAGCGGAGTAGCTGCGCCATCACCTCTTCGTGAGTTGTACGAACAGTAGAACTTTCCTCGCAAAAACGTTCATGAAAAATTAGTATCCTGTATTTCGCTACCAACAAAAAATAAACTTTGATGTATCACCTAAAGGTTAAAACCAAACGCACACCATGCCCGCTCAGCCCATCACATCTCGACTTCCCCTCACAAATCCGAATCTTCGGAGTCATCATCATCGTCTACTTCCGCATCTTCGATTTCAATTGTTTCCTCGACCGGCACCTCCTTTCTCGCCTTTTTCCCGTCCTGCTTCTTCTTTCCGCCCCCAGCCGGCTTCTGCTTCATATCCTCGGTTACTTTCTTCTTGCTGCTCTTCGTCCCCTTGTCACTAGTTTTCACCCCGTCCTCCTTGTCGTTATTTTTCGTCCCTTTTTTCTCCGTTCCTTTTCCGTTCTTGTCCCCATCGTCGGTTTTCTTGGCCGCCGCCGAGTTCTTCGCATTGCTGGCGTTCTTGCCGCCCGAAGATGAAGTAGATGTTGCTGTTATATCAGACTTGATGTTCTCAGCCCGTAGTTCTTCTCCTCCTGCCAGCAATTTTGCTTCCTCCGCAGCTTTATCAAATGCAAAAATGTCTGGGTCTGGAAGAATGCAGATGTTCGTCATGCTGTTTTTGCATGGCGCAAAATCTCTGTCATGGAAGCCCTAGCATCACAGATTTCGAGAAGCTTCCGCATTGCTTAATCCGCATGACAAATCCCCCACGTTGGTGACAGGAAATGGGCGCCTTTTGCTGCCTATGCATGAGAGATTTGTCTGTGTTGTGAAATGCGCATCACAAGTTCGCATCCTTCCAGACCCAGACATATTTGCAATGCATAAGCTTTCTCCTTTTTCTCCAGCATCGGCATCCACACCTTCTTGTACCACTCCACAAACACCCGCAACCCGAACGACAGGGGCGTCCGGGGCTGGTACCCGAGCAACTTCTTCGATTTTTTCAAATTATGAAAATGAAAAATCACCCCTCCCCATATCAAAATTGATGCTGAAGCTGATTTGTTACCACGTTGCCATGCTAGAAGGGAAGTAGAGATGCGGAATGTAGTACTGGCTGGCGTTGGAAGGCCTTGCGTCTTCGGCATGACAGGAGGCAACTGGAAGCAGAAACAGCATGACAGATTACGATTACCTGCAAGCGAGGCCGCAACTCCGTCTACTCTACTTCGCTTTCTAGCAATACAACTCGATTTGTGTACACAAATCCCGCATCACAGATTTCCCTTTCGGTATGGAAAGGGGGGATTTTTCGTTTTGATACAAATCCGCGTAGGTTTGCAGCACGTCGCCCTTCGCAGCGGTTTTCTTCACGTATCGTGTGTAAAAACATCCCAAAACCAACGTTAAGATGGCGATTCTGCTACACAAACCGACAGGTCTTGTCTGTTTCGCATGACAAGCTTGGGCTCGTAGCGTTTTGTCCTGTTTAGGTAGTTGTGCCGCTGCATCACAAATCGGCCTTCTTATCCTGACTCCAGCATGCTGACAAACCGCCAGATGGCAAGAAAAAGTAGTTAAAGTGCTCTTTATCACCCTGCGCATGAGAAACATTGCAGGCTTCTTGCACCAGAGTTGCACGACGAGTCTGGGGGGGATTTGGACGCTTTTGCACTGGATATCGCGAACTTCAAGTTCAGTTTCCTATCCAGGAAAAAAAGTGTGTAAGTGTAACTTTCTTTGAGGAACAGCATCACAAATTTGCTCTGCATGACAGAGAAAACCTGTCATGCGTGGCTTGTAAGGGAAAACACACAGGAAAAGAGAACTTCATGGCTGTCTGGCATGACAGGTGTAACTCTGTTGCGTGTTTTGCATTACAGATTTACACTTACACAGTTTTTTTCTTGCATATTTCCCCGTGTAATTGTACTTGGCGTAGATCTATCGATTACAAAAGCATCGTACAACTTTCTAGCAGCAATTGCATGACAATTTTTTTCCGGGAAGATGAAAAAAAAAATGCAACTTGTTGCTATGCTGAATTAGAAAAAGGAAATATGTCTGTATTGCACACAAAAGTGCAAGAATTCGTACGATGCTTTGCCAGAATTCATAAGATCTTCTCCCGCTTCTCCAGCGATTGCTTGTACTCCTTCTTTATGCATTGCAAACATGTCTGGGTCTGGAAGATTAAAACTTGTCATGCTGTCTCTGGAGTCGAAAAAAATCTGTATTGCATGACCCGCAAGAGAAGTCCGCTTTGTGTTACTTACGCGGAAAGGGCATGTCTCATGCGGAATACGCATCAGGAAGCCCTCTAAAAATCTGAGATTCTAGGGCCATGCATCACAGACATCATGGGTCATGGAAAATATGCATGACAAACCTGGCATTTTTCCAGACCCAGACATATTTGCATTTGATATTCTTTTTCGCCTTGATTTTCGATTGTTGCAGCTCCATCTCCGCCTTGCGCCGTTGCTCCTTCTTCTCCTGCTGCGCCACGCTCGGGTAGTACGGCCGCCCGTTGCGCATGATCGGGCCTACCTGCCGCTCCTCAGCCTCGTCCGCATCCAGCATCGCCTGCAGCTCGTCCGTGTCAAATGCAAAAATGTCTGGGTCTGGAATGTTGCCGGGTTTGTCATGCATATTTTGCATGACCCAGGATGTCTGTAATGCATGACCTAGCGTGGTCAGAGATTTTATCATAGAAGGCTTCGCGATGCCATTTCTGCATGACAAATGCCCTCCCCGCGTCGCACAAACTAGACTCCTCTTGCTAATCATGCAACACAGTTTTTTTTTAGAGTCCAAAGTTAGCATCACAAGTTGCATTCTTCCAGGAGACCCAGATGACATTTTTGCATTTGATAGTCCTGCAGCGCCTGCAGTTCCTGCTCGTACTCCCCGTCGCCGACGCCCGGCGCGCCGATCACGTATCATGTGCGACAACGTCCCCACCCATTACTATCTATTATATTCATGCGAAAGTAGAGGTCTACAGAGGATAAAAGAGAGGTGGCCGAGAGGTCAAAAAGAGGCCGACAGAGGTAAAAAAGAGGTCGACCGAGGTGAAGAGGTGGCGCGGGGGGTCTTTCGAGAGGGAGACCGAGAGGTGGCGCGAGTATAGCCCGCCGAAGGGTCCACTCTTTAGCGCCGCTGAAGCGCCTCGGAGGGTGCAGAGAGGTGGAAAGGAGGGCAAGCGAGAGGTGGGCAGAGGTGCCGAGAGGTTGCGCGAATAAGGCGGGACCTCTTGCGCACCCTCTCGGCGACCTCCCGGCCACCTCTGTAGCCCTCTGCCCGCGAGTATAGCCCGACTATTAGCGGGGACCTCCGAGAGAGGTCAAAAAGAGGGGCCGCGAGAGGGCCCAAAAAACCCGAATCCGCCCGGCACGCGGCCGATTTTCCTGGGGCTTTGTCATCGTGCAGGCCCACACCCTCTCGCGCCATCACCTCGCGCACCCTCTCGCGCACCCTCCCGCGTCAACCTCCCGCGCGTGATCAAAAAAGAACAGCGCGGCCCCCGTTCTGCTTCGGTAGGCACCTACGCCGAGGCGGTTTCGCTTCGCCCCCAAGCTTCGCTGCAGCTGCTCCCTGCGCATAGCGCCGGAAGGCGCGGGAAGCGCGCAGGAGGCCCAGCGGGCTGAGATGGCGCAACCCGCGCCAGTATTTCCCTCGACCTATCACGTCGCGCGCAAAGGCATGGCGCTGTGGCCCGGTCCGCAAATAGTCCTGCCCCGCCACAACAGCCGCTCGCCCCGGCGTCAGCCGGGGCATGGCTGGTAGTTGTAATGCAAATGCGCATGCTGCTGAGAATGTTTCTCATGCGGAGCCCCATGCCGAGCATTTTCTACTTGTGTTTCGGAATTTGTGATGTTCCAATCAGCATGCCGCGCTAGCTCTGTGATGCTGCTGAACTAGCTGAACAGGATTACACTACGAGGCTCAACTTGTCATGCGCAACAGCCATAGTGTGTTGATTTGTCTAGCAGACTCCCCAATTTGGCTACGGGGTGTTTAAGTTTATGTACTGGATGAGACCAAAATAAGGCACAGAGAAACTATGGGGTGGGGACATTCTTACGCAAGATATCACGTTGGTGTTGTTCACAGTGGTGCCGTTGCTGGCGAACACCGCCGCCTCGATCGTTTTCACGAAATCCATCAAAGACATCGGATCGGAATTCCCGAGATTGAACACCTCCTGCACGACCTCCGTATCACAGGAAAAAAGCGCTACAGTTACACATTGTGTTGCAAGACCGGCAACAGAGACAACCTTTTTCATGCAGGAAATGCTTGGGAGCCTCGTTTCCTTCCTGTTTCCCCTTATGATCTTCGCATTACAAGTTCTCTCTGCCACACAGAGAAAATTTGTGATGCACAAACTCCAACAAATATGTAACTGTAACACTTTTTTCTCGTGATACTCCGGGTCGGTTGTACAGTATTGCACGTGCTCGTCCTCGGGCGGGATTCTCATGTTTTCAAACATCGGCGTGGGCAAGGGCCCGCACCAGTTTTCCGACTTCCGCGTGATGTACTCCAAACTCCGGTAAATCCCGTCGACAATGTCATCGACGTAGGTGAAGTCGCGGCTCGCTTTCCCCTTGTGAAAAATCTGGATCGGGTTTTTCTTCATTTTCGGGTTCAAAATTTTGTCCACGAAGTACCAACTGCAAAAATGTCTGGGTCTGGAAGATTGCCATGTTTGTCGTGCATATTTTGCATAACCCGCGATGCCTGTAATGCGTGACCTAGCATCACAGATTTTTAAAGAGCCTTCTGATGCGTATTCCGCATGAGAAACGCCCACTCCGAGTAGCACAAACTGAACTCGTCTTGCTGGTCAGGCAATACAGATTTTTTTTTACCTTCCAGAGACAGCATCACAAGTTGCAACCTTCCAGACCCAGACACTTTTGCATTTGATACGAAGTCAAAGTACGCCATGTCCGGCCGCCCATAGGTGCCGTACACGGTGAAAAACCGCAGGCCGACGGACTGGATCTCGTACAAATTCGCGTAGGTTTTCGCGGTCAGTTCATTCATCCGCTTCGTCGTCGCGTAGAGCGACGCCGGGCTGTCCACCGGGTCGGACTCGGCAAACGGGACCTTCGTGTTTTTCCCGTAGACCGAAGAAGAAGAGGCGTAGACCAAGAGGATTTCCTGCAAATGCCGCTCCTCCTCCTCCCACTCCTCTTCCACCCGTTTAAGTTCCCCAGTCCTCTTCGACATTTTTTCCTTCTTGTTCACGATCATGCGTGGCTCTCTCCGCTTGTTCTCCTCCCGAATCGCCTCCAGCAAGTCCATATCAAATGTGAAAATCTCTGGGTCTGGAAGATGATTGCGAGATTTGTCATGCATATCCCGGGTCACGCAAATGGCGTCTGATGCAGGCAAAAGCATCACAGGTTTTGAGCACGCCTCATGATGCCTGTCCCGCATGAGAAACTTCCTACTTGCGTGCCAAGAAGTGGACAGCTTTTGGCGCTCATGCAACGCAAATTTTTGTGTGTTCCAGAGTTTGCATCACAAGTTTGTACTCTTCCAGACCCAGACATATTTGCATTTGATAGTCCACAAAACACTCCACATTGTTCCGCACGTATTCCTGCGGTGCCTCCAAACTGTACCTCACCCCCGCCTCCGTATGCATTGCAAAAGGATCGATTGCACTCGGAGAAATTGCAGTTCCGCATGACAAATAAGCTTGTTCTGTTTCTGATTCTGTACCTAATTCTCCATGAGAAGTTTCGACTTTTCCTTCTGGGAAAACTTGTGGTCATGGAACTTGTACTAGTACAACTACAATCTTCCCTTTGCAATGCATATTGCGCAGCCAGGTGCAAAACGTGCGTCACGTTGAAGGCCTGGAAGATGTCCTTCAAAAATTTCCGGTCGCACACATCCCCATCGTACAGCGGGAACGTCTTGGTCAGGTGAAACGTTTTATTCAAAACCTCCGTGCCCGGCTTCTGCTCGCTAATCCGCTTGCCCCGGTGGCGAATGTTTTTCCCCGCCTGTTTCGCGGCCGCTTTCGCTGCGTTGATCGCTTCTGGCTCTTTCTCCTTGCTCTTCCGCTTTCCCTCGATGTGGTCCAGCTGCCGCTGCAGCGCGCTCACCCGGGCTATCAAAGTGAAAAAAGCCTCCACCCCATACGGAAAACGAAATTTGTGATGCTGTATTTCATTCAGTACACAAATCGACTTGCATTGCCGGAAGGCCAAGGGCCGCAGTCGTGGACTCGCTTGCAGGCAATTTGTCATGCTGTTTCCCACTTCCAGCTGCCTCCGGTCATGCTGAAGATGCAAGGCTTTCCCACGCCACCCAGCACTAGAGTCCGCATCTTTATTTCCCTTCTAGCATGACAAAGCTGATTTGTGGTCACAAATCAGCATCACAAATTTCCGTTTTAATATGGGGATTTTTCACTTTGATACGGGCTTTTTTCAGGTCCACGTCGTAGTAGGAGTTGAAAGAGTCCAAACCGACCACCTTATAGTGGTTCTCGATAGCAAGTTTCATGGTGTGGTACCCCACGAAGCCGGCCGCGCCGGTGATCAGAACGACCGGGGCTTGGAGCACCATGTTAGTACTTCCTCTCGCCGGTGGTCAAGCTTATGAGTAACTAAAAAGTTCTGCGAAAGAAACACAATCAAGATTGAAACAGTGTCACATCCCAGAAGCAGATCCGAGTTTGTTGGTCGTGGTCCTAACAGAGGCTAGAAGGCCAATGGCCGACCAAGATGTGGTCGAAGCTGAAGTTATTGCCAATTGATTTCACTGAAACTCCATCCCCATGTAGTTGCCAAGATGTTGATCCTGCAGAAACAGCCTGACTGCTGGACAAAGACTGACAACTACACCGACTGGTGAACAGAGCGAGAAATATATAAGGACTAGCGAAGACGCAAATGACAGGTCTGCATCGCAAAAAGTTTCGACAAGTGGGAAATAAATGCGTAACCAGCAAGAACTACACGGCCAAACGAAACAAGAATGAACTCCGAACAAAACGAAAACAGCGCATGAAATAAAAAATGTAGAACAAATAAACCGGGGCCGCTTGGTGTCATCCAGCATTCTGACAAGCCTCCTGCTTCGGCTTGCCACAGTGAAGTGTTCGCTGTCTTCGTCTCTTCGTCGGTACTTCTCATCTCTTCCCGGGTCGACGTTTGTTATCGCCCAGTAAAGAACAAGTCTCAGAAGATCATCAAGGTGTAGAAGTCAGTGACTGATCATAAAACAAGAGTCTCAACGACCTTATCCAGATAGCGCTTTACGGAAAAATCGTGTTATCCGGACAAGGTTTTTTACCAACCTTCAACTGTGGCTCACAGCGGAGGTTGTAAAAAAAATCGTAAAAAAAATCGTACAACTAGAACCATTGTACTTCAAATAGAAATACAACCTCGGCCAAACTATAATACCTTGCCCAGCTAAGTAATACGTACAACTCTAGCAGCGTAGACAGAGATATTAAGTTGCGACCACGACCTCGTCCCTAGGCTTGATGTTCTAGCATACTTTTAAGTCGGCGCTGTGTTCTCATTATCAGAAGCCCATCCTTGGGAGGTGGATTTAAGTATATAACCAGCTAGAAAAAAGATACATCCGCCGGGAGCCTCTTCTGTTTCAGAAGAAGAGAATCCTAGCGGAAAAAAAGTTCGCTATACAGTCGCGTCGTATGTGGTACAGTAATTCGAATTTCGGCTTCTATTCTTAGTGCTTTCACTTCCCCAAACAGTACCTCTAGACTTAGTAAATACTATTTTCAAGAACGAAGAAGTACTAAAACCCCCAGTGAAGATTGTGTGCTTGGCTTGTTCAATCCCAAATTTTACAAGTTTTTTCTTGCACTGACAGCACCTGGTACTTACACCACGGCGCTGAAGTTTTTCGGATCAAACCGCAGGAAACCCGCGTGCAGGGCTGTCATGGAGAAATAACGGTGTCGATTTTTGTAAAGCATACCAAGAACTTCATCTGTAAAGTTGTCTTTCGTACCGAAGATAGCAGTTTACCGTGGTGCAAACTTTACAACATGCTACTCATTTCTCGCAGAGGCTACGTCAGCAAATTTTTGAAAACATAGAGGTTCTAGTATAGTAGCGGCTGAAAAGAGTCTTCGTGTGCTACCTAAAGATACCTCTCGTTCAAAAAGAGGAGAGTTTTTTTTTCACCGTCTGAAAATATTTGACAGGGAAGAAACTCTCATCCAATTTGTTTTTTTTGTAGCGCGGGCTACTGAAGATATTTATTTTTGCGGAATTCCACCAGTCCTACATGTAGAACTATTTTCTAATTAGACAGGACATATTCCGCGGGTGGGCCTACCTCCGGATAATTTGCTCAGCTAGACGATGTACATGTACAACCATGCTTCAGAGGCATGAGCAGTTGCATCGTGAGCTTGCCGAACAGATTGTAAATACTCCGAAACAAGGTCATGGGGCCACTTTAATTGTCATAGCGACTCAATATGCGACTATACTTATGACCGCTCTACTGCGTTTTTGACATGACGCAACGTGTCAAAGAGCAAAAAGTGTGGTCCATAGTACGTAGTATGCGTTCGTAAAAAAATATCCACAGAAGTAGTTTAATACTCGATGTAGTTGCACCGCTGCCAGCTGCTACAGTTGCCAACACCAGCACCCAATTTTCAAATTTCACTTCCTACATATTTAGAGATTGGTGTCCGATCTGCTTGGAGCAGGAGCAGTCGGAACATTTTCACCTTTTTTCACTTTCTAAAGTACGAATGCCTTCGGTTTTGCTCTTTCATAGGGATTTCACAGCATCATTTATTTCGGATGGTCTTGTATAGTACAGTCGAAAAGTATGTTTTGAAGTACTGTATACTTTTTGTAGACTTTCGACTACCAGGATCACAGCACACGACCAACGTAGTTTTCTATACACACGCGTGCGAATAATCTTCCATTATAGCAAAAAGGCCTATTGCGGCCTCCCGGTTTGATCTGGATTTCACCTTGCTGTCCTCGTTGTTGATTCTATCGAAAATAAGAAAAGCTGTGTTCTCCTCCATAGAGCTGCTCTACTGTGAGGACAATTTGGTCCTCCCGATTATACTGAAGTTAACGTCTTCACGAGAGGAGCTGCGACAAAAGATTTTTGATTTTAGTGGTATTATTCATTGCTAGTCCTACTACTTCTGGCTTGATGTCCATCATACAAGAATTCCAAATGGGACGAGTAAATCATGTAGTGATAAACGTAAACCTAAACTGTCTTCATTATCTCCCCTCTGAACTACATCAAGCTCAACAAGAGGTTCCTTATCCCATGTAGGTGGTCGAAGTGGTGTTCCCCCCGGCGTTATACCAGGACGAACTCGAGCCTGATTTCTCATGCGCCCGATCGCCCGAGTTGTACCAGGTGCGGCTCTTCCCCTCCCACCTGCTGTCCGGCTCGGCGCGGTTGGCACTGCTGTTCAATCGAATGCAAACATGTCGGGGTCAGTAAACAAGTTGCGAGACTTGTCATGCGAATTTTCCATGACCCATGAGGTGTGGAGTGCGGGACCCAGCATGACAGATTCTTTGAGGTCTCCATCAAGCCTATACTGCATGAAAAAAAAGCTCCCTCTCGACCTGGTCAGAAGGGAACAACTTTTGGCCCTCATGCAAGACAGATTTTTGCATGATCCAGATTTAGCATGACAAGTTGCAATCTTCCAGACCCAGACATGTTTGCAATCCATATGTCCCATCGCCGCTCTCGGGTGTCGTCATCGCGGGACGCGGACCCCCACTTCTGCCCGGACGAAGGGTAGTTGTAGTCTGTTATATTTTTCGACGACGTGTTGTCACTTTGTCATGCACAAAACAGCTAGAGAAAGTTGTAGATGAGAAATTCACCATGCATGCCACACACAGAATCAAGGCGTAGAACAGGTTGTCTACTTCCTTTATCAAATAAACCAGAAATAAAGTTCACCATCTACGAAAAATCACAACAAGCAGTAGTACCCCGAGAAGCGTAACTGGCCTCCCGATCCCCACCCCGCCTGTCGTACCGGCTGCTGGTGCCGTACTCCCGGAATTTGCTCTCTCCCGTACCGGACCGGTGGTAATCCTTGCCGTAAGACCCATATCCCGTGTTGTTGTCTTTCCCGCCCCGACCCGCGTTCGGCGCCGGCGGCCCCATGGGGTTGTTTTCGAAGCCCGGTCCGAAGTAGCGCCAAGTGGTTACGTCGTTTCCGCGCCCGCGGCCGCCGGGTTCGTCCATCAGCGCAACGCCCTTCTGGTGCAGCTCGTGGCGAATCGCGTCGGCTTCCTTGTAGTTGCCGACCTGTGAATGTCATCGTCAATGTGATGGTGGAAATTACATTTTATACAAACTTGCTCAGCAATACTGCAGAATGGAATTTGTCGTGCTGGTTCTTTAGCTAATAGGAAAAATAAGATGTGTGGTCATGCACGCAATGACTGCATCACTAAATACCCGTCTCGCTTCGTTCCGCTTCTCCACCAGCCTTTCGATCTCGGTGGGCGTTGGGCACCCCGCCGGCAAACCTTCATTTTGTTCCTCAGTCTGGCTTATGCATTGCAAATATGTCTGCGTCTGGGTCTGGAAAGTTGTCATGCTAATGTCCGAATGTTCCGCAAACTGTGTTGCGCCGCTGCGCATGACAAGTGTCTGAGCAGCTATGTCTAGCGCTAAGCGCATGACAAATAGCCTCTTTGCATGACAAGCAAGTGGCGTTGTAGCGCAACAAGCATCACAGACTTTTCTATATTACCGGCCAAGCATGAAAACCTTGTATTCTTCCAGACCCAGACATTTTTGCAATCCATATGGCTGCCGCCGGTTCGATCCAACAACCCGTGCTCCCTTACCGGTGGCCGGTACGGCTTGCTCTGCGGGACCACATTGTCCCCGTTATTTTGGTGATTTTCCTTTTCCGGACCTCCACTCTGCCCCCGGGTAGAAATGGTATTCTCGTCCGCAATCGTTGAGGGCGTCGAGGATTTATCAAATGCAAAAATGTCTGGGTCTGGAAGATTCCGAGATTTGTCATGCAGTTTTTCCAAGCTCCACTAAGTCTGGAATGCAGGGCCTAGCATCACAGGATCTGCAGCCCCTTTGTGATGCCTGTTCTGCATGAGAAATGCCCCCTCAGCATGGCCAGAATTGAGCACCTTTTGCAAGTCACGCAACACAGATTTTTGTATGATGCGCAACATGCATCACAAGTTGCATCCTTCCAGACCCAGACTACATTTTTGCATTTGATAGGATTCTGCGTGCTCCAACTTCGACGGCGATATGCAAGAAAAAAACTGTGTAAGTGTAAATTTGTGTTGCAGAGGATGCAACAGAGTTACACCTGTCATGCCAGACAGCCATGAAGTCCTATTTTCATGTGTGTTTTCCCTTACAAACCATGCATGACAGGTTTTCTCTGTCATGGAGAGCAAATTTGTGATGCTGTTCCTCAAAGAAAGTTACACTTACACACTTTTTTTCCTGGATAGGCGAAGCAAACAGCACACTGGCGCTGTTGCCGCTGGCTGCGTTGAGGCTGGTACTTCCAGAGCCATTGGTCGACAGACTTGTGTTCATCATATTACCTGGAACACCTCCAACTCCGAGAGCAGAAGTCGTCTGCACGGAGGTTCTATCCAATGCAAAAATGTCTGGGTCTGGAAGATTGCGAGATTTGTCATGCTGATCTGGCATGGCCCTTAAATCTGTATTGCGTGGCCACAAACAGCCTCTCTCGCCTGTCATGCAAAAACGCAGTTTCTCATGCGGAATACGCAGCACAGAAGCACGAAGCAACTTGTCATGCTTGGCGGCGCATTACACTGCATTTGCTTTTGACTGACTTGCATCACAAGTTTCCAGACCCAGACATTTTTGCATTTCATAGGTTCCGCTCGACGGCTGTCCCTGCGCGAAAGTCTATCCTGAGTAAAAACGTACCCACGCCAGAGTTGTAATGCAGATTTGCAAAGACAGGAAGACTTGTAATGCGCATCCCCATGAGAGCCATTTCCAATCGTGTTTTGGAATTTGTGATGCTGTGAACAGAGTGAGCAGATGAATCTGTGACGCGGCTGCACTTGCTAACCAGCACTACACTGCGGAGTGCAATTTGTCATGCGTGACTCCCAAAACTCCTAGGTTTGTGTTGCAAAATCCCCATCCTGACTCTGGTGTGGGGACGTTTTTACTCAGGATAAAGTCATCGGTGTTCCTTGTGACATCGGGTAAAGGTTGTTCACACTCTGGAAAGCGCCAAAGTTGGGGAACAACCCGGAAGTGCTGCCCATAGCGCCGCCGTTGCCGTTAGATGTACCAGAGGCAGGGCCTGCCATGGGGGTCGCAAACGGGGCCGGGAAAGATGACCCATTGGTTATTCCCATGCCACCTGGAACAAAACCACCGCCCATCATCTGGCTGGTGCTGTCCATCGGCAACCCCTGCGCGTTCAGAGGCGGCAGAGGCACCGGTGGTAACAGCGGCATCGGGGGAAGCGCTGGGACCTGCGGTATCGTACAACTACCGGGTTGAAAGCTCGCGGCATTCACGTTGAAGTTCGTTGCGGAGAGCTGCTGTTGTTGACCTTGTTGTTGTCCGGATGTTGATATCCTGTGCAAAAGTATCGCGCTCGTAGTAATTGCAGTCACGCATTACAAGTTTTTTTCTCGAGGTAACTCCGCATTACAAATTTTATTTCTCATGCTGAGAGGATGAGGACTTGTCATGCATTTATACGAGTACGATACTTATTTTGCAGTTCATAGTTGAAAGTAGACCGTTTGTCGTGGTAACCGAGCTACCGACAGACATGGTTGGCTGCAGCAGAATCCCGGATCCCAAGCCGCTGGTGAGGGAGCTGTTGCAGCTGTTCAGCGTGTATCCACTGCAAATATGTCTGGGTCTGGGAGATTGCGAGATTTGTCATGCCCGTCTGGCATGACTCTCAACTCTGTATTGCATGCATGCGAAGCGCTCCTCTTGTCTGTCATGCAAAAACGCAGTTTCTGATGCGGAGTGCGCAACTCTGAAGGACGCATAAACTTGTCATCTGGGCAGCGCATTACTGTGTGCTCACTACTCCCTTCTTTGCATCACAACTTTCCAGACCCAGAGATATTTGCAATGCATAGCGTGTTTTGGAGCAACTGCATCCCGGGTGTCGGATTGTTGTTCATCTGCGACGCGGAATATAGATTGCAAAAATGTCTGGGTTTGGAAGAATGCAAGATTGTCATGCTTGTCTGGCATGACTCGAGAATCTGTATTGCATAGGCACGAAAAGGCCCTCTTGCCTGTCATGCAAAAACGCAGTTTGCCATGCGGAATACGTAAGACATGGCAGCCAAGAAATTTGTCATGCATAGCTGCGTATTGCAGTGCGTCCAACCATCATTCACTTTTAGCATTACAAGTTTCCAGACCCAGACATATTTGCACTTGATACGGAACTAGACAACTGCGACTGCTGTTGCGCCGAGGCCATCTGCTGCTGCTGGGCCTGGGCCGATGTCGTCGTCGACACGCCTGGCGTCGTATCAAATGCAAAAATGTCTGGGTCTGGAAGATCTTGCAACTTTGTCATGCATGTCTTGCATGACCCATGACTGTCTGTGATGCATGACCTAGCATCACAGATTTTTAGAACCCTTCCTGATGCGTATTTCGCATGAGAAATGCCGTTTCCGCGTAGCACAAACTGGACTCCTTTTGCTCGTGATGCAATACAGATTTTTTTACAATCCAAAGATAGCATCACAAGTTGCAACCTTGTTCCAGACCCAGACATTTTTGCAATCGATACGTCGTTGCCTGCCCAACTGTCGCGTTGGCAGGCGTGTTGAGCCCGTTGCTGTTGGGACCCCCGAGGTTGCTCCCGAACTGGAGGTTGTTCCCACTAGCTGCACCACTCGCATTCGTTCCGTTCCCAAACCCGGAAATCGGGGTCAGAATCGGCGGCTTCACGGGGGTGTCGGGCCCCAGCATCGGGGTCGTCGTGTCGTCGTAATTGTTGTATCGCGAGGAAAAACTGTTTCGCTGTAAACTTGATGTGATGCAGAAAATGGATCGCAGAACTGTGTGTCATGCTACACACGCAAGACAATGGATTTCTAGCTGTGTTTCCCCTTACGAACCCCGCATGACAGACTTTCAGTATCATGCGTAACAAACTTGTGATGCAGATTTTGCAAAATCACCACAGCGAAACAGTTTTTTCGTGGGATATGTTGTACGCGGGCTTGATTCCGACGGATTGCGGGGTCCGTTTCGAGGCCGCGGTCGTCTGGAGGTTTTGCTCGGACAAATTGTTATTTTCATCTCTGTTGTGTAGTGTCACCCCGGTGTTCCTCGGAGACAGAGTCTTGCTGTTGTTGTTCATACCAGCGTTAATACTATTTCCTTTTCCAAACCCCTTCGCGGGTGACTTCATGCCGTTTTTGCCGCCGAAATTCCTCGATCGGTTTGCGTATCAAAACGAAAAATCCCCCCTCCCCATATCAAAACGGAACTTCTGATGCTGGATCTGTGTACACAAATACGCTTTGCATTGCAGAAAGGCATTGCGGCCAGATCCCCAGCCTAGGTAGAGGCATCTGGGTCTAGTTGTTCAGCATTGCAACCGGCTGCCCTTTAGGGGCACCAGCATGACAAATCGCTTCCATAAACGCGCGGAAACTTCTGGACTTGTCTTCTTGCAAGACAAATGTGATTTGTGACCACAAATCGGCAACACAAATTTGCAGAAACATACCTCTTCAATAGGGGGAGGGGGGGTTTTCCTCACAATATCGTGTTTTCCGTAATCACCGGGTGCTCGGTTACCTTCACGTGCAGCCTTTGGCACTCTAACCCACAAGACAGCTTGTAGTGCTTGTACTCCTGGAGCGTCAGCTGAATTACGTCCATCGCCATCTTTTTTGCCTGCTGATACCCGTGCCAGCAGGTGCACGAGATGCAGAGGTGGAGAGGCTCGTCCGACTCCTTTTGCTCCTCGCCCTCCAAATACCCGGAATCCTTCCCGCGGAGACGAAGTTTCGAGCCGGTCTCCTGGACAATCAACTTCATGTTGGCGCCCTGCGGGTAGAAGAAGAATTTGCATGAAATAAATGCGGACGAAGCAATGATCTGCATCTGCTTCAAGAGAAATATGAAATTTGTCATGCTCGAAGTTGTCCCCAATATAGCAAAGAAATCTGTCATGCACTCAAACACGAGTATGTAAGTACCTTGATCCCGATCAATTTCTTCGCGACGGAGAAGTTTTCTTCGTTCTGGAGCCCGATGTCAATGCGACAGGTGTACTTGCGGTATGGTCGAGCATTCGGGTCATTCGGCTCGTGGCTGTTTTCAATCATGCGTTGCGTTACTTTTCAGCATCACAGACATGTTTCGTCATGCACAAAAGCGCATATATAGAAAGTAAAACCCCAAATCGAAAATCCAAAGCGCATATATAGAAGCGGACAAATCGAAAATCCAAAGTCTGTCATGCAAATCAATACGTCCACACAACAAGGAATAAGAAGAACCAACATCAATAAATGATCCTCAACAATTGAAAAATACCCAACAACGGAGCCCAAATCCTGTTGGGCCCAGTACACCATCAGTTTCCCCTCTTCTCCGTTCAGCGACTTCCCTCCTAACTCTCGGATAGCCTGGTTCGCATCGCAGGCATCGAGGAACCACACGGTCGCCGAGTCATATCCCACGAAAAAACTGCTTCACTGTGGTGATTTTGCAAGATCTGCATCACAACTTTGTTACACATGACACGGAAAATTTGCCATGCGCGCATTTCCCACGAGGAAAAACACGCTTTGAAACTCCAATGCTCTATGCAGGTGTAGCAAGACAAACACTTTGGCGCTTCGTTCTCTGCATCACAAGTTCACAGTGAAACAGTTTTTTCTGGCGATAAATCACCATCGGCCTGCACTTGCACCCCGGTGACGTAGCCGAACCTGATAGTGTTTGTATTGCGACAATCTGCATAGGGCATGACGGTTGTGATGCATCTTCAGATCATAGCGCAATAGCACACGACAAAATGGATGTTTTCTACTCCAGGCCATTGAAATTTTAAAAAAACTTTTATACCGTTGAAAGACTTTCTTCAAATCTGCTTCCGTGAAGCGGTAAGCGTAGCTGATGCCCTCCACATGAACGTTGATCGCTGAGCCTTTGGGAACAGGCACAGACGCATCGACACCTTGGCCTAGGGCCTGGCTGGAATTAGTAAACTGCTGTTGAATCATTTTCAAAGAAAAAGGTAAAGAGAGAGAGAGAGTGAACAACAATAAACAGGTTCTTTAATAGGGTCGTGGATAGTAAAATCGGGGTGGATTTAACACGTTTTTCTTCTTGGAAAAAGTTTTGTGTACAATTCTTACTTTCAGGGTAGTAGTGTGTAAATAGCTTTTCGAAAGTAGATACGTCGAGAATAAGTAGTTTCAAAATCGCCACCAGGGTCGTGGTTTTTTTCGAAAATAAGTGTTTGAGAAAGAAAAGTGCTTCTATCGGCCTTACTATCTTAAAAATATCTCGAAGACTTTTTTGTACAATACTTGTATCTTAGATAATCTATCGCCCGAGTCGTGTCTTCAAATCTTACAAGTATTACTTGTTTCTGAACTCAAGCTTTTCTCTTGTCTTTGTTCAGTTGTATCTTATTCAGTTTATTTGTGTGAAGATCTGGAGAAAATTTCTAGCGCTTTGGTAATAATAGACTGTTGAAGCGTGGTTCTTTTTTCACGTGGTATCAACAGCAAATATCCTCTTTTTCCAAAAAATCCAGTGCTCGACGTTGTCTATATGGAGTGAATCTGGATTTTGATAATCAGTAGTCTTACAAAGAAGTTTCTAGAACTTAAACGCACTGTTTGTCTGCCTAAAAAGCGAGAGTTATGTCTTCGAAGATATGATTGGTTTCGTGTAGTTTTCTTTTTTAGTAAGGCTTTTCGTGGATAAAAATATTCGTTGTATTTGGAGTTCTTGTCGATTTTGTGTTTTTTTGATAGCGCTGCTTTCAGACGAATTAAGTACAGTAGGTACGAAGAGGATTCCAAAGACTGAACTAGAAATTCAAACTAGATTAATCAGACTAAAAACGCTCAAAACCTATACGATTTCTAAAATCCAAGTATGATAAAACAACTTGGGTCTAAAAGGCGCAATATGATCGGCGAGAGTTTCAATATCCAATAAGCTAGTCGAATTAGTTTAGTGTTTGAGCCTCACCAATGAATTCAATGCAATATGCAAGTGCAAATGCAACGACCACTGTTACCTGTTTATTTTTTTTTGGGAGATGAAATAAATTTCGATAACAAGTACTTCAATGCGACGTCTCACTTCAGCTGCTAAAAGTGCTTTGTCAAATTAAGGAAAAATGTGCAGGAGCGACCTGATTTTTACTCTACCAAATGTAAAAACTCGATCGCCAATTGTTCAAGTGTGGGTTTTTTCTGCCGAGCGATTTATTTCAGCGGTATAATTTTGGATCTAGGGGTTCAAACAATTCTCTAACAGGGTTTGCAATTCTTCGAATTTAGGGATCAAAACAGAACGTCTAATTGGTTGCAAACAAAAACTTCGAATTTTTATCGCTGTGGTTGCAAGGCAGGAACTGTTTTTTTGTGTTTTTTTTGTGATCAACATCATGAAGCTGGATCATTGTCGGATCGACGTTTCAGATGTGATCCTATATTGCAATGATTTCGAGATCTATTTCCGAACTTGCGACAGTCACCGAGGCCGCTCTGGAGTGTGACACGCGGAATGTTTTCAGTACACTAGTACTTGATGCGTCGTGTTCAGACATTTTACTAAGTAGTCTACCACATCAGGTTTTTTTTCACTTTCGCACCACTTGAACGGATCATTTTTTAGCTGCGCGACCGATTCTTCGCACCATTTTCTCAGACCGATTTGAATGTGCATCGTGGTCCGCGGGATTGAAAAGAACAAAAGACTAAAATGAATGGGGTTCTTGTACTAGCCGTCGTCGATAGTATAACACCGGTACAAATTCGAACAGCAACTTCTTGTAGTTTGTCAACATGAAGTGCGCAAGCTGCAAAAAAGGTTTTTTTGCGAGCGCGACGTGGGTGTCGCCACCAGGTAAGAAAAGTCCCAAACCAATCGATGTTTCTTGATAAGTACACTGTACTAGTACTTACTCAATTTGATACAAATCCAGTTTGTCGCTAAATATTAAAACCTGCGTAGTTGTAAGCCGTGTCAGGGGGGCGGCCTTCGTGGTCAGCCACTCGTGTAGTTGAAAAGGTTCTTCTTGCGCGCAGTCACGGCTTGACGGCGCTTCTGCGCCAAAGTAATCACTCTTTATTCACCACGGGGGGGGGGAATGCAATGTCGCTTCTTCCCGGAGGTAAGACTACCTTCCCCGGGCCCTAGAATTATTCCAGGGTCGTACAGAAATCGATCGAATCGATCTTGAATAAAAGCATGACACACAGCTTTTCTTTTGTGAAAGAAGTCGCCAGTGTATCATCTATCCGAGAAAGAGAATAAACCATTTCACGTCATAAGAGGACAGATAGGATTGTTGTGTTCCAAATACTAGCAAACAAGTTCGTTGGGAAAGAAGTTTCGCTGTAAAAAAGTCATTTAATGGCCAGGACGCAGCCATACCCTGCGCAGCACTTTTGCACGCAGCGAAGCGGACTTCATCGAACCAGCGGCACGACTAGTAGAGGAAAGTACAACTTAGCCACTTCTACTTTGTTAGATATACCAGAATGGTGGTGGACCACTTTTTTTTCGACCTGCCAGTCCCGAATCCATCAGGTCTGGCTGTGCCCAGTTATTTCAGGAAAAATGCAGAACGCGGTGGAGCTGCTCAAAGTACAATAACGCACTGAGAAAGTAGTAGTAGAATCATCACATTACTTACGCATGAAGCCAAATTCTAGATTTCTCCAGACCCCATGCGGTGCTGTGTGACAGTAGGCAGCGAAAATGCACACCAGCACAGCCACTCTAGAAGTTGCAATCTTTTTTGTGCTGGATAACGAACACGGAAGTACTTACGAACCAGTCGCACCCTTCCGCTGCTTCCAAATCGATGCACAGTTTTGAAGGTACAAAAGAGGACCACTTTATTTGACAGAGACGAAGTTTCTTTCCAAATTAATGCACCATGATGTCGTGATACAGCTAAAAACTAAAACTTGCTCGACTTAGGACGCGTCCTTGTTCATCTTTATGCTATTTTATTTCTTTACTAACGTCGGGAGTTTATTTTTACCTTCAATGCAGAACTACGTAGTCGTAAGTACCTACCATCAGGCCTCTATCCTCCGTACGCGTTCCCTCTCCTGCCCACCGCGGCCCTTCGGCGTGGCAAAAATGCCGCACTTCTGCAAGTAGTACGCCGCTGCAACCGCCAAGGCTTTGTGTATCCCACAGAAAAAAGCTGGCAGGGCATATTTGTAATGCCAAAACAAACACACAGAAAAATCTCTCATGGGCGGCCTCATAGCATGCTGTTTAGGATACGCAATACAGATTTTTTTGTGTATTTATTTTTGCATTACAAATGTGACCTGCCAGCTTTTTTCTGTGGGATATTGTGCGCCGTTTGCTCGAAGGCCGCGGGTTTTACCTTTTCTACCAGAAACTTCTCGTCGATTTTGTACCATTCGACAAGCTCGACTAGCCGCTCACAAATCGTCTGTTTCAGCTGGCAGTGGTGCGGAAAGTGGGAGAGTTCGTACAAGTGCAGGACAATTTTCATCCGCGGCTTGAAGAATTCCTCCAGAAACTCCTCCTGGGATCTCGTCAGCCGGTTCTCACTGGAAAAATTCATCGAGTCAACGGTCGACGCGGTCGTGCACCAGTCTTCTTTCAGTTTGATTTATCAAGTGCAAATATGTCTGGGTCTCCTGGAAGGGTGCATGTTTGTCATGCTTGTCTGGCATGACTCTGAAATCTGTCACGCACGTTACCCAAGAGCCCCATTTTTCTGTCATGCAGAAACGCAGTTTTTCATGCAGAATAGGCAACACCTAAAAGCCCAGGGACTTGTCATGCTGCGCCAGCACTTGGGGCCTCCTCATGATACGCCACCCAGCATCGCAAGTTTCCAGACCCAGACACTTCTGCATTCGATATGATTTTCGCGATGTCGATTAAGCAGTGAAACGCGCCTTCCGCCTGTTCCCAGGGATGTTATGGAAGCAAAAAACTGTGTGAGTGTAACTTTTTTGCAGGAACAGCATCACAGATTTGCTTTGCATGACAGAAAACCTGTCATGCGTAGCTAGTATGCGAAAACACGTATTGAAATAGCCTCTGATGCAAATCCGGCATGACAAGTGTAACTGTATTGCAACACCTGCAAGACAAAGTTACACTTACACAGTTTTTTTCTTGCATAGCTGTAACACTCCGTGCACCGTGCAGTTCATGCAGCCGCCCTTGTCCCGGAACTTTTTGAAGTTCCGCGGCGCCACGGACCCGCAAGAATACATGGTGGCGTCGTCGAACCTGGGTCGTAGGGTTGGTTTTATTCATGATTTTCGGCTATAACAAGATCAAGAAGAAGTTGATAACTCCATGCAGCATGACAAAAAGTGTTGATGAAAAAACAACACTACATGTCCTCCTGTTGTACCTTGGATCTTTCTCCAATTTCCCCAGCCCGTCCTTATCGTCCAATTTATATTCCCGTCTCCTCAACGGGACGGAGAACGGCCTGTGGACCGAAAAAACTGCGTTAGTGTACGTGTCTTCGGGTGACAGCATGACAAATCTGTTCTGCATGACGAAGAAATCCTGTCATGCACAGATAGTACGTGAAAACACGTTTATGAAATAGGACGTCATGGTTGGCTAGCATGACAAGTGTAAAAGTGTGGCATGCTTTGCATGACAGACTTACACTTACACAGATTTTTCCTTGCATACGGCCCGGAGGGGGTGTACTGCGCGAAGTTTTTTGAATCCATGGGTTGGTCCTCCCCATTCTTCAGGAACGTGTCCAATCCCGGAAATTTGTATCGGTCCTGCTCCTTCTCCGGCTCAAATCCGTGGTTCATGCTGTCGTTTAGCGTGGTCAGGGTTCGCAAATCGCCCGTAAAAATCTCGTCCACCTTTTCGTACAGGCAGAGAACGATGGCGAGCGCTTCCCCCGCGTTCTTTCGCAGGCAGTTGATGTTGTCCCCGATCGCGAAGATCAACAATTTCAGCAACCGATCCAAATGCAAACATGTCTGGGTCTGGAAGAATGCTGGAGATTGCGAGGCAGATTTTGCATGACCCATGACGTCTGCGATGCATGCTGTAGCATCACAGATTCTGCAAGGGCTTCCTGATGCCCATACCGCATGGGAAATGCCCTCTCTCCGTAGCAAAAACTGGACCTTTTTTGCTCTTCGCGCAATACAGATTGTATGTAGAGTCCAGAGGTAGCATCACAGGTTGCATCCCTCCAGACCCAGACATATTTGCGTTTGATACAGCCGATCCAAGTGCGGCCGCATCTCCTCCGGGAAGGCGGACGCGAGTTTATTGTGAGGAAAAATCCCCCCTCCCCATATCGAAAACGCGTGCTTTTCAAAATTTGTGATGCTGCTTTGTGGTCACAAATCGCGTCTGTCTTGCAAAAAAGCAAAGCCAGAGCTTCCGCCGCATCTCGCAGGCGCTTTGTAGTGCTGCTGCGCCAATGGGGCAGACCTCTGCCATGCTAAATGACTACCTGAAGCCACCCCTTTCCGGGCTTTGTATAATCTGCCTGCAGTGCTCCGCTGCAAGACAAAGCTGATTTGTGTACGCAAACACAGCAGCACAGACTTCCCTTTCGATATGGGGAGGGGGAATTTTTCATTTTGATAGAGTTTGGCCGCGGCGAGACAAGCGTGGTCACGAACGGGCCAGGATTCGTCTTCGAGGGAAGACAAGACCGCGAGGATGAGCATGTCGATACGACGGAATACTTGCAGGGAGGTAGAAGTTTTCGTTGGTGATGTTGTTGATACAGAGGAAGTACCAGTAGAACCACCAGCACCGGTCGCATGATCCGGCTTTTTGATGCCTCCCCCCACTGCTGCTGCTGTTCCTCTTCCTTCGCCCAGCATGAACTGGAAATTTTCCTTGCGAAAATCCGGCGCGGACTGGCTGGCGACTAGAACGGGGGAAGTGAATTTTTCCAGAAATTTATCCTATAGTAAAAACGTCCCCACCCCATAGCCAAGTTGGTAAATCTGCAACACAAATCGCTTCGCTTTGGGAGTTATGCATGACAAGCTTGTTCCGTCTGTAGTGTAGTGCTGTTTAGCAAGGACAGCCGCATCACAAAGACGCCTTCTTATCGTGTTTACAGCATTACAAATGTCAGAAATTGACTACAGATGCCTCTCATGGGGATGGGCATTACAGACATTTCTGTAGATGCGAATATGCATGACAACTAAGGTGTGGGGACGTTTTTACATAGGATAGAAATGCTTTTTGTTCCGCACATCCACCGCTACCCGGTCCGCCAGCTCCAAGATGCATTTTATCGAAAGGAAACGCCCCCCCCCTGCTGATATTGCAAAGGAAACTTCTGTTGCTGATTTTGCGTACACAAATCCGCTTTGTCTTGCAGTGAGACACAAATGAAGCAGCTGTGTCCTGCAATAGAGACAGGATTTGTGGCCACGAATCAGCATCACAAATTTTCAGCAGCATACATTTTCAGTATGGGGAGGGGGGCCTTGTCCTCACAATACATTTGCACGCCGCTTCTCGGACCGCGTGGTTGGGCGCGTTCGTGGAGTCGCAGTAGGCGTCGGTTATCTCGTCGAGTACCTCCAAAATCAGCGGAATTCCGCCAAAAGGGTTCAGGATCTTCCAGTTTTCCTGGCTGTACAGCCTCACCCCCTCCGCGACGTAGTGGCGGTTCAGACACAGATATCGCAGGAAAAAAGTGCTACACTTACACACATAGTCTATGCAGGCCAAGCAAGACAGACAAGCTCTGTCAACATGCCGGATATGCATAGGAGCCTCGTTTCGTCGGTGTTTTATTCCCGTAGGGTTTCTGCATGACAAGTTTTCTCTCTCATGCCGAGAAATTTGTGTTGCAGTTGCTGAATTCACTACTACAAATTTGTAACTGTAACACTTTTTTCGTGGGATAACATAAACGGGGCAAATAGCTTGATGTGGGACTTGATTTTGTTTTTCATATCCTGTTGCTGCGTCGAACTGTCGGGAGCGCTAGTGCAAGAACTCCGCATCGCTGGCGGTAATTGCAAATTCTCCGCGTCTTCTCGTCTGACCGCGTTTTGGTTATCAAATGCAAAAATGTCTGGGTCTGGAAACTTGTGATGCAAGGAAGGGAATATTGATCACACTGTAATGCGCACCCCAGCATGACAAGTTCTTCCGTGGTTCAGAGTTGCGCAATCCGCATGAGAAACTGCGTTTTCGCAAGACAGACAAGAGGACCTCTTCGCGGGCACGCAATACAGAGTTTAGAGTCATGCCAGACTAGCATGACAAATCTCGCAATCTCCCAGACCCAGACATATTTGCAGTTCATATTGGTATTGAACGAACAATTTGTGCTCCATCATCGCTCGGACGGCTTTCGAAGCGGCGTATTTCACTTGCGACCAGTTGTCCTGCAACCCGTAGGTCACCGCCTGGGCCAGGGAGGTTCGCAGGTCCGATAAGAGTGGGATCAAATCTGCAAAACACAAAAACGCGTATTCCCTCACAAACCGATTACTGTGCTCCACGCACTGAAGCAGGAAATATTCCACGGAAAAAGGGACCTGCTGGATCACCGGTTCTGGTGGCTTTGAGGTCGTATTGATGTTGTTCCCTGCAGGACTCGATTCGCACTGCACCAGGAAAGATTGGATCGAAGGGATACCAGAAGATGTTGCTCCACCACCTGTTCTCACCATTTGCAAGACAAATTCCGTCGTGGTTTTCGTCGGCTTGGAGCCCTGTCGGTACTGTAAATCGTTATACCCCCCGACCTATGGATTGCAAATATCCCTCGATGTCTGGAAGAATACAAACTTGTGATGCGCATTGCAGAACACAGAAAGATCTCTCATGCATAGGTAGCAAAGGCTGGCCACTTTCTGTCACCCAAGTGGGGCGACCTTTGTTGTTGGCGAAATGTCCCAGTATGCTGCAGTGGCCGTGAACACAATAGCGAAATAAGAAGTAGATGGTGGTTGGTAGGTGGTTGCACGTTGTGCGTTGGTGGTTTATTCTTGCATGACAAATGTTACTTGACTCAAGGGCCCTGATAGTGCATTGATTGTTCATTCGGTTTCTTCATGTGTTGAGATGTTTCGTCATTGGATTATAGGTGGTAGATCTAAGATTTCCTATGATTTAGTTTCTATCTCTCACATAATTTGAGTAGTCAGGCTCTGTATCCGATCATTAGATTTAAGCTCTCACTTGATTACCGATCGTATAGTTAGTTCAGATTTGGATCACGACATTCTGGCTGAATACTGGAACGGGTATTTTTCCGATCCAAACATCCCGCCTATGTCGTATCCAACATCTGCTCGGTAAGTGTATAAAACTTGTAAAGTTTTTTGTTGTAAATTTTAGTAAATAAATGCGTAAAATTTTCGTAAAGTTCCAGAAAATTCCATTTGTAAAATTTGTCATAAATATGCAAGATTTACTGTAACTGTCATGCCAAAATTGGTTTTCCTACTTTCCAAAATACTTCCCGCCTGTTACTGGATTAAGGTGATTTCTTAATTTTACAAACTACGTTTTTACTACTTGTACTCTAATTCTACTGCTTTACTGCTAAAATCATACACGCACTGTAAATCATACATAAACTCGAATCATTAGTAAAGTAAACTGATCAACCGGCCTTGATGCTGGTACTCGCATCGGAAGATAGCAACTCCTTCACATACTATAGACTTGAAATCTCGATTGACATTTTGAGGCACGCGAGGCAATTTTTACGGCGCAATTTCAATTTGAAGCTGTTTCAAACCGCGATGAAATTCTTCACCAGAGCAAACTTTGGTAAGAATATTCGCCCGGTTTGCATTGCTTGAAACTTGAATTGGCTCTACAGTCCCTTTTTCGGTTAAATCTTTCACATAGAGATCACGGATCTCCATATGTTTTAGCTTGGCAGGGATGCCAGCAGCTCCTACCGTGATTTTACACGCGGCAGAATTGTCACCCGAAATCGGTAGCGGAAGTTCAATTCTCTCGAAAGTGAATTGACTTAATGTCTCCCAGATCGATTGACAAAACATGTAAATCCGTAGTGCTGCTTTAGCAGTTTCACCCATAGCATACAACTCAGCCTCAGAAACAGAAGTCGCAATTGAAGCCTGAGTAATACTCTTGGTGATTACTGGATTACCACTCAGCAAAACTACCATGCCGGTATTGCTGAATCGGTTTTGGAAACTTGCCCAATCGGCATCACTGTGAGCAGCAATTACGATGCTCTTGCTTTCATACGGGTAAAAGCAAAGCGCTCGTCGAGTGCGTAAGTATCTCACTACTCGCTTCAGGCTCGTAATACATTTTTCAGATGTCGGAGCCTTGGCGCAATATTTGAGACTCGTGATAAGATCGGCTCTTGTTGTCGTCAGGTACTGCAGACTTCCAACAAGTTCCATCTCTTCACGATAAAGCTCATCAGAAATTTCTTGAACCCCTGGAGCGAGTTCTGAAGTGGTTTCACGTTCCATAGGACATGTGATTTTACGACCACTATCCCCGCCAAACCGCTTTAGAAGTCGATCCACGTAGGCATCTTGATTAAGCCAAAGCTTGCGGGTTGATTTTTCCAAAATTACCTGAATACCCAATACGTCCCAAGTTCGGGTCGTTGGCGTATCAGTGCTAGGCTCTTCGACCAATTTTAAAACAGGCTGGACTTCATCGTGCAAAATTCGGATGATTTTTGTCGGGCCAAAGAAATAAAAGCTGTCAACAAACACAGCCAGAATACATCCTGATTTAGTCCAGACGCATGGCTCGCGCTTGTTTTGTTCCCAACCATATTTCCGGAGGCGTTCATCTCGATGCACTGACCAACCAATCGAACTCAATTTTAGACCGTTCATACATTTCACAACTTTCCCGACTGAATATCCAAGGAATGATCGCAAATTAGCATCAAATTGGATCAGACAGCTTTTATCGGGATAGTCCGCCTGTAGAAATGCTGAAGTTGCGTCACTGCTCAGCAAGTCCATGCCTGGCGTTGAAACCATCAACGACAGCAAGGTCTTAACTGTTACAGAGTCAGGAACTCCTGCATACGTAGCCAGTGGGGACCACGGAGCCAGGAAACCAAGACAAACAATTCTTGCCTTGTGCCTTCCATCGCGTTTGATGCTCAGCAGCATCTTGCATGGAATAGGTCTACGAGGCGAATAATTTTTGATATCTTCAGCAGTAGCAGGGCGAAAGACTTCTAAGTGTGCTTTGATCTCTTTTGTGATCGCAGCCACCCACTTAGGATCTTTCAAATCATAGCCGGAGTCTTCCGCTGCTGTTGCTGCTGCTTTGAAACAAAGACGCTCTGACTCCTCTGAAGTAGGATCAAAATTCATGGCAACCATGCCAATAAATTGCTCCTGATCTTCAGCAGAAAACTGCGGGTCTTTCTTCAGTTCATCAAAAATTTTAGCAGCAACATTCGCAATCTTGGTCTCACGCCAATCCCTAGCCTCGGGCTGATTGCGAATAAGGCCCGCAATTTCTTCTACCTGTTTCTTTTTCACTGTCCAGTGTAGTCTTTTTCCCGCCTCTGGTGATTTCATAGATTTGATTTTTTGCAATTTTCTTTCTTCTTTTGCGCGCAGGGATGTGTAAAGTGATCGAACATAATCATGTGAAAGTCGAATAGCATTGGGATTTGAAACTGGTTCGGGAACTGCATTAGAATCAGCTTCGACCACCTGAGTTCCTGGATCCAAGGCGTCCCCTGATTCCAAGAATTCGGCCGGTGGAGAATCTTCTTCCAGCAATGGAACCTTTTCCCAGTTATCAATCTCATCAATGTCGATTCGTTTAGCTTCCCCAGGTCTCGACCCAATCTTTACGCGAATCGGTTGGAGCTCCACGCCCGGCGGTGATTCCATCCCTTCTTTTTCTTTTGGTTGTGGCACTTTGTGAGTTTTGTGAATCACACGGAGAAGCTCCGGAGGAAAAGCCATTTCATTCAAAGTTATATGGCGGCGGATGTGACTAGCATGGATTCTTTTAAACTGGCCCTGGTAATCGATAGTAAACGTTTCAGAATTCGCATTCTGCTGTTTAAAAATCAGCACCGCGGGGCCATTCCAAGTTTTGTTGTCCTTGTTAAAAAATTCGCATTTATCACCAACTTCGAGCTGTTCAGCTTCTGGAAATACATTCCGGGCCTGTTCCTCGAGCTTGGTCATTTGCGCAATAAACATTTTGTCAGTTTTGAGCTTTTCGATCTCTATACGGGCGGCACTGCGAATTTTGTAATCTTCGCAAGTTTCATCCTCCCGCACCAGAATCGATTGGCATCCTGGAGCTGTCTCAGGATCTAAAGGCTCAATCTCAAATGGATTCTGCACCCACTGAACCTGGTGCGGACTTAATCCATTGAGTTGCCTAGTTGGAGTCATGTTGATGGCGTGACAAGCTTGCATTGCCAGCTTCGCAATCAAGCTTGATTTCTCGCCAAAAACATAACACAACCGATCAAGGACACTCCGAAAAGTGCGATGCCTGCGCTCTACTGAACCTGGAACCCATGAAGATTTCGGAGTCAGGTACATATCGACATCATGCAGCTGCAGGAAATCCCGCACGGCACTGTTGTCGAATTCCTTACCCTGATCCGACATGAAATTTTTGGCAAGAATACCTCGACCGCGAGCTTCTTCCAAAAATTCCTTGGTGTCGTTTTTCTTGGGCTTTTTGCCCTTGGCCAAAACTTTGATAAAACTTGCCCGCGAATGCAAGTTCATCATGTGCAGGACTGCCCACTCAGACCCTGGACCTATGAAAAATGTATCCGCGGCGCACCAGTCGGCCAACTTTGCAGAATCCACACCGGCTGACTTGTGGTGTGGAAATGCGAAAGTTCTCAATCGACCTAAATTCGTGCGGCAATATTGTATAACCAACTTTCGCGCCCTCGGGCTGCTGTCCCTAGCCTTGACAACAGTCCAGATGGCTTGAAAGCTTGGAAAACTTAAAGCCGCTGAAATTCTAGCAATTTCAAAATCTTGAATCTTTTTCGTGCCTTTTGTCTTTGTCTCGCGTCCTTCTCGTGTCAATCGAATTTTTCGTCTTTTAGCTTCGGGGCAAGAAGCTTGATCATCTTCATCCGGTTGAACTTCGTAAAATTCCTGCTGGTTGTTGATCTCAGTTGCGTTGCCTTCGTTAGAAAGTTTCGTGATGTTAGCACTAAGAAAGCTACTAACCATCCGCAGCTTGATGATCGTACTAATACTAAATCTAGCATAAACTAGTGCTACTTTGTGCGATTTCAGTTCGACTAACAAATTAAAAAGGCTTGAGATATGACTTAAATTGTACTCGTCAAGATTAACTTCGGTTGCTCCTACTACGGGTCTAGCTACATCTGGGATGTTGATGCGACGACAGCAGTAGATTTGGAATCCAAATTCATCCATTTCTACCGCGTTTGTTTCCGCTTCAACCGTCACCCCACCGGTGTTGATGGTTTCAATTAAATAATTTTCATCGCACCGGTGAGATTCTTCGGAGCGTGATAGTCAAGATTTCTTGACTTTGCAAACAAGCATGTTATTCTTGAACTGCATCGGAAGTTTGATCGATCCTAGATGTAATTTCATGGTGGTTAGGTCCAATTTCGCTCCTTTGTCGAGCAAACGACCCACAGACCAGATATTACGTTTTAGAGTGGGGATATAAAATACATCAGAAATGGTGAGATTTTTAAGCTTCATCTCCCCCACACTCGTAGCGTGTGCTTCAGTTCCTGCCGTCTTAAAACTAGTAATAGCAGGCTTTGCATTGATGAGAAAATTTTTATTCCCGGCCAAATGCTTAGAAGAACCGCTATCAAGTAGAATTTCTACAAATTCATCTTCATCATTTAAGTAAGCTTCATCATCACCATCCCCATCATCGACAAGAAAAGTTTCTTCCTTTTCTTCTTGGTACTCCTCCCAGTCTGGTTGGGCATAGTAGGAGTCTCCGCAAGGACCACTGGTCTCCCAGATTCCGTAGCTTGCGGATGGGTCTTGACGCGGTGCGTGTGGCGGAAAACGGGGCTTCCCTTTCCCTTTTTCGCCTCCGCCTTTGGGCTTTCCTTTTCCTTTCCCCTTGTCGCCACCCTTCTGCTGGTACGGGTGGTAGCTGCTGGAACCGTAATTATTCCAGTTGCTGGGACCGGAATTGTTCCAACCGGAATAGGGCTGGTTGTAGTAGGAATGGGATTGATAATGATCAGCGGAATAGGAATGATTTTTGTTTTTGCGATAAACACCAAGTCCGCGCTTCTTGACCTCGGCCCAAAAATTCCCATCGCGCTGCTTCCGGTCGTGTTCGGCGGTGTTGGCTTCTTCGGAATCCGATTCCGACGAGGTAGACAGGTCGGATTTCGAATCGTCTCCGTTTTTCTTCTTCTGGCTCTTGGCTTTCCGCTTTTTGTTCTTCCTCTGGGCCTTCCTGGTTTTCGCCTGCTCCAACTGGTAAGCGGCGTCGACGATGTCCGAAAGATCAGCAAACTTTTTCGCTCGCCCTCTAACCAACTCGGCCTTCAGTGTTTGCGCAGCATTCCCCCTAAATAGGCGCAGAATGTATTTGCTATCCAGGGGATTTCCACTTTGCTTCGCTAAACTCTTGAACTTTTTATAATATTTAATCGCACTCCAAGAGCCTTGCGACAACGATTCAAGCCCCACTTCCTTCGTTGTGCCTTTTTCCTCCTGGGCGCTCCACTTCTCCGCGAACTCTTTGAGCCAGCGCATGGGGGTCCAGTCGGTAGCTCCTTCCAGCTTGTTGATCTCGGTAATCATCTCGCTGACATCGTTCGCGGTCTCTTCGTCCGCAATTCTGCCCAGAAATTTCTCGCGAACAAATTCGGCGGAATGAAGACGGAGGGCACGCCCGATCCACTTGGTCAAGTGACCTTTTTCGAACGGTTCCAGGGACCATCTCTCGTCCTCGATTACACGGACTCCATTCTCCTCACCCCACTGGGCCCATTCTTCGTTGGTAAAAGCGGTCCCCGGTGTTGTTGTTTTTCCACCGGGTCCAGGCGTCGAACCAACAAAAAGTTTGCGCGGGGTGACGTGCACGGGGCGTCCCGTGTCCGCATCGCTGTAGTCGGAGAGTACCATTGTGCTTTAGTGTTTTTGTACTAGATTACTGTAGGGAACTTGAAGATCGATTATTTTGTATACAGAGGCAGAGAATGAAAGCTTTTTAACAAGATCAAAAACAACACAAATTAAACAAAAGTAAGTAGTTCTATCGGTATAAATTTGAATCACGGCGCTAGTGCAAAAGTGCTTTTTAGTATGCAGTAGAAAGTAGTAAATTTGTAATGCGGATTAGTAAGTAAACACGGCTTAAAACCACAGTAGCTATGCTTGGTCGACCAAAGTAGCTAAAGCTGGAATCTAGGCGGTGTAAAAGTTGAAAAGTAAAATACTAGTGTTACACGATGCAGAAAGTTGGGCTCATAACTCTGCTGACGAAATGTCCCAGTATGCTGCAGTGGCCGTGAACACAGTAGCGAAATAAGAAGTAGATGGTTGCACGTTGTGCGTTGGTGGTTTATTCTTGCATGACAAATGTTACTTGACTCAAGGGCCCTGATAGTGCATTGATTGTTCATTCGGTTTCTTCATGTGTTGAGATGTTTCGTCATTGGATTATAGGTGGTAGATCTAAGATTTCCTATGATTTAGTTTCTATCTCTCACATAATTTGAGTAGTCAGGCTCTATATCCGATCATTAGATTTAAGCTCTCACTTGATTACCGATCGTATAGTTAGTTCAGATTTGGATCACGACATTCTGGCTGAATACTGGAACGGGTATTTTTCCGATCCAAACATTTGTCATGCGGGTTCGGCATTCTGGAAACTTCTCGAAACCTGTGATGCTAGAGCTTCCATGCCAGACCTTCTGTGTCATGCAGAAACAGCATGACTCTTCCAGACCCAGACACTTTTGCATTTCATACGACGGTGATTTCCTCTTCCGCCGCGGTTGTGGAAGACGAGGATTCACTGTCTTTATTTGTCATGCTGTTTAGCAACGGAGTTTCAGTTTGTGTTTGTCTTTGCTCCGCCTTTATTTCCCTCTCTTCTTCAACCGCTAGCGCTCGTATCTTCTCCATCTCCTCGACCGCGAAGGGTTTCACGAAATCGAAGTCCACATCGCCACCACCGTTTTCACCTACTCCGGAAGATGCGAAAAAATCCGCCGCCAACAATTTGATCACCATCGGACACGTGTGTTTGTCCTGGGGCTTCATATGCATTGCAAATATCCCTGGATGTCTGGAAACTTGTGATGCAAGGAAGGGAATAGTGAGCTCACTGTAATGCGCTGCCAAGCATGACAAGTTTTTTTCATGGTTCTGAGTTGCGTAAAATTCCGCATGAGAGACTGCGTTTTTTGCATGACAGGGAGGAGGAGCTCTTCGCGGCCACGCAACACAGAGTTCAGAGTCATGCCCGACTAGCATAACAAATCTCGCAAACCCTGAGACCCAGACATGTTTGCATTTGATACTTCACCTGCGAAACCGATTCGGTGTGAAGGGAGAGGGAGTCGATCCGTAAAAACTTTATGCGTTGCAAATATGTCTCGGTCTGGAAAGTTGTCATGCTAATGTCCGAATCATACGCAAACTGTAATGCGGAGCCGCGCATGACAAGTTTCTGAGCGGCCATTTATAGCGTTAACCGCATGACAAATTGCCTTTTTGCATTACAAACAAGTGGCACTGTAGCGCAACAACCACGACAGACTTTTCTGTATTGTCGACCAAGCATGACAAACCTGGCAATCTTCCATGCCCAGACATATTTGCATTTCATAAACTTCTCCTTCTCCTTGTTCTTCGCCAGACCCCGGAGGATCGCCGCGAGACACGCCATGGAAGATTCCAGCGTGCCCCAGCCCTCGGACTCGTGCGGGGCTTGGGGCGGTTGGATGTCGACTTTCAGCTATCAAAATGAAAACTCCCCCCTCCCCATATTGAAAAGCTATGCTTCCGAGCATTTGCGTTGCTGATTTGAGGCCACAAATCACATGCGTACTGCACGACGACAAGGGCAGAAGCTTCCGCCCCATTATGGAAGCGGCTTGTCATGCTATTGGGCTTGAAGGGGAGCCGTTTGCCATGCTGAACAACTAGACCCATACACCCCTACCTAGCCTGGGGATCTGGCCGCAGTGCTCTCCTGCAATTAAAAGCTGACTTGTGTACACAAATCCAGCATCAGAAATTTCGATTTGATATGGGGAGGGGGGATTTTTCCTTGCAATATCAACGGGTCTTTCTTGACCGGTTCTACCTCTTCCGCAATGAAAAAGTCCTCGTCGTCTAGATCCATGGGGTCGGATAAGAGCGTATTATTATTCATCGCCGAATTCAGCAACCCGAAATTGCTGTTCTTCAAGTGCGCGGGAGCAAGGGCGGCGCGGGTGGACGGAGCGGTGAGCGAATAATTTGGGGTGCTGTTGCTCAATGGTGGTGGTCCACCAGCACTGGAATTTATCATTTTTTCCTTCGAACTACTAGTAGTTTTCGGCAAGCCGACGAATTTCTTCCGTTCAAACCCGAATAACACATCCGACAAAACCGCTTGGAAAAAGGTTTCGTGGCCGAGTTTCGCGGACTCGAACTCTGCCCTTTCGTAAACAGCTTCCAGCACGGGAACGAGCGCGCGCCGCACCCGGAGTTCGGAGTCTTTCAAGAAGTGACAAGACGCTAAGTGTTGGAGGAAGTGCTGCTTTTCTAGCAAGGTTTGGTTCAGCATAGACTGGGCAGTAGAACCAGTATTTCCAGTTGCTACATTTGTTGCGTTAGAATTGGATACCTGGTTTGATGCAGCCTTTGCCCTCGTCTGGTCGTCCAACTTCTTGACCACTTCGGTGACGCAGTTCAACAATCCCACTTTTTCACCCCAGGGAACAAGAGGAACTACTTCTGCAGAAGTTGTAGTTGTAGCAGATGAACTACTTTCAGGTGTCTGTGTGCTCGTCTTATTTCTACTTCCTAGTTTCGTCAACTTCTGCCCCAGGTGGTCAATCAAGGCTGCAAACACCATTTCCCCATTTCTATCCGCTGCTTGTCTGCTAAGCTGCAACACCGCCCGGTCGCGCTCGATGATCCTGTCGCTGCCCAGCTGCTGTAGCAACTGGGAGATGTTGTTGCAGCTCGGGGCTCCTGTAGAGGCCGCCGCCGCGACGGGGACCGCCATTTTTTAGATGGAGAAGTGGGGTTGAACAAATCAAATTGATCCTTGAATCTAGTAGAACGGGTTAAGATTTTTCAAACAAATTTTGTGCTCAGGAATCGAATTTCGTCTACAACTCTTGTGTCGCTTGTTCCACTATGGGGCGGTGATTTTTGCTTTTGATTGCGCGTGCGGGTGGACAAAATTATGACGCGCGTACAACTTTTGTATGGGGAACAAAAAAACTCGATAAGTAGAATCGCAGTTTCATGAGGGCCTGAGATTGATGCAGCGCGTTGACGTCATCAACACCAAGCGAGGTTGTGTCACAAAAGCAGGCAACTTAATACTAGTACGGCTGCTCCTTTATTTGTCGGTGGAAAAAAATAACTCGCAGTGCCTCTGCAGTGCGTTCGGATCTTGTTTCGTTGCCTGTTGTCGAAGATTTTTATTTTTTCGAGCTGGACAAAGGAACAGAACCGAAGACAATGACAAAGGCTGCTACATCATATGTATGTCTGGTAAATGAACAAGTATAGCACGCCTCTGTTTTGCGTCACATGTTTCGACGCAGTCCAACAGTGTGCTGCAAAGTCGGTAGAAAACATATGAAATGTGTATAAAAAATTGATTTAATAAGTTTCAACGCTGTCACAACAGGTCGCGGACAAGCCTGGAGATGGCTTGTTTTATAGTCCGGTTCGTGAAATTAATTGTCACCGCGAGCGTGTTGTCAGAAAGTCAAGTCCGCATAACTACTGCCGCCACAAATCCCCTCCGGGCCAACTGCCCAAAAGTAGACAATAGCAGATCTGCTGATGTGGAATCAAATTTTCAGCCACTAGACCATGCAACTCTGCGCTGATACAGACTTGCAACTACACCTTCTAGCAACTACTACAACAGAGGGAGGACATCTTCGTTGTGGCCACAACGAACTGGTGGCCCCTAGTACTTCCATGCATTTCTAGTAAGTCGCAAAAATGCATATGCAACTACAGGAAGATGGTTCATTATACACCGAGGATATGATGAAAAACCGGCGGTTTTACGCACCTGGATCCTCACCGCAGCCTCGCGTTTTATCAAAGCGAAAATAGTGTTAACAACGGTTCATTTTCGTTTTTTTGTACAGGAGGGGACAATTGACATTGAGCGAAGATCAAGACAAGTCGACAAAAGACAGTTTCGGCAGGACGTCGAGACATGACACGTTGAAATAGTACTAAACCTCAAAAGCCGTCGTGGCAAGAGCAGGCTGGCGAAACGGAAACACCCAAAAACAAGTCCGATAGAATTTTTGAATATTCTGCCGTAATTTGTACAGAAAGACGAAGTCTTGTGGCGCCGAAGCGAAGCGAAGTAAATGCTATGCTGTGCATGATCCAAATTGTACACCAGTATGCGAATAAAAATTGCGATTCATTCTATCGCGAAGATAAAATTACGCCTACGGCCGGTAAACATGACAAGTAGCAGTGGGTCGCTATGGTACTCCACGCCTTTAGCAATATCGCCACTAGGACAGCATCAACGACTTGAACTCCGCAAACGTGATCGCCTGCTCCTTGGAGGCGGACGGTGGTCGTTCGCTCACCACCTCAGCTACCATCTGCTCGAGCTGGTCGCGGGTGTTAGACGTGAGAATTTCCGCCATGTCGTCAACCGAAAGCTTGCCCGACTTTGTCGTATCCATCAAAGCGAAGACCGCTTCCAAAATTTTCTCGTGCTTGTCAACCTGGGGACGAGATTTGGTTATTGTTTCTACTCATGCGGATACTATTATGGACAAGAAAAAAATGTGGAGATTTATTTTGTCATGCAGAAACCACTACAGTAGCAGAAGTACCTGCTCAATGTCGATCGTCGCGGCCAGAAACTCGATAAAGTCCAGGGCGTCGGACTGGTTGGTGTCCAGAAACGGCATCACCTCATCGACGAAGTTTTCCGGTAGGACTAGATTTTTTTCCTATCCAGGAAAAAAAACTGCGCAAGTGCAACTTTGTAGGAAGAGCAGCATCACAGAGAAAACCTGTCATGCGCAGCTAGTATGTGGAAACACGCATGAAAGTAGCCTATGAAGACGCAGATCCGCCCGCATGGCAATGTAACAGTTTTGCATTTTGTGCATCACAGAACTAAGTACACTTACACATTTTTTTTCTTGCATATTTCTTCCAACGCCTTCACCAACTGCTTCTTCGTCAGCGCCCCCTCGCCAGACTTGTCCAACTGTCGAAAGGTGACCCGGTACAATCTCGTATCTTCCCCATCCGTTCCGCACAAGTGTGCGAAAATGAACCGCCCGACCCGCTTTAAAGCCGGCATCTGCACAAACTCCGTCATTTTCTCGATCAGTTTCCCGTCGAACGCTTGCTGGGCGGATGAGGAACTTGTTTGCTCGACATAATTGCCTTTTGATGCAGTTCCACCGTTTTGATGCGTCTCGGGACAGTAGTCCATGGGACTGTAGCTTCTCAGGATAAAAGGGTGGGACAGGGCCTCCGCCGCGGTTATTCTGTCCTTCGGCTCGTATTGCAGCATTTTCCCAAGTAGATCCCGCGCTTCGGCCGACATGTTGTTTTCCGTTCGCTTCCACTCCTGTTCCAGGTAGAGTAAGTCCAAAATCTGCGTTTCACACAACTTGTCACAGTCGTGCGTGAACAGCGGCTCGCCCATCAGCAACGCCCACAAAATCACTCCCAGCGACCAGATGTCACATTGCCGGTCGTAGGTTTCGCCTTTCAGCATTTCCGGCGACATGTAGGCGATGGTTCCGACCGGGGTGGTATGCATTGCAAAAGTTTTCTATCATGTCGTATTAGCATATACAAATTTTCATTTTGTCAGCATGTTGAGTCGTAAAAATAATGCAATTTGTAGTGCTGGTTTCGCTTAGAAAGCGCCTTTGTTATGCGTGACTACAACTAGTACGAGTGGATAGTGCTTTTGCAGTGCATAGGTAGCTGCGCGGTGGTCGGGGTCGTCGGAAGATGAGTGGCGCTCATGAATGTGCACAACTCGTCCCCCTCCCCCTCATTAGTATAGCATAAACAGCAATACAAGCATCAGCAAGAGTCCCGGTTTTGCATGACACATTTGCACTGGATTGTAGTTCTATTTGGGCTACCAGAACTTGTCATGCAACCGGTGCCAAGAGGTATAGGGTGAATTGGGTATTTTGCATGACAAATGTGGGGGACGACGAGTTGTGCACTCTCCTAGTGCTGCGCTGGTTTGTAGAACTCCGACAACCCCAAGTCGATCATTTGCAAGGCCGATTTTGGGGAGGAGGTGGAAAACATGAAATTCTCCGGCTTGATATCTCGATGGATGATGTTGTGAGAGTGGCAGCACAGCACCGCTTTCAGCATGTGCCGTAGGAGTTATGCAGTGCAAAAGTATCGTACTCGTATAAATGCATTTACAAATGTTCTCAGCATGAGAAAATGCGGATTCACCTTAAGAAAAAAATTTGTATTGCATGACTGCAATACGAGTACGATACTTTTGCACAGCATAGGAGTCGCCCGCACTCGATTTCCGAAAACCCGGAAATGGCGACCGGACCGGGATTGGAAGTGGTCATGGGGTTGTTGTTGTTGCCTGTGGTTGGAGATGAAGAGGCGGCCTTCAATATTGTTCCCTCTTTTGCATTTGGACTTCCCGCCGCCTCAAAATCTTCGTCTTCTGCACCTACGACCCCGCTCCCATAGCCGTGCCCGTTTTCGCTTCCGTTACCCGTTTATGGATTGCAAAAGCATGCATCGCACTAGTATAAATCGCATTACAAATTTTCTCAGCATGCAAATAAATTGAATTTGTCATGCTGTTTTACTTTGGAAAGGAAATTTGTCATGCGTAACTGCAATTAGTACGAGTACGATACTTTTGCACAGGATACCGTTATGTAGCTGTCGTTGTCGGATTCCAGTACATTCACGATGTGGTCAAACAGGTCCGGCTATCAGATGCAAATATGTCTAGATCGGTAACATTGCAAGAGACCACTTGTCATGCGGGTTCTCCATGACGTACGAGGTCTGGAATGCAGGGCCTAGCATGACAGATTCTGTGAGATTACGATCATGCCTATCTTGCATGAGAAATTCCCTCTCACCTTGGTGAAAAGTGGGCAACTTTTGGTAATCCTGCAACACAGATTTTTGCACGATCGTCCAGAACTAGCATCACAAGTTGCAGGCTTCCAGGAGGCCTAGACATATTTGCAATGCCTACCGGCCCCCGGCACAGTTCGAAAATTAAAACGTACTGCTCTGGTTCGTCGAAGTACTCCACTAGCTTCACGATGTGCGGCATCCTATGTAAAAACGTCCCCACACCAGAGTTGTAATGCAGATTTGCAAAGACAGGAAGACTTGTAATGCGCATCCTCATGAGAGCCATTTCCAATCGTGTTTTGTAATTTGTGATGCTCTGAACAGGATGAGCAGATGAATCTGGTATGCGGCTGCACTTGCTAACCTGCACTACACTTCGGAGTGCAACTTGTCGTGCGTGACTCACAAAACTCCCACGTTTGTGTTGCAAAATCCCCATCCTGACTCTGGTGTGGGGACGTTTTTACATAGGATATGCGGGTGGTCCAACTCGATCAGCATCTCCACCTCGTTTTCGAACAATTTTTGATCTTCGACGGCCAATTTTGGGATCTGCTTCGCCGCGCGCTGAATCCCCGTTTCCTTGTGGACGGCCTCGACAACGACCTGATAAAGAAATTTTGAATGCTAGTAGATCATGTACATTTGACAAGTTTTTAGTAGTAGACATGATAGGATCTGAATTTTCTTCGCGCATTCTTTGCAAATACGCCCTAGTAGAGTACCCCGCTCGCTCCCTCGCCGAGCTGCTTTGCTGGTGTGTACACCTCCTCAAAGTGCTGTTGGTTTTCCCGGACAATGTGCGATCTCTTGATGGAAATAGACGAAGCGGACCTTGTCAGAATCGACGAACCAGAAATTTGCACCGACGTTGGGTTTATCAAATTCAAATATGTCTGGGCGTGGAAACTTGTGATGCTGGTCGGGGAATGATTAGGGTGCCGCAATTGCCGTTCCACCATGACTAGTTTCTGAGGTGGTCGGTGTAGTCTATCGTGCATGACAGACTGCGTTTCCGCATGACAAAAAAGCGACGCTCTTGGCCAACATGCATGACAGACTTGAGATTCATGCTGGCCGAGCATGGCAAGTCCTGCATTCTTCCGGACCCAGACATATTTGCATTTGATAGGGTTGTTGATCCTGTGAACGTAGTTTTCGTACGCAGTCCGTGACAATGGTTTCCCGGTCCCAATCGTCGCGGTACTGATAGAAGAGGACGCACTTGCGGTAGCGCTAGGGGATGATGAAGAAGAAGAGCTAGACGAAGATGTTGAAGCGGCATTGAAAGCGCCCTCCTCGCATTTCACCAGTTGCTGACACCTCCTGTATGCCGAAGACGAGCCGTTGTGCCAACTCAACACTGCGCTGACACCAGGGCGCTTGATCAAAGAACTGTGATGAAAGCCGTGCGTGGAGAAGGAACGGCGGTACTTGCTGGCTCCGGTGTGCTGAGCGTCGCTTCTCCTGCCGCGAACCCCACCGCCTCGGGAACCACCACCGATGACTGGCCGCCGCACTGAAGAATTTTCCTCTCCCGCCACAGCAGTTGCGGGTTGTGATAATCCTCGGGTCGTTCTTTTTTGCGGTCGATAAGTGGAGGTGGTACTTGTACCATTACCAGACATCAAATGTAGTTGTTCTGTGACAAAATCACAAAACCCGAACTGCGCGCCGGAAGCCGCTGAAGAGAGCGGAAACACAAAATCACCGGCATCGCTTCTTTTCCGCAGGGTGTGGCGGTTGGCTGCTGTGGTAGAGAGAAGCGCCACGGGGCAATTTTTCGGGACCACCAGCTGCGCCATGGTCTTGATGCTCCTGCTGCTGCGCGTGGAGTACAGTGTCAGCTTCGCTCGTCGCTGAACGCAGGAGGCGCGCCGGGAGTCATTGTGTACTACTTTTGCTGCTCGTAATAGTCACAGATTACTGCTCTCTCAACAACGTCGTACGTGGACGTGCGTTTCCAGGAAATCGCTCTCAGGTTTGTTTTTTAACGTGCTCCGTGTCGAAAGCACAAACAAGTAAGAAATGTGAGACGGCAGGAAATTCTTGAACGGCGTCGATGAATTTATGCGCAGTGTAAAAATCATGATGGGAAAAAAGCACTATGGGTCGTCCTTGGGGAATGTGAAAAACTTTGTTGCGCTAATAAAGCGAGAATTACTTCTAGTGCCGTGCGCGTTTCCAATAATTGTCAACATTCATAATTTTCTTCCACGATACTAGCACCGACGACCAATAGACGACTTACTTGTCATCACGTTTGTTCTCGCTCCTTCAAGAAAAGAACATTCCTGTTTTTTCCTCTTCGTGACAGAGAACAATAGCAGAGCTCCATGATGGAGGTATCTACACCTCTTGCTTATTTTCACAGTGATTTTTGCGCTATTGCATGCAGAATGGTCTACTTGACAAAAGGATTACGATGAATTGTTGTCACTGGTAGGCAGAGTTCGCGACTGTATTTTGTTCTACTTGGCCAGTGTCATTACTGTCCGCATCGAAATCTGGTGGCACGTAGTGCAAATTCCTAGCATCTGACCCCCGCAAACTGCCTTCATCCCGGGGCTCGCGGTAGAGCACTTTTGTTAGCGCGTAGGTTTTCCACGGGCCAAGTCGGTACCTGTGATATAAAAACACAATTTGTGATGTTGCAGAGGCACGGAGGTAAAAGCGATTTTGTCATGCAGAAACAGCATATGTAATGAATTTCAATACCCGAGCGGCTGCACCCGGACGACGTCCCCCAACCGCGCCTCATTCTGCTCGTCATGCGCCCATATCTTTTTCGCGTAGCGAAACGCTTTCTTATACCGCATCACGTACATCCATCTATCGCAGGCCACGCGGATGTATCAAATGCAAAAATGTCTGCGTCTGGAAGAATGCAAGTCTGTCATGCTCGGCCGGCAATGCACAAAGGTCTGTCATGCTTGTTGCCCTACAACGCCACCGTTTGTTATGCAAAAAGGCAATTTGTCATGCGCTTAATGCTAGACGTAGCCACCCAGAAACTTGTCATGCGCGGCTCCGCAATACAGTTTGCGTATCATTCGGACATTAGCACGACAAGTTTCCCGACCCAGACGTATTTGCAATGCATAGGATGGATTTTGGGTGCTTGTCGTTTACCACGTACCCCACCATTTCGTTGTTTGGGTTTTTGTTCTTCAGCGCAATTTATGCATTGCAAATATGTCTGGGTCTGGAAACTTGTGATGCGAGGAAGGGAATAGTGACCACACTTAAATGCGCTGCAAAGCATGACAAGTTTTGTTCCCATGGTTCTGAGTTGCGTAATCCGCATGAGAAACTGCGTGTTTGCATGACAGGCAAGGAGAGCTCTTTGCGGCCACGCAATACACACCTCAAACTCATGCCAGACTAGCATGACAAGTCTCGCAATCTCCCAGACCCAGACATATTTGCATTTGATACAATTCGCAAGTAGCCCGCCGTCTGTCGCTGCCAGTACTTGTAGTGCCAGGAGAACTGGGAGGGTGCGGAAGGGTGGAACATTTTCTCTTCGTATGATAATTTTGTTTTTTTTCAGAATGTATGAAAATTAAGTCGAATGAAAAGCAATGCTCAGTAAACCGAGATGTTGAGAGGAACGAACCGAGTACGCATAAGATGATCTTGAGAATTGATCGACAAAAACTAGGCAAAAAAAGTTTCTCGATCAAACGCGAAAAAACAAGTAGATGAATTCAAGAAATCGTCCTAGCACTTACGCCTTAAACGAATTGAGTCGCGCAGCGGTTGCACAACGCGCACGACATGTGTCACGCTCAGTGAAGCTGAAGTCGTGGTGCGCACGACATAAGCGCTGGATCATCCTGCGGCGGTGATAAACCTGCTCTTAAAGTCGTGCGGTTATTGCCGCACCGGAACTCTGGTGAACAGACGGCGTGCAACTGCTTGGCAAATTTCAAGCGGGCCGTATCTGTCTGCACCCCGGCTGCGGAGATCGTTTTGAAATTCATTTTTTCGTTGCTCTCGCACTTCCAACGCAAAAAAAGCCTTACGGAAAATTTAGTACCGTTGTGATCACAAACTATAGCACATCAAAATGTGAAAGTCTATGACTTTCGCTTCCATTTGTTCATCTTCATCCCAGAAACCAAGATTATATCAGACCTGACGGAAGGAAACGAGGGAAAAACATTCCCCAAGTCTCCTGCGTCAGATCGTCACTACTTTCCTTTATCTAGTGAAGTCTGCATCACAGATAATTCCTCGTCGGCTGCAACCTGCTCCCTTTTCCGTTCGCTTTTCTCGCATGACAGACTCCTTTTGTGCTCCTCATCCCGCATTACAAATCCCCCTTTGTCGCTTCCGCGAAATCATCCAGATCGTCGTCCGTTTCGTCCTTTGGCGGTACGTATGCACTGCAACTATCTCTGGGTCTGGATTTGTGATGCGAAATTTCAAAGACAACGATATCTGTATTGCATGAAGGGGATAATTTTTAGCCAGTTTCTTTGTCGTACTGGAGGGCAGCTTGTCGTGCAAAATAGGAATGACAATGAAGATGAACTCGCAATTATAAGACCCGAAAAATAATTTGTGATGCGTTCATGCCGTACATAGGACTGATTTGTAATCGACAAAAGGCTCTGCATGCCTCTCATCCAGAGGACCTCCCAGACATATTTGCATTGCATAGCACGTGCGTGAACCCGTACTTTTTCATCTGATAGAGTATGAGTTGATGTGGAGAGCATGCAATACAAACATCCAATGTCATCGGAAAAACTGCATGACAAACAGCAAACAGGCAAGTGGCAAAAAAAACTTTCTCCTGGTGCGAAAAGAACTCCTATTATACCACGTCGTGGATCTCTGTCCTCTTCATTTTGTCCAAGGGTATCTTATGAATTACAAAAGTACCGTACTCGTATAAATGCATGACAAATTCCCTCAGCGTGAGAAATACAATTTGTAATGCGGATTTGAGAAAAAAATTTGTAGTGCATGATTGCAATTACTACGAGTACGATACAACTTTTGCACATGATATATCTTCGCCATTAACAAGTCCTCGGTGTTATGCATCGCAAACATGTCTGACTCTGGATTTGTGATGCGAAAGTTGAAAACCAGAAAGATTTCTGACGCATGAAGAGGATTGGCTTGTTTTTTTGTCGTGATCCTGAAAGGCAGTTTGTCATGCAAAACACGGCAGAGGTCGCAGTTTGCCATGCAAGACTCAGCAACATGAATTCGCTGCGAGTCTTCCCAGACCCAGACTACATATCTGCATTGGATAACTGTCGTAAAGTTTCAGCTCGGGTACGGTATGGAGAGCTGTTGGAAAACTTGGTTTGTCATGCATAAAGCCGCATTATGAGATGCATCTGTCATGCAGGTTTCTGGTAGATGAATGTGAAAGGATGGAGAAGTCGTGAAAGCATGCAGTGCATGACAAACCTTGCCTGCGCATTACAGGTTTCATACGAGAGGCCCGAAATGTACTCGATTTTCAAATCCTTGTACCCGTCAGCATGACCTGTGGTGTTTTGCTTGCGCTTTGTGCAATACAAAGTACTCACGCAGTTGGTTGGATGAAACTTGTCATCCACACATTCCCTGGACACACCTAGCTTGTCATGCGTACACTGCAATACAACATCAAAGCACTACTTCCTTACCTGGCTCCTGTAGGAAGCTTTTCACCTCGGGTAGACTGTTCAGTCGTCAGCCCCGGCAGCTCTGGATCACCGCCCGCTTTGGCGAAACGTCAAACGATATCAAATGCAAATATGTCTGGGTCTGGAAGAATGCGAGTTTGTCTTGCTTGTCTGGCATGAATCATAAATCTGTGATGCATGAGGGGGCAACGGGCCTCTTGCTTGTCATGGAAAAACGCAGGTTTGCCATGAGGAAAACGAAACACAATAGCAGCCCAAAAATTTGTCATGCTTGGCTGCGTATCGTAGTGCGCCCACCACTAAGATTTTAGCATCACAAGTTTCCAGACCCAGACATATTTGCAATGGATAAACGAAGGGAGCGGCTCCCCGAACGCAGAGAGGGTGGCGGTCGCGAGGACCGCGAGACAAAACGCGAACAGTTTCTGCATCTTCTTTCTGTGAACTTAAAGTATATTTCAATTTCTTCGAAAAAAGTGTTTGCACGTAAAGAAAAAACTCGGATGATCCACAAAACTCTTTTCAACAAACTGTACTCGAACAAGTGCCACAGGTTGTGACGAAAAAGCAAATCAGCGGTATGAACCGCTGCAAAGAACGCAGAACAACAAAGCTCAGCAGCACTAATGGAAGAAGATCTCGGTCCTTTTCTTGAAGACAAGAAAAGGACAATTGTCGCACAGAGCAGAAGATCTTGAAACGCAGAAAATACTTAAAATATGAAAATGATCCAAAACCACACGAAACACACTTGCTCGTCACGAAGCGTGCACCAAAACTTTTGACCACACATAGAAGAGCAACCCAGAGACGAGAACAAAAGCGCCTGATGTCACTTCAGCCGACAAAGAACGAATGTCGAAAAATAATTAGTGGAACGACTAGACGGAGAAAGATGACAAGAGCTCTTTCAGATTTGTACAAAGTTTATTTTCCAAATGTGGTTTGATGGTCGTGTAGTTCACAATTCGTGTTTATTTCTAGCGTTGGTACTATGACTCATCAACATCTTTTGTATCTTGATTTTGCGCGTCATTTCTTCTATTTTGCGCCCTTGGCACCTGATGTTGTCTGTCTCGTGTGCTACCTATGGAGGTAATAGACCACTCTACTTCTTCTTCAGGTACACATTGTAAACATTGTACAGAAACTTCGTTGCATCTTTCTCGGTTGCAAACGTCAAGGAGAGCACGTGGTCCGGCCTGGCTTCCGGTTTGTAGTACTTAGCATAGTACCGGAGAGTCTTCGGTAATCGAAAGGAAACCTTTTTCGTCAGCTGGTCGTACGTCACCGATTCGAAGTGCTTGAACGACATGAACATGTAGACCTAGAAGTTTTATGTTTGTTTTGTCATGCGTGAAACGAAAGAAATATAAAGTTTTGTCATGCGTAGTTGCACCCATGTTGCTCAGCATCATCGAGGAAAAAACACCAAGTTGTCATACCAGTCCCTCTTCCGGATGCTTTGCAACTTTGTACTCAAATCGGTCGGTGTATCGAGGAGGAGATTTCTTACCTTTCCCAGAGCGCAGCGGCAGGCTAGGTTGCATGACAAGGAGCTCGATAGGCTCTGTTTTTTATCATGCCATCGCACAAAGGAAAGCGAAACTCTCCAAAACGAGCGATACGTCGAAACAGTTGACTGCCGTGCTTCCCGGTAGCCACAAATCACCGACCACCAATTCACTGGCCCAGACCGTCGCCAAAAAATTTTCGGATTTCTTACTTGCCCCAAACTCCTCGGCCGCAACACACGCTTTCCGGTGCTCCACGTAGTTGTCCAAGTCCCTACGCAAGTAGTCGCAGGCGTACTCGCAATCGGTCGGCGGTTTGCCCTCCCGCTCTTCTTCCAATGCTTGCCTCGCGTCGTGCTTGGCTGGGTTTTCATTTTCATTGCTCTTTTCGTGGTTCGCATCGTATACTCAAATTGGAATTCTGCATCACAAAGAATTTTTTTTGAGTTGTGTTCATTGACATTGATCCCAATTCTCGTCTTCTTGCGACACAGGATTACAAATACGGTTGTGCTCGATTTCCCTGATGTCCTTCACGGTCGATTTCGAGACGTCCTTGTCCCGTTTGCCAACGGATATGAACTGCAAAAGTATCGTACTCGTATAAATGCAGATCTTGCATTACAAGTTTCTTTTTCAAGGCAAATCAGCATTACAAATTTTATTTCTCATGCTGAGAAAATTTGTAATGTATTTATACGAGTACGATATATACTTTTGCAGTTAATAACGGAGTATGCATGGGAAATTTTTGTTTCGCAGCCTCGAATTTTTTTTTGTCATGCTGCTGCCAACACATGATCCTTGACGACGCGGCACTTTTGCACTGCACAGCGAATAACAAGTGTCCATAGGCCGCTTGGACTCTTCTCAAGATGTTGAACCAATGGCAGTTTACAAAACCAGAACTGCATGCGCAATTCGTAGTTGTATAGCATGACCAACGACCCGAAAAACAAAAAGCCCTCTGCTCGTCATTCCCCTACGTACAGGCTCTTTTTCTGCGTGAAATATTTGTCGTTCAGCTCCCGTTATACATTGCAAAAGTACTATCGCACTCGTTGTACTAATCGCAGCAGCACTGCAAACCTTACTTATTTCTCATACTAGCACGTGCACGATGCTTTTGCAATGCATACCCGTTTCCGGCTGCCGAAGCCCTGCAACGACTTCCCGATTTCCTCCATTTCGTTGCTAAACCTTTGCGCCGCCTGGAAGATCGCGCTGTTGGCCAAATGCTCCTCGTCCTGCTTTATGCATTGCAAACATGTCTACTGGGGGTGGAAGGATACAACTTGTGATGCTGCGTTTCGAAGATTCCAAAGAAAAACTGTATTGCATGAGCAGCAAACGAAGTCCTGTTTTTGCTACGCGGGGAGGGCATTTGTCATGCGGATTAGGGATCGATGAGGAAGCCCTCAAAACATCTGTGATGCTAGGGCATGCATCACAGATGACATCATGGGTCATGCAAAACGTGCATGCCAAACAAGTGCTCTCTTCCAGACCCAGACATATTTGCATTTGATATGCTTCAACCTGGACTGATTCCTCCGAAAGTTCCCGAACCCGGCCGCGTTGAGCCGCGGTTTCGCGTAGTTCGGAGTCTGCTTGCTGCCCTGCGACGGGTGTTCAACACCGGAGGGAGCGGCTGCGGGTCCTCGACTCAGTGTTGTACTAGCTGCATTGTTGCTGTATCGGGTGCGGCATCAGGAGCAAAAATGTCCCCACCCCCTAATCAAGATGGGAAATCTGCTAGACAAATCAACAGCCGTAGGCTGTTGCGCAAGACAAGTTTGGCCTCGCAGTGTAATCCTGTTTAGCTAGTTCAGCAGTATTACAGATCTAGCTTGTTATGCTGATTGGAGCATGACAATTTCCGAATTACGAGTAGAAAATGCTTGTCACGGGGCTCCGCATGAGAAATATTTTCAGCATGCAGAAATGCATTACAACTACGGGGTGGGAACGTTTTTACAGATGATATGCGGAAGCTGGGCGGGAGATTTGTCTGGTTGGTCCTCGCGAGGAACTCGTTGTCCGAGCTGCGGAGGTATGCTGTGCAAAAGTATCGCACTCGTACTAATTGCAAATGTGCATGACAAAGCTTCGTCCTAAGGTAAAACAACATTACAAATTCCACTTTTCTTCTTGCCGAAATTTGTCATGCAATTTCTACTAGTACGTTACTTTTGCAATGCATAGGAGGGTGGTGGATTGGAGCAGTTGCGTTTTGTTTTGTAAAGAGTCGACCGTGTCCTGCAGTTTCTGCGGCCGCTTGCCGGGTAGAAGTTCTTGTGTAGAAGTTGCTGCAGGTTTAATAGTAGTACTCCGGGCGGCTTCGGCATTCTCAGCTCGCGGCGGGGCGCAGACGGCGTTTTTCGCGGGCGGGGGGCCGCAGGTTTTCTTCCGGCCCGAGATCGCGTGGGGGAGAAACGAGCTCATGTTTTGACGAGAGCGATTTTAATATTCTGGCGCGCTAAGTACTAATTCACGACGAGCCTACGCCCGACGGACACTCGCGAGAAAGCGAGGCACTGATGTCTATTCTCCTTTCTGGTTTTCTTTTGTATCTAGCTCGAGGTGTACTTTGGGAATAGCCCGACTCTCCGTCCGCAGTTCCCGCTCGTGCTTGTCCTCGAAGGGGAAGAGCGGTCTCGTCTCTCGAGCCCTTGCCCTCGTGCCTCTCGCATTGTTCACCAAGCGGGTCGCTCACGCTCATTTCTCGGTAATATCGAGGTGCTCCTTCGCTCGATCATCACTCACGCCGCGCGGCGCGCGTCGGCGCCGGAAGAAGGGGATCGCAGGGCGAAAGACCCTGGGGCGCCGCGGAATGCAGCGATCGCTTGCACCAAGCGCTGCGGTGCTGCACGCGGGCCCGGTGGCACTGTTGCCTGCGCAAATGGGTCGGCCTTCGACCGGGTGCGGGCACCGGCGACCGGGCGCGGGCACCGGCGACTAGGAGTAAGGAAGCGGGTCAGGGGCGCCAAATCTCGCGCGGGAGCGGGCCATGGGCGCCAAATCTCACGCGGGAGCGGGCTAGGGGCGCCAAATCTCGCGCGGGAGCGGGCCGGGGGTGCCAAATCTTGCGCAGGAGCAGGCCGGGGGCGCCAAATCTTGCGCGGGAGCGGGCCGGGGGCGCCAAATCTTGCACTTGAGCGGGCCGAGGGCGCGAAATCTTGCGCGGGAGCGGGCTACGGGCACCAAATCTTGCGCGGGAGCGGGCCAGGGGCGCCAAATCTTGCGTCAGATGAGGCCCGGGGCGCCAAATCTCGCGTGAGAGCAGACGGGGGGCGCCAAATCTCGCGCGAAAGCGGGCTGTGCGCACCAAATCTGACGCGGAAGCGGGCTGGGGGCGCCAAATCTCACACGAGAGCGGGCTACAGGCGTCAAATCTCACGTGAGAGCGGGCCCAGGGCGACAAATCTTGCGCGCGAGCGGGCTCAGAGCACCAAATCTTGCGCGGGAGCGGGCTGGGAGCGCGAGATCTCGTGTGGGTGTGGGCTGGAGGCGCTAAATCTCGTGCTGAAGTGGGCCGGGGGCGCCAAATCTCGTGTGAGAGCGGGCCGGGGGTGTCAAGGCTTGTGCGGGAGCGGGCCGGGGGCGCCAAATCCCGCACAACAGTGGGTCAGGGGCGCCAAATCCCGCACGGGAGCAGGCCAGGAGCGCCAAATTGAAGCGGCGGGGGACGAGCCCCCAGCTTTATTCTGCCGGCCAGCGTGGAGATAGGCCCAAACGGGCCACCTTGATAGGGTTGCCAGGCATGCGCCTGGCCGTCGTTCTGTTGGTTCTGCCCTTGCTGGGCTTTGTGCTATTCCTGGGGGTGGCTGCAAGTGCAGCCACACCTTCAGAAAAAGGCAGCAGGGAGATTTACCGTCGCAGCACCGTTGCTGCGGGTTTTTCTCCTGGTAGGGCTTAGCCGTCCTCCCCCTTTGCAGGCTCCGCAGTTCTTTGCTCCCTGTTGAGTGTGATCCAAGCCTCTGGGACCGCGGTAAGTGAGGCAGCATGTGTCCGGTGGGTTCCGGCATGCTTGTAACTGCTGTGTAGCACTGTAGAAAGCCCTTGGTGGCAGTGTGAGAATAGGTGTCCAGCTCCTGCTGGCCTGTGTGAAGTGCGTTGTAGCACCGGTGAAGCCCTTGGTGGCAGTGTAAAAACAGGTGTACAGCTGGTGCTGTCCTGCTAGTGGTGCCCGTCGAGGCTGTGGAAATGCAGGCGTCCAGCACGTGCTGGCCTGCTGGTAGTGCTGTGTAGCACCGTTGTGAGCCCGTTCAGGCAGTGGCAGTGCAGGCGCGCAGCTTGTTCTGGCCTGCTTGTAGTGCGGTGCCTAGCACCGTTGTGAGCCCTTGGGGGGCAGTGGTAATGCAGGCGCCCGGCGCGTTCTGGCCTGCTTGTAGTGCTGTGCAGCACAGTGGTGAGCCCGTTGACGCAGCGGAAGTGCAGGCGTCCAGCTTGTGCTGGCCTGCTTGTAGTGCTGTGCCTAGCACCGTTGTGAGCCTGTGGGGGCATTGGTAATGCAGGCGCCCAGCTTGTGCTGGCCTGCTTGTAGTGCTGTGCAGCACCTCAGCGAGCCCTTTGGGTCAGTTGTGCCGCAGGTTGCCCACGGGTGTCGGCCTGCTCGTAGTGTGTGTTGGCACCGCTTAGAGACGCTTGACGCACCAGCTTAGGCCTCGTGACAAAGTCCTCCCGGCCTGCTCGTGCTGCCTCCTGGGCAGGTGGAGAGTCATGATGACCCGTGGTAGGCACGCGAGGTGTCGCGACTGGCCAGCAGCGTGCGTTGCACGGTGAAGGCCCCAGTAGACCACTAGCAGGTCTGCGGCGTGCCCCAGTCCGGCACTAGTGTTGGTTGCATAAGGTGGGCACTCGTTGCAGGTTGGCCCTGCTGCTATGGGAGACACAGCATAAAATGTTTGCAAGGGTTCGCGGGGCCTGCTAGTGGCACTTGCCCGCCGCCCCCGCCCTCAGGGCGTCTGGTTGCACACGCTGCGCCAGCGAAAGGTCTCGGCAGACTGTGTTGGTGTGCCACATCGCACTCGCAAAAGCCGGATAGGGAAGTCGTACTTTCGCGCCCTCTCTCCTCTACTGTTGGCACATGCAGCCGTCGCTGTAGTGCGGCAGGGTGCCAGTTGGAAGTGGTTAAGTACTTAGGGTTTCTGTGAGCCACCCGCGCAACTGCGCTTGCTGATAGTGTCTGTTACACACTGGGGCGCGATGCGATACCAGCGCCCCCGCGATTACACCGGTCGCACTCGATCTCGTTCGAGGGCGCTGTGATCCGTACAATACGGTAAGCCGCCAGTTCTTTGGCGTCGGTTGCGTTGTCAGACCCTGCTTTGCCAGGCTCCCTCTGTACTAGCAGGGGCCGATGGTTAAACTGCGCGACCCCCAGGTCATGGCATCTCTTGCCGATCGCGAGGCGTCCTCGCTGTTATTTCGGTTTTCATGTAAGGGAATTTTGCTAGGGGGATCGCAGGGCGAGAGGGAAAGGCGATGAGCACTGCTCCCGTGGTGGGTCGGTCGTTCTCTACCCCGGTAGGGATCACCCCACGCGGGCGGCGGGACTTGTGCCTTGGCGCGAGGCCGTTGCGACCGACCCACGTCGGGAGCAGCGCTTCGCCGCCTCTTCCTCTCGCGGGCGACTTTTTGATATCATGAACAGAATGTGGGCCCTGTTCGTAGGTTGCGTTGCCGCCCACTGATGCGTCGCTCTTTGTTCAGCTGCAGGCGTAACTGCAGCAGTGACGCCACTATCAGTCGCGTGCTGTCGTGTAGCCCCCGTTTGTCAACTGCCGCGAGCACATGTAGCACATCTTTACTTGCTGGAGCGCCACCCGCTCGAAGCTCGCTGGGCATCTGCAGCTGCAGGGTCGCTGCCACTCTGGCAGGCCGACGCAGCATGGTTGCAAGACTTTTTCGGGACATATGGTCTACGTAGGGGCGCGCGCGCCGTGCGCTGTGGTGAGCGGCGGCATGTGTCCCCACCATTCGCCATCCTCATAAGAAAGGTAAGGGCGCTTGGCAGCTGCAGGTCAGGGTGCTTGGCAGCGAGGTAAGGGTGCATGGCAGCTGCAGCGAGTATACGGCGCGCGCAAAAATGGGCAGGCCATGCTGAGCCTGGTCCGTATGCGCCTTTGTTTTGTAGGGCCTCCGGCTGCACAGCAGTTGCGCACGGTCGCACACACATGGTCCATCTCTCCTCCGCCCGGAAGAGCGTGGTGGGGGTTGTCTTTTTGTGGGCCTCGGTCGGCCCCCTCTTCCTGTTGTCAGAGCGATGGTGGCGATGGTGCCAACCCCCCGTCGTGCGGCTTTTGGTGCCGCTTTTCGGGTTCTCGCGCTTCAGTCGAGGGTCGACTGCGCTTCGCCCCGCTCTCCGGGCGCTGCTTCTTATCGGGAGCAGACGGTGTGCCATTCTACTAGCCTGGTCGGGCATAATAAAATGTATGACCGGGCAGGAGAAGTCTAGCGAGCCTGTGAGTCTAGGCTGAGGCTGGTCGGTCGGTATTTTATACAGACCCCAGCCCTTCGGCCATTGGTAGCCAGGACCTGAGAACGTTCCCCCAATTAAGAGACGGCAAGCCAATTCGCTTGTGAGATT